CTATAAAGAAATACCCTCTGCTAAGAATTCCTAAAGCCTAAGGCACTACTTACCTAAAGCCTAACTATTAGATAGAGAGACATAGTATCTATAGAATCTTAAATCGTAACAAGTCTCTATAATCCTACTAGCTACTAAATACTTATTAAGGTTATTTCTAGCCGTCTTCTTTAGCTACGACTCCTTTACTATAGCTTTATATAGCTAGGCTTACTATTTATTAGGTAGATAGAACTAGAAGTCGGAAGGGTTCGTAGTAGTAGAGTAGCGGAGGTTAAGAAGAACGGGGTCGATAGCAATAGTACTAAAACATTAATAAGTATACTATAAGTATACTACGAGGTAGATTTAAACCTATAGTTTAGTAGCCGTCTTATTCTCTATTTTAGTAAATTAAGTTAATTCTAAGATCTCGCTAGCAGCTCGTTCTAGCGTCGGTAGTAGTAATTACGCTAGACGTTTGCGCCTATAAAGAGGTTATTAGTATAATAATTTACGTCCGAAGATAGCTAGGTACGTACGACGAGCGTATAGTGCGTACTATAGACTAATTATAGAATAGTATCGCGAAAATAGTATCGAACGCGCTGCGGCGGAAAGCTTATAGCGGAGGTAGTAGTAGGCGACGAGGTAATATAGACCTCGAGCGCTATTGTTTAGGCGTACAATGAACTGCTAAATAGGCTGTTTAATGCGACAATGCGACAGCGACAATAGTAGTTGCTATTGTAGTCAATAAACTAAGTAAACACTAAGGTAGAAGCGAATTACGTAGTGGCAACCACTAAGGTTTCGGCCTCCATACGGCAAGCTCCCGAAGCAAGCGCGCCAAGGAGACGTCGGCCAGCAAGCCAGATCACTGATGTGGCTTCTTACACTTTGCACAATCACACCACCGCAAGAGCGCCAAAAGCAAAGTCTTCGCACGATCGTGTAGGTCCAGCAGCCGCTCTCTCAGGCTGAGCCCATGTAACAGGCCAAGTGATGCATACTCATCGCTTTGAATCGCTCGCCTGCGAGATCCCATCTTGCGATATTCACATAGACAAAATGATACGCAAGTCAAGTCCATACCGTCCGAGCTCACTGCGCTAACTGTAGAGTTCTATTGCGTCTGGTCTAACAGACGCCACAGCTGGCCATGCCGCGAGTCTGGGTCATCTGATTGCCCTTATAGGACGTAGCTTTTCTCGTGCGCTTCTCAATGGGCCACGACCCATTTCCTTCTTCCCACAAGCTCAATCATGCGTCTTCTGGTGCTTCTTACAGCATTGCTGCCGTCTCTGGGGGCCTTCGCTGCCACTTTGGAGCATTCGCACAGCGACAGTCTCGTTGAGCAGCCTGAGAAGCGCAACTACTATCGGCCGACCTGTGGCATCTCTGGTTATCCGAAGAAGACGTACAAGCCCTACAAGACCATCCGCCGCTGATGCAACCAGTCGCAATGCTCTGCATATTGTAAGCAAAGCTCCAAATGCAAAAGCTATGCTTTGGGCAAGCAAGATTGCCTTCTCTACTCGGTCTCGGTCAAGGACAATGTCAAGAGTGGCTATGGGGCAACGTACAAATTCTACGACAAGTCCTGCCCATGCCCAAAGCCGAGTGCGACCAAGACAACGTGAGCAAGACTGAGAGTGTTCTAATGCGCGCGCACTTACTGAAATCGCGTAGGACTGCGAGGACTACAACAAGATCTCAGACTACTTCGCGCACATCGACGAAAACGAGCACTACTACTGCAGTCTCCGAAAGCACCACTACAGCTACAGTCTCCGCGTTGACTACCTCGGCGGCATCGACCACCACGGCCAGTGGAAGTACCACAAGCAGTGTCAGTGTCAGCTCTACTTCTAGCGACGCTACCACAACTAGCGCGAGCTCGACTTCTACCGCCAGCAGCACTTCTAGTGCTACTACTACTTCAGTAACGACCACGGCCTCAACTACGTCCACCACCTCCTCTTCTCCATCCACCACCACGACATCGATAACCACAACCACGTCTTCTTCAACGACTACAACTTCGTGAGCAAAATCGCAACCATCATTTGGCTTTGACTCTCACTAATCTTTGAGGTCTTTTAGCAGCACAACGACTACAACAGTTGCGGCCAAACAGACGGGCAATATTAGACTAACTGATGAACGCAACAACATGCAAACCGAGACTGGGGCTGTCCTGGACAGACCAACCAATGTCGATCCGGCTGCCTTCATTTTCGGTGAGCTTAGTGACGCCGTGGGTACCGACCAGTATGTCTTTGATCCTGCCGATGGATCTCTGCAGGTTCTCAAGGCCGATCGTGCCCCCTCCACCATTGGTCAATTTCTTTACTACGATCCAGTGACTGCTGGATTCGGACCACCCAACGGAGGAGGTGTGGTTTCTTATTTAGTCGCCACCACCGAGGCAGATGCAGCAGCGAGGAATGGCCAGAAGGCTGTGTGTCAGATTTCATCGGCTTCACAGGTAGATTGCGCGTTCGGCCCAAGCACTGTGGCAGATGTATGGTTCTGTGCAGGATCGATCGCTCTCGTCTCGCAGGGTCGCGATCCAGGGGAACCTTGCGACGGCCTTAGTATCACAACAAAAGTGACAAGCGTCGTCTTCAACACGCCTGCTGAGTAAATTGTTGTACTGCTACCTAAGTTCAGTCGGAAAAACATCACACAAAATTGAGCATCTATGGGTCGCTATTCTCTGATGACAGTACATCTAAATGGGTTCGATAGCAGATGGGGGAACTGTATAGTTAGTTGTTCTACATCGAATACAAGAATGCACTCAAATTTGTAACAGGTTTTGGTTAATGCATGATGTATGGTTGCCTCGAGCGAGTCCGACACAGCTGCGAAGAATGGCCAAAAAGCTGTTTCCAGACTCATGTCGTCTCCAAGCGTACAATGGTAGGTTGGCACGAATGGGGTGGTCGTATCTGGGGCTTGTGGCAGAAATGTTGCTCTTGTCGCTCCAGCCTACGACCCGACTGAAATTTGCCGCCCATATAGTGCTGCAACGACGGATCATCTAGCAGAACGTAGCTTAAGTGCTTGCATGCCGTCTTGAAGAGTTGGTGGCATGCAGCTTGAAATTTACGAAAATCAATACTACAACATCTGGAATGCTTCGTAAGTAAGAATCCAACATGTGGAACTCATGCCGTTGCAATAATAAAAAATAGACACAGGATATATATTGCAATTTGTAAGGACATGTGGCGAACGCCTTGCATAATTGGCTATCACGACGCGAAGCGTTGTCCACTCTCGATAGCTCAGCTGGAAGAGCGCAAGACTGTAACGGATCAATAATGGATCAGACCTCATCTTGAGGCCCGCGGTTCGATCCCGCGTCGGGAGATCAATTTCTTTTGTCGTTGTTGTTGTTCTATTGTGTGTCCTTTTGTCAAGTTGCGAAGGTCCAAATTTTTGTTTTTGGAAATTTTCAAAATTTATGCCACTACGCCATCGTGCAGAACGGTATGCATCCACCTATGCTCCGTTCTGCTAGACCAGTGTACACAGCTGATGTGTTCCAGTTGAGCGGTGCGTTGAACTCTGCCGGTGGTGAAGAATGCAACAGACACCGTTTGGTGTGCTAGAGTGCGAGATCCACACAAGCGAAGCTCAGCGGGGCAGACTTCGTCGCAATTTGTTCTCCAAACCAGCGCACTCGAAGTAATACTTCGAACACCACGGACTCGCAGACCATATTTGTTGCATCCATTGCCAAAAGATGGCCTCTGAAGCGCAACCATGGCACGCCGCCTTCCCGGCCCCGAAACCAGAATTCACGGCCGAAGTAATGCCTCGCAACCGCGCATTCATGATCCTGAGCATGCGAATCGCCTCAATGGTCATCATTGACGTCCGCAGAACAGATTACGAAGGAGGGTGTATACGCGGGAGCCTCAATATTCCTGCTCACGGCTTCTGGTGGAATCGTGGGATGCTCTATGAGCTTTGTTATAAAGCCGGTATTGAGTGGGTGGTGTTCTATTGCGGCTCATCGAATGGTAGAGGTCCAAGATGTGCAAGTTGGTTTTTGCAGCATGTGAGAGAGACGGCGGAGGATAAGGATATGAATGTTATGGTATTAGAAGGTGGGATTAAGGGTTGGGTAAAAGCTGGACCGCAGTTTATACAGTTTATGGATGGGTATAAGGAAGAGTATTGGAAAGAGCTATTCGAGGAAGAGGAGAAGAAGAAATCTGCAGAGTCATCAAATAAGGCGGCATCGGAAGGGAGTAAAGTTGCCAGCGCTGTGGGCGAGGGTGATGTCCTCAAATGATGTGGACTGGATTTTGGTACTGGTTTTCGCGGCCTCATTCACGCATGCATATGAACTATGCGTGAGTCTTCCTTCAACATCTCTCGTGGACCTTTGCGAGTGCCAAACCCAGCGAGAAGATTACGATGAAGCGGCCGAACGAGAATTCCAACATCAGAAACATAACTCTTCGCCCACCACCTGACTCTGTCCAGGTAGCGATGGTCGCCAAATACTATGCCTCACGACAGAGCAAGCCGACATGGACGCTGGAATCGGAGAGAGCGAAGACACGAGGATGCAAGATCATGATCGTGAAATGGGGAGACTGAGGACGCGCCTGGACTCCGCCGCACTCTTCTCCTAGTATCGACAGGTATCCCTCTGTTATCTCTCGATGACACTTGCGAAAGCTGCCGGGAGTCGATTGGAATGGGCCTACCCTTGAAGATCCCACGCAAGGAGCTCAACACAGCAGGCAACATGTAGATGCGGTTTCGATGTTGCACAATTTTCTCGGGAAAAAGATGTCGCGTCTTGCATATGAAGTATTGGATAATCGCGCCTCGTCTGTGATTGCGAGACACCCGGTTGGACAAGTCATGAGCAGCAGCTTCTATGCGCCAAGGAATATTTGGGTGAGGTTGATGGTGGAGGCTTACGGTTCACGATACTGGCCTGCAATAATGTTAGCTGCAAAGCCATCAAGGCCGAGTGGATGGCAACATGGGATTCAAGCTGGAAGCTGAATCAACAAGCCCAAGAGCAAGAGCAGACAACCTCGTGTTCAACATTGCGCTTTCTTGATTCCTCCCGCCGATCCATCTCATCGATATTCCCAAGCTCTTCACCCTAGCCTGATGTCGTGAGAGCAGGACAGAAGCTGCGAGCTGTACATTTCCCACCTCATGACCTTTCCAGCCTTCTCTATTTTGGGTTGCGCTAACCTCTTGAACTTGCTGCTATCCAGATGTTGACTAGCGCGGTGTGGTACGATACAAGCCGTCTCGCCGAGGCCGAGTACGACGTGCTCGATGTATACAGCTGTCAACAGAATCGATAGCACACTTCGTGTCGTCCGTGGTGGAAGCCGAAGAGCAGGACGTAGGAGCCCGACGCTCGATGAATCGCGCAGAATGTCCAGCACCGCAGGGGCGCAGCCGTGGCGGACTCATGGCGTCCGAATTGCACTTCGAGACCACCTGAATAAGGTTCCATCACGCAGCATGCAATTCGTATACTTGGCAAGCCGCCTCGTCTTCATTGTACAAAACGAGAAGATGGCAAGCAAGCTAGAGACTGGAGCTAACTCAGAGTAAGTACGCCTATCGGCGCACGACGCCTTCGAGCCTTCTCTTCCAGCCTCACCTCACCATCGTCACACCGCACCACTCCACCCAGACACTTCAGCTCCGCATTTCAACTCACGGGGCATCGAAGTCGCAACGTGCATTGTGGTGCAACGGTTTTGTTTCCGTCGGCTGCAGGCCCGCATAATTGCCAAATTACGGACAGCAGCGGATGTCGGCGAGTCAAGAAGGTCAAACACGTGGGCTTTGCGCAAAGGCAGTTTTATTTATACCCAAGCAACGAGTAATAACGCGAGCAAGGCACGTGTGAGCGCGAGAGGGGTGGAGGGAGCAGAGAGATCACTGCGGTCTCCAAGATTGTGAGGGCAGATTTGTCGGCCGCCATGGCCGCTTTGGAAGTATTGCAGTCCGCGCAGCGCGCGACGTTGGAGTTCACGGCACCATTGGAGGGATCCGCGGATCTGAAAGCTGGAGAGAGCGTTGATGTCGCTTGGAATACGCCATGGGAATTGACGACGCTGGAGCTGTGGAGAGGGCCTGCACGGGATGGGAGTTTTGCTGTGAATGTGCTTGCCGGTGAGTGGCATTGGGACACAAGTTCTTTCGCGCATTCGTGACTGACTGTATTTCAGCAAACTTGACGCAGGACGTCACGACATACCTTTGGAACGTGCCGGACAATGAAGACCAAGCTATACCATTTCAACTCCGACTTCAGAAAGGCGACCAGCCGAGTGAATGTGCCGAATGCGTCGCCAGCACATCATCCTTCCAAATAGAGAGCGCGGCATCAAGACAGACATCGCCAACGGCAGACACCACTTCATCACCGCCAGCAGCTGCTCCCGCTTCGTCAAGGCCAGCGCTGTCGCGTGAGGTTCAATTGGGCGTGGGGCTGGGCGTCGGACTAGGGATACCATTTGTCGTCACACTGGTTGCATTCATCTTCCTCTGTCGCCGAAAACGACAACGAAGGCAACATCAAATCCAGCAGCTGAATAATGTGCACCGGCGGCAACAGGAACTCATGTCGGATAGAGATCTCCGATTCTCCACAGGCGCCTACTCGTCGGTCTCCAGATTCAGCGAGAAGTCGTATCACGGACCTTTCGAATTCGAAGAAGAGCCTGGAAAAGTGAAGCCTGGGTGGGAGAGGCTGTTCGGGAGGAATGGGCTTCCGTTTCTTGCGGCACCTGAGAAGGCAAAGGATACGCGAGGTTTACTTAGACATTAGAGCTCATCGTGACGAATGCAATGATTAATGACTGTATTTTAATGCTTCTTTGAAAGTGATCGTCGCAATGGTCGCTCCTGGCCGTGCTGCGGAGTTGGTCTCGGAAGAGCGGCTTGGCATTGGTTCATCGTCAAGGCTTTGGGCCATCAGATGCACAACACATCGCATTGCCGTCGCAGCAGCGAGTCGACGGGACAATGTCCAAGTCGCTGCACTCGCCCACGGCGCGACTGCTGCAGTCGTCGCGCCTCTTCTCCCTGCCGCGACCGTTACCTCCGCCGATACTAGAATCTCCTTCGGCATCAGGAGCATACAAGGCTTCGGAAACCGCCACGCTGCCGTATCCCACTCACCAGGCCATCGCGACACCTGCATCGTCCCATTTTCGAGGAGACTGGGGCCTCAAGCGCCCGATCCCACGAAAGACGACTGCACGAAGCACGACCCCGGTCATCCGCGTACGAGCTCAGGACAACACCCAGCACATTACCGACTTCGAGAGTGCTGCAGACCACGTCCTGACAGAGGCCAAATGGCGGCAGATGGGTATTCCGCTGATCAACAAGGACGGGAGAACGAACTACTCCGGCAACCGAGGTACACCCCAGAGCGTTTATGATGACAACCTTGACAACACAGACCCAGATGCTACTCGTTTCGATGCGCAGCTCCCATCGGGTCGACAAAACCTATCATCCGCTAATGCAGAGACCGGGAACCAGAGATGGAAGTTTGCTGGCCCATGGCTTGCGGGAATGGAAGAGGGAGAGTTTGAGGACTACGTATCGGACAAATTGAGTAAGAGGAAGGCTGAGTTCAAGAAGTTCCTGGCCAAGCGCATATTGGAGAAGCGCATTCGTGATGAGGAGAGAGTGAATCGTGAGCGTGGACAAGGCGGTGCGCTTCCAGCAAAGCGGGTGGAACAGCTGCGCCAGTATGTCGAGGAGAACTACGACAGTGAAGAGAAGAAGCTACGCGATGATCATATCCACCAGCATTTGGGCTCGGCCCTCACCGCGGCTATATGCGATTTTCTGGATCTGCCAGGCGTCGAGATGGGTCGACAGAATTTCGCTCACTCGGCACTGTTGCAGAACCAACTCAACAGTCTCACGTCAACGCAAGGCCCACCTTCTACTCACCCAGGTGCTGGTCTCTCTTACATTCGAACGAATGCTTTCATGGAGAATCATCCATACTGGGGACCTCAGGCTCACCGCGCGCCTGTGAAAGCGCGTGTCATGACACCACGTACGAGCGCGACCTTCAACAACCACTACGCTTTGCTCGGCATTGGAGGAGTAGTGGCCCGTGACCCCATTGGCACTGGGGTCAACGTCGATAGTCGCGCAGCTGTTCCGGAATACAACGAGAACGAGAAAGAGGAGCACTATGCTAACCCCGATCGCATGGTGACCGCTCTCGATGAGAACCTACCAGGCGGCAACAAGATTTGGGTGCATCCTCAATCGGCTCACATCAATGAGGCAGGATTCATCGACCTGGAGATAAGCAGAGGCGACAAGGAAGCCATTGCTGTCAAGCGGAACAAGGTGCAACACATTCATGATGCGAGGAGTCAAAGTTTTGGTGCTACAGGATCGGGATATGTTGGCGGTGCGCGCCCAGGACAAGAGCCCAATTATGGTTCCAGCCTGCCAGATATGAGGAGGAGAAGGACGTCGGGAGTGGAGGGATTCGACCGAGAAATGGGAAGAAGCCCACTAGATCAGGCTCAGGCAACGGAGAGGATCAGACGTTTGATGGATGGCTATACCCCAAAGAATTCGCCGTCAGACAGTTCGAAATCATCAGTAGAGTGAGAAAATGTATGTATAGATGTGCCCAAAAGAGATGCGTGATGCAGTGAAAGTATTGTGCAGAGTGTCGTTGATCAGAACTGCACCGACTAAAGCCGATCCTACCCTCGAAAGCTTGGCGAAAAGCCCCAGCTGTCACTTGCGGGCACTTCACCTCGACCGATAGCTTCTCGCATCGACTTCTGCGGCATAGAATGACCAAGAACACCATGGCTCCTCGGCCAATTGCCAATCCCGACCTCCCCAAGCCGCCTTCGGGCAAGTATCCAGCCAAGGCTCACGCGAGAAGGGTTGCAAAATATATCGCTGAGCATGGCGGGCCAAGCAGCGGTATCATCTATCTGGAGGGGCAGAGCACTAAAATGACAGAGGTACAAAATTCGTTTGAAAAGGTATCGAAGTGAATGCGCTGATGTGTGATTTCAGGACGACGATCAAGCGAGCCACTTCAGGTTTGTTATTCGGCGTCTGCGATAACGCCCGTCATCCGTGATTGACGTTCTACAGGCAACGACGACATTTTTACTACCTTACCGGATGCGACTTGCCAGACTGTTTCTTCGCCTATGATATCGCGTCTGATACTTCAACACTATGGATCCCGCCTGTCGACCCAGAATATGTCATGTGGGCAGGCATGCCACTTCTACCCAAGGAAGCACTCGAACGATACGACATCGATCATGTGTCAACTACAGATGATCTCAAGTCAGGAAAGTCTTTGGTTGATATGCTATCGAAGCAGAAGCCTGTTATTCTGGCGATCGAAGACCGAGCAGATTTGGCCATCTTCGACACTCCTGCTATCAAGAATTTCCAGCCTGAGATTAACCTCGCCTCGCTCCGGGAGGCAATTGAGGAATGTAGAGTCGTCAAGGATGAGCATGAGATCGCCATGATCAGGCATGCTAACATTGTATCCTCATATGCCCATGAGCAGGTTCTGTCATCCGTCCCACGCGCCTCCAACGAGCGCGAACTCAACGCCGTCTTCGTCATGCACTGCCACGCCAATGGCTGCAAAGAGATGGCCTACGGCTGCATTTGTGCTTCTGGAACAGCAGGAAGCACTCTTCACTACGTCCACAACGATCAACCCCTCGAAGGCAAGGACAATATTTTGCTCGACGCCGGAGCAGAATACAACTGCTATTGCGCCGACATCACTCGCACCTTCCCCATTACCAAAGATGGCAGATTTACAAAAGAGAGCAAAGAGATCTATGATCTCGTCTTGCTGATGCAAAGCGAGGCTTTCAAGCTCATTCGACCTGGTGCCATGTGGGAGGATTGTCACATGAAAGCTCACACGACCGGCGCTTTAGGATTGCAAAAGTTGGGTATCTTCAATAAAGACCTCACATTGGAACAAATCATGTCCTCACACATTATGACGCGATTCTTCCCTCATGGTTTGGGACACTACCTTGGTATGGACACACACGATACGGGAGGCCACGCGAACTACGATGACCCAGATCCTTACTTTGCTTATCTACGTAAGCGTGGCCCGTTGCCTGTCGGCGCTGTTATCACGAATGAGCCTGGGATATACTTCCGCGAGTTTCCATTGAGGCAAGAGTTGAAGGACGGGAAGTGGGATGGCATTGTGGAGCAAGAAGTCCTGGACAGATACTGGAGGGTGGGAGGTGTGAGGATCGAGGACGATGTGGTCATTACAGAAGACGGATATGAGAATCTGACCACGGTCAGCAGTGACTGGCAGACTGTTGAGGGCATGGTGCAGAGGGGACTGGCGAACGGAGCTCTGCATTAGCGCGGTGTTTTGCATGAGTGAGAATTGAAGTGAGTTTGAAAGAAGTGAACAGATCGTATCATTCGCTGATTTTACGTCTACAGTTTGATGAGTTCACAGGAACAGGCACTGCGGTCTCTCGCTTGCGTGGCGCTTCACTTCACAATTCACTGCCGTGTCTGATTGGGGCAGACTAGAGCCGCGGTATGGTTTGTTTGCTATGATGCAAGATGTGAAACTGTCTACGGTGTCTTACATTGAGGAGTGAAGTGAAAGTCTCACTTCTTCGATCAGGCATTAAAACTCCATGCCCCATCCAATCGCTCTCCTTTTCCGCTTCTTCATTCAAGAACCGCTCAGCTTTAGCAGAATTTCAACATTGAAGGGTCCACACAGCAATGGCTACAGCGAAAATGTCGACAGTTCCAGCACTAGCCGAGTGCACAAGCGCTGCATCAGAGTAAGCGGATTCACTGTGTCATTTCTGCAGCTGCTGATCTGTCGCAGTTTCTCTACCGCGCCAGTACTGATCACTGTTGGCGAAACGAAGCAGCACTTCTACGTTCACGAGCCTGTTTTGCGGGCCGCGTCTAGATTCTTCGAAGCGGCTCTTGACAAGGAATGGCTCGAGCGCCAGACTCGTGTGGTCAATCTCCCTGAGAGTAACCCAGAAGCTTTCACAGTCTACGTCAACTGGCTGTATTTCGGTAGACTGTTCGTCGACGACGAGCCTTCTGTGCCGCCGGAGAGCAAACAAATGTTTGAGATTTTGGTACGCGCATACTTGCTTGGAGACCAGCTTCTAGACGTGGCTTTCAAGGACGCCGCTGTCGATGCTTTTGGCCAAGAAACGCTCAAGCTCTATGAGGGTATCCGATACCTCCCAGGTGCGATTCCTCGCCATTTGTTGTACGAGAATTCGCTGCCGACCGCGCCACTCCGACGTCTAGTGGTCAGAAGACTCACGATGTTTCAAAATGCTTCTAACATCAAAGAGGACGAACCGAGCGCTTTTCTTCACGATGTTATCCAGGCGCTGGTCCACAGAGACACGCCTACTGTCGATGACTTCGTTCAGGAGCTGGCGGACTGCAAGTATCATGAGCACGAGGCAGGAGCAGAGAACTGCTACAGGAGCAAGCGGCGATGATCAGAATCGTTGTAGAGGCGTGAGACTCGGACTCGTAAGTGGGGGAAGGGCGAGTGCTGAGTCGGGTTCCGTGCAATTTCAGGTACGATTGAGGCCGCGTGCCGTGGAAGGCCGCTCGTGAACGAACGGTTGCCGCCAAGGTAGTAGGCAAAAGAGCAGCGCGATGGACCGCGTACTGGGTGGGCTTGGTATCAGAAACGTTTGCTGCAGATATGAAGTGGAGCTGCAGCTGCAGAAACAGTTCCATGCAAGGTGGAACGCACTTGACAAACGTTCACTGTCCCAACACAAATTCTCTCTTCCACATATGCGCTCGAACCAACGACGCACGCGCAGGCCCGTCACGCACTAGATCAGTCCGGTCATTGGAGCACCATGACTCTCGCTCTCTCCACCATGTCGCCATCAGCATCGATTTGGACAAAGGCGCTGCCGGCGGCGCATGCCCACGAGTACGTTGTCAACATGGTCCATTATGCAAAGCGTCACTGACCTGCGGTTTCTAGCTTCAAGAGCCGAACCATCACCATCAAAGTTGGCCAAGAGCCTGAGTGCTTCTATGTGAACGAAGCGATGCTACGCAAGACCTCTAAGTTCTTCGAAAAAGCTCTCAAGGAGCAGTGGAAGGAGGGAAACGAGAGGGAAGTACGACTTCCAGAGATGAAGCCTCATACTTTCAACATCTACCTAAACTGGGCGCTCACTGGCAAGCTCTTCTTGGAAGACGGAGAGGAAGTCTGGATGTCGGACAACCAGATCTTCGACAACATCGCCGATTCTTTCGTCTCGGGAGATATGGTATTCGACTCTGAGTTCAAAGACGCAGTCACAGACGCAGCCGCTTCTCTCTTCGCCAGCGTACGCTCGGGCCAAGGTCGTTGGCTTCTGGGCAGTGAATTGCGCCAATATCTCTATGACAACACTTCATCAAGCTGCGCTACCCTTCGTCGCATGCTGGTTCGTCAATTGAGCATGTCATCGAAGCTGGCAGAGCTCGTGTCGGAGGACGAACCGCCGGCGTCGCTATATGAGCTGAGCGTTGAGCTCGCTAAAGGAAAATCGAAGGCGATGGAGGAGTTCAAGAAAGAGGTTGAAGATTGCGAGTACCACGAGCATGCCCCAGGAGCAGACAACTGCTACAGAACCAGGCTTCATTGAAGGGAATCTACTCAAAGCACGCTGGGCCAGAGACACTTGCACAGTCGTGAGCTGGAGGAATGCTCGGCTTCATGTCAGGGTTGTGGCAGTGGAGATAGATTGTCTGCTCGATGTGCAAAGAGGCATACACAAAGCGCATGGACGACATATGAAGTAATTGAGACCGCGAGTAGACAGTCGGTCGCATCTTACACGAGCTAAGCTTCTTTTCAGACGGCAAGACCACGATCATGAGAGTAGAAGTGAGCTGAGGTGGCTCTGCGGCAGCGCTAGCGGCGTTTGCCACTGTTCGCAAGTGAAGGCCTCATAACGGCACCTCTGTGGTGCAACAGACATCGACTCACTCCACAAACCACGCGTTCCTCGTTACTTCATCGGAAGCCGCTTTCAACCACGAACCCAGCAATATAGTATGACTTCCAGTGGCTTGAAGTCAGCATCGCCAGAGCTCCCTCTCGCGAGCGCGGCAATCGAGTAAGTAATCGCCATCTTGGAATGAAGAATTGACTGACCGACGACAGCTTCTCTGCCGCGCCCGTCATTGTGAACGTCGGCTCGGACGAATCTCAGCGATTCTACGTCAACGAAACAGTACTTCGGAGATCCTCGAAGTTCTTCAACGCTGCACTGGGCAAGGAATGGAAGGAACGCCAGGAGCGCACCATCAATCTACCTGAAGGCTCGCCAGCAGCCTTCAACACCTATCTGAATTGGCTCACTTCCGGCAAGCTGTACGTGAGCAACCAGCCTGAGACCGAACGCAGGCAGTGGAGCTGCGACACGAGACTGCTTGAAGCATACCTGCTTGGCGACAAGTTATCAGACGTCGACTACAAAGATGCTGCAGCCGACGCTTTGGCCAACGAATTCCATACGCTTCGCGGCGGATGGTATTGGAGCTTCTGCAAGAACGATCGCACGAATCTCTACGAGAACACTGTCGCTGGTGCATCGCTTAGGCTTTTGTTCGTCCAGTCGATGTTGACGCACTGTGGGGTCCAAATGTTGGAGACCGAAGGTGAACCCAACGCTTTGCTGCATGAGATGGTGATGGCAATGCATACGCGTGGACGTCCATCGAAGAGACAGTTCGAAGAAGACGTCAAGGCTTGCGAGTTCCACGAGCACGAACCTGGAGCAGAGAACTGCTACAAGAACAAGCGATCTCGGGAATCGTGATTACATCGACGCACCGAACGTTTGCGGGTCCGTGGATGAGATTATGGATTCGAGGTTCGACACCCAGCAAGCTTCCACCGGATCGAAGGCTTCGAGAGGATGGATTATCCGCAGAGCTTGACCTTACAAGATGGCGCGAGTCACACAGAACACTCATTGTGGGAGGTGATCTGTGGCATATCCAGTCAGTATCACGCGAATACAAGTACCACTTTCGGGGGTCTCAGAGATGAGCAGCTTCCAAGCAAAGATCGAACTTTCTGCAGATCCAGGTCAGCATGGAAGAGAGGTCGCAACGAGCAGTGAATTTCACAGTGACGCATCACTTACATTCCTACCTCTACAACTGATGCCCTGTCTTCTCCACCGCCTTCTTATACCCCTCCGTACCCTCACACTCCCCCAACCACTTCTCGATCCCGGGCCACTTCCCTCCTTGCGTCCCCAACTCCCTCTCCAAGATAAACCTCGCAGAGAACTGCATCATGATATCCGCCACAGTCAATTTGTCCCCGCACAAGAATTTCCCTCCACTCTTCTCCAATTCCGCTTGCAAGTAATCCAAATCTTTGATGACGTTTTTGCTCAGTCCTGCGATGGTCTTGGAGACGTCGCCGTCTTGTTGGTTCCAGCGGGCGTATAAGCAGGCGAGACTGTGGAGCATGAAGGTCGCTTCGGCGGCGTGGACCCATTGGAGGACTTTGTAGCGTTCTGGAGAGCCTGCGGGTGGGAGGAGGCGGTGGGAGGTGTCATATTTGTCGGAGAGGTATCTTTGGGGGTGTCAGTCGGATTGAGGGCGAGGTGCGTGTCGAGGAGGGAGGAAGTTGACGTACTCGCAAATATTCCCACTCTCGTAGAACACGTTTCCTTCATCCACGAGTGTAGGGAATTTGCCTAATCCTCCTGCTTCTTGCTTGAAATCTGCGGGAGCAGCATTATTTTCTCGTGGGGCGAATTTCAATTCGTAGTCGAGGCCGAGTTCGTGAAGGTGCCATGCTGTGCGGATACAGCGTGAGGCTTGAAGGAAGTAGAGCTTGATGGCTGGCATGGTGCTCGATTGCAGTTCCTGCGTTGTCAATACGGTAAAGTAGTAGGTATAGAAAGTGTTAAAGAAAGTGTCGTTATTGAGTTCTCCTACCGTTCAGTGATCTCTTCATGTCTACGCCAAATACTCAACACGCAATGCAGCAGTAGCTCTTCTCCTAAGACCACTCTCCAATGCCATGACGTCCAACCTATCCCACCACATACATCATCACGAGCAGCACCACCGGAGACACTGCCGTGTTTCACGAGCTCTTCCTCAACCCCGCGACCAAGCTCATTCGGAGCTTCCAGTGATCCGCATGCGATGTGGGACACGTCGGACAAAGTAATTGTCAGAAAGAGGCTCGAAGCCATTGTGAGGGGTCGAGTTCTAGATGTCCACCACAGATGTGCATGAGGATCTCTGCTGATCTTTTTCCGCGGACGATCGGACAGGATGGAAGCTTGTCTGGGAGCTCTGGTGCAGCTCTCGCGTGCTTGGTGGCACGACGTAACGAGAGCTGTAGGAGTTTATTGGGACCCTGGCTGCGAGAACGTGAAGGTGAAGATGAAGCTGGGGAAGAAGTGTGTGGATGTGTTGGTGATGGTCAAGAGAAAGACGTGAGATGTGTCGCGACTTCCGGCTTACTCTGTTCAGCAATTCCGGAAAGTGCAAGGGTGTTTGATGGAAGCAACCCACCAGCTGTGGAACTTGCACGGTGCACTTTTTCTCAAACAACCAACGACATCGGGTTTTGCACAATTAGCAAAGACACGACTCCAGATGGCGTGTGCAGGGCGACAAGGTAGGCAACGTAGTTTGTTTTGACCTCTCCTCGCATCTTGCGAGGAGATTCTTTCATTCGTACAATTAATTACAGTTGTCGCATTCATGAGCAATGCGAGATTCATAAACATCATTGTGGTATCATAGCTCTCTTATCCTCTCTCTTCTGTTCATATTGAGACGTCAAACCATTGATCATAATCTAAGCCTCGTACTCGCCCTTCGACTTGGCCTTCTCCGAAGCACCCTTGATGAAGCGCGACAGATCGACGACGGGAAGCTGGAATGGGAAGTCGAGCGCGGCCAACATGATGGCGAAGAAGATGTACCAGCCGAGCATATCGACGACGAATGTGGTGGCACCTGCCGCGATGACCTCGGTGGAAGCCTTGCTCGCGAGAGAGGCAGCCGCGGCCATGTTTCCTGCTGCCGTTGCCTCTGCTTCCTGAGCCAAGTGCCAGAAGGCAGCGGCGAGGAGACCGAAGGATGGAACGAGGAACAAGAAGATGAGGAAGAAGACCAAGTTGGTTCGGAGGGAGAGGATCATGTACAAGAAGCACAGGACACCCATGAAGACGAGGAAGAAGGCTGTGCGGTGTTAGTGCGGTGCGATCAACATTGGAAGATTGGAGACATACCGTAAGATGCGTTAAAGCCCACTGATGTCAGACCAGTTGTCACCTCCTCGCCAGGTGTCGCGTATGCGCCCCAGGCATTGTAGAAAGGCTGAAGGGTCGCACCGTATTGGAGCCAGAAAGCACCAAAGGAGCTGAAGACGACGAATGGGAAGGTGTTGCCCTGGACTTTGTTAGCCCTGGTACGTTTTCTGCGCTCAGAAAAAACTTACCAAGATGAATTCACCAAGACCGCCGAGAATCATCAAGAGACCACCAAAGAAGAAGTAGACACCAGTGGATGCTGCACCATTGCCACCAGCTCCTCTCCATCCCATCAAGTCGCAAGACAAAGGTGTGAGAGAGAGCAAGAAACCGACGAGAGCCCTGCGAGGAAAATTAGCCTGAGGCGCTGCTGTTGAGCTTCAGGTCAACTTACAAAGGTGTTGGGTTACCGAAGGTCTTTCGGAGATCACCTGCGACCTTGTTTTGTGGCGAAAGGTAGATCTTCTCGAAGAGCTCTGGCGAGATGGAAATGCTGCCAGAGGTCTGGATCTTCCTCAACGCGGTATCTGGATCCATATCTTTGTCGAGGTGGTATCCTGGATGTTGGATTAGTATGATGCTCACATCGCAATGGCGCGGCTGGCAACAATGCCACGCCAGCAGGTGTTCACAATTCGAGAGTCGCACAAATTATGCGACTCCTGCATCTGTGCGTTCTCGAATACAAGATTGCGCCAACTGCGTCCTCAAGCTATGCTATGACTCCAATCTCGAGGGATGGTGTTCAACATCGAGGACTGCAGTCATACCTGTCGAATTCGTGGTTGCGGTCGCGCTGCTTGTGGCAAAGTTGCCAGGCTGGCCTGCGTGGGTGTCACACGTACCGTTCTCGAAGTCCTTTTCGCGTGGAGCACCGGCTCCCGTTGGGGCAGTGAGGTTGGTGTTGTTGGCAGTAGCGTTGTACGTGTCACTCATAATGGCAGCGCTGTGTGATCAATGCACAACTGATCAAGCTGGTCAATGGCAATGCTGTGAATCAAAGATGAATGATACAGCAAAGCAAGATTGGTAGGATCAAAAGGGGACACGAGCAGAGGCCAGGGCACGAGGCGTGTCTGTCTTTATTTACGCAAAGCACAGATCATCGAAAGCAAAGAGAGCGACGGCTCCGCACACGTTGAAGTTGCCGGAACCTAGGAGCGGGTTGCAGAGTGGCTGCGATCGCGCTATGGCCCTGCCTGCTTGGGTCTGGCGGGCCACTGGCGGGCCAGTGCAACGACAGCAGGTGATCACAGGATGAGCAACGCCGACGCCATCTGATGGACAGAGCATCACGACCGCAGCACAGCTCTGCTCCCCTTCACGCGTCGTGTCGTCGCCGCGTGCATGGGGCGCCAGCGAGCTATCCCGAGCGGGCATGGTGCCCTTTGCAGACGAGTCTGCGGTTGGAGGGACCCTGCCGTGGCTATCGAATAGCGCTCTGCGCATCCAATATGCAGGCGGCTCTCCGGAAGGCGTGCAGGCCGGGCGAGCGATGCACCGATTTCGCGATTCGTGCGAACTTCGTCCATTGAACTCGTGGGAGCTATGTTCAGCTGTTTCGACTGCTCTTGTGGTATCAGAACGCGAGTATGGCGGCTCCGGAGGAACTGGCGTGCATGCCCCCGATGTGATCTGATGCATTCGATGGCGGTGCAGGCACCTCCTGCTGGCGGCGATGTTCCTGTCCACGGACAGGCGGATGTGGAAAGCCCTCTGGCGCTAGTCGAAATAAAGTCGAGGCCATAGCGGAGGATGATCGACGTGAAGCTGGGGTAGCGAGGCGGGGTAGAGGCCGAATCGCGAAACACAAATCGACGCCTCCAACGGCGCCAGCAGTACGGTGTGCTCTGTCAACTGGAATTAGGCTCCATCACATCAATTGTGCGTGATATGGTGTCGAATTCGACCTGGTCTCCTAAATCATGGTCAGCAAGAACCTCGACGACAGGCTCGTTCAGCCTCTTCACGCTATCGAGAGACAAGCCTCAGAAATGAGACAACCTGGACGAAACCTGGTCCCTGGCCCTGCGCACTGTATCTGCGACAGAGTCCTACGAGAAGCCTCTTCCATCGATATGCTCTCTCATCCCAGCACCGCTGTGCATAACCTTCACCCTCACCTTCTTCTCTGGCGCGGCAATGTTTGAAAGATCACCCCATCATGCAGCACAATGAGACCATTTCGAGGAGATCAGTCAATCTACTTTGAGCCAATGGGCCTGTAGATCACCTAGTTCGCAATGCCGAGCAAAACAGCCGCCTGTCTGCTCTACACGTGACGACTCTGTGTGCACTTTAGAGTTGTTGGTAACTTATTCGTGACGCGACATTTGGACCAGCCTTGTCAACGTGACCTGCAAATCGTTTGGAGACTTTTTCGTGGGGAGCAAGGATATCCACGTCGGTGCAACAGTCACAACGTCGTCGACCACTTCACCTCTCAACAGTTGGCATCAACATCGCCAAGCCGTTACTACTTGCCTTCCACTCTTTGTGCACGAACCTGCGCCATCAGTGCCATCACAGAAATATATTCGCCATTGCAGCCGCGGACCACACTTCTCACCACCCACGCGTCAGCGGAAGCTCGGAACAGTTCCTCCCATACCCAACCACCGCATCAAGATGGCAATTTTCCCTTTCTCCTTTGCACAGACCTTATCCCCAAAAGGGGATGACGTGTGGCCATTAATGCACGAGCCGTCCGCTCGAGGACGTGCTTTGCCGTTGGAGCGGCGCTAGTCGCTGTTCGCGTGCTTACTGCGCTAGGAACGAACAGCTATTTGCCGCCTACTACTGTCAGCTGGTCGCTGGACCGACGGGCGGACAACGACGGCAGCAATAGCTACCTTAGCTGAACTACTAGACGACTTCTACAACTATGCATGCGCCAGGTAAGTTGTGCTCACTGCTTGTCATACATTGACTGCCGCGACAGTGAGAAGACTGCCTTCACCACGACGACGATGAATACGACGAATTTCCATCAAGTAATGAGCCGTCTTGCCGCTGCCTCATCTCATTTCACTTCATCGACAATCGTCAGATTTCATCTCTTCTGTCTCTCGAGAATCCAAAGGGGAAGGGTCTCAGAGTACGTACCTCGCGACAACAAATTCGAAATGAGGTTCGTTGTCGTTCTTCAATAGCGTCGACGGTGCACAGGCACAACTCGTACGCCGCTCGCCGTCCGCGATCGCTGCGCGATAATTTTCAGAACGTCGAGCATCGTGAGTTCTCTCAAGGCGTAAGATGCGAACTGGAAACGTCTATCTCACTATACATGGCGAGGAACCAATCTCTCTGCTTGCCCATCGACCATCTTCCAGTCCCTGGCCTTCTTTCTTTAATGCGACGAATCGTACGATAGACGGGTCATTAGTGCCCGTTTGATCGAGGTGTTGATTGGAAGCGGCCTCATGCATTTCACAACTCAGTCAGCCATCGCGGGACCAGACCGGTCACTTTGCAAGCGTTGCAATGCGCATTGACTTAAGCGCCTGGACAAAGATTCGGGAGACGAGTATTGAAAAATTCCGAGCAATTTCTCCAGTGGTGTAGATTTAAAATGGGCGATCAGCCATAATCCGCGACAGCAATGAAGGGCTTGCTAGGGCAGTGCCAGTTCATGACTGCCGGTTGAGCAAGGACTGTTCGCGCGATGTGCTATTTTTTGTTCTCCATTTTAGCGTCGAACAGCATAGAGGGAGATGACTCACCAGAAGGCTCGTCGCCATAAGCAGACTGACACTAGCAGAATACTCGATGACCCAGATCCCGTCTGCGCCGATGCAGCTTTGCCTCCGCTGCCAGAATTCATCGAATAGTAGCTCGGAGAATTGCAATTGAAAGGACAAGACCAGTCAACTCATTGTAAGATTGTACAGAATGCCGTCCAGCTGCGATATGGTCGAGCCTGTGGAGAAGGCTATGTGTGGCACATGCTGGCGTTCTGGAGTGGCACTTGGACGTGAGCGACACAAAAGGAGTGGCATCGAAGCTGCCGCACAGGCTGTTGACACCCGGCTCGCGAGCCACGTGGGAGTCATCACCTCATGCGACGGAGACCCTCGCTGCTCACGAAATATAACGCGATTTTTCGGTTTCCGCACACAGAAATAACATCGCATGCGCTCGGAACAGATGCATGGAGAGACACTCGCGTGGCAAGCAGGAGTTTTCCCACAGAATCCCGCAGCTCGGCGACTACTGACCAGTTGCAGTGCGCGGGCGACCGCTGCCGTCGTCTTGTTCGTATCGGTCCTCACACCTGTCTACGAGTCTCCAGACTGACGCCCTTGCAGCCCTCCTCGTCTACGTTGCTTCCAGAATCCAGCTTCCGGGTTGATGTAGGGCTGCAATGATCAGCTCTGCCGACGTAGCTGCCGAGGAGCGTATACAGCTGTGGCCGGGCGGGCGCTCTGCCTTGTTCTGTCTGGTTCGGGAAGTCGAGATGGTGAATGTCAGCTTATGAGAGCCCTGTCCTCGACGCGGAAGCTTTAGGGCCTCTGGGCGTTGGGATCGGATACGACTTACAGCGTGCCTTGACCAACACTCTCGATGACCTGGACGATGCGAGGAGAACCGCAGCCGAGTCTTCGCCAGTCAGCAGGTAAGGCAGGAAATCCGAGGTCCCATGCAGGAGCACGATGCTGAAGATGTTCCAACCCGGAAAGCTGACAGCGAACTAGGCGGTTCTTCTGGCATCCCTTGCGCCAATACGCAGTGTAGGCAGCGAATTTCCATGTGTTGAACACCGTTCACTCTCGTATTGTGAGCCACGCTCCGCGGTTAGCTGTCCTCTGGACCCGGGACTTCCTCCTCCGAGAACCACCACGATGTTCATCCTAGGAGAATGATACACCACTACCTTTGACGGTTCAGTTATGTTGCAAGGCCACAGACGTCCTGATCCTGGTATCCGGTGAACTCAGGCTCCTGCAAAGCCCAACATTTGTTTGCCCTCTGGCGTTTGGGTGCTCTTGAACCTCGCTGACCAGATCGCTCTAGGCTTTGCACCCCTGCGGCGATACCGTGCATCTACTAGACCGACGCGGACTGTCCGACTCCGGCCTTGCCTTCAACCCGAATGTACTTGTTACCTTCTTTAGCACCATTGTTGTCTATGTAGCTTTGGGATGCAGCAGTATTCTGATCCAGATGCCGTGAACTATATTTGCGTCCGGCCCAGTAGTGCCCTAATCGTAAGGTCGGACCCGAAATTCATCCTCCAGCGCAAGCTAAGGGCATATGGACAAACTCCGCAGAGGCCCGCAACACCTTGACCATTCGGCGCCTGAGAAGCATCTCGCGCGAAACCTACAGGAAAACCTAGAGTTCGCAGAACACATGGCTCGGTTTGACGGTTCAACTGTCGATGGCACCGGGAGAAGGTCTGGACTACACTCACGTCTCGTGTAGTAGTGCCCTAACAGGGATAGCCTAAACTATACTCGACCAACATTCACGAGCCCTGAGAGTCGCTATCCGTAGTAGGAATCACGACTCGATTCTAGCCCACTTTGTGATGCGCAGTATCCGTCTGATGGCGTATATATATCGCAAGAGATCTCAGATACCTCTGTAGAAAAAGCAAGGCAGAAGACGGGAACAATCGGCACATTTCCACCTACATCGCACAAGAATTTTCGAAAATACCCTCGACTTCCTCCTCTTATACTCATACTTCGTGTCAAGATGGAGATTATCAACATGATCCTCCTACTTTCGGCACTACAAAGTACCTTTGCCGCCTACCTTGATCATCAAGACTCCGGATACCCATTACTTGCACCGAGATTCGACGAAAACGCATGCAAAAGAGATGTTGCTGTCTGGCATCTGAATTCAAAGCACACCAATGAAGCTGCGGAATCCCGCGATGGCTCTACTCTACGCACAACCTTACTCTCTTGCCTAAAACCTCAGCTACTCAGCACGAGAGCACTCGCCAAAAACCCCGGCAAAAACATCTTCAACAAAATCTGCCAGAGGGAAATCACTGGACGATCGCAGGTGAGGAATCATGTGGTGGATGTCGCCGTTCCGATCAACGGCAATGTCCAATCCATCAACACACCCGGCGATTCAGGACGAGTCGAGTTGCACGCCGACACATACACGGTCGTGGACCCCGGCGATCCTGAACTGCAAAGAGAAGAAATGTCTTTCTACATTGTCAACCGCAGTCAATGTCCAATTGGTATAGAGTTCAGTACAGAATTGCGATATGTCTCAAACAGGCGCAATGATCCCAACAACATGGTGGCAAATCGGGACATTCCTGCCACTCCACGACGTAATTGGTTCCAAGGCGCGAACAATTGCGAGATAGATGGTATTCAGGTCGTCACCAACGTCGCGATTGCTGTGCGATTGATCATTGAAGCTTTCGGATATTGTGGTGCTAATTAGGAGGATTTGGGAATGAACCCATAGGGATCGCTGAACGGGACTGGTGGGTACGACCGGCATTAGATAGTGGAGATAGTGCTCCTGAGGAGTCCAATTGATCAGGTGTCGGTATTTTCTCAACACCTGTCAAAGTATACAAGAGAAGAGAGGCACATGCCCATCAAGCCAGAAGGCCACCGGATTGACTCCTTCGTTGTGCCCCTCTAGCTTCTGCGTCTGCTCGCCTTTATGCTGGAAATTTGTGACAACATTGTATATACCAGTATCGTGGTACCCCCAGTCAGTCGTGATGGTGTTGTATTCAATGACTTCTGCAGATCAAAGACAAAGAGGGGTCAGATCAAGCAAAGGCGCGGGTGCGGCGGAGCTTGTAACTTGTATACAATTCACGCTTTGCATTTTGTCTTGAGCTGGTTGCCTGTTCCTGTTTACGGCGTAGACACGCGTTGGTTTCGTGTCTGAGTACGTCGGTACATCTAAACTTGGCGTGAGTAAGGTGTATTGGCGTCCTTTGCGTCCGCATTCGCATTCAGGGACTGGTCAGATTTACACGTACAAACAGCGTGCTCGGAATCATCCTTCTAGCTTCCTTAATGCTTGCTCCTGTTTCCTCTTGACATCTCTTGCGATCGCATCGACATCTAGCTCACGCATCTCGTCGCCGATCCTTTGGGTCTCATGTTCCAGCTTATCCAGCTCGGCCTGAATTCGATTATCTATAAGCTGTGCCTTCCCATGTTCAGAGTGTGCATAGACTGCATTGAGCAGATCGTGCAGGTTGGATTCACTCTTTGCCACAGATTGGACCACTGCCTCTGTGATCGTTTCTTCCGTCGTCTTGCGTAGTGTGGTCAATTTCTCCTGCTTTTCACGCACCGTTGTGTCGAGGGATCCCAACAGCTTGGCGTTGTCAATGGGGTCTGCAACGCGGATATCATGTTCGCGAAGGAAGGGAATGGCAGGATCCTGCGCATCGGACATGTTGGCCTGAACGAGTCTCAAGGGCTTGAGACCTTTGGCCGGCGTATGTCGTTCTCCTCCAATTGGGCTCGTGGGACTGAAGGCACCGGATTTAGCTTGCTCCGAAACAGTCGTCTCTTCGAGCGTCTTCGATACGGAACGAAGAGCGGCACCGTGTGAGTGCAGATGCTGTATGTGTCCGCTGATCGCATCCAGTCGGGAGGTGAGGTAGACCAGTGCTGAGACAGTGTACTCTGCGAGCTTCGCTTTTTGTGCCTGGCCTTCCGCTCGAGCGGAAAGCATTCCCGTCTTCAATGATTTCCGATATTGGCTATCTATTACGATAGTGACGAGACCTTCAATCTCGCTGCTCAGCTCTTCCAGCTCTGCGTGTAGCGTCTCACGCTGCTTGATTTGTGGTTCCGTAAGCGTGCCAGTCAAACTCCCGCGGCGACTATACTGCAGCAAGTTTTGGCGATACGTGCTGTCCAGACGTGCTTGGATACTTTGCACGGACAAATCCGTCAGTTTGGAGCAAAGTTGCTCTACTTCAGCTGCTTCGTCCTTGTCGAGCGAGGTATCTGCCAGCTTTGGAAGCAGCTTCTGAAGTCCGTCCAACAGCCGGTCATCTTTTTCCAGCAGGCGGTTTACGCTTCCATCCAGGCTTCCGATAGCTGCATCTGTTTGCTTCATAGATGTTCGCAGGCGGTCTTTGGTGCCGACAGAAAGCTCATCGACCTCGAGGTCCAGCTGCGCTTTCTCGCGCGCGAGCTTCTGGTGGCGCTTCTCTCGAGCAAGAAATTCGGCATCATGGTTGCCGGACTGGGACTTGAGCTTTTGCAGAGCCACTTTTTGCTGCTCGAGCATTTGGCATTGTCGTTCAATGGCAGCTGTGCTCGCTTCCAGCGAATCAATGGCTGCCTCGAATTCATCGTCGTGCAATGGCCTGCCGGAAGGCCCAGATCCCGCGGCAGTGCTGATACCATGCTTTTCGTAGAAGCGTAACTCATCTTTACTGAGCAGTGTCGATGACCCGAGATACTCTTTCACCCAGGACGCAGCTTTACCCCTGGTTCTGTTGTCTTCAAAAGCCCATGCAATTTCCTTTTCGCCAAGCGGTATGTTGCGATCTTGTAAGACGCGCAGCAAGTACCGCAGCTCGGGAGTGCTCATGATGTTCTTGATGCGCCCGGATCTCTGCGCCACCAACGAACTCGAGTCCAATGGATGGAGAAAATTGTGGGAACGTGAAACATCGCATGGCAGCCCATGCACGCCAAGACCGAAGCTAGAGAGGCAGCTGTGATGTAGCTTTCCGCCGCATCACCTCCGCTCTTCTCTGACACTCTGCTCGTGTGACCGACGACGATGCTGATCGAGCGGCTACCCAGGCTCCCAGTGAGCAGACAGCTGCCTTTACTTCCGATCTGTCAGCCTGCAATCCGCTCCGCTGCCGTCAGCAACGCACAGCAATCCCGCCAGGCGACGACCTCTTCTTTGCCGAAAGATGCCTCACCTCGCCGACGATCCGTAACAGTGGTCAACGACACTGGCGCAGTACCATGGAAAGATCTGTCACTCGGTGAAAAAGCGGCGCGGACTACACAGCAGTCCTTCAACCTCGGCATCGTGTTACTGGGAATCGGTCTCACAGGTGCTGTAGCCACTGTGCTCTGGTTGGAAGTCTTTTCTACAGACAGCAAGACAGCATACTTCAATCGAGCGGCAGACAGGATACGCGCGGATCCACAGTGTAGGAAGTTGTTGACTGGAGATGAGCGGGGAAGCAAGAGAGAGATCGAAGCGCACGGAGAGCCGAGCTGGAGTCGCTGGGCGCGAAACAGGACGATTGCAAGTCGGTTGGAGACCGACAGAGCAGGTGTAGAACATTTGCACATGGTAAGCTGTGGCAAGACAAACGTATGCTGATGTAGGCTAATGAGGACCAAGCACTTCTACGTCAGCGGAAAGCAAGCGAACGGGACGGTGCAACTACACATGTCGAGGAGACCTGGAGAGGACTTTCAATACCAGCTGCTGGCTCTGGATGTGCCTGGAGAACAGCGAATATATTTGGAAAATGCCAGCGCAATGACACAAGCGAAAGCTGGCAAGCTCTTTGGAATCAACTGGAACCGCTGAGGGCGCCTAGCATTTATCCAGCAAATTGATGCCGGCGCCTGGCTCTACGATTGAGCGTTTCTGTGCTGCTCAGGAGCACAACTGGCCTACAAACGCGAGGGGCAACTAACCATTGCAGCGCATGAGATCCTTGCTGCCGTAACACGATTCAAGGAAGAGATGATACACAGGAGACATGCACTGTCTATCATGGGCTCATGCATTTCTATCAGCATTGCCCTTTCCGAGTATCAACACACGGTCTATGGAGTGGCGGAAATAAGTGTGAATCACCCGCAAGCTCACCACGCCGCCTCCATCTCCTTGCGCATGGCCTCCTTCACGATACTGCCGCATAGCTTCGCATGCGGGTTGGTATGTACAGCCAACGCCTTGGCAACCTCGTTGCCATAAAGACCACCCATGTAGAAAGCTCTGGAAGCCTCTTCTTCGAAGCGTTCTTTGCTCCACTTCATGCCCTCAATTTCAGCCACATCAACATCGCCTCCCATTTCTAGGTCCTTCGAGGCTGCGTGGTATATGGCTCCGAGCTGTGTATATGCTTGGGCGAGCAGCTTGCCTTGAGCGGGAGAGACTGCGTCTTGTTGTCTCGCCGGTGAAGCAGAAGCAATGCATGCTCGAAGATCTCGTTCAGCTGCCACGCCTCCAGCTCGTTGGTCTGCGTACAGCAAGGATCTGGGTCGGACAATCGAATTTCTATCCCCGAACCTCCACCTCCTCATCTGGGCTCGATTGTTACGCGCAGAGGCATAGCTCGGGTGTTCTGCGATGAGAGCATCAAGCGAGGTGAGTGCGGCTCGATAGGCGGCATCCTTGGCGGATTCTTTTACATCCGGAAATCGCGCTCGGTTTCGTTCGAAGTCTTCCACAATCGATATCGCTTCTCTTTCTCGTGTCCGGAGCTGAGCGAGCAATGCGGCATCACGGATGTGGCGGTCCTCCGGCAGACTGGGGTCAATTATGACTTCTGCCCTCGTCGGTGCACTCTCCGGGTCAAACACCTGAGCAAGAACGGCCGAGTCGGCTCTGGATAATTGTTTGGGAAGCATGTTGGCTTGTTATGGACGTGGAAGTCGTGGTTGTTGCCAAGTGGTTGCGATGGGCGGAAGTGGTTAGTGGTGAAGACGGCGGAATGTATCTTCGGAAAATGCTTCGGACTAGAAGGTTATCGCTGAACTGATATGTGCCCAGTACCTGTGTGTATCCCAGACCAAGACCCCGGCTGACGTATCGTCGTCTCGACCGCAATCCCGAGCTGCAGTCCTTACGAGGCTCGGCTCAAACGCTTAAACCGAGCTCGACGAGCGGCAAACCTCGCTTTGACCAGTTAAGCCGACGCCAAGACTAACTCGACAGCATCGGCTCAGTGCAGAGCCGCAACAACGTGATCAGGAGCAACCAGGAATCTGACATGAACAATCAATAAGACGGCAAGCAGACGTAGGCATCGCGTAATGGTAGGTCAGACAGACATAAGCATCGCCCTCGCCCTCGAGGTTCTTCATCATCCACCTGCCTCGCCCTGCCCTTTGTTCTTCCCTCCCAAAACAACACCTCAATAGCCCACAGCAGAATCACATCAACATGGCACCAGGCGCTCTGATCGTCACATCCAGCAGCGGGCACTCATCACCGCTATACGACTCAGATGACGCTCCGCCGGCAGTACGATCACCTTCCACACAAGTCGAATACAGGGGCTATGATCATGTCACGTGGTGGGTGGGAAATGCGAAGCAGGTGGCTCAGGTATGGATACATAATGATTCTGGATACCGAATTCTTCAGTTGACGCATATGACAGTACTACACAACTCGCATGGGCTTCCAGCCTGTAGCATACAAGGGTCTGGAGACCGGATCTCGCTTCATTGCTTCACACGTTGTTCAAAATGGCGACGTTCGATTCGTCTTCACATCTCCTGTCCGCTCATCATCACGACAAGCAATCAATCCCGCGCCACCAAAGGACCAGAAAGTACTCGACGAGATGTACGACCATCTTGACAAACACGGCGATGGAGTGAAGGATGTTGCATTCGAGGTGGACGATGTCTATGCAGTGTACGAAAACGCGATTAAGAATGGCGCAGTATCTGTCACTCCACCGCATACCGACTTCTCAGATGAAGGCGACGTTTTAACAGCATCCATCCGAACATACGGCGACACCACGCATACTTTCATTCAGCGAACCACATACACGGGCGCATTCCTCCCAGGTTATCGCTCGATCACAACCTCCGACCCAACATCCAAATATCTTCCAACCATTGACCTCGAAGCAATCGACCACTGCGTAGGAAACCAGAACTGGGACGAGATGGACTCTGCCTGCGAATTCTACGAACGTTGTCTCGGTTTCCATCGCTTTTGGTCCGTCGACGACAAAGACATCTGCACCGACTACTCTGCACTCAAATCAATCGTCATGTCATCCTCCAACGGTGTCGTCAAAATGCCCATCAACGAACCTGCCGTCGGAAAGAAGAAATCACAAATTGAAGAGTACGTCGATTTCTACAATGGCCCTGGCGTTCAACACATTGCTCTCCGAACAAAGGACATCATCTCCGCTGTGTCAAATCTCCGCGCTCGTGGCGTGGAATTCATCTCTGTGCCCGAGACATATTACGAGCAAATGCGTCGGAGGATCAAGGAGACCGGGCTGCAACTGAAGGAATCTTTTGAGACGATTCAAAAGTTGAACATTCTCATCGATTTCGATGAGGGAGGCTACTTGTTGCAGCTGTTCACTAAGCCGTTGATGGACAGACCTACGGTGTTCATTGAGATCATCCAGAGGGAGAACTTTGATGGGTTCGGAGCGGGCAATTTCAAGAGTTTGTTTGAGGCCATCGAGAGGGAACAAGAGGCGAGAGGCAATTTGTAGACGAAGACTGGAATTGGATGTGATAGCGAGTGGTTTGTGATTGGCGTTCTGGATGCATAGTTAGAAAAGCGAACGGCGCTGGGATTGAGAGCTAGTTTGAACAGTCATTAGATGGCACTTTCTCGCATGGGCACCATATGTGCTTGCTCATAGAGGGACTTAGTCCTGACTTGAAAGTCTTCTGCTTTGCAAAAATAGACTTTAGGGTATATTTATCGTTCCTCTATCATAATGCCTCTAGGCTTTATTGTATCAGACGAGCATATATGCTCACGCCTTCTCTTCAACCTGGGAAGTAACGACATCCTTCCTGTCCTTCTCCGAAGCGGCATCAGACTCATACTCATCCTCGAAAACATGTGACTCCCACTGTCTGCAAGGGATTCTCTCCTGGAAGAATCTCTCCAGCTGGGCGTTCGTCCTGCCAGTAGTTTCTCCGACACAGAACCAAGAGTACGCGAGAGTGAAGAGCGTGGTGCCGGCGTACACGAAACCGACCATGGGGCCAAGCTCGGCATCGTAGTACATGTATGGGCTGGTGAAGACCATCATCCAGACAGTGAAGAAGAATGTGCCGAGTGCGCAAGAAGTGATCTTGTTCCTGTTACGGCCGACAGCCATTTCCGAGGCGATGGTGTAGGACAATGTGCCGATCGAGAAGTTGTAGAAGACAATGTTGAAGTAGGCGAAGACGACGATGCCGATGCCGATGCCGCGGGAGAACTCTCCGTTTGCGTCCTTCGTGGTTCCGAGACCGCCGACTGCGACGAGTGAGACCAGCATACCAATCGTGCAGACGAGAAGGTTGGTTCGTCGGTTGAGTTTGTTGCCGAAGATGACGGAACAGCCGACGGTGATGATTTGTACAACGTAGATGATGGTGTTGATGGTGAAAGGCTCGCCAACTCCGATGGATTGTGCGAAGACGACGCCGTAGGTGTACCAGAATTGAATTCCGTTGATTTGTTGAGCAAACATGACACCGCAGGCGTAGATCAGTTTGCGGCGCTCGACGGGGTCCAAGAGGAGGGAGGACCAGCTGGATTCGGCGGCCATTTCTGCATCAGCGGCAATTTGGTCATCGATGGCCTTGAGGTCTGCCTCAGGAGTGTAGTCGGCCTTGCTGCGGTTGATCTTGATGAGAGCCTTCCTAGCGTCCTCACGTCGGCCCTTCGACATGAACCAGACTGGCGATTCAGGAGTGAAGATCAGGAGAATAAGCATGGTCAATGGCAGCACCGTCAGCAAGCTCATTGGAAGCTGGTATTGGGCTTTGCCATCGATCGTCTCCGTTCCCTGATTAACGCAAGCTCCGACGAACTGCGAGATCGACTGCATGAACTGGAACATCATGAGGGCGGGGCCACGGATCGCGCTTGGAGCAACGTCTGCGACGTAGACCAAGCATGTTGCCGTGAACTGGCCAACACCAAGACCGACAAAGACTCTGCCAACGTAGAAGACGCCTTCAATGCTGTACGCGCAGACCTGGATGATGGCGCCCAGAATGATGCAAACGGAGGCCGTGGCGAAAACTGCTCTGCGTCCGAACTTGTCGTTGATGGGTGCTGCGATCAAGGCTCCAACGAACTCGCCAACGTAGATGATGGATGCTGATACTGAGAGGAATGTGGTGCCGAGTTCGTATGTGCCGTCTGGCTGTTGCTCGCCATAGTCACGGGCAAAATACCGCATGCCCTGGATACCGGTGTAGTAGATCGTATCGTAGCCATAGCAGAGGGCGCCAATAGTCGCTACTAAGCAGTAGAAGACCGCCCATCGGTGGGACTTCCAGTCGATGTTGAGGTTCAAGCCGCCCATGTTGATTCCCGAGGTTTTTGAGATATCCGGTCAAGATTAGCAACAAGGAGGGTTGATGTGAGCGCAGCAGAGTACGAAGCAAACAATATACTTCGACCACTCCCGAACTACCCAGGACAACCTTTCTCCGGGACACCTGGGGGACCACCGACCTTATAACACATCTGAGACTAGAGAGACCTTTCCCCCTTCGACAACCCAGTATCGTTGCATCGCGCAATAAGGCCGACTGACGACCGGTCTCTCCACATGGAGCGAACCCGCGCCAAGGCATACCCATGGGCAGACCATGTTCCCTTCACGTGGTATAGCAAAGTTGCGCAGATTCTGTAGTTCCTGGCCTCTTATCAGGCTTGGCTGATGTCGTGAAACATCGCATGCGGCTCTTACTGGACTCAACGGACATGTGGAGAACGGCGGCGTCAGCCAAAGTGGTCAAGACTACGTGGAAGATTTTGTGCTGAGCCCTTGGCAGGTGGCATAGTGTCTGGGCAGACCGACGAACGGCCGATAAAGTGGCCGGGGCTGATGTGAAGTCGTACGGGATGGCTTTGCGGGCGCGCGGAGTGGTGGACTTGGGGTGTGGTGGTAGAGATACATCTGGTGGTGTAGGTGAGGTGTTTGAATGTGAAGTGGAAGGTAGAGTTCGTACCTGGCGTTTTGTGCCTGAACGCCACCCACGCCGCCAAGACTGCACTCAAACACGACTTCAGCTCATCGTATGTGGTATACGACAACACCTCCTCCTGGCTAATGTGGTAACTTTTCGTGGACTTTCCTACGGACCCACATTCTATAAACTCGCTAGGACTGGTCTTGGGGACTCCACCGGATGGGCCTGGATTTGGACCACACTTCAAGAGTTCAGCAGTTTTTCCTTCTCGCCACAACAATAATAGAGCAAATCGGCTAGTGGCGGAGAGCAGTACAGAGCACCGGAAACATGCACCCATTGCGATCTCTCATCGCGACGCTGAGTCCGTGTCTGCCCCCGCTCCTCCAGACAGAGCGTCTTGAGAGAGAGCTGCACCAGGCGGATATAAGAGGATCAAAAGAGCACTCGAATGTCCCGGGCAGAAGACGATGTGTGATCGTGCTGAGATCTTGTCTAGCGCTTTTCGAATCCTCACCACTTGCTCAGATGCCTTGCTCGATCAGATTTCCTTTGTTCATGCAGACCAGTACATCAAACATTGAATGGTAGGAGCTGACTTCTTTGTTTCATTCACCACACATTCTATGCAGAGCTTCCCCAGAATGCGTCGCCGCATCCGTCAAGCTGAAAGAAACACCAGCTTTCCATTTCATCAAGTTGAACAAGCGAAATCAATCCAGTGCTCTGATCCTCCTACGCACTTTCGTCTCACAATCCACGCCTCGAGAATTATCAGGATTCGTTGAAACTGACAGCATCAATGTCTCGCCGGTTTCAGGGTGTAAGTCGCAAACTCTCACGAACTTACTCAAAGAAAATTTGATACTGACCAAGCTCACAGCACCGGCCACGCCTGACCAGCTACGGCACAATCGAACAACAAGATATCAACGCTGAAGCACAAGAACTCTACGGAAATCCCTCAAATGCAAGCTCGTGGTCACCTCACAACGCAATTTACGAGCCAGTTGATAGACCTTCCTACCGCAACCAGCGAGGACAGTCAGCCTACCTCAACAGCCGCTTGCGCCGCTCACAAAATGATGCGCTTCGACACTACGCAACTTCAGGACACGTAGATCAAACTACAGCGAGAGATTTTCGCGCTCTACAGTATCTGCGAGAAAAGGAAGCCATCAGAAATCGCCGAGCCCGACTCGCAAGTACAACTGCAGCTCCCGGTACTCCCACAGCACCACGCCGCCAAGTTGGCTGGAATCTGAGAGATGTGGGTCCTAGACAGCAGCCTCTGAGGACTGTCTCTGAAAGAGAGTACCCTTCTTCCCTTTATGCAGCAGCTGCTGGAAGACGTTTGAGAACCACTGGGGAACCAGAAGCTGCAGGGACTGGTGGTGCGAATGTATGGAATAAGCCGTTGAAGAAGTCTGGTGAGGACTGGGAAAGAGAAATCGCTGAGGATGAGGCGAGGCGAATCAGAGGGCATGGGCTGGATCAGGAGGAGAGGGTGAGGGCTGCTGCGGAGGAGGAGGAGGCGAGAAGGATTCGAGGGCATGGGCTGGAGCAACCGATGGTAAAGAGGAGGCAGACTTGGGGATTCAAGGGTACGGAGCACAAGATGTGACATTTGAGATTCGTCTAGAATCAGATGATGATTGGGAAGCTCTCGCAAGTACGAGTCATGGAAGCCGGTCTAACCTCACTGTGCATTCGTCTCTTCCTCCGCCATTCGCTTCCTGCTGCCATTCTCGACACCCTTTCTCACAAGTTGGCAAACCTCCTCTCGGGCAGAATCGAACTCGGCACCAGTCGCCATCGTCAACAGATCACCGAGCTCCAATGTCGTCTGTTCGCACCAGTCCTTTATCGCATCATCCATGTCCCTTGCCTGATTAACACGCTCAGTCACGCTGCTACCAGAGCGTCCCAGCAAATATCCTTGACCGCGAATGTTCATCACTTTTTCGACGTAACTGTCATTGTATTCTCGCCATGGAATAACAGGTCTGTCAAGAATGCCATATTGTGCACCAGACAAGTCGACAGCATACTGGTTACCGTCTGGGGTTTTGACAAGATACAAGGAATGTTCAGGCTGTGGACCCTGCTCATATTCATACACGTATTTTCGGTGTGGCTTGATCTCAACGCACAATTCTTCGACTTTGATGATGACGTTGGTTGAGAGCAATCGATCGAAAACTTTCTTGACGACCTCGTACATGTAGGAGAGGGGATCTTCGCAGCCACACCATGCTAAGATGACCTTTCCGGGTGGGGAGGGATCTTGCACGTCAAAAACTTTTGACGGGAATCCATTCGCTGCTGTCTTGGGCATCTCCTGGTCCCACGTGCATGCCGATATTGAGTCCCGAGCTGTGTGGACGATGTTGATATCTGAACTCGTCCCAACGTTGACTGCTGCCGCGCCATGCATAGAACAATGCCTGAAGGAGGTGCCCAGCTCGCGAGAGCGCCGAAGGAATGCTCGAAGAATCGACCATGATGCGTGGCGCGACTGGTATCGATCTCGAAGACAAGATGGCTTTTAAAAGCCGCAGTAGAGCATGAGTCAGAGGCCTCCTGTAATTGATTGCATTTGCTTCAGCGCTCTAGCAAATCCACGCCGACGCCTCTTAGAGCTTCCACGGCCCACGAGGGAATCCTCTCGTTATCACCAGCATATAATGTGTTGAAGTAGGCCTTGAGGAAATCCGGGTAGCGATCTTCGAGAATAGCTTCACGCATTCGGCGGACCAGATCCAGCATGTAATGCACATTGTGCATACTCAACAGGTGTGAGCCTGCAGTTTCCTTGGCAGCAGTGTGATAGATGTAGGCTCTTGTGATGCCAAGACCACCATCATCTGATGGCCTACAGCACACACACTTGCAGCCATTCGCGATGGGGCCAAAGTCGTTTGCGTAGGAAGCATGCCGTAGATTGAACACGCCCTCGTCGGTGATGGCGTTGCCAAACCGGGCTGTTCGCGTGGGCCAGACGCAGTCAAACATGTCTGCACCGAGTGCGACAGACACTAGGATGTCCTCTGGATAGCCAACTCCCATAACGTAGCGCGGCTTGTTTGGTGGGAACATCGTGGTGCAAGTGTCGACAATTTTGCAAAACTCGGTCTTGGCCTCGCCGCCGCTGAGACCTCCAATGGCAATACCCGGAGTATCTCGGGCGAGCATTTCTTTGCAGCATTCCTTGCGGAGTTCCAGATCGAGTCCTCCTTGGATAATGCAGAAGAGATTTTGCGTTTCAGGTTTCTTGTGTGCTGCAATACAGCGATCAAGCCAACGCACAGATCGGTACATGGCCTCCTTGATTCGTGCGTGGTCTGGGGACGTTGTGGCAATCACGTCGTCGAGTTGCATCATGATATCCGAGCCGATGGAGTTCTGAAGCGAGATCGAATGCTCTGGAGTCAAGAGCCTATGCAAGTCAGGGAACTTGCACATCAGGTAGCGGAATTCGCTTACATGGGCGTGCCATCGTGAGGGCTAAGAAAGCGCACTCCTTCTTCAGTCACCTGAGCAAGCTGTAGTAACGAGACCATCTGGAAGCTGCAATTTCGTAAGTATTCAGGAGGAGTCTTCGTGTGCCTTGTGTTCGAACATACCCGCCGCTGTCTAGCATGATGTTAGCCAGAAATTTTCTGAGCATTCCTTTCAAGCATACCTGTTAGAATGTTGTGTGGCCATGACTGCAACTTGTGCGCGCCGCCAATAGCATCCAGTGTCTTCTGGCCAGGCTTAAGCCCCCTGCCATGTCTCAGTACAGATGCACGCCGGGTCTTCACGAGATCCGTACAAGTGGTATGTATTATTCAAGCACAGTCGGCAGCTCGTCTCTTCCAGTTGCTTAGGCGTCAGACCTTTCAGCGATGCCTGCGTGGCCACTGGCATAAACAGCGGAAGTTGAACGGAGCCATGGGGGAGGTGCAGTGTTGCTGCACGCGCTTTCGTGGTCTGGAGCGGATTTGAGTCAGTCACGTCCGATCTTTGCTGCCGCCGCCTCCTTACCGAGCATCTCGCCAGCAGGTCAAACTTCAGCGCGGACGGCGAGGGCTTCGGCGGCATATCACCATTTTCCGACATGGTCGTTGGCAGGCACGAAAATATCGACAAGGACGCGATTGAGTTCCCGCGAGCGCGGAGCTGAGTCCGCTGCTGGCCGCATGTTGGTTCAGCTCGTTTCCCGCGCACTGCATCGCACTCAGTACTTTCCCGTCGCACGTACTCGGCATCATGGACAATTTACCGCCAGAACTCGTCGAAACAATCTTGTGCTTTCTACCAGCGAAAGACTTGTTATTCGTGCAACGCGTCGGGACCCATTGGCGCCACATAATCAAGACATCTCCACGCTTGCAAGCCGCGCTTTTCTACACACCAGCTGGCCAGCATCGTTTCATCCGATGGACTTGTAGTTGCCCTGACGGGGTCGAAGTCCATCACTACGAGATTTTGCCAGCTCCTGACGACGAAAAGCGGAGTATTGCACAATATTTCGAGGACGATGATGGACTTGGATTTGTATACACATTGCCCTTGAGTCGACTGAACCCCATCCTGTTCCACCATCCGACTCCTAAGAACATATTCGCGGCCATGACGCAACAATCCACAAAACTTCGAATCAAGCCCATGACCTTTCGCCATATATCTGCTGCAAGCTGCAGGAAGATGTATCTCTGCCAGCCTCCAATCCGCGGAGCCTATTACACATGGCGCTGCGACCACATGGAAATTGTCATACCTAGCCAGAATCGTACCGAAGAGCATATTCGAGGCTTCTGCGTGGAAGGAGAGATACAGAACGAACATGGTCTCACCATGGGAGACATTCTAGACGAGATGACAGCCAAAGGCTCAGGACAAAACCCCTCCACCCCATTCACACTGACCTTCACGCACGCCATCCTCGCTACCGAGCAACAGGAACAGCATCTCAGAACTCATCCTCAGAACGATGGTGTCGACTTCGACTGGGATTCCTTGTGTCAATCCGTGTCAATGGCCGACCACCTCAGGCCGGAGTATTACAGGTCAGTGGAGCAATTGAAGCAGGCTATGGCATCGTGCCGCCTCTGTGCGATCGATGATGACCAAAATGGCCAGGGAAGACGACGTCTGTCGCTGTAAAGTCGCTTGTCCGCTGCGGTGTGGAAGGAAGGCAAAGCAACATGCGTTCAAGCGTTATGTTTGCAATTGTTGTGCTGGCCTCGGTCCTGCTGTCAGTGCCCGTGCGCCAGCTTCACTGCCAGTTGCATTCCAAGACCCATTGACTGCATCTCGCTGCCATGAGCTCGCATTTGAGGATAGTATGCATGCTGTCGGCAGTAGCACCACTTACAACCCCTGCAGTAGCTCGAAGCTCATGTGGATCATGCCCTCCTTCCGGGAGCTGGGCTTTGCAGTTGTCCTTTGACTTTCAGGCGATCTTGTATATTCTATGTACAACTATCTGGTCAACCATGGACCGACTCCCGGCTGAGTTGGGTGAGAATGTGCTATGGGCATTGCCCCAGAAGGACTTACTACTGGCCCAACGTGTCTGCTGTCTGTGGCGAAACATTATCGAGAGGACGGCACGATTACAAGAAGCTCTGTACTTCTTACCAACACAGCGACGCCCAGATATGCTGTGTTGGTCGTGGAAGGCGGACAAAGATATCCTCCAGGAGAAGCTCACTCTGATTCCGGGACACAATGAGGAAGGCAAAGCCTCACGCAGAGTGATCGAATCCAACCCAGAAGAGCAATTCCACTACGAAGAGTCACGCTTTCCTTTGGTTCGACTGAATCCTCTAATTTTTCCACGCAATCATACAGAGTCTGTGTATCAATTTATGCACAGAGGCTACATGGATATCGCCTGCAAGCTTCTTTTCAAACTCGTCTGGCACGCCTCCTCGGAAGCAAGCTGTAGGAGGATGCAGCTCACTCAACCACCCATCTTTCAGATCCCATGCACCTTGTGGACACCTTTGGAGTTTGGACATTACGCAATCAATGAGCTGGACGCAATTGAGAACGTAAAGGGATTGACGCTCACAGACCTCATAAAACGAGGTCGCGAGATTGGCACTACAGAGCCACAAATATCACTTAAATCATCAAAGGCGGTTTGTCTGACCCAAGAGGAAGAGCAACAATTTCTAGCAGCTGAAACGGAGGAGGTGACTTCGCCAATCGAGTGGTGGAATCCGCGTGCAGAACGGGGCTCCAGTTTTCAACGCCTTGTCCGCCTTCGAAGTGGATGTTGAGGCTGCGTCCAGGCAGGCTGATCTGGATCAACTCCAACAAAACAGTTCACTGTTTCTGCGCCTTCGCCAGCATCGTTGATACTCGAACCAATGGGACCTCGGAATTTGCCTGTCAACTTTACGTATGAGCCCAAGGCATCGACAAGGGTCCTGCCAGCACTCAAAGCATCTGCGGCACGAGCGTGAGAGAAGGAAGTCAATAACTTCTTGCCACCTTCGCGGTCTCCAGAATCGATCAGCAATTTGGCAGCCTTTTCGTAGAGCTCTACATCAATTCGAGAAGAGTTTTCAAGACCGTGGAGAACATTTTGTACGATTGGGAGATGCGCCTCCGTATCAGAGCAGGTGTAGTAAAGTGCCTGCTTGAACGTCCTTCCGACAAAGTGCGTGGCCTCTTGCAGCTGGAAGTCTGGATTCAAGAAGGAGGATGATGCGCCAGTCGTCAAGTAGCGATGCTGTCCATACTCTGGTGGAATGCTGTTCACACCCAACCACCATGGCACGAATGGAGCTGTCACCGAGGAAGTAGGCGCATTCCAAATGCGAAGGAGATCCGAGTCCACGCCATGTCGCAAGCTGATAACCTGCCCATAGCCAGCCTCATCGTCGCTGATTCGATAGTCCCGTACTCTCTCGATCAGCTTCGTCTCGGTCAATGGTACCATCGCGAGCGTCGCCTCTTCAAGTGCGGCTTGAGACATGTACTTGAACCCGCCGTCCCTAGCAGTGTAATTACCCTGCAAACCATACACCTTGAAGATATTGAATGGTTCGGATGAACTCTCATTCCACCAACCCTGCTCCACAGCAAACGAAACCAGATTTGGCGATCCCATGTAATCCGAGTTGTTGGTTTGAAAATCGGTCGGAAAGTCCTCGATGTAGCCCGGATACAGAACCCTCACAACATCGGAACCCAATCTCTCCGCAGCCCACAATTTTTGCCCTCCGGCAAACTCCCACACCACCCAGCCCTCGTCAGCATCAGCGATGAGATGGCTATTACCGCCATAATCCGCATAGCCATACTTTGCAATGAGATCTCCAATGATTTCGACACCCTCTCGTGCAGTACTGGCACGCTCGAGAACAACTCGCGCAAGATCACTATACTGCAAGCCTTTTTGCGGGGTCGGAGTCATATCCCAGAGTTCAGTCCTCGTCTCAGCCCACACGTCTCGGACAGTGACGCCTTTCTCATTGAGTCCACCATTCGTAAGCGGGGCTGGGAAACCTTCGAATTCGCTGTATTCCATGGACATGTATCGAAATGTATGAGAGACTTGCGGGATTTGGATGAGTTCTCCAGGGAGGACGGCATCTTCTGTTACTCCGACTGTGATCGTGGAATTAGGTGCGTGGTCTTTTGCGGGAAAAATCTCGAGCCAGTGGGATGAGACTTCTTCGCCTGTGCCACCGACCATGATGCTGCCGTCGGCGGTGAGGTCTTTGCCGACATAGAAGGCATAGCTGGCTGTCGCGGTGTTGACGAGGCTTAACAGGCAGAGCAGAGCGGTTGGGCTGCTTGAAGCTGGAGTAATTAGCTTCATGTTGACAACATGAGGTGAGAGCTTGGGAGAAGAAGTGGAAGGAACTGGGTTGCCATGTGGTGTATGCAAGGTCTCAAGCTAAGGTAGGATCTGCCTGCAAAGCTAGTGTAAACGCTTGCTTCTAGCAGACAAGCTCGCGGGTTGGTGTCTTGGCCTCCACCTGTCTGCCGCATTTATGCGATGTTCTGCCAGATGAGCGGGTCTGTTGCCAATCAATTATCGGAGTGAAGTCATGTCATTGGAATAGATGTTAATCATCCCAGTGGCCCTGATACTGTTCATATACCATTGATCTGACGGTGAACCCACGACCTCAGAAGTCGTATTTTCAGGCGGACCTCATGCGAACAACCCCTTACCACCCAACATCACGATCAACAGGAAGAGCCGACCAATGTTAAACGTATGCTGTTGCTCAGGCTGAAAAAGTTTGAGAATGTGAGTGACCCTTGCCCTTCAGGCTACCACCCGAGTTCTCGTAGCCACCAAGTATGTTCCAAGACGTGAGGCCAAATCGTTCGTCTCGGGAAGTGCAACTTCAAAGGCCAATCGGGGTTCGGTGTAATGGCAGCAGAACGGCAAGACGTCCCTTCGTCTAGCGCCAGACCTCATCAAGACAGATGGGCAAAGAAGGTGCTGCAGCAGTCACCACAGTAGCCCAAGCCAACCGGTGACAACTCGTCCTCCTCGTCATCATAGCCCCGCAGCATCGAAACGGCCCCCAGATTGCTCCAGCATATCAGCCACTTCCACCAACCGGTCAGCCTGATCATCGATTTGCTTCCTAGAAAAGCCTGTGCTTCCCAAAAGTACCATTTTGATATGCGATGCTCTTCTCATCCAAAGTCCTATTGTACGCATGGCGGAACGCGGGACCCGCGTGAAGCCGTTGGAATGGAAATCCTGAAGCAGGTCGCCGCCGCCTTTGACATACATGTTCCAGACCAACACACCAACGATCCCCTCCGCTTCCGCCAGCGCAGTGAAATAGCCAGCAGGCTCGCTGGCAATCTCGAATTCTGGAAGCGGGTGGTAGTTCCTCGAAGTGATCTGGGGCGGAATACCAGCTTCAAGATCCATTCCGTTTCGTAGAACATACAGCAGGTGACGCATGAGTTTCCTCCGCATGTCGCTTAGCATGCGCTGGTCGGCGGGAAGACTGCAGAGCTGGCATATGCACGGCGAGTCGCTGAACTGGTGGTGCAAGAACTCTTGTCGTTCAGCTGTTGTCATGTATTGCAGTCCTTCAAAATACGCGAAGGTCAACTCATCGCCCGCCGAGACGTTGCGAGTAACGCGAAGTTGCTTCGTGCCTTGATTGGTCGTAGAGATTGCACAGTTTGGAAGGCAGGAGTTGTTGAAGCGTGAAGCGTAGCGGAAACATCCCCAGCCTTTTCCACCTGAAATCGCGAACTTGTTGAAGTCGAAGCGCGAATATAGCTGCATCATGCTAGAACCGTTTGCGAAGAAAGGCGCGAATGGAAGAGACCCGAACTGATGGCGGGTAGCAGATGGCAAAGCCGATAGCTTCGAGAGGATGTCGGCAAGCTCGATGTCGTCCTGGCTGTTCTTGTCAATGACGAAAAGAGGAGCGTCCACAAGAATACGAGTTCCGGCGCAGATATCTTTCAAAGCAAACGCTCCTTGTCCTTTGCGTCCAGCATCCTTGATCTCGTAGAACCCGTGGTTGCCCTCTGAGGGGCCTGCTTGGGCCATGTTGTTTCTGTGACTGACAAGCTGAAGATGATGAGAAGCTGTCCGCAAGTGTGGAAAATCTCTTTTTGTGGCTGAGTCGCGGGCCCGTGTAGCAAACAAAGCCAAACGTCAGACTTCACTTGCCAAAACGCCTGTGCATATGCGGAAGTGAGACCCGTCAATAAGTTGCATTTGCTGTAGTACGCGGGACATGCTAGAGGTTAAGCCCACACGCCCACCAGAGCCATAAGTGTACATCCCGCAACCACAGAGGCACAAGCTTGTAATCGCCTCTTGCCTTTCAGCTCCGTATAACTTGTCTCACTCAAGAAATCTTCTGCGAGTAGCTGAACCAGTCCAGCATATATCAGCAACCCACTACTGATTGCATTCATGATGCCCACCATCAGTAGTCCCAGTTGCGATGCAGGATCGTAAAGTCCTTGAACTCCTAGACCAATTGCCTGGCCGATTGGTGTTGTGATCCCGTACATGACGCACATAAGCCAAGGTTTGTATGAGGAAGTCGAGAAAGAGCCAATTGATGCTATGCGAGAGCCCAAAGCCAGGCCTTCGAATGTTTGATGGAAGCTGATAGCAACCAGAAGAACAACGAAGGACGAACCCGTGGAGACAGAGACCGCTAAGCCGATGAAGACGGAATGGAAAAGAATGCCAGCTTCCAACATAAGGCATTGTACTATGAGGCGCTGCTCTTGAGCAGTGGGCAGGACCGCTGGTGTATGTGCTTGGTGATCGGAGTTTGCAGCACCTTGTGCTGCCCAGGAGACTTTACGTTTATGAGTGTCAGGACGAGCGCCGCCATTCGCGTGCCCGTTCAGAGGAAAGTCATCGTCGTCGTCCGAATCTGATGTTTTTCTCGTCAGAGGCTGCATATCATCCGTATGTGGATCCAGCTCGTTCAGATCCAGATCGTCATCTTCATCCTCATCGTCTTCTTTTCCGGGACTGGGCGTCCTCGGCAGCGGCTTATTCAACGAGCTCCCAGCCGGACTGTGCGGCGTGGGAGGAGCATCCATGTATGGACTCCTCTCCGGTTGCTCCTCTCTATCCAAATCGTCCAATGGTACCTGCCGGAAACTGTTGAAACTCGTGCTTCTGCCTCTTCCAGCCGGACGATCTGATATTCCCTCTCCTTCATGCCCATGGCCGCCTCGCAATTGCTGAAAGTCAACGTGGTGACTGTGTCCAGCGCCGCGCATTGCGAAGAACATTTCCACGCCGACTACTACCAAAACGCTGATCATGGCAATGAGACCCGGCATCTCCGGATACGTGTCTGTCCAGAATGGCGGTAGACATGGGTTCGTCAGGTTGGTATACGCAGTGGGCAGTAAATGCACGAATGCCGTCGCGATGAGCACGCCAGTGCCAAAGTGTCTACTGATGAAGAGCGCATGATGCGGAACGGGCAGCTTGGGGTAGCAGCGCACAATCAGAGGGAACGAACAGGCGAGCGTGGAGAGAGCGAGAATGAGGAGGAGGGCGAAGACGTGTAAGGGGAAGTTATATTCCCGGTTGGTATTGTCGGAGCCGCAAGCTGGCCGTTCGCCTGCTGCCTGTCGTCGTGCGAGTTCGGCGTGGAGGAGGGAGATGGGGAGGTCGGCTGCGAATCTGGCGGAGACTAGTGAGATGGAGGTGTCAGATCGGAGGTGAAGGCTGAAGCGGATCATATCCTACTGTCGCTGAGCCCGGCTTGTGTCATCGTTGCGGTGTTCCCTGCGTTCCCCGACCACGTTGCACCATAGTACTAGGTGGCGGGAGTCTCAGGCAAAAGGGAGGACAATGGAGCTAGGAGGCAGTGCTGAGCAAGTTCTGGATGTCCCAAATGCTTGGGAGTGCGAGATCGGTATAGCTCAAGATCGACGGGCCGAGGCGTGCCGTAACATGTGAATGACAGGGGTGGTCACAGCACCCACTTGTTACTCCACAGCTTGTTCATCAACGAAAGGTAGCACAACATCACATCACCCATTGCAAGAGACAATGTCGCTTCTTGCATTGCCACAAGAGTTGCTCAGCGAGATCGCTTTCCAGTGTCGCAGCAGTGATATCCCGAAACTGAGACTAACCTGCAAGCCGCTATATCATGCAGCCACGGATCACTTTCTCAAGGAAGTGAAGCTCTACTTAACCAAAGAAAGCATGAGTATGGCAGAGCAGATAGGTACCCACCATCTTGTACTCGCAGAGAATATCCAGTCTTGCTGGTTTCAAGCAGATCGGGTCCCGTTCCTCGGCAGTTTCGCTCAGTGGCGTGGAGAGGTCTTCCGAGGCTTCGAATCCTTTAGGAGTTTGTTATCCGGCGACCTGCGAGAGGAGGACACTCTGGAGTCCCGATACCAGCGATATGTTCGTCTGGCAGACGTCCAGCGAGATCTTTGCTCTAGTGATGCAATATCACACCAACTGTACACCCTGTTTCACGCCTGCCCAAATCTCAAGGCTTTGTGGTTGACTCTGGGAGGTCTTGGGCGTAAACTGACTACGCATCGGCATAAACCCTACCTGAATGCAGCATGTATACCAAGTCAAGATCCTCTTCGCACGAGAAACCAGGGAGGCGTCGTAGCATTTCAGCAGTCAATTTTGGCCGCAGCAAAAGCGAATCTCGGCCTGCATACACTAGTACTGGCTGGAATCGGTCATATGGCACTCGACGAGGTCGATTTGGACCACAGAGTAATCGCGGCAACGGCAAAGGTACTGAGGACTGTGCGAAACCTTCATCTTCAGGTGCGAAGTCCGGAAGAGCTCTCTGGCGAGCCCAACTCATCCAAAATGGGCCCTACTTTCCGGCAATGGTTCAGAAATCACCACCTAGACCTGACAAGTCTCCGTCATTTGCACCTGGAATTACCTCCATTACAGAGCTTTCGATCTAGCAACGTAGATTTCGAAGACCTAATCGCCGACCTCACTTTCCCACACCTGCGCCAACTGACACTGACTCAAGTCCAAGCGGACTTGACAAAGCTGTCGAGCTTTTTGTTCGCCCATGGCGCAACGCTACAAAGGGCCAAATTCGCAAACCTGATTGGCATGGGTGTGATGACATGGCAAGCACTGTTCGAGTCTATTGCAGGCAAACTCTCGGCGCTGGAAGTCATAGAGCTGCGTGGGACTTTCACACACCATCTACAACGGTGGTCAGAGGGCTACTGGCATCTTAGTTACTCCGTGAGGAGTGACTGTGGTACGCCCTTCGCGGAGGCCCTCGCAGATTATATCGTTCATGGCGGGCCACGATTTCCTGTTCAGGAAGAACAAGGTCATTTACGCCCAGACGCAGGGAAGTTGTTGTCTATGTGCGATATTCTTAGGATTGACAAAGATGAAGACGAAGATAACTGAGGTCGCCTTGCCATTTCGAGGAGACTCCACGGACACTGAGTATGGAAGCAGGACCATGACTGCAAGAATGCTTTTCTTGGAAGACATGAGAGCCAAAGAGGTAACCAAGATATCGACCTACAGTGCATAAAAAGGGAGTGGCACCATCCTCCACCGTTAGGTCATGGCTGAGTCTACCGAGCAACGCCATAATCGTTCAACGCACCTTTTTGGCCCCAATCAGCTCGCGCACACATGATAGATCACATCTTTCACATCTCCTCAAGTGGGCTTCGCGGCGCCCCAGGGAATGAATTTATCATCACAATCATCCTTCGCCAAAGCCTTGTCATCACAAGCATAGGCCCGCACGCCCGTGAGATCAATCCCCGACTTAGTCCACGGCGTGAAACCTGTTCCGCTCGGATCATACCTCGTACTTCCTCCCGGTCCGGCATTCAACTTCAAATCCTTGTACTTCTTGTCGGCGAAGTACACGCGGTACGTTCCAAAGACATCGTGGTCTTGAGGGTTTTGGACTGTCAGTCGAATTGAGACTTTTTCCTTGGACGTCCATTTGATATCGACAATGACTTTGCCTTTCTTTTTGCCGTCGCCAACGGTGATCCTGCCAGTCTTGGAGGGAGCGCGGGCGACGAGGTCGGCGGAGGGGATTGTGGAAAGGGAGGTATCCGGAGAGGGAAAGGCTAACGCCGAGGTGTGACCAACGTGCAGCGTAGTGCTGAGGAGAGGTGCCAGGAAAGCGAAGATGTTGAGACGCATGATTTCTACGGCTTTCGAAGCTTTTTGAGCTGTTTGATTTCTGGGCTCGAGGTGTTGTTGATGATGGAAAAATCTGGTCTCGACACTACAGCTCTGGTATTTATGCCTCTTACCTCTCTGCAACGCACCGGGAATGCGACCTATCGCTTCAGTGGTGGATGAATTGCAGCTGTCCTATCGCTTCACCTGCCGCCTTTCAGCTCTATGCGGGTTGTTGCGAAGCTGAAAAGACAGAAATCCAGAAACGCCGCCGTTGTACAAGAGGCTGCATTGTACCACATTGCCCAGACTCAAGCGTTGCCTGAGAGCAGGCTTCCTCCAAGGGGTGGCTGAATCGAATACGAGACCGTGGATGGTGCATTCCGGCTAGCTGCCTTTGTGCCCCCGCAGAATTTCGCATTGCAGGACGGTGTGAAGTACGAAGAGCAAAGGGCCTCAAGCACTACTTCATCCCAGGCATCTCTTGAAGCCAGTATGAATTGAGAAATCGCCAGATCATGAATGGTAGCCTGGAACCGACGTGGACTTAAGCACGGTCCTGTCGAATAAGCATCTCACTGCCGTCTTGTAATGTGACCACGCGTTTCTGCACCATGTGTCCCGACACTTACCACCAAAGCTTCTTTCTTTGATGCTGGTCATGCAGTGCAACATAAACGGAAAGCATGCTATGATTCCCCGGACTCAGCCACGACCAAAGCACTGGCAGAAGGGTTCTGGTGGACCACCACTATCTTCTCCAGGAGCTGCAATAGGAAGTTACTCGCTATAGCACGGACACTCCTAGATTTCGCCTGAATCCTCGTCACGCATCACTTGACCGACACACACTAGCCAGCCGGGAAGCTGCAACGCGTGTGGTTTTATCAGCTCTCAGAATTGGGCATCACATCACACCCTGTCCTTCTTCATTGGCGTCAGATCGATGCTGCTGAGCGGCCAGCCGTGTGGTGCTTCAGCTGGCTGAGCTGGGACGTTAGTGAAAGCCTTCCGCGAATTCGGTTTGTACTACCGAGGTTGCCTTCACGCTATTGAAGAGATACCTGCAGTCTGTACGGACTCGGCCCACGTATCCTGCGTGATACAGCGAAGAGTCGAGCTTTCTTCGCGGGCATAGTGCATTTACCAGAAGTTCAGCTCATGGAGAACGACTCTTGGCTACGCAATGATCGACACGAAATCTGAGGAGAGTGAGGAGCGGATTGGTATGTTGACTCAGAGCGTATCATTGCTGGCACTGAGTTATCTGTTCTTCTCTCGAGACATCGCAGCGAGTGTCAAAGAAGACTGAAGCGCTACTCAAATGAATGGACGCAGCACAACTTGCCGCAAATGCAACCAAGCCACAACGCTCCTCCTACCTTTGGCTCTCTAGCCTTGCTTCTTCGCGTCTCACTGCGTCTTCGCATATCGTCATTCCAGCTAACAGCAACTCCCCTCAGTTGAATGGGTAATTCAATCTGTCGCTGGTACCCTTCCTCCCCTCATCACGAGCCCTCCAACCCGAAACTGTGAGATACTGGATATCTCGGTCCAGATTCCAAGTCCTGGTGCTGCTGGTGCGTCGATTCTGATCATTTGCACGATAGACATCGGAGGTTCGTCTACCATTGTTGTTGTTGTTGTTGTTCCCACCATTGTTCCCGCCATTGTTTCCTCGACCACCTGAGTAGAGGGAGTACTGGCCTCTGACGCTGCCGTCGCCACGCTGTGTATCATCGAGGACGATTGAAACACGGACCTGGCGACGATTGTTACGGAAGAAGGTTACATTGATGCAAGCACGGTAGCCAGCATTGTTGTTATTGTTGTTGTTACCATTGCGTGGAACGCATGTGCTCACGGTGCGCTGGTTGTTGTTGTTATTGCCACCATTGCCGCCGTTGTTGTTGTCATCATCGTCGTCATCATTGTTGTTGTTGTCATCGTCGTCGTTTGCGCCCTGTGGGATAGCTTCGCGCTCGACGAGTGCTGGTTCTGCTAGAGCGAGAGCGGCCGGTTCTGGGACAGCCAAAGCGTCTGGAGCAGGAGCAGCGAGAGACGTGAGTGGAGTACCGAGGAGGATGACGGCGGCCAGAAGGCTCTGTATCTTGGAGAAATGCATAATGCTGAGAAAACTTTGCACGCTGAAGGTCAAAAGCGTATTTTCTGCCTTTGGTCACTCTGTTGTCGATTCTGGAATGATGGTGTCCAGCTCATAGCACTTCATGCCATATTTATATTGTCTCGTGGCAGCTACGAATCTTCAACAACACATCCACCAGAGCGATGTCAGCCAGACTCACCGCTGGTCTCGGCCTCGACACACACTTCGTATAGCCATAGTGACAAGAGACCGGACCCGTGCCACTTCGCCATCGTTCGCTACGCTCATAGTCAACAAAGAAACTGAGCTGGCGCTGAGTACGATCGAAATCCTTCTCTACAACAAGTCGCCTGGGTGTTCTCGGATATGTTGTCCGTTGGTCGTAGACGTTGCATCGATGTCAGCTTTGGCAGAGACCTAGGGCGGCCCGCGTATTTCAGAGCGTAATCCAAAATCGACCACGCTGTTCGAGATCAGTAAGCAACCTGGACTGCAACTGCTGCTTCCACCGACCACTGCGTCCGCAATTCCACAGTGTCACGCCCAGATGCTCGTCAGTTTCGATCAGTGTACTGAGGCTTCACCAAGTGGCGGCTGGATGTGATCAGAACTATTGGATCATCTCGCTCTGGCGGCCTCGTGCCACGCTTCTGACTGATGAAGGACCAAGCCTCATTGCACCAGCTGAAGAGCTCTTTGTCGGTCGTTCGTATTCAGTATGCACTAGTGTAGCCGAAACAAGAGAGCGAATTTCGAAGCGCTTCAAAGTCCTACTTTGCGAGACATCGCGACAGACCGCTTCAACTGACGTGGCATAGCCGGGAGTGCATGTGACGACGACCGATAAGCTCGCTATGAGCACAGCTTTAGCAGAAATTGCCCTTCAGCTGCAGTGATGATGAGACCAATGTCGCCCACATCCCACTATGTCTACTCCTGACGCAGAACCATCTTTCACCCAGGACTTGCTCTTCATCCACTCCAGTACATCTTCTCTGCCTGGGCCTCTAGGAACACGTCCACTGAATCACGACTCTCTCCCGTACTCCAACCCTGCCCTCCCAAGACACTCACTCACACCGTCCCGGCGAACTGCGCTAAAATCTGCGTTGCCTTCTGTGTCTGCATCTCGTTGACATTGCTCGTCTCAGGACTGGCGTGTTCGTGACTCAATGTCTTGATTTACATAGGTCCATGGTCGATGGAATCTTCGATACCTCCGCTGTGGCAAGCTCGAGCTCGAGGCCGCTATGTTTGACTATTCAGCTCACTGGAAGGTTTGATTTCTGCTCGGGACGAGTTCGATTCGCAGTCATGTGGATTTCAGGACTGCTCAACGTACTGAGTGGGCACGATTAAGCATCGAGAAGCTTCATTTGGTTGGTCTCTGTCTAGCCACCAGCAGCTTGAATTGGATGTGCTTGTGTGAATCAGTGGATGGAAGCAAGCAGCCAAACAACTGAGTCACTCATGCAGCGGCACGAATATTTAAACCGAGGAGACACCTGCATCTTTCGTCATCCGTTTTGCGTCGTCCACTTCCACTGCGCCCAGGAACCAGACTTACGATGGACGACAACGCCGAGAAGAAGAGCGCAAAGTGTCCCTCAAAAGAACCCGAGGCAAGTGCGCCGTCCTCAATGAACGTGCGACTCATTCTGACAGGAATAGGTTCCAAAAGGCGACTAAAACACCAAGGATGTCGCGCCCGGCATCGAAGGCTCGACTGATGAGCGCGAGGCGATGATACAAGACATAATTGCGAAACTTCGTGATCCACCCCCACATCTTGCTGTGCTCTTCGAAGCGGTCCGCAAATACGAACGAGATCTCCTCGCCATCGAGCTTGTGAAGATGGCCATGGCTGCGAATCACGAGCGAGTGGCGCCTGTGGAGGGTGAGGCCAGGGCCAGTTCCGGCACCGGAAACTCGAGTCAAATCGAGCGTCCCTCCTCTCGCGAGGGTGCTTCGAACATGCCATTGCCTCGCAGCATATTCGGGGGCGACAAGGGCAAGGGACCGCAGGAGGAACTGAGCAAGGACGGCGGAAAGCCTTGATGCTGCATGATTCATGACCTTTGGCGGAGTCGTGCGATTACTACTGCCCTAACCTCTTTGCGTTCAGACTTGTCGACTATGGACCTGTTGCGCCGGGGTAAGATTAAGAAATGTGACTCTAGATCGAGAGTACCAAATCCCAGCCCAGTAAAACAAGTTTCTCATGATGAAGCCAAGTTTGAGTGATGCGCCGCTACTGCTGATACCGTGTTGATTTACTCCAGGCGAGCTTTAGTTTCGGCAGAGTCGTAGCTGGACTGAAGCCCAGAATCGCAAGTGACGGGGGCACCTTTGCGTAGCCTTCAACTGCTACATGAAGTCTTAGCTGGCATGCTTGGGCTGAGGGTCATGCAGATGCAAAGTGAGCCATTGATTCTCTGCAAACCATCTTCATCGGGGCTAGCTCGAACTGGTCCACTCACTGTGGAGGTATCAGAAGTACCATAACGGTATTACCAGCTCCTTGCACTCGGGATTACAGAAAGCCCTTGAAGACGAATTGTCGCTGTCCGTCCACTAGGTTAGGTGCCCATTGCTTTTCTCGTTGACCAAGCGTTGCAATTACTCACACAGCATTATCCTTCACGCTCACAAGGAACGTCGTGTGCCCCCTGCGCGTTACGCCTGCTCGGGCAAGGAAGGAGGCATGGCATCCGCACTCGCCTTTCCCGGACGCGTGACCTCAGGCTGGCAGTGTGATGATTCAGAGGCGGCAGGCCGAGGGCAAGACAACCGGAGCCATTGCTCGTTGCTGGAAAATTGCTACACCCGGCTGCGCAGACCGACGTACCCCATAACAAGCCTTTCCATCCTTCCTTAAACAACTGACCAATTATGCGAGCGCTTTTTGGGGTCCTCTGCCTGTTGCGTTGTTCGGCTGCATGACTCTGCTTCTCCTGCTTCACTCCAAGTGCATGTTGCACACTCAAGTAAGTGAAAGCGATCCTTGTATCTGCCCATTCGTTCCGGTGCCTTCGAGTTTGATCACTTGAGGAACCTAGCTAAGTAACAATGTAAAAGTGCAGCTCACATGATTCCGTCGGGAGCAAAAGTATTGAAAGCGGGCATGTCGTGCGTCAAGAAATAATTCCAGTCAAATTGCGAATCATTGAGAGCGTCCAAGTTCCAGTCCTCGCTACTCGCTGCAGTCGGGTGGTTTTCTTCGACTGGCTGCGCCGTAGTCCCATTCGTGTGCACATGCTGTGTCTGCAGTGCTTTCAGGTGCTCGGGCTGGGGATCTTCAGACCGCGCGCGTTGTATGCTCATTGCGAGTACTTGCGAGTCCTCATCCTTGCGCTTCTTGGAAAGGCGCACAAGGAAGCGGGCGGTCTTCAGAGAGTCTTTCATCGCCCCGGTCTTGAAACGATCAACGACGTACTCGAGCGTTCGCATGGCGGTAGACAAGTGGGATAGCGATTCTTTGCCGTCCATGGCGAGGAATACGCAGATGACTTGGAACGGAACGTTCGCGACATGCCACCAGGGCATCCCTTTCTCTGCCATCCTCCTCGCAGCCTGCAATCCGTTCAAGCCAATATTAAGAATTGTCTTGACAACATCAGGAGAGAGATTGGGGTTTGCGAGCCGTAGCCTTCTGTATCCACAAAGGCCTAGATTCGCCTTCGACAGTGCAATGCCGTCATGTTTCGGTTCATATGCATCCAGCTGTGTCAGGAATTCCTCCCACTGGCCCGCCTTCTCGCCTTGCTCAGGCTCGAGGAAACAAGATATGCTGTACAATTCGATGTAATCCTTGGTGTAATCACCCTCGACACAAGAAGGTAATCTTGCCGTGATGCCATGCAAGGCCACTCGCGTTCGGCCATATTCGAAACTCACCCAGGAGTTTAGCATGCGCGCCACCCAGAAAGAGCGGCGTCTGAGCTCAGGATCTGCAGAGTCGTTCGTTGCAGGGTGCAAGACTGAGCTGCTGGCTTCCAGTTGCAGCCCTATTGATTCGACCAGATGCATCGTGGTACATGTTGCCATCCACGTTGCATGCGGGTGGTCGGTAGTTCGTAACACTAGACATCGAAGAATCCAGGACTGTACGTCGGTCAGTGTAGGAGGCACCATGGTACTTGTACTTTCGAGTGCTGTCTTCTGAACATCCACTAGGCGGGGCAGCAGCTGCACCAAAGGATTGTTGTCTGAGTACAAGATGCCTAGCGCCGCAATGCCGCATAGAATGTGGTCGGGGACGTCGCACTCCCCGGGATTGGTCCATCGTGCGCCTATACCAGCGTTGACACGACTCTTGTTCAAGAAGCCGTATATGGGATGCACGTTAGTAAAGTACAGCTTCGCAAGCTGTTCCATCTGATGTCGGTTCAGAAAATCGGTGATTGGGGCTACCGCAGGGCGGACATATTGACTACTCCCAAGATTCCAGCCAAAGGTGAACAGCTTAGGTCCACTAGACGGGTCAAGTCGCATTCCGAGGAGGCGAGTAAAGGCAATGCCCGAGTTGGCTTCGAGCGCTCTCATCTTGGATAGATCTTCCATGCTTGGCAGCTCGTTCTCGATGTGGTCATTTTCCTCTCGGTTCATTTGGGCATCGGCAATGGCATGCTGCTCGACAAGCTTGCTACGTTTCCGCGGGTGCTTCTCGAAATAGCACCTGTGAGGCACTCAGCATCGTGTCGCAGGCGGTCTGAGCAGCTGGCGGTCTTACTTGTATTCGAACTGGGTGCACATATTACATGGCATATTGCCGTCGCATCGTCGCTTGCGAAGTCGACACGGCTCACACGCTTGCTTTGCGCGCTGGCGCTTCTGTCCTTGGGCTGTCATATCGCCATTGGCCGTCGCCGGCGCGGTTTCCTCTCCGTTCACGCCGGGCATGTCAGCGGCAGCTGTCATGAAACAGCATGTGAGATGGTCATTGGGATAACGATGGGAGACGATGCAGTGCGATCTTCGCGACAGATCTAGATTTCTCACGAACAGTAGGTGTTGTGCGAGGCCATCACAGGCAGTGAGCACGAGCGCTGGAGGAAAGCGGTTCTGCCGAGTGGCCCCGCATTAGCAAGAGCTTATCTAATACCTTCCGGTCTTTCTCACGATCGAGGCCTCTGGTCCGGACATCGATGAGGGTAGTCCGTGAGAGACATTCATTCCCCAACTCAACGTGCTCGTCAAGTCATTCGTTCAACAATAGGATGGTGGCGAGTACTGAGAATGATGAATCACTGGTATTCAGACATGTGATGCGAAATACGAAGTAGAAGCTGCGTGGGGGCGTGCAAATTGACGAGATTGCAGGTTACTTGGATCTACTCGGTCAGTCTATTGTCGACGATCTGGTACAGAACAGTCACCATCTTCATTGTATCCGAGAGTAATTGGTCACTGGTGGTAGACACAACCTTTTGGAATTCGCTGAACCGAGGAAGTCACTGACAGACTGCCCGTTTCGTTTCATGTCATTTCTCCCAGAAGAGCCTCAGGAAGGATTTAGCACTGGTCGTTCCGCTCCACGCGAAGCGTAATAGCTCGTAATCGCCTTTCTTGATCACAATAACGGTCCCAGAATGATGCCGACGTCCCGAGTCAAGCAGCAATATGAGCCCATTGACGAGCAAAGCAATGCCCTAGATCTGAGTAGGGCACGCTTCGTTGATGGCAGTCATCGCAAGGTCCAGCGACGGAGCCATAGCCGACACAGCACAATGCTCTTGGCACAATGCGTCCGCAGTCATCCGGCCGCAGTATAAGCGAGAGATAGCCTGGCGCTGCTGTATCCTCTGCTCTTCCTCCGCGACTCAAACCTGCCACTCGCAGTTCCATCTTCTTCGACTCAGCTCTTATCTCAGTGTTTGGTGTTCACGAATTGTCCCAGCGAAATGTCCGACTTGCAAGGTCTCGAAGCACGTGCGAAACCGAGGGATACATCGCAGCGCTGCACTTCCATCTGAAGACGCCAATCTAGAAAACATCAGCTAGCGCTTCATGAGGCACAGTGCAAGAGTTTAAAGCCGAATCAATAGGCCCCCGAGCTCTGTCCAGCGACTTCCGACTATTGCTGTGCCGCAGCGGCTATGAGAGCACCAACACGTCGGCGAGGCACAGCAGGCCGAAAGTTGTCCTTGAGGGCCTCGAAAGGTAGTATAACATGGACATCTCTACATCTTTCTACTCTCGTCGCGAAATGTCGATGTATTTGTATTTCAAATACCATTTCCCTTCTTGGACGTGCCGTGATTAACCGTCGCTCAGCAACCAATAGCGTACCGTACGACTGAGGAAGCTGCGTCATGCACGCGCTGCACAGATGGCTCCCGGGCTACTCCAAAATTCACGACGAGCAATTTCCCATCAACTCCAGGTCAACAACAGTCGCAGACATCGAGATGGCGCAGCAAGGGTATGGAGAGGCTCAAGATTACTATCAGCAGCAGCCTCCGCAACAGAACTATACCCAGCAGCCTCCAAAATACGACCAGAACTATGCCGCGCCCGACGGGGGTTACGGCGCGCCGAACGCGTACCAGGAAGGTGGCAAGCCATTCGAACAGCAGTTCAAGGTAGAGAGGCCGAAGTGGAACGACGTGAGTACATGATCGAGGAAGCATTCGCGAACGGCCGCGCTTCGCGAGCGCGCGCTCGAATCACGGCGCCTCAGATAGATGTTCCCCACGAGATGCCAAGGTGGCATTGGCTAATGTATCGTAGATCTGGGCAGGCATCCTCCTGACCCTCGTCTTTGGAGGCTTCGTAGCGGTCTCCGGTACGTCAGGTCGAGCGCGTTTCCTTCTTCAGCCTTACTGACATTTGCGGCGTAGCATACACCTTGCGCGCATATGCTAGCAACAGCGGCTTCACCAATGGAGGCTTCAATGGCTCGAGCAACACATTCTCGCTCAACGGCAACACTCTGGTTCTCTTCGCCTTCATTTTGGTGACTGCACTGGTTCTCGGATATGGCTATATTTCCCTGGCCAGGATATTCACAAAACAATTCATCTGGATTTCTGGCATCCTCAACATTGTCATGAGCTTCGCTACCGCCATCTACTACTTCTACAGGCGCTCATGGGTCGGCGGCGCACTTTGGCTGTTGATCGCAGTCTTTACCGTCATCTGCTTTATCAGTTGGATCAAGCGCATTCCGTTCTCCGTGCTCATGTTCCAGACCACAGTCGATGTCTCTCGCCGCCACGGCCATGTCTACCTGGTCTCTTTCATTGGCGGCCTTGTGGCAGCTATCTTTGGAGCCTGGTTTGCAGCGACATTGGTCGCAGTCTACGTTCGCTTCCAGCCAAACGAGAACAACCCAGCATGTAGCGCAAGTGCGGGAGGTGGAGGTAGTTGTAGCTCCAGCACGGTCATTGGGCTGGTTGTCTATATCACCTTTGCCGGATACTGGATCACCGAATGGCTCAAGAACACCATCCATGCCACAATCTCTGGCGTGTACGGTAGCTGGTACTTTGCGCCAAACAATCCCTCCAAAGGTGCGACACGCGGAGCAGCTCGAAGAGCGTTGACATACAGCTTCGGCTCCATCAGCTTAGGCTCGCTCATCGTGGCCATTCTCGATTTCCTTCGCTTCATTTGTTCGATCGCGCGTAATCAGGCTGGCGGTTCTGGAAACATGGTGGCCGACATTTTCCTTTGCTTCTTGCAATGCATTCTGAGCCTCGTCCAATGGGCTATCGAATTCGTCAATCGCTACGCCTTCAGCTACATGGCTTTGTACGGCAAAGCGTACTTCGCCAGTGCCAAGGACACATGGAGACTGATCAAGGATCGAGGCATTGACGCACTGATCAACGAGTGCTTGGTTGGACCTGTTTTGTCAATGGGCTGTCTCTTCGTTGCGGTCTGCTGCGCGCTCATCGCGTACGTCTACTTGGATGTCACGGATCCGGCTTACAACTCCGGCGGCGCCTTCACGGCCGTGATTGTGCTCTATGCCTTCCTCATCGGACTTCAAGTGGCAAGCTGCTTCGTGGTACCACTGAACAGCGGTATCGACACCATCTTTGTCGCGGCAGCATGGGACCCACAAGTGCTTATGCAACAGCACGGAGATTTATACCAGCGCATGATTGCAGTCTACCCTCACGTTCAGGTAAGCGCCCAATCAAGCTCAACACGTGTTGCAGTACTAACAGCACCAACAGCAAGCGATCCACGCTTAGTCTTGCTGCCCAGCTTGTGAAGCTCGGCACGATCCATACACAATAATATAGATTCGTAGCACACGCAAACAGATTCCTTCGTACACAATTGCACCGAGCTTGCACTGCCCGTCCTTCACATGCAGAGAAGCGGCGCGACTGCGGAGCGCCACATGACTGACGACGAGAAGCGGTGATGAAAGAGGAGGCTCAGCAGCAGTCGAGATCCAGATTGTATGCGGCTCTGGCCAGATGGCGAGGGGTAAGCCTGCAGCGCGGCTGCATCCTGGCGCCTCTTCTATTGGCTCTGGCTGGGGCATCCCGCAAACTACTGTGCTAGCAGCTGGGATTTCAGAAGGAGAGGGTTGAAGCGTGCATATCCGCCCTCGTGTCGGATCTCTGCCCACGAAGAAGTGCATGTCGACAGCGAGAGCGGTGTACCTGCATGGTTGCTGGCGGTGATTGAGGCTCGAGTCAGCGCAGTTTCCAGCGGGTTTCACACGGCCAGAACACTGGCAGCCGGATCATTTTCGATCGGGTTCCAACGTCACGATGGTGAAGTGCAATGGGAAGTGGAGCACAACGTGGTCGGCCACGGGCGCGTCCGGCGATTTATTAGCCCAGAAGGCCACCCGACGAGGCAAGCTGGCCAGCGAGATTGAGCGAATGGCAGCGATCGGAGTGTGACGAATGATGCAATCGGTGCCTAGCGCGGGCAGGCAGGCACGCCTGTCACGGATGGTGGGGTCGGGCTTGCCAGATCAATTGGTTTCATGAGAAGCAACCAAGAAAGCACTCTGACTTCTTCCACTACTTCAACTCTCCAAACACCTCGACCTTCCCTTTCCACACCAACAACTTCCTCCACTTCCCTCTCGCACCGCAACTCGCAACCACGCACGCCATCACGGCACTCGATCCACGCAGCAGCAGCTTCACCATCACCGCGGTAAGCACCTCCCCACGGCCACGTCATGTCGCCGTCCACGACTGCAGCGGCATTGCGTGCACCACATCCGCATTGGCACCACCACCACTGACACTGATAGCAGTCACCCACTTCACCTTCCGCGGGCTCACTTCGCGCACGAGCACAGCTCATTTCGAGGTGAGCCTCACTGCTCTTGCACGTGCACCTAACATTACCCTCCCCTGCACTCTCCACTTCGCCAACTTCGACCCGCTCGTTCTGCAAACACATCCGTCCCCACTCGAACAACACCAAGAACTCCACGACTGACTCGACTTCCAGCCACGTTAAACACAACACAAACAACAACAACACCGCCAACATGGGTCTCAAGGGTGTTCACTTCGGCGGCGGCAACATTGGCCGCGGCTTCGTCGCCGAGTTCCTGCACAACTCCGGTTTCGAAGTGGTCTTCGTCGATGTGATGGACAGTATCATTGAATCATTGCAGAAAAACAAGAGCTACGAGGTCACCGAGATCGGTCCCGATGGCGAGACTAAGTTCACCATTGACAACTACCGCGCACTCAACTCCAAGTACGAGATGGCTGCAGTCATCGAGGAGATCGCCACCGCCGACACTGTCACCTGCGCTGTGGGCCCCAACATCCTCAAGTTCATCGCCGAGCCCATCGCCAAGGGTATTGAGGCTCGCAAGTCAGACACCCCACTGGCTGTTATTGCGTGCGAGAACGCCATTGGTGCTACGGACACTCTCCGTGGCTTCATTGAGCAGAAGTTGGGCGAGAAGACCAAGTCAGACATTGCCTCGAAGGCCCGATTCGCGAACTCGGCTATTGACCGTATCGTGCCAATTCAGGACGAGGGTGCTGGTCTGAACGTCAAGATCGAGAAGTTCTACGAGTGGTGCGTTGAGGAGAAGCCTTTCGACGGCAAGCCACCTGCCATCAAGGGCGTGCACTACGTCGATGACTTGGAGCCATACATCGAGCGCAAGCTCTTCACCGTCAACACTGGTCACGCCACAGCTGCCTACTACGGTCACCAGGCTGGCAAGAAATACATTCACGAGGTGCTCGAGGACAAGAAGCTTCACGACATCGTGCAGGGCGCCCTCGAAGAGACCGCTCATTTGATCTGCACCAAGCACTCTCACATCACCAAGGAGGTAAGTTGTGATTGCGCCTAGATCTTCATCCGCTTTGACTGACCTCACTTGTTTGTAGGAGCAACAGCAGTACGTGCAGCAGATCGTCAAGCGCATCTCAAACCCAGTCCTCAAGGACAACGTCGAGCGCGTCGGTCGTGCACCTCTTCGCAAGCTCTCTCGTAAGGAGCGCTTCATTGGCCCCGCCGCCCAGCTCGCTGAGAAGGGAGAGAAGGTGGACAGCCTGCTTGGTAGCATCGAGCAGGCCCTCCGCTTCCAGAACGTCGAGGGCGACGACGAGTCCGTCGAGCTCGCCAAGATTCTCAAGGACAACGACTCCAAGGCAGCCACTGAGAAGCTGACGGGCCTCGACGAGAAGCACCCTCTTTTCGCCAAGGTGGAAGAGCGTGTCAAGAAGGTCCAGTCTGGTTAGGTGGGTTGTTCCTCGGGTCACTACAAAAGCATCCTTCGCTAACATCGTCACAGCCATCGAATCGAGTCTTCGCATACGGGTACAGCGCGAACCCTGCTTTACACGACCCTCCCACTCCTCCCAGCGTCTGAACTTGCTGTCATTTGCAGGCATGCAAATAGAGGGGGCATGAGCATGATTTACGAGAGCATGAATTGAGATACCAAAAGCGATGTGAATAGTTATCGTTGATAGCACTGGTTGCAATGACACGATGGACTGTGACTTCTTCTTCTCCCCATTGTAATTGCCTTCTGTTCGCCATTATCTGTCGTTGCCTTTGCTCCTCCAATGCCTTGACCATGGCTTCTTGCTCCCGCTGACCATTCGGAAGACAAAGAAACGTGCTGACAAGTCGGTCGTTGAGCACCCTGGCAGCAAGAAAGCAAGTCTTGGTGACGGCGATGGATCATTCTGCACCTACAAGTTCACCAACTCCTCCACCTCCTCTAATTCCAGCAGATGGAATTCCCCGTGTCGATCAACAAGGTTTACATGGCTTCTCTCAAACCATCCAGTTAGGGCTGACGTAGTTCACACCACCCTACTTCACTGCGCCCTCGTCCCCACTTCAAACGCCACTGCGACAGCATCAGCACGAGCCATTACTTTCACCCGGCACGAGCACGCATTTGTTACTGAAGCGATAGCTAACGTGTTCCACGTTGCGCAGCAGACACAGTGGGGCGAGAGGACTACCACGACACACCACACCTACAGAGACCGAGACAGGCCGATTTACGGACCAGGGCTCGAACCTAAGCCTTACTCGAGACGGGGCCGATTCCGAAGGATACCAGCACGACGGCGCGCAAGCAGCGCTGCTTGCTCGAGCAGGAGAGGCTGTGCGACTGTTGTTCGTGCTTGTCGGCCTCCGGGAAGCTGCATTGCGGGAGCCGGAGGAGAGCGAAGACGAGACGGACGAAGACGACGACGACGAACACTACATCAGTCCGGCACTCGCGCGAAGGAGCGGCAGAATGGCAATTGATCACATACCGTGCGTCTGCTACATACGTATAATGGAATGCGAAGAGCAGATGCGGAGGCTAACACGGGTGCGGTCAGGTATCCAGAGACACACGACCTCGCGCGCGCAGAGAAGGCATTCTACCCTGTGACTATACCTGTATCGTATGGCTTATTTGAATGCTGCGAGACAGTCCTTGTACTGACCGAGGGCTTCCAGACATTGGCAGCTACGCCATTACATCTCCTCGCCGGAACCCGACCACCTCTACTATGCGAGCGCGCACCATGTATTCTGCCTTAACACTGCAACGAAAAAGCGGAAACACATTGCAACACTGCCATTCGAGGCGCGGTGCACGGCCTCTGGCTATGGATACGTTTGTGTAGGTGGGGAGGACGAGGGACATTTTGCGGCGATCAAAATCAACGGAGCACTCGATGTTGATGCGGCGCTGCCACTCAGCAGCCTGGGCCAGAATGTCACACGAAGAGCGGCAACGGTCAAGGTCGAAAGGATAGGAGAAGAGATAGTAAACTCGATCTCGATCCATCGCATCCAGGACGAAGAAGCACATTTGGACGACATTGTGGCCGTGTTGACAAACAACGATCGCACAGTCCGTATATACAGCCTGCCCACTGGACATGAAACGAAGTGCAAAGGGATCCCATTCGCGGTGAATCATGCCACGATCTCACCCGATGGTCAGGTACTGGTAGCGGTTGGGGACTACAATCAGGCACATTTCTATCGACGGGTGATATTGGACGATCCTCCTCAGATACCGAAGCCTCACAATCGCTTAACGAGCGCAAGCGTGGACTGGAAGCTACTTTGCAAGGTCTCATTGCATGTGAGCTCACCGGACTCGACAGTAGGATACTTCACTACGGCATGGAGCCCCAATGCTCGGCTTGTGGCGGTGGGCAGCGAGGGCGGTTACATCACAATCATCGATCGCGACATACTCGAGGACGATGAGTTGGACGAGGAAAACCGAGACGAAGCCGTCATTGCTGTGGTACCTGGTTCGCGAGCCGATTTCCCGAGCCCGCATCCTGGAGCGATCAGGAGCATGGTGTTCAGTCCCGACCCGTGGGACCTGTTGATATGGAGCGAAGACCAGGGCAGGGTTTGCGTTGGAGATCTGAGGACTGGGCTTAAGAGTCGACAAATAATCGATTTGGAACCCAAGGACGAGCACCTGCATAAATACGAGATGGAAATTGTAGACCCGGACGAGGCAGCACTACCCGCTGTGTCCCAGCCCACTCATCTGGACGAGCTGGAGGCCGACTTGCTGCGCAGATATCGAGCGGCGCCAGACAATGCCAGTGCTGTAAACTTCGCGACAGAGTACATCGAGGCGAGGAGACGGCAAAGAGAGCACCGACAAGCTCTGGCTGCTGCGCGGCAGCAAATCACACAATCGGGCTCGCGAGCTCGACTCGCCGCGGCTGAGGCTATGGAGGACGACCCTCAAGGATTGACATCACGGGAACAGCAGATACTCGAGACATTGCGCACGACACGACAGCGGGAGGAGGCGCGGGCGAATGGCCAGATACCGAGATCTGTCAACTATACCACTCCAGACATGTTCACAACTTCGGCGCCTACAAGAAGTGGGCGAGAGACGCCCTCGAGCGGATCAATGTCACGGCCTATCAGTGAGATACTGAGTTCTGTACAGGAGACGTTGCCAACGCTAGAGCGGATACATGCTGCCAATCCGACAACGGCCTCTCACACTGTCGACAACGACGATCTCTTGCCTCCTCTGGCCACAATGCGAGAAGCACTGGCCGCATGGAGTAGCAACAGCGACGGCGTCCCCGCACCGCGTAGTACTACCAACGCTAGAAGCGCGGATCGCACAAGGGCAGCTGCAGGTCTATCCGGAGGAGAGTCTTCACGACGAGCCGCCGAACGAGGATCAGGGTCGTCGCCGTCCAACGCCGACGAGCATACTGCGGATGGCAGTCAGGATGACAATCCTTGGATCGTCATTGAAGAACAAATGGGAAGAGGGCCTTTGTTCGAGGCAGCAGCTAGAGCGAACCCGTCATCGCCGCTCCCTGCAGAACGTGAGCGCGACGCTGAGCGCGATGCCCGCCGGGAACGATACGAATCAATACAGAGCGAACTGGATACGCAACGACGTATCGCTGCATCAGCGGCTAGAAACCGAGAGCGCTGGCGATCTTCTCGTCTCGCCGGCAGCGGTATCAGCAGTGCAGCAGCTGAACGTGCCATCGCCATGGCCGAAGCTCGTCGGTCTGCAGCGTATCCTGATCAATATGAAGCTCTGATCCGGAGAACTCAGCTGCGAGGCTGGGGCAACCCCACTGGACGAGAGATTGGTGTTAGAACTGCTGGTCTGGCCATGAGTCCGGACGGGCGCATGCTCTGGGCCGCCTGTGAAGACGGAATTTTCGAGATCGATATCAGGACCAAGGGCAGAATGTTTCTTCCGAGCTTGCAGCCGCGATAGGCAGGTCACGGATGGTTCTGCTGGAGCACTTTTGGGTCTACTAAAGCGAAAGCATCTTATTGCTCGTTGTAGCAGGATTCAAGGTGCATGAATGGGACGAAATTGACGACTGACATGCCATAGTCTTGAGCGTAGCACTGTGGACAGCGCCTTACTTAATATCAAAATCATAGCTCTGCGGCGTGTATGCTCCATTGAACTGGAAAGATTGCCCCTCAAAATGCGTGTCACGTGAAAGCGAGCTGATCGGCCTCTCGATGTTCAGGGACCGCGGCGTATTCAACATTCCCCCTCGGAAAGTGCGTGCCACGTCTACATATCCCTTCGGACTGAACGCTGCCCAATTTCTCCCACAACCTCACGCCGGCCACCACAAATCGTTGCGTTGTTCACCTCCGCCTCCGGGCACCAGCTACATCGCGCTATCATGTCTTTGGCACCCAAGACCGAATCGCATCGCATCTTCGAGCAGCTCAAACGCCGCGCGCCCAACAAAATCTGCTTTGACTGCGGCGGCAAGAATCCTACATGGTCGTCGGTGCCATTCGGAATCTATCTGTGCCTCGACTGCTCCGCCCATCACCGGAACTTGGGCGTGCACATCTCCTTCGTCCGGTCCACCAACCTCGATCAATGGCAATGGGACCAGCTGAGGCGCATGAAAGTGGGAGGCAATGAATCTGCGAAGACCTTCTTTCAACGCAACGGAGGCTCGGCGGCGTTGAACAGCAAAGACCCAAAGACAAAGTACACCTCGAATGCGGCAGTCAAGTACAAGGAGGAGCTTCAGCGACGAGTAGAGGCCGACCAGAAGAGAAACCCTGACGGGATCGTGATCGAGGAGGAGGCAGGCGATGAAGGGCCAGAGAGCGGCACCAGCACACCCGCAAACGGAGATGACGACTTTTTCAGCAGCTGGGACAAACCGGCGGTCAAGAGAAGCAGCAACCCACCATCTCGAACGGGGACGCCGAGCCAAGCAGGTCGAGCAAGCCCGTTCTTGAACCCAGGAGCTGCCAACGGCAACGGCACTGCGAGACCCAAGAGCCCTCTCAATCCCACAAATGCAGAAGATGCTAAGCCGGCGCCGAGCAGAGCTGTACCCAGTGCCGCGAGGAAGACTACAGTGGCATCGAAGCCAAAGGCGAACATTTTGGGTGCCAAAAAGACTAAGCTCGGAGCGAAGAAGGTCGACGCTGGAGCTCTAGACTTTGATGAAGCTGAGAAGAAGGCCAAAGAAGAGGAAGAGAGAAAGGCAAAATTGGGCTACGATCCTGACGACGTTGAGACTCCTTCTGAAGCTGGAATCGCTGCCAAGCAGCCTGGTGCTGAGACGAGCACGATCCATCAGCCTACACCTCTTAGCCCTGGGAGAAGTGGTAGCTACGGTAATCCAAAGCCAAGGGAGAGGAGCGACAGCGAGATGGAGCGACTAGGCATGGGCGTTCGAAAGCTTGGATTCGGAATGGTTGGACAACAGAAGAAGCCCGCTGCCGCTGCTGGTGCGGCAAAGATTGGTGGCTTTGGCTCAACATCCCGAGCCGCTCCTGTTGAAGGTATGCATAAACGCTTGGCCATCATCTGTATACAGTTCTTGCTAACACCTTCCCGCAGACGACAGCGAACGCTACGCCCGCGATAAATTCGGCGCCCAGAAAGGCATCGGCTCCGACGAGTTCTTCGGCCGCGGCGCATTCGACAGCAACGCCCAAAACGAAGCCAAGTCACGGTTGCAGAACTTCGAAGGGCAGACGTCGATTTCTTCCAACGCGTACTTTGGCCGACCGGAAGAGGAAGGGCCAGAAGAGTATGGGGATCTGGAGGGCGCTGCGAAGGATTTTGTTAGGAAATTTGGCATTCAGGCGGGTGATGATTTGGAGAATGTTTCAGCATTGCTTGGGGAGGCGGGCAGTAAGCTGCAGGGCGCTATTAGGAGCTATTTGAACTCTTAAATTGGTTGGCGTGGAGTGGTGGTGACCATGGGAAGGGTTCGTGAGCGACAGAGAGAGCGACTTAGATTGTCTGGCTACTATGTGTGGCTGTTGAGCATACATCATGAATACTTTGACTATTGTTGCTGTGTTCCGAATGATGGTGAGCTGTGAACTTGTCGATTCTAGCCGTCGAGGCCATGTTTCTGATCGGAGCAACATCGAGTCAATCCCAGTCACAAATTTGGAACGGCACGATATAGTTCGGAGCCGAACATATGGCGGACAGAGAATAGCGACATGGGCCATCGCATGTCGTCGTTCATAAACTATGAACTGCTACTACAACTCGTCCCTCTTCGTCCTCGCCTTCTCTTTCGTAGCCTCTTCCTGCTTCTGATCCTCAACATCGGCCTCGAAATTCTTCTTCTTCGGGTTCTTCGGCTCGTCTTCCCCTCGGTCCCTCAGGATCGTTCCATCACCTCTTCTTACCACATTCTCCTCTTCTTGGTGTCCTTGCTGATTCTGCTTTCCACTTTCTTCAGCCATTTTGCCGATGCTTTCACTCAGTTCGTCGTCGAGAATTTGCTGCTGCTGCTGCTGCTTACGCTCGAGTTCTGGACTTTTGCCGACCTTCGCACCTGCTCCACCTGCACCGGCTCGGACTCCGCCTGATTTGATGCGCTCGCGGAAGTCTGAGGGAAGGGGTTCCGCTTGACCTTGTGCGCTGGGTTGCACAATGAGTGGAGGACGAGTTGAAGATGATGCTGCGATGCTTGAGGAGAGTGCGGATGTTGTAGAGGCGCTGGATCTCGAGGCGAGGCCTATTGATCCGAGGATAGCGAAGAGGGGTTTAAAGAAGATCCACTTGGCGAGAAAGATGGAAAAGTTCAAGAACCACAGCGGTAGTTTGATGAATGGTCCGTATACGAGCCGGCGAAATACCAGCCAGACCAATGTGCCGATGAGGATGTAAAAGGCTGTTTCGAGGTACCACGTGTCGCTCTTTTGACTCCTCAAGAGAGTTCCGAGGAGGTTACGCGAAGTGCTGAGGATAGTGTCGAGATTGCTGTAATCCTCGCTCAAGTTCCTCAAAGCAGCTGTTGATTCCTCAAATGTTTCCTGCGCGAAACGTGAGCGATCTAGCTCGGTGCTGAGCAGTTGGTGCGTTCTTCGTAAGGCAGCTGTTACGTCGGTCGTGGCGTTCACTAATAGCTGATCCTTGGACAGTTGCTTCTGTTGTTGATGTTTACTCCTGCGTGCAAATAGTCCTTCTGTGGCACTCAATTTCGTACCGTCCGCTGCTTCTCCGGGCGGTGTATCGAGATGATCTGCTTCTCTTCGGTATATGTCCAACAGCGCTTCTCGTTCTTCCCGCTTTGCTTTCTCGCTGGCAAGCTTCGCAGCTAGTTGTGCGTTTCGGAACTGTTGTCTCGAATGGAGAAGTTCTTCGCCTATTCGTGCAACTTTTGCGGCGAGACGCGCTTCTTCGCCCGCTCGGGAGTCACGTCGTTTCCGTTGTGACGATTGTGCCTTGTAGTCTTCGGCCTCTTGGTGCAGGAATTCGAGCTCTTCTTCTAGTTGCTTGAGGCTATCGTGTATATCCTGGGCAAGTTCGATCCGTACCACGCTTTCGCCTTCTAGAGGTTCGGAGCCGGGCTGGAACTGGAGCTTGGCAAGCTTGTTGATGAGGGAGTTGGTCGCTTTTATCGAGTCGGAGAGAGCATGAAGCTGGGTTGACAGCTGGGCAGCATCCATGGTGGAAGTGTCGGTATGTTTCTGTCGCCCAGATGACGTATCGTATCGCTGAGGGGTGCAGGGTGGAGGGGAGGTGATAGAGGCGCGGTGTCTATGGAGGGTGCATGGTCTTCACTCGCGGTTCGCATGTGAAAATGGTCCGTCCTCTTGCGCTACGAACTGTCGCTGCTGTCTGTGCCAACTTTGGCGTCTGCCATTAACGGTATTGATGGTGCTTGGTCATGAAAACGTGGCAGTAACTTGATTAAGCAGCGGCCAGGGTCCGGCGGCTTGCATGCGTCCCGCAAGGCTCGAGCTACCTGTCCTCTCACATCGTCCACCACCACTACCCGACTTCTATTCACTCCTTGACCAGCCGTGTTCCATTGCTGTGCAACGCCGCCGGGAAATCTCCTTCAATCTGGCGTCTTCTCACTGAGCCACTGCTCCCTCCCTTCCAGCCTGCGGGCTGCCGCCAATCCGCCATTCGTCCATTCGCTATACTTAAATTATACCCATCATGCCGCCCAAATCCCGCTTCATGAAGCTCGACGCCTTCACCAAAACCGTCGAAGATGCACGAATCCGCACCTCCACCGGTGGTCTGGTCACCATTACATCGCTCATCCTCATCCTCTATCTGGTGTGGGGAGAATGGAGCGACTACCGAAGGGTCGTCGTGCACCCGGAACTTATCGTCGACAAGGGGCGTGGCGAGAAGATGGAGATTCACTTGAATGTGTCCTTCCCTCGCGTGCCCTGCGAGCTACTCACCCTCGATGTGATGGACGTGAGTGGAGACGTGCAGACGGGTGTCATGCATGGAGTGAACAAGGTCAGGCTTGATCCAAGCGGACGAGAGCTGTCCAAAGAAGCACTGAACGTGAACGGCGAAGATCAGGCACAACACATGGACCCGGACTATTGTGGAGAGTGTTACGGAGCACCCGCTCCTGCCAATGCGAAGAAATCTGGATGCTGCAACACTTGTGCCGAAGTACGGGAGGCATATGCCGGTGTGAGCTGGTCGTTCGGGAGAGGCGAGAACGTGGAACAGTGCGAGAGAGAGCACTATGCTGAGCACCTGGACGAGCAGAGAAAGGAGGGATGCCGGATTGAGGGCGGTATTCGCGTGAACAAGGTCGTGGGCAACTTCCACCTTGCCCCTGGAAAGAGTTTCAGCAATGGGAACATGCACGTTCACGATCTGGACAACTACTTTAAGAGCGGAGAGGTCCAGCATTCCTTCACACACAAGATCCATCATTTGCGATTTGGTCCGCAACTACCGGATGACATTGTGCAACGAGTGGGCAAGAAGGGCATGGCCTGGTCCAATCACCACTTGAACCCTCTGGACAACACGGAACAATTCACAGATGAGGTTGCCTACAACTACATGTACTTTGTGAAAGTCGTTCCGACTGCGTACTTGCCTCTGGGTTGGGAGAAGACCAACTCGATACTGGACATCCCCCACGAGCTGGTCGAGCTTGGAGGCTATGGCAAAGGTGAATCTGGTAGCATCGAGACTCATCAGTATTCTGTAACCTCGCACAAGCGATCTCTGTCGGGAGGAGATGCGAAGGAGGAAGGCCACGCCGAGAGACTACATGCTAGGGGTGGTATTCCCGGCGTGTTCTTCTCATATGTAAGATCTTCATCCCTTATCGCTACTCCATTACTAACACAATCTTAGGACATCTCACCCATGAAGGTCATCAACCGAGAGGCCCGCGCGAAGACCTTCTCCGGCTTCTTGGTCGGCGTCTGCGCTGTCATAGGAGGCACGTTAACGGTCGCCGCTGCCGTGGACCGGCTCTTGTACGAGGGCGGCTCCAAGTTGAAAAAATATCATGCAAGCTAGATGCATGTCTAGGATCAGCATGATATACGATAGATGTACTTGTTTCCACTATTTGAGCAGCATGGTCCGGAGTCATCGTGTGAATACAGAATCGCGGCGTTTGGGAGACGTGTTGAGTAACAACTAGAGCACGCATGAAAAGGCTGCGAGCTGGGTTTGAGAATGTGCAGTGTGAAATTAGGAGGGGCTGGAAGGTTTGGCAGGGTGGTCGCGTAGAGTTCAGTCTATGCTGCGTGAAGCATGTGAGTGCACTTCACGTGAAGTTCACGTTGTGTCAACGATGTTTGCACATTGCCTTTCGCTCACTTATTTCTCAACGGTTGCTGACCGGTAGATCTCGCCTCGTTTCGCGTAATTCTCACTTCACCCAAAGCTCACGACGTCTTCACAGCTCTTGACTTGACCTAACCACCTTCAACATCCTGTTGCATCGAGTGCTGCACATCCACATACCTACTTCGCCCTATACCACTCAAAGCTTTGAACATCCACTACTCAAGCACATTACGCTACGCACCGGGTGTCGCGACCGTCCACCACAACACTGACAACCCAGTATCTTTCAAGATCAACCCCGACACCCAACCCACACAAGCCACCATGCCCGAAAAACTCAAGGGCCCTTTCAGCTTCAAGGTCGCCAAGGCGGTCCTCAGCCCATCAGACATGGAGCGTTTGGCTTGCGCTTTTCTTAACACCGAGAATGTCTATCAGGTATGTATGAAGCTATCCTTATTGCTACCAAGCACGGGATCAAGCTGGCTCCATTGCACCATTGCGGTCTTGTCGCTGATATAATCCCAGTTCGATCTCAACAAGGCTGCCTCCGATTTTGGTGGCGCTAAACCAGACAGCTTCAAACGCTCGATCTGGGTCATTACGAAGAAGATCAAGGAGGCGATGGAGGGTCAGGGAAGTGATGCCGGTGGCGACGAAGTGGCTGCTACGCCAGCGAAGTCTGCTGGCAAGAAGCGTAAGGGGGCGGCAAGCGAGGTCAACGGGGATGAGAGCGCCGTGAAGAAGAAGGCGAAGGTGAATGGTGCTCGTGGAAAGGCTAAGAAAGCGAAGACTGAGGTGGAGAACGGCGAAGACGATGGAGAAGATCCATTGGCGGGTGCAGCTGACACTCCGGTGAAGAAGGAGAAGCATGTTGCTGGTGAGGGTGGCGATGGCGACGACGGGGATGACTGGTTGGTTTGAGTGACTTCATTCGACTTCCAAGGCGATCGAAGGAATAGCGATGTTGGAAAATCTGTGCCACAGAGTCTTGAGCCAAGGAAGACGAGCTACATTCTGGACTTATGTCTGGTAGTACTCTGCGAGTAGTTATTGTGCTGATGATGTACTCCGTCTCTATCAGCACTCAAGCACATGAACAATGTAGTTTTCTGGACCCGCTTCACTTCACTTCCCACATGTCATTAGAAAATTGGTTGAGATTAGGCACGATCTCAACTAGTCGCCATCGTGACCTTCTGTCCGTTTGCATCAGCTGCAGAAGCTTTACTTCGACCCCTGCCTTGCCGGCGCGCGCATAATAAGCACCAATCTCGCACTTTACTTCGACTTTCTTCGCAACACAAACATCCGCTCCTCGCTTTCCGACAGATCAGCTTCGACCACCACACATCACATCCATCCACACACATCGGTAACACTTTCGATCTCTCACTCATACAGACCCTCACTGACTGACATCGATCAGCCAACATGTCCACCACCATTGACTTAAGCGCTATCCCGGAAGGCGACTTGCGCCGCTTCGCAGCCTGCTGGCTCAACTCCGAACTCAGTGTACGTCTTCTTACGTCCCTTCCACTACACTTCTCATCTGTCACCGCCAATCGCACCATACTCATCGTCTTCGACAGACCAACTGGGAGGCAGCCCACGCCACCTTCGATCCGGAAGGCAAACTCAAGCTCGCCTCCTTCAAGACCGTGACCCAAAAGGCTAGCAAGAAGGCAGGCGGAGGAGGTGCTGCCGCCGAGAATGGAGATGCTAAGCCAAAGAAGGCCCCTGCGAAGCGCAAGAAGGCTGCGTCCGAAGCCAACGAGGACGGCGGTGATGGCGAATCGAAGTCCAAGAAGGCTCGCGCACCAGCTAAGAAGGGCAAGAAGGCTGCTTCGGAGGAGAAGGTCGTTGAAGGTACGATCTGCTTCGTCTTCCACTTTACTCAGATGTTTTACATTGCTGACACTTCGAGCAGATGACGAGGCTCCGGTCAAGGGAGAGGAGGGAGAAGATGAATGAAAAGGCGACTCCCAACACCGACTTTGCTTCAATAGCGCCTTGGACTAAAGAAAGGGATGACCTTGACCGTGTCTACAGAGTGGTCAGATCCGCATCTTCAGGATAGGGGTCTCCTTTGGATGCGCGCTAGCGTGTCTGCATTAGCCAACAGTCTCATTGATCTGATCAAGACGCATTGTGGCGCTGCGACATAACTACTGAATCGAGTTGAATTGAATTGAGGCGTCCCTGAGTTCGTGCCCTCGTCTTGAGCTTCCAGCAGTCTTTCTAGAATCGTCCTTTCTTGTCGTTCAGGTAGGCCCCGCTCATGCATCGGGTCCAGATCCGAAACGAGTGCCAGCAAACTGCGGCGTCTGCCTATCGCCAAGGCAATCGCACGACAAAGTCATCGCCCTTTGGATCAGGTTGTTCGCTGACCAGAGTCCATCGCAATTACGAAACAGAACAACCTCCCGCACTCCCGCCTCCATGACTCCCCTTGACTTCCCGTTCACACTCGTGAGCAACTGCGGAGAGCACGAAGTCCTGCTGAAGAAGTTCCTCCAGCCCTTCAAGTTCAAAGTCTCGTCAACCGATGACGAGGATGAATACTACATCGCGGTCTTCGAAGGCGTGTACAGAGGCAAACTCGTGGTCATCAAGGTTTACGGAAGCCTTGCTGGTTGCAGTGGCGAGCAGGCGTGCGTCCGTGCAGCCCGAGAAGTGAGAGCGCTGCGGCGATTGAGCAAACCATCGTCGCCATGCCCCCATGCTCCGCAACTTCGAGCGAGCTTCCAAGCAGATGGGTCGTGGTCCGACCGCTATCCCAACGACCCTGACTGCCAAGTCATCGTCATGACCAAACTTCCGGGGAGACTCATTGGCGAAGACATCTTGGGAGACCCGGATCAGTATCGCCGCGTGGCGGCTGCGTTCAAGAGAGCACTGGAGTAAGCCATTCACTTCTGGAGGAGATGTTTAGTGCCGCGGTTGCAAGACTAACGAGGTCTGTCCCTTCCTCCTAGTGATATCCATGCCCGAGGCGTAGACAACCGCAGCCATCACGACGGAAACATCTTGTGGCACGAGCAAGAAGACAAATGGTGAGCGACGGCCCTCGGTGTCCTACATTCCAGACAGGCAGACTGACCAGCCCACAGCTACATCATCGACTACGAGCGTGCTGGGTTTACTGAATTGCCAGATTCTTGCTTTGCCGATTGGTTATGCGGCCGTGCATCACTACAAATCGAGCATGCCTTGAAGGGAGCAGAAGAGTCGTCTAGCGCGGCTGGCCTTGCGTCGAAGGGAGGAGAAGAGGCGTCTATGGCCTGCGAGCCTGCTTCGGAGGGAGTCGAGAAGTCGTCTAGAGCGGCAAAGATTGAGGAGCTACAAGACCAGATGGCGGAGGAGGCCCTCCATGTCGATGAAGACTGATGAAATGCTTGGACACTGCTCCCGAAGCCGACGTGTGGTTCTTGAAGTTGCAGAAGCTTGACGGAGCAACAATGGAAGCGGCATTGATCAGACTCAACGTGTATGCAGCACCGATGTGTCGTCCGGAGTGATGTTGGTAGAATCTGAGTCGAAGTCTTCAATTGCGCTCTCGGCAGCACATTGTCAGGGAACCAGCTTCAGGAGGACCATCATCTTGATGGCCGGGATAGGGAGCATCGCATTTGATTCAAACTGTTACATAGACTGCGCTGACTTTGTGCTATGAGATGAAGCACAAGCAGTCCACGCCAACGTAGAACACAAAGAGTGGATATACAGCCAATGCCACTCTGTTCTTGATGACACCACTGCCGCCCAAAATGCTCACGCCAGCCGCTAATGACCACAGTCCAAGCACGCTGTAGACGGGTATTCGTACTATCGTGGGAACGTGGAAGGCGCTGAGGATCGAAGCGATGACCATGGGGAAGAGTGTGTAGCCGATGATGCAAACGGACTGGAAGAAGGAACTGTCGTATGTCAGCATTGTGATCGAATCCAAAGCATCGATAAACGTACATATTCCCTCCGAGCAACTTGATCTGCAGGGTCACAACTGCCTCGCCAATCCAGATGAGAGCAAAGACTCCGCTGAAGACAGCGGAGCGCTGGTCTTCTCTAGCACCAAGCGAGAGGAAGAAAGACAGAAGCAAGCAGAAAAGTAGCGGACCCCTGTACATATCATTAGCACGTCCTTCAGCGTAAAGACGCAGCAATGCAACATACCATAGATCCCAATCCCTCAAACCCTCGCTCATCCCGCCCTGCTCCAAGATAGTATCTGCATCAACTTGTGGCCATCTTCCCACAAGACCTCTGATATGCCCTGCCACGCCTGCTGGACCTCCTCCTTCGCCATTGTTTGCATTCATACCCTCCCCTCGAGCCATGACACCTCCAAGTAGGTACTTGGGGTAAAGCACCTGCCGCATCTTTTCCCACACGGCAAGCAGATCGCGCCGTAGAGTGTCCCAGACAGATTCGTCAAGTGTGTCAAGTGGTGCGCGGCGATCTTCGCCAGCGATGGCGTTATTGAGGTAGCCTTGAGCGGAATTGGCTGCGCGGGCGTTGGCTTGGGATTGTTGGTTTGTGATGTTGCCGGTCAGGGGTGCTCGGTCGCTCGTTGAGACGGGGTCGTCGAGATCGTCGAGAGTGGCTGTTAGAGAGTCTGTCAATATGGCAAGGCGGTGGTCTAGATGGAGGAGCGCATACCATCATCGGGATCGATGAGGTCGTCTTCCTCGACGGGTGCATCGTAGTGTTCGTAGGGGTTGGCTGATTGATTGCGTCCACTGCCGGGACCAGGCATCATTGCAGCCATGACGCTGGACGGGGTGAGAGGATGTTAAAGTGGTCGTTGCTGTGAGTGTTGTGGTGAGGTGAGCTCCGTGGTTATGGTGCAGCACTAAGATACAGCTGTCGCGAATGCCCTGACGCGTTTCTCGGCTGAGCTTCCCCAGCCCTTCCTACGCATAATGCCCGCGCCTGCCGCTATATGTACATGTATATTCGTTCACTGCATATCCAGCTTGAACCAGCTTTACGCGTGTTTGCGACTTCTCAGACTCAGCATTGACTCGACATGACACTCAATGGAGCACGCCGATGCACCGATGCAATTCATCTTCCTGGCGATTGCAGACAAGGCAAATCTGCCTCAACCCTGGGTTCTGAGTCCCTGGCAATGCCCTCTTGGACCGCGGGTCTGCATATGTCCTGGCGTAGCAAGAGCCTTGGACAGTCCGACTAACTCTATGGACGTTGAGCTATGAGATTCACCCAGAGCATTTCTTCTCTCATACCGCCCTGAGCTCGGGTTATACATCAGCCGAGGACGGAGACACTGGTGGGCCACTCGCAGATCTGCTGTCTTTCGCACCGTCTCGGAGCAGCGCCTCCTACACTCTATCCTACTCCGCCATTTTCCAACATGAGGCCGGTGCCCAGCTCGACCACGCGCCTGTTGTCCGCACCGAGTCGTGCTTTGGCCGCATGTGTCCTCTGGAGTTTTGCCGCTCGCAGGGGGCGTGAACTCTCATCGGCCCGTCGAAGAGTTCTCCGCCGCGTAAAGCGCCAGACTCCCGCTCCAATTCCACCAGCTGCTGCGGCGCGGGGATGCTGGATCTCGAAGATGCTCTCGCAGAGCTTCGCCAGCGGCACTTATGTGCGTCGCGACAGAGATCATCGCACCCCCGGCTGGCGGTCGGCGGCATAATGAGCAAAACCAGAACAGCCGCACGCGGGATGTGGAGAGTGACGATGTGGAGGGGCAGGCGCACATGAGACTGCAAGTCTATCGTGCTCGAGAGTTCCTCCGCCCAGAACTCTCGTGTCTCTGTTCTGCTGCTTTGCCTGTCTCGCAGACACGTCTCGGGAACCTTCATCCACTCGGAGCGCTTGCAATTCCCCTTGAGCGCCCTCGATCCAAGCAGCTAGCACGTTCATCGCCCGCCGCTTTCCCAGCGCTACTGCTTGCCCCATCTTGGACGAACGAGTGTTAGATATATATCTTGGACACCACCCCGGCGCCTTCGCAGCGCGACTTAGCGTAGGACTACCCATTCGTACTCTCTCACTTCTCTTCAAGACCCGCCCCTCACTCAGACCTAATCATGCACCAGGTCAGCATCTCTCCAGGCCTATCGCCTTCACCCTCCTCGACACCCTCTCGAACAGATTCTCGACTCGATCTCAGCGACGCATGTTGCACCAAGACAACCATGCCTGACGCAATCCTCGACGACATCTCCCACCGCCGTTACAACCTGCTCAGAGGGTCATGGGTGCTTGTGTCGCCTCATCGGACAAAACGTCCATGGCAAGGAGCACAGGAGGAGGCGAGCAAGAATACATTGCCGGAATACGATCCTTCCGTGTGTAGTGCTCGATGAGCAGCCTGCGGGAAATCGACTGACATAGGGCAGTGTTATCTGTGCCCACGCAACAAGCGCGCACAAGGCGATTCGAACCCCGATTATAACAGCACATTCGTCTTCGTCAACGATTATTCAGCTGTCAAAGAGCAGCAGGAAGAGTACGATGCACCGAAGGAGAATGGCAGTGAGTCGCTCGACGAGAAGTCAAATCTGAAGAGCCAGCCTGACGGGAAAGCAGCATTAGCGTCGCGTCTCCTCAAAGCCGAGAGCGTTACTGGCAAATGCTACGTGATCACATTCTCACCTTCGCACAACCTCACATTGGCCGACATGCCACCTCAAGACATCATGCCTGTAATAGAGACCTGGACCAAGATTTACATCGCCCATCTCGATCCTCAATCACCACTCGCTGGAATTGCACAACAAATACCCAACGGGACAGCCATTGGGCAGCCCAGAGACCAATACCGATACATGCAAATATTTGAGAACAAAGGCGCCGCAATGGGTTGCTCGAATCCTCACCCACACGGACAGGTCTGGACGACTACTTCTTTGCCAGAGGAGCCAAGCCTCGAGCTTCAGAATATGCAGCAGTATCGACGAGACCAGAAGGGGTCCCACATGCTGGTTGATTACGCGCAACTCGAATGTGAGAAGGGCGAGCGAACGGTATTCGAGAACCGAAGTTTCTGGGCTGGATGTCCCTGGTGGGCGACCTGGCCATTCGAGGTCATGGTGATCGCAAAGTCGCACAAGCGGGCTCTGGTCGACTTTGATCAAAGCGAAAAAGAGGATTTGGCTGAGGTTCTTTCGGAGATTACGAGGAGATATGACAACCTCTTCGAGACGAACTTCCCTTACAGTGAGCACAGCTTGACTCCCGACCTCCAATATTGATAGAAAGCTAACACTCTGCTACAGGCATGGGCATTCACCAAGCGCCCCTAACAGGCACAGACGAGGAGATTGAGGCTTCGCATTTCCACATCCACTTCTACCCACCTCTTCTCCGTAGCGCGACTGTCAGGAAATTCTTGGTTGGATACGAACTCATGGCAGAGCCACAACGCGATATCACTCCCGAGCAAGCTGCCAAGCGATTACGGGACTGCGGTGGCGATCTGTACCGCAAGAAGTTATAATTCGCCGCCAATTGTTATCCAGCGGCCGATCAATGCGATTTAATGCATAGATGAGCGAGGAGGCATTGCGCGGAGTTTTGGTGTGAAATGTTACATCTTAGACGGGGATTGTGAGGAGCATCAACCTCCCACCTACATTTAGATGGAGTGGAAATATTCTATCTGGATTACTTTCCCACGTTGGTCTCGTTTCCTCTTTCGTGTCCTGCGTCTAGTGCCCAGCACTTGGTGAACCAGATGCAGGTATTCGCCGTGACCGTGGCTAGGAGACCTTTTCCATCTATACAGCCAAAGTAGAAACGTTTTCCGATACCGATCCAGGTCCTCTCTCTCGTGCAATATCAGGCGGCGTGTCCAGTTGCGCCTGCTCGGCCGTCCGCTTGATGCCCGCCGCAGTATTTTGCAACTTCTGCCTCTCTTCACTCAGTTGCTCGTTTTCCTTGGCATCATCCCCATCCGTGACTTTAGCAACAACTGCCGCAGCAGCCTCCTTCATCGCCTTCTTCCTCTCTGCTTTAGTCATCTTCGGCTTCTCAAAAGCCCCAATTTCCAACCTCCGATCGACTTCCACAGCAGTTTCTTTCAAATCCTCATACCCCAAAACTTCCACAATCGAACTATAACTCTTCGCACTCATCATTTTCTTATACGCTCCGACTTTCCCAGGAATCATTTGTCCGAGAAGATACTTTGTATTCCCGAAACGATTTTCGACTTCAAGTGCGGTTTTCACATATTCTTTTACGACTTCGTCCCAGGGAGCTTTGCCGCCTTCGGATTCGGGACGGAAAACTGAGGGGTTTTGTTCGGCTGCTGTGGCGATCATGGCGCCGTCGACGCCGTATTGGGAGATGAGTTTCAATGCTTCATCGCGGGATGTTACGTCGCCGTTGATGAGGCAGGAGACGCCGGCTGCGTGACATGTTTCGCGAACGACTTTGAGACGGCCGTCGCGGATTGCGGCTTCGCGGGGGCGCATGGGTGTTGTGCGGCAGTGGACTGTTAGGCCATGGATACCGGTTTCGCAGAGTTTGCGGACGAGGTCTTGGGTTTCCTCGGGGGTGTCGAGGATGCGGATTTTCACGCTGATGCCGATTTCGTAGGGTATACCGACTTCTTTCACAAGGGCGCGAAGGATGGCGCAGAGTTTGTCGGGAGTTTTGAGGAGGGCTGCGCCCATTCCGCCGCTGGTGCTGAAGGGTTTGGGACAGCCTGCGTTGACGTCGATGCCTGCGACATCTTTTGCGATGAGTTTCGCGGCTTCGACTGCGGTTTCTGGGTTTGCAGTTCCGATCTGGTAGATGAGTTTCTTGCCTTCTCGTTCTGGGTGCAGGCGGTATATGACACTTTCGCGCTGGTCGGGATTTAGACTTGGGTTCTTGGCTCCATTCGAGGATATTCTGGTGAAGTCGACGGCTTTCGTCACTGGGTTTTCGTGTCGCGTCGTACCGATGAGCGCTTTGTCAATGGTCTCTGGTCCCCACACCAAGTCTGCACCGTACTTGAGTGCCACCAAACGCGATGGACATTCGCCACTGCGCACCATAGGGGCCAGGACGATCTTTCCTCTGTAGTCAACGCCATTCTTGGGGATGGAAACCCTCTTAGCCACGGATGTCATCGTGCGAAGCATTTAGCGTCTTCAGCATCCATGGGCCGGCTTTCAGGAGTACCCAGATGAGAAGACTCTCTCCCGTTTGTAAAGTGCAGCAACAGGGCTTGGCGGTGCGACGATGGAGTGCCTACTTTTTTCGCGATTTGAAGCTTCCGAAAGCGCCGCAGAGATGCGTTGCGAGTGACCGAGCCAACAGCCAAAGGACAAATTCTAGAAGTGAGCATGACGAATGAGGTCGGCAAAATGAGCGGGCCGTGCAAGCCACGAGTCTGCTCTGCTCTGCCAGTGGACGTGTCCAGCCGCGGCGGCGCAGCTCCCAGGACTTGTTTTCGCGATGCAACGGGCAACCTCTCTCTTAGCATCGCTCTTTGTTGGCAGGCCAGGATCGCCACTTTCTATCAAATGCGCCTGAAACATGTATGCATCCGTAGAGAAATGCCAGCGCAAGGCACTGGGCGAGTCTCAGCGATGTGGGAACACTCCACCGCCCGCAATACGGATTCAACGCCACCAGGCTTCGTAGATTGGGCGTGACAATTAGCTGTTCAACTATGCGCGCAATGAGTCTCCAATGTGTCGTTGGGTCTGTGCTGATAAAGCCCCAGTGCGTGGGATCGTGTGGGTTGCAGGAGCGCTCGACAGCGACACGGCTCTTTGGACGACGTGGACAGCAGGAAGGTTCACAGCCGACCCAATCAGTCCTGATTGGCTGAACAAGAGATCGAAGGCACACTCCCTCGCTCGTCCTCACAGGTCATCCGCAGGCCATGACGGCGTCGAGAGGGATCCGCCTGATTCCTAATATGATTTCAGCGGTTTGGAAGATGCACTCTCAACTGCAAGCATCCTGTCACGCGGAAGGAAGGGAGCTGCCTGATGAGGCATATGGATGATAGCATGCAGTCAAAATAGAGCGAGTCTGCAATCGAAAAGATCCGACTAGCCAAGCCGCGCCAGCTTACGGCAGAGAGCACGGCCGTTCCCTCTGAGAACATGAGTCTCGCTTCCAGCTTCGGCCGTCGCTCATCGTCTCTTCACCAACGCGCCCCATCAGCGTCTTTGCCTCTTTTCTTTTCCTTACCTCGCGGGATCTGAATCGCCGACCGGCGTCGGACTGGGCATTGCCTTTCTGCTCATCTGCGGCCCTATTTTCTGCGCGTTACTCGTCTGCGAGCTTATACGCTATTGTTGCCACGATTGGCCGCGCCGCTCCTTACCTCCAGACCTGCAATCCCAGACTACCCGGCCCTCTCTTTCCTCCCAAGTGACCACGTCACAGGATTGCACGCTTTGCTCTTGAAACGGCAGACATCGACTCATGTGTCGCTTCATCGACAAGCCGTCAAAGCGTAATGGCCGATGAGCTTGGCTCATCGACGCAGCCTGCTGCCATGGATTCTACTCCCGCCTCGAGGGCTCCCACAGCCTCGAGAGATGGCACACCCGCCGCCTCATTCCAAGCGATCAATTCCCGGGCCGCCTCAGAGAATGCACGCAATGCAACTCCAGCAGCCACTGGCCAACAACGCGGGAGCTCGTCTGACCTGACACCGCCGAGAGGCGATGCGGCTGTGGCACCAAAGGCTGCACAAACAGCACAAACTTCCACCTCTGCATCTCAGCCTTCGAAATTGTCTTCGCAAGTCGATGGTTTGGATGGCGCGATGGCCGAAGCATCCTATGGCACGCGTTCGCGCAATCGAACCAGCACGCGACCCAACTACGCCGAAGACCAAGACATGGACTTTGAATTCACATCCGCCGCCACGACGGGGAAGAAGAAAGGCCTCGATGCGTCTGCTGCAACTACGCAGGGGACCTCCGAGACCAAGCGCGCCCCCGACGCCACGTCTTTTCAAGCAGTCAACGGCAACGCGACGAGTGCCAAAGATTCGAACGCGTCAACGCCCACTGCAGCAGGCACGACGAAAAAGCGAAAAGCTGCTGGCAATGCGGCCGCCGCGCTCTCAGGGAACGCTGTATCTGCCACGCCTCCTCCAGGAGCGGCGCGAAAGCCGGCCGTTCCGACAGCCTCATCGACTCTAGCACGCGAGACCAACATCATGTCATTTTCCAAGCATCGCAGTTGCCTCAACAAAAAGGGCGAACTGGTTGCAGATGACGGGACGAAGCTGTCTGTCAACGGTAAGCTACTTTCCAGTCTCCTGATCTGGCTACAGCCCTCGCGAATCGAGGTTGCAGCCTACCCCGCTCCACAATTCCGTTTGTTCCTCAGGCTGACTTTTCGCCAGATCACGTGTACCTTGTTTGTGAGCCGCCGGGAGATCCCTACTACCTTTGTCGCATTATGGAATTCCTCCATGTCGAAAGCGATAACAAAAACTCGCCTGTGGATGCGTTGCGTGTGAACTGGTATTACCGACCACGAGATGTTCAACGATTCAGCAGCGATACTCGTCTCGTCTATGGTACCATGCATTCCGACATGTGTCCACTCACATCCCTCCGCGGAAAATGCACGATCAAGCATCGCTCCGAGATTGATGACCTGGACGCCTATCGAAAGGAACGCGATTCCTTCTACTTCGTGCAGGTCTTCGACCGCTTCATTCGGCGGTCCTACGAATGTATCCCAGTCAAGCAGATCGTGAACGTGCCCGACAAGGTCAAGAAAGCGCTTGACGAGCGATGGAAGTTCGTCGTTGTCGAAATAGGCCGTGTCAAAGAATTGACAAGCGCGGCCAAGTCTTGCAAGCGCTGTGCACGATATTGTGCATCCACTGATTCCGTGGACTGCGCAATCTGCAAGAACTCCTACCACATGAATTGTGTGCAGCCTCCGCTTCCAAAGAAGCCTTCACGCGGTTTCGCCTGGGCTTGTGGTCCTTGCAGCCGCGCTTCGGAACGAGAACAGGAAGCACGCAACACTCCAAATGCTAGTGGTCATGTAACGGAAGCCGAAGAGGAAGATGCTGCGCCGGAGGAGGAGGCTCCAGGCTTCTCGAGCAATACGACTCGCGCACCAAGTCCAGACGTGGATGATATGGTCATAGACGATCACCCTGCTACTCAAGCCGAGATCGCGCTCGCAAAGATGTGGCCCATGCGCTATCTGGGTATTCACGCTCGGGTGGAAGATGCACTGCAGTACGATGATCGGGCGATATACCCTCGAGCCAGCTCGCGCCTTGGTCCACGGCATCAGGCCAATGTGAATGTATGGCACGGACGTCCGGTCGAGCTTGTGAAGCCAGCAGAAATCAAAAAGCGATACATGAAGGCCGGAGCCCAGAAGAAGGAAACGAAGCTGACGAAAGAGTCCTTGGCGGCAATCGAAGCAGATAAGGAAGAGAAAGCGAAACGCCCAAAGTGGGTACAGGACGAGCCTCCCGGCTACGTTGCTCGAGGCGAGGACTACGATCCGAAAGATCCGAAGTGCACAGCAACGCCAATTTTCGTGATGCCTCCGCTCGACAAGCCTCCGAAGCAAGCGGACATGAGCGAACCGGATCCAGTGAAACGAAATGAGAAATTTGTTGATGCTTACTTGGAGCGGGCAAAACCTCTTGCCAGGGGCATCGGAGTGCCACCTTTTGGTACGAATTTTCTGGACCGGGCAGTGAAGGTGCTTATCGACAACAAGTACAACACAGATGCTGCGCTGAAGGCGTTGCAAAAGACGGATCGCGTCAAGGATCTCCACGAGCCCGTGCTGAGCAAACAGGATCTGTTCAAATTCGAGGAAGGAGTTGCCAAATATGGTTCGGAACACCGGCTTATCCGTCTCCATATGAAGACGAATCTGCCGCATGCTGATATTGTACGGTTCTACTATCTCTGGAAGAAGACGCCGAAAGGCAAAGAGATCTGGGGCAACTATGGAGGACGCAAGAAGAAGAAGGCGGAACCTGCCGGGGACGCTGGCAGCAAGCTTCAGGCAGAGTTGGCTCATGATGTGGATGACTCTGCATTCGACAACGACAAGGCTATCCGCAAGAATCGTGGCTTCCAGTGCAAGTACTGCAGCACAACCCATTCGCGGCAATGGAGACGCGCGCCTGGCGTGTCTCCCGGACAAATGGTCACAGTGGAGAAAATCGAGAAAGGGCAGAAGACCGAAAAGAAGGAACGCTACGTGCTTGCTCTCTGCCTTCGATGTGCGAACTTGTGGCGAAAGTACGCAATCAAGTGGGAGGACATCGACGAAGTCTCGAAAAAGATTGCACAGAGCGGTGGGCGCGTATTCAAGAAGAAAATTGACGAGGAGCTGCTGCGTGAGCTGATCGCTGCCAACGAAGCTCCGCCGGATCCGGATATCGCCAACCCGTCGTCTTTCGAGAGCGGCGAGCCTCCCAAGAAGAAGTCAAAGACAGGCAAAGCAGCAGCAGTTCCATTGACAGAGCATGTGGAGAAGCCTGCTCCACCGCCGCCCCCACCGAAGGAACCAACACCGCCGCCGCCACCCATCATTCCGGCTCAGCCGACTTGGAAAGTGCTTCCTTGCGCGGTCTGCAAAGGGTTTGAAGATACCATTGCCTGTGCTCATTGCAAGCTGACTGTGCACCGACGCTGTTTCGGAGTCGGCGAGCACGACGGGATCAGACCGAACGGTGAGGTGAACTGGATCTGTGAGCAGTGTCAGAACGATCGCAACCCGCTCGTGTCAACAGATTATTGTTGCTGTTTGTGCTTGACAGAAGAAACAATGGTGGATCTGGTCGAACCGCCCAGGGTTTCGCACAAGAAAAAGACGGACCGGGAGCGAGAAAAAGAGCGGCTGGAGAAGGAGCTTGCCGATGGCATGCGCAACGAGTACCGCAATANNNNGCCCACCAATACCTCGCGAGCCGCTGAAGCGCACAACTGGCAATAATTGGGTTCACGTGTCGTGTTCTCTTTGGGCGAACGAGATTCGGTACAGCAACGCAGAGAAGCTGGAAATTGCCGAGGGCTTCCAACTGATCCCGCAAGCACGTTTCGAAGCCATTTGCAAACTGTGCAAGAATCGGGACATTGCTAACAAGTTTCGCGAAAACGCAGGCGCCTGCATCAATTGCAGCCAATGCCAGGCCGCGTTCCATGCGTCTTGTGCATTCGAGGCTCACTATACGTTCGGATTTGATGTCCAACCCGTCAAGGGCTCGCGCAAAGATCAGGTCACGACTGTCACACTGGGCAATGAAACTGGTTCGGTGACTCCCGTCGTGCTCTGCAAGGAGCACACGTTCAAAGGCGTCCTCCACCCAATCGATGAGTACTACGAAGACGTTGGCAAGACTGCTCTGCAAATATATGCCGAGGCGTATAAGCAGGCTGACCTGACCTTGACTGGCACATCGCGCAAAGCTGCTGAGGCGCAACTTACTAAGGATAAGAAGGGCCAACAAGCAGCACTCTCCCAGGGCACGAATCGTAGGGAATCTGGCGCGCATGGAATAGCAGCTGCTGTACGTCGAGGCGCAAGGACTTCTATCGCCGCTGATACGAAGCCTGAACCATCAGACGGTGTCGTGGATATAAGCATGGTCCCGGAGGAGGAACAACGACGATGTGTCAAATGCGACGTCGACGTGACACCAAAATGGCATCCAGTCGCAAAAGGAGCTGGAGAAGAGGCGATCAAGACAACAGAACACGACAGGCCTTCCGAGCAGCCTAAAATCCCCGAAAAGCTCAACATCCGCTTCATGGCACCAGGCGCGAATGGGCGAGCATGGGAGGGCATGCCAGAACGCTTCAACGGTGGGCTAAGTGCCGATCGTGAAAATGGAGAAAGTGAAGGGCCCGCGCCCGCTGTGCAAGATCCTAACGCACCGTCCACGATCACGCACAACGGCGAAGCTCGCTCTGCTATTGGCGAACCCATCAGAGTCGATCACAATGACCCGGCGACTCATGCTCATGGTCTGCCGCAAGGCTATGTTCCTCCTGCCGCTCGTACTTCTCCATCGCTAGAGGAATGCCAGAAGCCCGAGGAACAGGTTCCAACAGAATTTCTGTGCCACAAATGTTTCCTCAAGAGCAAGCTGGAGACTTCTCCGCCGCCTGAAGATGGAGACAAACGGGCATCCTCGCTTCCAAGAGGGAGCAAGCGTCCGACACCAGCGCCGATCCCATCCATCGAGGAGCAGTTCCGTGCTATCGACAACCCGCCTCAGCCAACCCCAATACCACCGGCTGCACCTCCGCCACTCAATGGGATGCCTGGCCACGGTCCTCCCGGACAATATGGACCCCATCATCATGGTGGACCGCCCCATCACGTCTACCCACAGCAGTTCCATCAGCCAAACGGCTATCACCAGCCACCTCCTGCACCTCAAATGGGATTCCATGACCGGCAGAACAGCTACGGCAATTATGGTTACCATGCGCCCCGGCCAGCGCCAATCCCGCCAGCACCTCACTATGGGCCCTCGTTCGCACAAAGTCAGCCTCCGCGCCCTCCACCATTGAACGGTTTTGGTCCGCCGGGACAAGTTCCGAATGGCGGAATGCGATCGCCTCATCCCGGTCAGCCATCTCCTGGTTACCCTCCGCCTTCTCAGCATCACCAGATGTCGGGAATGTCTCGTGATGGCCCATATCCAGGACAACTCCCTTCGTTGGGGCCCCCGGTGCATTCCAGTCCCCATGCTTTGTTCGGGAGACCTGGTTCGCAGCCACAGAACGTACCTCAGCCGCAGCACCCTCCGCCGGCCCAGCCTCAAAACCCCATGAATTCACCTGCACCACCTCCACCGCAGATGCAGCAACAGGTGCAGCAGGGCCCACCTACACCCTCCATACCGCAAGCACAACAGTCCACCGAGCAGCAGAGCCAAAATCAGCAGCAGGCCAACACAAGTCCGCGACTGGAAGGCGGAGAGGCGGCAAGGCCCACAACACCCCGAGGTGGGCAAGTCAATGGAACGACTGGAGCGAGTGCGAGTCCTAATTTAGCGAATCTCTTGCATTGATATGAGACCTTGACAGGTTGAGGTGTGTGTTATTTTATTAGAGGCTATGTGGACCTCGGTATTTGTGGGAGGACGGATCTGAGCAGTGTGTAGGCTCTTGTTTTGATACCCCATGTAGCAATTTTGACGGTCGCTCAAGGCAGAGCGGCCAGTTTAATAGAACATTCTGGACCCATAAAGAGGTGCTAGTGACGTCTAGTGCTGGTGTTAATGGTGGTGATTGTGCTGGTAGTGGAAGTGGAAGTGGAAGCTTTAGCGTTGTCCATGCCTGAGGCTCCGCCCAAAGGGTCACAACTCGATGAAGAAACCTTTTGTTCTGACACAACCGCTTCATCAGGACTTCTGCCGCCGACGATGGGGAAGGTAAGTGGATGCGTTCCCAGTTCATACGCCGTCCAGCACGACGAGCACGAGTGCAGCATGGCTGCAGAGCAATGGCGAGCGCTCTCTGTAGCATCTGCAAAGATGCCTCGCAACGCTGCCGTCCTTGCATCAGCTCTCAGCTCTGTCGCGCGCGTGCTCGACAGCAGCGCGTGGACTGTGTGCAGTCGCTTCCACTGACGGACGCTGCTTGCTAACACGGATGGTATCTAGGCCTATTCGCCGGAGCAGCGCGAGCAGGTGCGCCAGCTTCTCGAGTCCGGTCGCGACGAGGAGTCGATCGAGAAAGAGACTGGCGTCAGCGACCGCACCATTCGGCGATGGAAGCTGGAGCTCGAGCGGACGGGCAGAATAGGCAAACCCCCGGAGTCGCGCACCGGCAGACATCGAGTACTGTCGGCCGAGATCGAGCAGGCTCTCGTCGACCATGTGAAACAGAACCCCGAGCTCTCGGTGGATGATATGCTATGGTGGTTGTACGATAAGCACAAGATTGTGGTGGGGACGAGGACCATCCGGCGCGTCTTCGAGCGCAAGGGCGACAAGGTGAAGATCAAAGGCAGCAAGAAGAAGGGTGATGCGAATGACGACGACGAGGAAGACGACGGAGATGGTGAGGGCCCGACGACTTCCAACAACAACGCGAATACCATGTCGCCCATGCACCCCAACGGACATTACCAGAGCCCATACGCGCCCATGGTGCCGCAGAACGCAGAGCAGCAGCTCGCTCAGGCTTTGCAACAGCAAACTCAACAGCAGACGCCGGTCCAGCGGCAATCCTCGTTCAGCGCGCCCATGGCCGGCAACAATAACGACGACGTAGAGGACGATGAAGAAACGCTGCAGCTTCAACTTCAGCAGATCGAGCTCCAGAAGCGCGAGCTCGAGGTAAAGCTGAAGCTGCGACGTATACAAAGTGGTAAGAACACTCCTGCGTCCGCTGCTCGCAAAGGCAGCACGCCGAACTCTGGCACGAGTTCGTTGTACAATCCTAATCTCGTGGTACCCACACCTCCGAAGCGCGATTCGCGAAGCAAGAAGAAGATTGAGGAGTCAAAGCGTCGCACTGCGGAGCGGCAGGAGCGCATGCTTCGGGACTTGGAGCGACGATCGCGTCGGCGCGATCATCTCACGGCGGAATGGGTATCATCGAAGGATATTTGGCCACTTCGGGCTCAAGGTCTTCTCGCCGATCTCATGCACCAATATGGATGCTACGCCTTTGCGCAGAATCAAGTCGATGTCTTCGAGTCCATGTATCGGGAGCTCTACAAGCTGGTCGACCTCAGCAAAGGAGACTGGTTGCCTCAGCTCCACGACGATATGCTGCGGGAGAGGATGAAGCGCAAGATGGGACAATTGCGGACCAAGATGCAGAAGACGGGTGAGATCATATCCCGTGCAGATGGCTATGGAGGTTTCACGAAGAGCGACAGCTACACTGGCGAGCAAGCTGGCGCCGCCGAGGGCGATGAATCGGAGTTCCTTGGAGATGCTACCGACTTTGGTCAGCAAGCCCAATCGGAGCAAAAATACGTTGATGGATATCAGGCGGCTGATCAGAACAACGGATTTGGTGCACATCAGCAGACGGTGCAGCAAAGTTTCGATCCCCAACAGGTGCAGCAGCAGGGAGGCGCGGTACCGGAGGCACAGATGCAGGACCAGATTCAGTATGAGCCGGTGCAAGACCATGGAATGCAGCACATTTCATACACTCACAACATGATGGGCAACCAGGGTCCACAGTATCCCGGCATGCACATGGAGGGAATGATGCCTTACGGCAACATCAATGGCGGTATGGGGATGTAGACTGAGCATTGCCGCAGGAGGCTGCTGCTCCGGAACGCCGCGACGTACAAAAGCCAACGGAGTCGCTACGAGTTTTGATCAATTTCTGGAATGCGAGCGGGCGCTATTGGAGGGCGATGGAGTTGAGGTTACGGACTCGGTGTTTTATGACCGCGCACTGCTTGCGAATGATACCACTGTAGCTTGTGGGGAGGGAGGGAGATTTCTGGAGTCAAAAGCATTATTTCGCGAGCAGAAATCAGAATGGAGCGCATTGCTGTGTCTTGTCTCATGTGCCGTTTGGATTGCTCGTATGCTGACTTCACCCCGCTATTTGACCTCAGCCTCAGTCCATGTCTCAGATGGCGCTTAGTAGTGACAAACAAGCATCTCTTCACGGTCTGACCGACACGCCGTCCACTGCAACTGGCAAAGTTGATCGGCAGCCGTGGTGGCCGCGGTGCTTCTCTGGCTTGTTCATCGATAGAGCTGTGCTTGACGTGCGACGCGTGGCCTCGGTGCAGCGTGCCGCCATCCCACTCAGCCCCTCCACCACCACCAAACGACAGTCTAAGCCCAAGCCACACCGATCTAGAACACCGCACACCAACAAGTGAGGGAGAAAGTTTGGCGCGACCTCACTATTTGTGCTGTTGCAGCCGCATTGGATCAGCATGATCGCAACATCGTCGCCAACATGGAGTCCCCGTCCGCAACGGAAACAAAGCACGACCCGCTCGCTCTGCCCTCGCCAGAGAAGCTGAGAGAGATTGAGCGGCAGCAGAATGAGAGAGCTGCAGAGATCCGCGCCAGACGCAGGCGTGCGACGGTCGACGAGAGAACCAATGCCGCCGAGATCATTCAGCGGAATTTTCGGGGCCATCAGGCCCGCAGAGCCATGAAAGGATATGCCCTAGATCCCAGCACCCGATGGCTTGAGGTATGAAGATCTCGTGTCGCATTGAGCAGAAGTGCGTGCAGTCAACTTATGCTGCTCCCGCTCTGCACCCGCAACCAGTCAGTCGCAATCGCACGACGCGCTGACCTCATTGAATCGGTAGGCGCTCAAAGATGGTATGCCATCGTCCTCGTTATGGTCGCGAACTGCCCGTGTCGAGGAAGCTAATCCCGTGACAGCCGAATACAGCAGGCTTACGAGACCAGTCTCGAATGTGCAACGCTTTAATGAATCTCCTACAGCGGCGGATCGGGTGAAGAAGAGGTGGGCGCAGGCGAGTGCCGCTGCGAGGCATGCGGGGAGCGACAACACCAGTGATGAGGACGATGACGATCATGCGAGTCAAGCGGAACTGAGAGACAAGAGGCGAAAACAGAAGCAGGAGCGGGAAAAGTACGCCAAAGTCATGGGGTTGGAATATTTTCTGGAAATGGTATGTGAGATAGTATATGGCCGGAGGATAGCTGCGACTGATGATTTGACTACAGGTCGATCAGAAACATCGTTACGGCAGTAATCTGCGCAGATATCACAAGGAGTGGATGACGCGTGACACAAAGGAAAACTTCTTCTACTGGCTGGACTATGGCGAAGGGAAATCTGTCGACCTTCCAGATCGGCCACGAGAGCGGCTGGACCGAGAACAAGTCAGGTACTTGAGCCGCGAGGAACGGAAAAGGTATCTTGTCAACATTGATAAGCAAGGTCGGTTCGTGTGGAACAAAGATGGGAAGCCCATCACCACGTCTCTGGATTTTAAAGACAGCATCGACGGGATTGTGCATTTGAGTGATGACACACCAACCTGGCGAGAAGTAACGACAGGCGTAAAACCAGAGCCAAGGCGATATGATTCCTCGGACGATTCCTCCTCGATAGCATCGGACATCAGCACCGGATCTCACGAGGACTCTTCAAAATATGCGAACGAGGAGTTCCATGATGCCAAAGGCTTGAATAAACTTAATCACATCAGCGTCGACACTCTAATGAATCACCTTCTACGCAAGACGACAAAGAAGAATACGTGGATATTTGTCGCGGACACTTCTTTCCGATTATACGTGGGCATCAAACAATCTGGCGCCTTTCAACACTCTTCATTTCTCAAAGGCGCTCGTGTCGCAGCAGCAGGGCTCATCAAAATTAAACGAGGTCAAATCCGCAAACTCTCGCCGCTTTCTGGCCACTACGCCCCTCCTGTTCGCAACTTCCGCGAGTTCCTGAAGAATCTCAAAGAAGAAGGCGCGGATCTCTCTCATCTCAATGTTTCGCGCAGTTATGCTGTCATTCTTGGCCTGGAGGGCTATTTGACAGTGAAGCAACGAGCTAAAAATGTCAAGCAGGGAGCGAAAGATATGATTGATCCTGAGGAGAAGAAACGTCGATTAGAGGCGGAAAAGGATAAGAGTCAGTCTGCGCAGAGAGAACGGGAAGTGCTAGCGATGGAGCAGAATCAGCAGAGGAGTCGGAGTATGTCGCAGAGGTTTATCAAGAAGATGGGTTTGGCGAAGTGGGGTGACAGCGAAGGCATGGGAACACTGGCTGAGACCGAGTTGGCGAAAGGCGAGACAACTTCTCTTCCGCAGAATGGCGATGTGGTGGGCGGTGCCAGTTCACTTTCTGCTGCGAGTGGGCCTGCTCTGGGCAGCGGTCAACAGCCTCCTGCGACTGTGGGAAAGAGTGCTACGATTGCGAGTGGAACTCCGGCTGCGGATGCGAGGAAAAGAGATCGTATGAAGGGGAAGTTGCTGGGAAGTTAGAAGCTTTCTCCTACTCCTTGGTGTTGCTTTTCTTGTCCATGATGGAATGGATGAGGTGATGCGGTGTTTGAGATTCCCCCATTTGAGCTTCTGTAGGAGAAAATTAGGAATGAATTGGATTCTTTCAAGAGTTGATCTGTTCTCGTCTCATCTACGAAGTTCTCGATCTATATGCTCCCTTGCCACAAATTCTGTATGGTGCTGCAACGGCAGAGATTCTCGAAGATCGCGCTCTGCTGTCATGCTATGGCTTTAGAAGATGATTGAACATGATTATAGCGCCGGCATGATTGCGAAATCGAATGTTCGAAGCTGGAAATGGCCTATCCTCACCATCGCCGGCTGTCCCATGACTTTCTTCCCATGCAACCCTAACGTCTTGGCGCTCAGATAGGGTTGTTGAAGTGGAGGATTTAGTTAGAGAGAGCAAGATTTTATCTATCCATTGCAAAGAAGGTTGGGTAGCCTGTTAATGGAAGTTCTGATAGTTTGAAATAGGGCAAGATGAAACTCCAGAGCTTTCGAGTGGAGGTGTGCTGTCACATTTGCAATGAAGTTAAACCCACGTAAGGGAGATGTGACAAAAACACTAACGAAGTTAATTCTCTCATCTCAATCGAAAGATGACCTCTTCTCCTCCACTATCACTTTCCAACGCTTCACCTGCCATGAGCCCATGAACATACGCCACACCAACAACTTCATAATCTCCGGAGTACTTTTCAGACGGTCTCAAAATGACGGGGAATGTTCCTCCGTAAAGAATTGTTACTTTGTCACATGGACTAATATTCTTGGGTCCGAGTCCTATGTGTCCAGTGTCTGTAGAGAAGAAATTCCGATGATAGCATGCGTTGATCATAGAGCGGTAGTATTGTACTGCGATAGGGTCGGCGTCTGCGTCCCAGGGGAATTTGCGGTTTGTTATGAGGTAGGAGAGGAAGTGTTGAAGGCCGAGGATGCTTTTTGAGGGGTCAGAGGCGGCTCTGGTGCCGTCGAGGTGGACGCCGGCTTGGAAGGTGGTTGCAACGGCTGTGTCGGTGTCGATGGCGGCGGTGGTCGGATTGAATTGTGTAGAGAGAGATGACTCGTGCGCGATGGACAGGCTGGATGATATGAATGTGATGAAGTCGAAGAGGCTGCTTTCTTGTCGGAGGGAGGAAACGACTTGAGAGACTGGGCCAGGGAGAAGAAGTCCGCTTACAGTGAGGACGCCGTTGGAGTTGCCAGTATTGTGCAGTTGGAGTGGTCTTCCGCCATCAGCGGATGTCCCGAGTGGACTCAAAGGGTTGGGGTCGTGTGCCTTGTTGATGGGCTTGTTGAAGCGCGGGACCCAGGATGGGAGTTCGTCAATGTGTCCGGACCTGTACCCAGCCAGCCCGAGGCCGGCTAGACTTTTGTCAGACGTGATGGCAGCCAGAGCGGCACGCTCGTATACCTCGGGGTATAAGACTGAATAATCCGGCGTCAGCATCGACGACACGGCACCCGATAATTTGTCGTGTATGCCCAGTGTGCCAAAGACGTAGTCGCGAGCATCCGTAGCGTTGAAGAAACGCATCGATTCCAAGATGTGGATTGACTTGACTCTGATCATTGGGTCCAGAGAATATATTCGGTCTGCCCCAGCCCATCTCAGCATGAATTCCAGTCTGGCAAAATTGACGTGTGGAGAGGTTGGGAACCACCTCTCGGTGCGAAAGTTCAGCGAGAACCAGGCAATCGCACGTAGAATGTCGATGAAAAGGATTCGAGCTTCCCCATATATACAAACATTTTGCGGCGCCAGTGCGACTTCTTGCACGACCCAGAGGCGCGAGAACCATTCGCATGTGAACAAATCTAGCAGTGCTTGACGGTCGAGGGAGAGATTACTTCCGGTGGAAGTATGCTTCCAGTTATTATGAGGGTCGAAGAGCATTTCCGATAGTTTCCGGTATTGGTCAGTACTCCTGGCCAAATCTGTCACAATCGCATCTACATTTGCTACCAGCGAAGCCGCTCCGTGCTTCTCGACGCTGAGAAATATCAGATTGCATCTTGACATCGAATAAATGCGACTCATCAAGGCCACTTGTTGACTACGCTCCGCACTGTCCTTTTGATTGATACATATTGCATCGATCCACAGAGTCCTCGGTCTTTCTGGTAGACGTGCACGGAACAAGACTTTCTGAGCGCTAACGGGGATGCCCAGGATCATGTCGTCGATATAGACTTCTCCGGTCAAGCTTGCGTTGCCCCAGACATAGGAAGTTGTCTCATAGTCCGGCGGGGACTCGCCTCCCAGAGGAACCGTTTGGAGAGCGCATCGTAGAGTTTGCCTGCCGCTTCCAGGCTCGAGAATGAGCACCCGAATCTCGTGCGCTGGCGCAGTAAGCGGCTGATAATGGTACTGATGCACAGGTTTCAAGACCTTGTCCAGTAATCGCCGTGCCATGAGGGTCCGATGCACCCGGTATGTGTCCTTACAAGTGCCTTGTGCGGCTGCGACGGGGAAGGTGGTGGCATCGTGGGTTCTATACGCACCCGTGGCACTGTCACTGTGCTGTCAGCTGCGATGGTGCACCCACGTCTGCTCACAGGTCGACAGCTCCGACGCCACATTCCTGTAGCTACTTCCTACTCGGGGACTCGCTTCGGAGAGTACAGATTCGGTTAGCTTGCAGCTGAGGGTACAGCATACACCGAAGGCCGCGGGTTTCATTGAGACTGGAGTCTGTCGAGCGTCAGATTCCACTCTTCGATGTTTGCAGAAAGTGGTTTCCTGGACAAATAAGATGCACAAATAGCTGGAGTGCCCGCAGCGAGCCTTTATAACCGGTTTTCGGTGTATGCGACGACGCTGCTGATAAGTGCTGTGTCACATTTAACAGCTTCAAGAGATGGGCGGCAAATTTGGAGCAGTCCCAGAGATTGCCTGCCACGCCGAGATCCAGTCTCGCGTGGCTAAATGGATCGCAAAATGCCTGTTCTAGGTGCTGAGAATTGCAAGCAAAGACATAATGGTCCATAGCACAATAGTGTGATTTGGAGAATTAGGTCATGTCGGTTTTTGGGAAATCCAAGCAAGCCATGGTGATGGCAGGCGTGTTGCAAACGGCCTCGGCGACTACACACGAGGCAAGAGATGTCCAGCAACGAACTCTGGCCTCCCTCCTAGTGTGCAACTGCTTGTCGCAGTGAAGCTCCAGATTCGGAGAGTGGGATTAGCTCCTATGGGTCCTGCAATGTGCACCGACGGAGGAATTCTTCACATATGCATAATAGCTTAGACCCGTCGGATATCTGGAGTCTGCAGGTACGTGATAAGCAGCCCGGTTGTTGCAAGCAGTGACGGCTGTCGCAGTGAGGCATGGTGACTCTAGCCCGATTCGTATGTTTGCGCTGCCAGTTGAGTTGCTGGCTACGAAGCCAACAGGGACGAGGAAAAGCCAGTAGAGCATGCCTTCAACTTGGAGCAGATGGCATACCCTGAGGTGCTCGTCAGCATGGCGTAAATGACGGTCTGGGTCTTCTATTGGACTCTGGAGGAAAATCTGTTTGCAATCATTGGACACGCACAATGATGGCAGTCCAGGCTTCGTGGGGTGATCAAGTCAGCTGTCAAACGGCATCTTCGCGTCATGGCCTGGAGTGGTGTGAATTGGCGAACGATGTCGAAATGCAGGGCCCTCCATGCCTCGAAGGCGGCAGCGGGTCGTGCAACACGGCACTGACTCCGCTTGACACAATGTTGTCTCGGACTCGGCTCCAGCAAGAGTCAACGATAGATGGTATTTTCAATCCGGCGGCATGTAGTGTTGTTCCTGCATTTGACGAGACTGGTCACTTCTAAAGAGCGCCTCCGTGCCGAACAGCCCGACGCAGCTCCATCACGCATCTCCCCAGTTGAATATCGGATGGCGGGATGCACAGCTGCTGTGTGGACGATCTGCTCGAAGGTCGCGATTTGGAGCGCGTGGTTCGATCGGTTGCGCGCGTCGCACAGCAGGGCGGAGATGATGTAAGACGCCGTGCGACTCCCAAGACGTCCAATGGTCCGCGTGTGTCGCGTCGCGATGAGCACAGTGATGAAGTTGGATGGGCGAAACTTGGACGCAGCGGTGGAAGCGGAGCATTTGACGACATGGCACAGCGATTGCGACATGGGTTGTTTCAGGCTGCTCGGCTGCCCTTTCCGCGCGCGCGCCGCCTTCACGTGGTCGGCTGGAGCTATTCTCGCCGCAAGTGCAAACCTTCTCCCACTTCACCGTGTGCAGAGGATCATCGCCCAAGTTATCCAAGCCAAGGCACGTCGTGTTCACGCTGCCACGCTGCCTGGAGCTCGCCTGCGCAGCGCTGCAACTGCACCACTTCCAACTCTTGCTGCTCCGCCGGCCAACTTGTGGCTCGTGATGTGTGGCTCGCGGCAGGCGACACAGCGTCGTGCAGCCATCGACGATGCGCCTGACATCGCCAACCACGCTGATGGATCTCATCTCGACTCTCGTCAAGGAATTGTGGGCCAAGCCACAATACACGCGCACCTGGCCCCTTTGGTCGCCCACTGGACATGGCCCTTCTTCATCACCACATCTGGGCCCATCGACGTGGATCATCAGTGGGCTGGGGACTGAGGCCCACTGCTCTGCTCCAGACTCGCTGGCGGGTGACGTCTGCTCCTCATACTCGCAGCAGAAGGTAGGTTGGCGCGTAGGCAAACGGGAGGACTGACGGACAGACGCACAATCAGGCGAGCGCAACAGGAAGCACATCCGCTGCCTCGCTCGACGCGTCCGCTGATCACGGCGTGTGGCGTCAATCGAGTCTGGAAACCTGGCACACGCTGCGAGCGACCCGACGGAGTGTTTCCACTGGCCACACGCGAGGCGCGAGCTCCCATCCCTGCACTGCTGCCGTTCAATGTCGACGAGCTGTCCCATCTGACATCATTCGATATCATCTTGACGGCCGTGGCAGCGCGTCTGTACCTCCGTCAAGCACACCTCATGCTCTTTCCCTGTCTCTCGCAGCACATGCGAGCTGCATAGCTATAACTACCCTCCCACCTCTCTCAGCCACACGTCCACATACCCTCCCATTTTGCTCCCTTGCTACACAGCCGTTGCCTTTGCATGTCAAGCAACTCTAAACAGTACGCGTACTACTCCTTCCCACCTACTCCTAATCGCACCTCTCCATCTAGTCGACGACGTTACGAATCACGAAGTAATTCCGCATCCACCACCAAGTCTTCTTACGAAATGGCCCCATCTCCCGCCGCAGGAAAGCAGCAGTCCGGCTCCGTTCCCAAGACTCCCACAAAGCTTCAGAGAAAGCCTGGCCAGACTCCACAGCGACAAGGCCAAGCTTCCGCAAGCAAAGCTCCATCCACTCCAAAAGCTGCCCAGTCAGCGAAGCCAGAAACAGAAACATCCGAATCAACAGGAGCTGGCCAGAAGGCCGACCAAGCCAAGGATCAGGCCGAAAACACAGCAGGCGATGTCAAAAGCCAGGCCGGCAAAGCCCAGTCGGCGGCGCAGAGCTCCGCAACTGATGATGACGATGATGAGCCATTGAGCAAGGTCTCTCAAGCCGGCCAGCAATCCAAGGAAGGCTTGGAGCAACAGACTCCAGAGCCCATCCAAGATGACGACGATGACGAAGAAGATGATGATGAGGAAGAGGACGCAGTTTCTGGCGCCCAGCAACAGGCTAAAGACTTCCCTTCGCAGGCAGAGGACGAAGCTGAGTCTACTGCGGACGACGCCACCGAGAAAGCCGGCGACACCATTCAGTCAGCCGACGATGAACAAGAGGACTCCCAGCAAGGCCAGAAGCAGTCGCAGCAGCAGCAACAAGGCAAGAAAGGCAGCGGACTTTTGAGTGGCGCCCAAGGCCTTGCCGGCAAGGCAGGGAATCTTGCCAACAAGGCTTCCAAGGATCCTAAATCTGCAGCACAAGATGCCCCACAAGACGCCAAGAAGGGCGCTAAGAACACTGCAAAGGGGGCCCAGGACGATGCCGAGGACGCCCAAGAGACCGCAGAGGGCGGTCTTGAGGAAGGTCAGAAGGTCGCCGGCGAAACCACAGACGATGCCGAGGACGCTGCAAGTGGCGTGCAGGATAATGCTAAGCAGGCCACCGACAAGGCTGGTGAAGCGGCAGAAGACGCGACCGACAAGGCCGAGGATGCCGCCGAAGATGCCAAAGATACTGCGGAAGGTGCCACGGATGAGGCCAAGGACACTGCAGAAGATGCCGCAGACCAGGCCAAAGACACGGCAGAAGGCGCCACAGACCAGGCCAAGGACACCGCGGAAGATGCCAAAGATACTGCCGAAGATGGGGCGGAGGACGCCCAAGACACCGTCGATGGCGCAAAGTCTGAGATCCCAGTCCCCGAAGGCCTTCCAGTGGACCTCAATGTGCTCAAGGGTCTCGAAGTTCAAGAGGATGGCACCGTCCTTGACAAGCAAGGCAATCCCATCGGTCGCCTCGCGGAAGGCGACGCGGAGGATCTTTCTGGTTATCCTATCGGCGACGACGGAGAAATCCTCGACGATGATGGGGACTTGGTCGGCCGCGTGGAGCTGATGCCAGATGAGATCAAACGCCAACTACAAGAGTCTCGCGAGAACGGCGAAGAGCTGCCTGAGGATGCCCAAACCTATCTTGGGCAGCTCGAAGATCAAGCTGAAGATCAGGCTGAGGATGTTCAGGATGAGGTCGAGGACAACCTCCCATCTTTGTCCATTCTGGAAGGCCTCACCTGCCAGATCGACGGATTGATCTACGACAGCGAAGGCAACACTGTCGGCCGAGTCACCGAAGGCGACCCAGAGAAGCTGCAGAACGCTGTCCTCAACGATCAAGGCGAGTTCGTGGACCAGGACGGAAACGTCGTTGGCAATGCAGAAATTCACGAAGATGCAGAAGAGCTTGTCGAGCAAGGCATCTATGAGCCAGCTCAGCAGGCTGCGGGCGAAGCCCAAGGCGAGGCCGAAGACCGTGTCGATAGCGCCCAGGAAGAGGCTGATGGCGCTGCCGATGACGTTGCTGGCAAAGCTGAGGACGGCGTTCCAACTGAGATCGAGGATCAGCTGCCTGGCATCGAGGCCCTGCAAGGCAAGGAGCTGAACGAAGCCGGTGAAATCGTTGACGAGGAAGGAAATGTCCTTGGCAACATTGCCGATGACTCCGAAGACCTCAAGAAGAAGATCGAAGAGGGAGAGATCGATCCCGAGAATCTCAAGATTGATGAAGAGGGTAACCTTGTTGATTCGGAAGGCAACGTCTTGGGCAAGACCGAACTTGCCGAAGGTGCTGCTGAGAAGCTTCAACAGGCCAGCAAGCTTCAAGACCTTCGCATCCTCGACGGCAAGCGTCTAAACAAGAAGGGCAAGATTCTTGATGACGAAGGCGAGGAGATTGGTGAGCTTACTGATGGCGACCTTTCTCAAGCTGCCGGAGGCCGTGCCAACGACAAGGGCGAGGTGCTCAACAAGAAGGGCGAGGTTGTCGGTCATGTCAAGGTCGTCCCTGGTGACGCCGCCGAGCAGGCCACGAAAGAACTTCTTGAAGAGCTCGGCGAACTCGAAGATCAAGAGGAGCAAGGTGAAGATGAGGCTCCAGCGGAAGGCGAAGAAGAGGAAGCTCCAGAGGGCGAAGACGAACAAGCTGAAGAGCAGGAATCTCAATACGAAGAGCCCGAGCTGGATATCCTTGACGGCCTGAAGGTCAACAAGAAGGGACAAGTCCTCAACGAGGATGGCGAGCCAATTGGTGAACTCACTGCTGGAGACCTCTCCAAGTGCGCCGGCAAGAAGATCAATGGCACGGGCGAGGTGGTCGACAAAGACGGCAATGTCATTGGCCACGTCCGCACTCTGCCTCAGAAGGTCGAGGAGCCCGAAACCCCTGCCGTGTCCATCTTGGAAGGCCTCAAGGTGAACAAGAAGGGCCAAGTGCTCAACGAGGATGGGGAGCAGATTGGCGAACTTACTTCTGGTGAAGTGAACAAGTGCGCCGGCAAGAAGATCGATGCCAAGGGCCAAGTCCTGGACGAGCAGGGCGAGGTTATTGGCACCGTACGCACTCTTCCGAGTGAAAACGAGGATGAGCAAGAGGAAGGACAAGAGCCAGAACAAGAGGGAGAGGAGGAGGATGGCGAAGACGCCACCCAACTCCCACCTCTCTCCGCCCTCGAAGGCTTGTCTGTCAACAAAGCTGGCAAGATCATCGATGACAATGGTGCCGTGATTGGTGAGCTCACTGAAGGAGACGCCAAGAAGCTGTCGAAATCTGGTATCACCGCCGACGCTGAAGGCCAATTCTGGGACAACAAGGGCCATGTCATCGGTCGCGCAAAGACACTTCCACAAGAAGACGCAGAAGAGGAAGCACCTTTCGCTGGTCTCGAAGGACTACGCGTCGTTGAGGAAGGATGGGTACAAGACAGCGAGGGCAACACCGTCGGATACGTTACAGAGGGCGACTCGGCCAAGCTTCTCGGCCGTGCTGTCGATGAGGATGGCGATATTCTTGACAAGAAGGGTTCTGTCGTTGGACATGCCGAGCGCTACGTGCCCGAAGAGGAAGAGGAACAAGAAGAAGAGAAGCCAGATCTCTCCTTCCTCGAGGGCAAGACTGTCACCAAGCAAGGCTTGGTGATTGGCGACGAAGGAATCCCTGTTGCACGACTAGTCGAGGGCAACGCCAAGGAGCTCACTGGACGCCAACTCGACAAGGAAGGCCAGTTCTGGAACGACAAAGGATCCGTCATCGGCAAGGTGGAACTTATTCCTGAGAATGAGCGCGAAGCCAAGCCCGAGGGACCTTTCGCCGGCTACGACGACTTGCGAGTCATCGAAGGCGGGAAGGTTGCCGATGAGGACGGAAACGTCGTGGGAGAGATTGTCGAAGGAAACCCCAAGCGTCTCGTTGGCCTGTCTGTCGATGAAGATGGAGACATTCTCGATAAGTACGGCAACGTCAAGGGTCATGCTGAGCCAACGCCTGACGAGGAACCAATCGACTACTCCGTGCTCGATGGCTTGACCTTGAACAAAGCTGGCTATGTTGTTGACGACAGTGGCATGCCAATTGGCAAGATCGTGGAGGGCTCTCCATCGGATCTTGCTGGCAAGAAATGCGACGAGAACGGCTACATTTACAACGATACCGGAAAGGTCGTTGGTCGTTGCGAGCCTCTTCCTGAGGATGAGCGCCAGAAGAAGGCCGAGGGTGCATTCGCCGGACTGGAAGGCTTGCACGTTGTCGACGGCGGCTACGTTCAGGATGGTGACGAGAATACTGTCGGCCAGATCACTGAAGGTGATGCCAAGAAGCTTGTTGGCATGAAGGTCGACGAAGATGGAGACATTATCGACAAGTTTGGCAATGTCAAGGGCCATGCCGAGCGCGTTGAGGAAGAAGAGAAAGTCATTGACTACTCCATTCTCGACGGTCTCACCCTGAACAAGCAAGGTCTTGTTGTGGATCAGAACGGAACGCCTTTCGGTCGTCTCGTAGAGGGACAAGCTTCCGAGCTCGCGGGTCGTCAATGCGACGAGCAGGGCTACATCTACAACGATCGCGGCAAGCCAGCCGGCCGCGCCGAGCCCATCCCAGAAGAAGAGCGTGTTGCTCGTCCTGAGGGACCATTCGCCGGTCTGGAGGGTCTTCACGTTGTCAAAGATGGCAATGTAGAGGACGAAAACGGCAATGTGGTCGGCTACATCACCGAGGGCAACGCCAAGAAGTTGGTAGGTCTCAAGGTCGACGAGGACGGCGACATTATCGACAAGTTCGGAAACACCAAGGGTCACGCCGAACCAGTCGAGGAAGAAGAAGAGCAGCCGGTTGACAACTCTGCGCTTGAGGGTAAGTACCTCAACAAGCAAGGCTATGTTGTTGACGACAAGGGCATTCCGTTCGGCCGCCTTGTTGAGGGTAACGTCTCTGAGCTGGCCGGCCGCAAATGCGACGAGAATGGATACATCTACGGCGACACTGGCAAGGTAGTAGGCCGATGCGAGGTCCTACCTGAGAACGAGAGAGTCGCTCGTCCGGAAGGTCCATTCGCTGGTCTTGATGGCCTCCGCGTAGTCAAGGATGGATTCGTCGAGGACCAAGATGGCAACCGAGTCGGCCAAATCGTCGAGGGCGAGCCTAAGCGACTAGTCGGACTCCACGTAGACGAGGACGGTGATATCATTGACAAGTACGGCAACGTCAAGGGTCACGCTGAGCCTTGGGAAGAGGAGGAAGAGGTGGCACAAGATCTTTCTCGCCTTGCTGGCACCACGATCAACAAGTCTGGCTATGCTGTAGATGGCAGCGGATCGATCATCGGTCGCGTTGTTGAAGGCGACCCAAACATCATGATCGGAAAGAAGGTCGACAAGGAAGGTCAGATCTGGGACGACTCTGGCAACGTGATCGGCAAGGCGGAGATCGTGACTGGTGTGAACTCCGAAGAAGGTCCATTTGCTGGCTTCGACGAACTTGTCATCAACAAGGACGGCACAATTACTACCCAAGCTGGAGACATCATTGGTCGTGTGACCGAAGGCGATATCAAGAAGCTCCTCGGCCACACCGTGGACGAAGACGGAGATATTCTCGACAAGAACGGCAACAGAATCGGACGAGCCGAGCGTTGGGAACCAGAAGAGAAGGAACGTCGCGTCAATCCTATGTCTGGCAAGCGTGTCAACAAGGAGGGAGAAGTCCGTGACGACAACGGCGACTTGATGGGCAAGCTCACGCAAGGCGACCTCGGACACTGTGTCGGTCAAGAGATTGACGACGCTGGCAACGTGGTTGATGTCGAAGGCAACAAGATTGGTGAGGTCACTCTCATCGAAAACATTGCCGAAGACGAATACGAGGGTCCAACTCAGGAAGAGCTTGACGAAGCAGCCAAGCGTGAAGAGGAGCGACAGATCGCCGAGAAGATGGGCGGCATTTGCACGCAGACTCTCGAGCGCATGCAACCCATCTGCAAGCAAATTAAGGAGCACATGGAGAAGGCTGACAGTACTCCAAAGGAGGAGCTCGACGAGGAGGAGCTTGTCAACCAAGTCAAGCCACTCATCGAGGAAGGTGGTCGCATCCTTGGAGAATGCAACGGCTCTTTGCGTGGACTCGACCCCGATGGAAAGATTGCCGCACAAGCCAAGGGTCGTGCTGGCACTGGAGAGGCCACTCCAGAAGAGTTCCGTCTCGCCGAGACACTCAAGGAGCTTACCACGACTGTTGTGACAACCATCGACGACGCGAAGAAGAAGCTGAACAACATGCCTCACGCCAAGAAGAAGCTCAACCCACTGTGGGGCCTCATGACCCAGCCTTTGTTCCAGATCTTGGCTGCTGTCGGTCTCCTTCTCGCCGGTGTTCTGGGACTTGTCGGACAACTGCTCAACGGTCTTGGTCTCGGTGGTTTGGTCAACGGTCTCCTCGGTGGCCTCGGAATCAACAAGCTTCTGGCATCATTCGGTCTCATCGACGGCGACAAGGACAAGAAGAAGCAATCCGGAAAGAGCAAGCTCTCTTCCATCCCCGTCGTTGGCGGTCTGCTCGGAGGCGGTAAGTAAATGAGTGTGAAAGCCCATTGACACATCGTCACATCTTCCCCATACCTGTAATTCGCATCTCGCAACTCTTGGGTAAGGGAGATTGTGCATCGATGTGTCAGGGCTTTCTCTACTTGTTTGCTCACCTCATCTTCTCCCCTCCGCTTTCGTGTGAGCACTCTGACCACATATTTTCGACCTTTCTAGACGATAAGAAGAAGAAAGACAACAACAGCAAAAACGAGCAAGGCGCCGACGCGACCGAAACAGCAGAGGCGTTGGATAATTGGCAAAAGCTTGGAGGGCCAGTTCTTATTGGGGTTGAGACCTCGTAATCATTTTTTTGGATTGTTTTCGCGCGTGGGATGGAAAGCAGGTTTGGCGCTTGGGTGACTTGGCTTTTGGATTTGATCTTCGACGACGATGTGGATGTGATGAGAAAACGGCAACATACTTGTACTTTACTACTGCGCAGCGCATCTTTTTTCATTCGGCTTTTGTTCAAAAAGCTCGATGCCCTTGGGAGGGGCCAGTCTTTTCTTTTGTGTAGATGGATCTTGTAACATAGCAAAGGCAATGGGAGCTTTTCACTTCAACTATTCTCATCATATGTTGGTTCTTCCAGCTGCTGTGATGGATTAGAGAGCAAGAGCAAGAGTTTCCAGCTCTACCATTGAAGCAGCCTGAGGCACAGGCTTGGCATCGATGTCGTCTCTCTTTCTCCTTCCTCGGTCTCTTACTTTACTCAACAATGATCTCATGAACTGACTTCGGCATCTAATCGCGTTCTTGCAAACCTATGAACAGCCGCTGCGCCAGAACAAATCATCTAGAATGAGTTATCTCCCGTCAAGTCCATTGGCTCGGTACGCGCTTTCTACAGTCGCACCGCCTCGGTCTTTGTTGGTCAGAAGCGACCACAGCACTTTCATCCGTGTCGCAGTCCATCGTTATCAGGAAGACACTGTTGCGGTGTTGCATTATTGCAAACATGTCACGCTCATCTGGAGCCTGGAGACTGGTGTGTTCCTCGGTCCCATCTAATGTGATCGAGTATGCAATCGGCAAGGCTTGAACGAGGTTACTAAGCTCACGGTAGCAAGACTAGGAAAGCCCTACGCCACAAACACTGCCAGTTGAAGTTCACCTGACTTTCACTCAGCTGAGCGCTGAGACTTGCCCAGGACATTGGCGCCTTAGTCTACCACAGTGGGGTTATAGGTTATCCAACAGTGACTGCTTATCGAGGCCTAGAACCACGCCTCTGAAGGCGCCTCCAACAGTCTCGAGAAGTGTCTACCAATGGCTGACACGGAGAAGAACGCCTATCGTGGCTCAGCTGGGGCACAAGGCTTCTCACTGCCTCGCATCGCGTGATATGTTGGGTAGGTACATAACCTCCACGCTGGCTGTTTCACCACGTAGGGCAGCAGGCATTTCGAAGGAATTGTTGAGGAGCGTCAAAGGCAAAGATGCGTTTGCTGACTTCGACGATCTTGGGACTACTGGTGTGTTGTACGACTGCGCGCCTTTCAATATGCGGTGCCAAGGGTCCGCAAGCGCTACGAAACAAATACAATGAAACTGGAGGTGGAGGGCTCTCCCTACTTCCAATGTGGCCAGAGTACGTTTTCGAGAGGTGGGAGATAGTAGAGCGCCAGCATTTTGGCGGACCTGGAAATGCTGCTGACTTGCTGAATTAGATTGTTTACAATCAAAGTCTACTTTCATATCATCACTTCCACAACAGAAGAGCATGGGCTCTATCATCCATATATGCTCGCCAAACAAATGGATGTTTTGTAAGTCAACTTGCGATATGAGTTACCAACGAATAGTTTGAGCTTACGGATTCTCAGAAATACAGGCTTCGCTCATGGGAAGTATACCCCACTGAGAAGAGCCAAGTTCAAGTTCACCCTCGCAGGTGTGACCCGCACGGTCAACTACAACTGGGCACACGATAATCCTAACGACTACAAAACCGATTGGTCGCCGAATGAGAAGCAATACAAGAAAGCGCTTCGAAAAGGTGGCTATAGCGACGTTAACGTGTACATCTTGAGCCACATGCATGAAGGAGAGCTGCTCGGCATCGCTACGTATCCCAGAGCGGAGCCTATCAGATGGGCTGATGGGATCATCCTCCTTGCGAGCACGATGCCAGGAGGATCCAAGGAAGGATTTGACCAAGGTAAAACTCTTGTGCACGAGATGGGCCACTGGTTGGGTTTATATCATACCTTTGGGACGGGCTGTGGAGACGGTCCGTGTAGCTGTGATGGGCCAGGTAAGTGATCACAATTCTTTCGCCCATCTCGATATGAGGTACGGTGCTGACTCGATGGGGCGGTGAAAGGTGACTACGTCGATGACACGACAGTGGGAAACCACGTTTATCGAGGCGATTGTACTGCGGCCGTCAACAGCTGCCCAGACCATGTTGGATACGACGACATCAGTAATTACATGAATTACGGGAAAGATGTGTGCGACATGCACTTCACGGCTCTTCAGGGCCAGAGGATGCGAGTGCTTTATGGTAATTTGCGGTGGAAGAGATGGGAATGAATCATGGCAAGTTGAGCAAGAACGCACCGGCGGAATTGGCAAAAGCTTTGCAAGTGCTTTTCCTGCTGCTGGGGTGACGAGCTCATGATCGCTGTCTTGCTGAGAAAGTAGTGAGGCTGGGAGCGCCATCTTAGGTTGAGTTACGAGCAGCCAGGGGCGCAGCTTCGTGCTCATCTGCACGACGAGCCATCAATGCCACAGTGCATGTTGCACAGCTGCACAAGATGTGCCCTGTAGCTAGCCAAGCAGGGCACTACCCACTTGTCAAGATTCTTTGGATCTCCTTGAACGCCCCCACAGTCATCCCAATCTTGTCAAATCCAAGTGCATCCTTCTGACTGGCAGTCGTCACCAGTACGATGCCATTTCTTTTGTCGACTGCAAAATGCTGTCCAAACAGGCCCCACCCCATGATAACTTCACTGTTCTCGTCTGCATAGCAGCACGATCGATAAGCCAGGCTCTCGTAGAATGGATTAAAAGCTTTCGCAAAACGACCTCTCTGCCATGCATCTTGCGAGCCTTCATGCAAGACATCTTCGATCCACTCAGCTGGCACAATTTGTGCACCGTCCGCATTCTTGCCGTCGTTCAATATGAGCTGTGCTAAGCGTGCGACATCTGGTAAAGTGGCGCATAGTCCGCCAGCCGCACGAGCGAAACCTTCTGAATCTACTGTGAGGAGAGCGTCGCTTTCAGCGCCCATAGGTTGCCACAAAAGTTCTTGTAAGATCTGGGGATACGGCTTTCCAGTCGCTCGCTCGAGAACCCAACCGAGTAAATCCGTATTGGCCGAGATGTATTCGAATGAATCATCGATGATTTCTTGCGGCACAAAACCTGCCAGAAACTCTTTCAGAGTGTTGTATTTCTCGCCGCCGAGCTTGGGGTTCCAACCAGTAGCCGCGCGATATTCGTGTTGACCGTCCACGTATCTTGCGCCGACTCGCATATCGAGGCATTGCTGAATGGTTACATCTTTCCAGATTGTGTTTGAGACCTCCGGCACATATTTCGTGACTGGGTCGGAGACAGATAGCTTGCCTTGTGATTGTACGATTCCGACTAAGAGTCCCGTGATTGATTTCGTCAAGGACATGAGAATATGTTTGGATTCTTTAGTGTTTCCGTTGAAGTATTCCTCGTAAAGGACTTTGCCATGTTGAAATATCATTAAACCATCTGTACTAGTTTCCGTAAGATATGTTTTGAAATCGATTTTATCCCCGCCATGATCGAGTTTGAAGCCAGACAGGTCTAGAGAGCCTCGCTGTGGGTTCGAAGGTATCTGTGGCTTTTGTACAACGGCGGTTGATAGGATCTCATCGATGTGTGTGAAAGCCCACTGGTTATGTGGATGGCTGAGCCAGTTGTGAACATTCGCTTTTGTGGAACTCATTCTTGCTATGTCGTAACACGATGGCTCGAGGTGACAGTCTTCAAGACACAAGGAAGAGCTTCATTTTGCAGTAGAATGCGGACTGCAAGAAAGTTGAGCCGAGGTCAATTTTTGCCTGTACTGTGGTCATGGCGGGATGTTGAGCGGGCCTTGATAAAGCTGCATCTGGCTGTTTCTATGCATGTTACCAGTACCAGCTACGCCTCAGTCGATGATTAGGCACGTTGATTGCCGCTGTTGATGGAGAAGAAACGACCGCTGAGATGATGGAGTTGAGAAAGACCACGGTGGCTCTGACAAAATACACAGAGCAAAGTGCCACAATACACAGTCGCAAGTAGTGGACATTTCGATGCTGTGGATACCCATTCACCTCGTTAACATCCTCCGCAAGAGCATTCGGGAAACATGCAGGCACGAGCTGTTCCCTCTTGCTGCTATGATCCGGAAAATTACCAGTTTGAGAAAGTGCTTCCGAACCTGACATTGACCTCAAAGTGTCCAATCACGACTGCACTTTAGCTGACAAACTCCACAAGCTGACAAACTGTGCTACATCTCATAAGTCGATGGCGGCCATATATGATGCGACAAGCCCCAGCAGCGGGCCGCATGACAATTGCTTTCCCCGTTGCGTTCGACATGCCCTCGCTCAGGTCATCCCCAATCACCCGCAAAGCTTTTCGCCGGACAGATGACTACACACCGGGCACTTCGAAAGTTCAGTTGGTGACAGAAGATCTCCCATCCCCGCTGACACCGAACGCGGTCTTGATCAAGGTCCATGCCGTGTCGCTCAACTACCGCGATGCAAACATTGCCAATGGCGGCAATCCCTGGCCCGTGATCCCTCACGGAATTCTTTGCAATGATGCGGCAGGCGAAGTTGTTGCAGTTGGGCAGCGAGTCACGAAATTCCAGGTTGGTGACCGCGTAGCACCAATCATCGACACAAAGAACTTGACGGGGAGGGAAGCTGGCCGCTCATGGCTTGCCGCAGATGAAGACGGTGTCTTAGCCGATTTTATAGTCTTCGACGAAGAGGTCGTGGTCCGGCTGCCAGAGTACTTGGATTGGACCGAAGCATCGATTATCCCCTGCGCTGGGACGACAGCCTGGGCAGCACTCCAGGGCTTCGGCATTGGCAGCAGCGTGCTCATTCAAGGAACTGGGGGTGTCAGCATGGTTGCCCTAAAGCTGGCTAGAGCTGCGGGAATGAAAGTCATCTTGACCTCTTCTAGCGACGAGAAGCTCAAGACTATCGCCGCGAGGTACAAAGAGCCTGAGTTGATGACAGTAAACTACAAAACCAATGAGAATTGGCACGAGGAGGTCCTTCGGTTTACGAATGGCGTTGGAGTGGATTTGGTCATCGAGATTGGAGGTGCCACCAGTATCGTGCCGAGCTTGAAGTGTACGAGGAGAGGGGGAACGATAAGTTCAGTGGGATACCTGAGTGGCAAGAAGGATATCCCGAATGAGATGCTGTCGTTGCTTATCGATCGGAGAGTGAACCTCAGAGGCATCAACGCGGGGTCCCGGATCGACATGGAGGAGCTTGTTGCGGCACTGGAAGCGACAAGAATTCGGTTTGACGACATCATTGATGATGTTAGGCAGTTCGAGGAGGCCGAGCAGGCGATACGATACTTGTGGGAAGGTAAGGTTGTTGGAAAGCTGGTTCTTAGCATTCATCACGAATGAATACGCAGACTATCCCACCTGTAAGATGAATATGAGTCAATTTCGCCTCACATTTGCTCTTTCCGTCGGGCTTCTCAACCGCAGAATGTTGGGTGGCTTCAATGATCACATTGGCGTGATCCTTGTGCTTCGCAACAATGTCGTACATTGTTGGGACCCCAAAGCGCATGGCTCCAGTCATCGTTAAGGAAGTAATTGACCTCGCACTTCTTGACTCGGCTCCAGTACCTCTTGGCCAGAAATCGCGCAGCAGGAGCAAGCCAATATCCAGGCCCTATCATGCGCTGGCCACGGATTGAAGTGCGTTATCCGGACTGAGGTCGTCGCTTGTCACGCGCTACGGCAGCTGTAACTTGGCTAGAGACAAGCTCAAGATAAAGCCTTGAAGACAACCACTTCCACGTGCAATGTACGACATTGTTGATAGATTCAGTTCCCGGACATTGGGGAAAGATTCGAAACCCGGGATATCCCAGGGACATGAGGATATGCGCAGCGATAACAGCCTGTTCACGGAAACTTGGGATAATATGTCCAGGTACCGCAGCCTTGTCGCCGCGCAATGAATGTTATGCTTGTGCCACGACTGGTCTAGAACGTGGTCATTGCAGTGAAGCCACGGAGAGTGAAGCGTTGCTTATCTTGATGCTCTCCTGTTCTTCTGTTCTTGTTGTTGCTCGTCCCGCAACTCTTCCGTGACGACCTCGTGTGCTTTACCGACATCCACATCGTGATCCTGCGTCCCACCTGCGTCGACCTCAGCGGCGCAGAAGGTGACCCAAAGGAGGACTGGCGGTTGATAGAGTGTGGAAGCGAGTCCAATGGAGCGGGATGTCGGACATTGCGCGCGAAAAGGTCCGGGGTGTTCGACGGGCGGCCCGCCGTACGGGAAGAACTCCCTGCCAATTTTGGCGACTCTAACTTGCTCTTTTGGCGCAGCAAATCAAACTATGATGACCGGCCTGAACTGCCAACAACAACCGCCATGTGAGCGTTGTGAAGGCCCAGCCGTGGAGCCTGGTAGGGGCAGTATGCCTGCCAAAGTATAGGTAGGCCTCATTTCTCCCCACACGCGCGCGGTGAGCTTCCACCACGCCGTCGCCGCCCACCACCACCGCCCCATCCGTAGTCACTCGCTATTTGGCTGTCCGCTTCACTCATTTAGCGGCGGTCACCACGTTCCAGCACCATGGTCTATCTCACTGTGGCGGCGCTCTTGGCGTCTGGACTGCTGGCCTCGGTTTCGGCTGGGAATGTGCAACATCAAGCCCATGGTCACGGCCATCTTCACCGTAGAAATAATGCTGAGCAGCCGCCCAAATATAATTCTCCGGCCCAGTACCAGCCCTCAACCCCCAAGGAGGCGGCGCCCAAGTACGAAATTCCAGCAGAGTTGCAGCCAAATGCCACGACTTGCGGTTGTTCAACGTATACCACAACCTGGTATGGCGAGGCAACACTGTACAACCCACACAAGCCATCTAGCAGCTCGACCTCCGTAGAAGCAAAGCCTTCCCAACCAGCTCCAGCTCCAGCTCCAAAGCCATACAGCCCACCAAAGCCTGCTGCTCCAGAGGCACCGAAAACACCATCTGGTCCGTCTGACAATGCCCCTCCTAAACAGCCAGCCCCACCGGCACACAGCCCACCCCAACAACAAGACCAACCCAAGCCCGCCCCTGCTCCACAATCCAGCACCGACAAGCCTTCCAATTCCGGCGGCATTCAGCCCAATGGCAATCAATGGGCCATGACCTACACGCCTTACCGCGCAGATGGAGGCTGCAAATCCGCGGGCGAAGTCAACTCGGACATCTCCAAAATCAAGTCTAAGGGTTTCAACACAGTGCGTCTCTACGCAACCGACTGCAGCGGCCCAGAAAATGTCGGCGCAGCCTGCAAAGCCAATGGCATGTCCATCATCCTTGGCATCTTCATCGACACCAAAGGTCTCGGCGCCGCACACGAGCAAGCTCAGGACCTGATGGACTGGGGCAAGAATGGCAACAACTGGTCTATGGTCGTCATGGTAGTCGCAGGCAACGAAGCCATTTTCAGTGGTGCCGTCGCCGCTCAGGACATGGCCTCCTTCCTCACCGACATCAAACCTCAATTCAAATCCGCCGGGTACAATGGTCCAATAACCACGACTGAGCCTCTGAATGTGATGCAAGCCAACTCCGCTACCCTGTGCCCGGTCATTGATGTCGTAGGCGGGAACTTGCACCCCTTCTTCAACGGCCAATACTCAGCTTCCCAAGCCGGTGAACTCGTGGCACAGCAGCTCAAAGATCTGGCCGCGTGCTGCGGCGGATCAAAGGAGGCCTACAATTTGGAGACCGGCTGGCCGAGCCAGGGACAGGCGAATGGTGTAGCAGTTCCCGGTGAGAAGGAGCAGAAGGAGGCAATCGAGAGTATCATGGGGAAGGTGGGCGGCAAGAGTGTATTCTTGTCATATGAGGACGATACGTGGAAGGCTCCCGGGGAGTACGGCATTGAGCAGCATTGGGGATGCGCGAGCGTTTTTGGAGATTAGAGGGCGTGCGGACGATAAGCAAGCGGTGGAAAGAAGGACCTGTGAGATGAGGATGGTGGAAGCGTGACACTCGGGATGGAACGATTCCGAGTGCCTCCATTGTTTTGATTTCTTGGTGGACTTTGGATTTGCAGAGATGTGCTTGATGCTTGATGGAATTTTTGGAGATATGATGTGCGATGAATATAGCGACGGAGCAGGCGAGGTATGCGCTCGTCTTGCGGGGTGGCGGGCAGGATTGAGTCTTGGCCACTGTTACTATTGCTGCCGCCACTGCTACTGTATCACGATCGAGAGCGCGGCGTTATGAGAAGAAATTGTTGTCTATTGTTTTCTGGTTGTTTTTATGAGCGTGCTTGGCAAGCAGCAAAGGGAAATATAGTAGCGTGATACATGAGAAGAAGCGTTTTGAGATTGCATCGTCTGAGCTGGCACCAACGTCCTCTTGTATCTCCTTTTCTGTAGCGGGATCATAGGGAAGACGTTGTAGCAAATGAGAAGATCGGTTTCGGTGAGTATTCATGTCCGCCTTCTCCCATTTTACTAATTGGTAATTTTGAGTTTCTGGAGACTATATCACAATCAGATGACCAGCTCCGATACTCATTTTCAGTGTCCAGTCAACGACAAATCTCCGCTTGGATGGTCTCGGCTTTTCGTCTACGTTAGGTCGTTCTCGTGTATGAACGTCTTCCTTTATTGCTAGAATATGCAGCAAGACGAGGGACATGGTAGCCCAGCCTTGAATACTCATCATCGAATCTCGTTCGCGGTAAGCATGCAGGGCAGTTGGACCTTATATGCTAACGCAGCCTGGTAGTTGATAGCCACCCGCAGCTCTCAATAGATCGTTACCACGGTCATCTGTGAGCTCTGTTGTTCTTAAGTGTGCCGCAGGTTATGCATCACTGGGCAGCCGGTATATTTGAACTTCCATCAAGGTCGTGACGCTAAACCAGTGTGTTCTGACTTCGAACGTGAGCGTCCTCACATCTCCCCGCATTGGGAAATAACGACAGCCTGCACGGGAGCATCACTCTTGGTTCGCACATTCTCAATCTTCCTCACAACATCCATGCCGTCGACGACTTTGCCAAAGACAACGTGCTTGCCATTCAAATGTGGCGTTGCGACAGTCGTGATGAAAAATTGGCTTCCGTTCGTGTTAGGTCCAGAATTCTGCAGATATTGTCAGTACCTAAATTTTTAGATCATAGCAAACAAGAGTGGGAGGGGGCTGAGCAGAGAACTGAATGGAGGGAGAAAACATACCGCCATACTCAGAATGCCTGGTCCGTCATGCTTCCTATCAAAATTCTCATCGGCAAACTTATCGGTTCCATAGATAGTCGCACTTCCTGTGCCATTTCCATTCTTGAAGTCTCCGCCTTGCAACATGAAATCTTTGATGACGCGGTGGAACTTGCTGCCTTTGTAGCCCAGCGGTTTGCCCAGGTGATCTTTAGTCTCGCCCGTGCAGAATTGGCGGAAGTTTTCAGCGGTGCGGGGGACAACGTCGGCGAAGAGTTCCATCTTGATGCGGCCTAAAGGCTCGCCTCCGAGCGTGACATCGAAGAAGGTGATGGGGTTTCCATTGGGAGCGGCCATGTCTTATGTTGCTGGAGAATGTAGATGTTTGGGTGTTTGATGCAGTGATAGAGAGATGAAGTTTGGATGTCGAAGAGCGGGAAGTGGGGTGCGCGTGGCAGCATGGAAGGCGCATGTGAAGATGCACAACGAAAGTTCGAATGCGAAGTGATCGAAACTCGTACTCACTACTGACCATGATCAATATGACCTGTCATTTTCAGCGAACGGATTAGATCTTGGACCTCGCTGGCAACATCGGGCATTCTTGTCACGCAATGAGAGAAAGACCGAATCATCTACGGGATGACCGCAGATTTGAACGTACGATGAAGCACAGTTGGCATGAACTCATACAAATACCAGCCGAGCAGGCTGATAGCAATATATGTGCAAGGACTCTGCTGGCAGATCCGGTTACCATCAATTGTGCGTAGGCTGCTGACCAGCTGATGCACTTCTCGTGCATTGTATGATCGTGTCAATGGCAGGTCTGAACTTCCTATCTGCGGGAGACGTCGCCGGCAAGATCTTTGAGGCACTGCAGTCAGGTATCGAGAGCTGTTCAGCTGTTACTGGCGCTGTATGCTGCACAATTGATGGATTTGTGCAAGATGGAAGCAGCTCTCCAACGTCCGAGGCACTTGTCTATCGCCACTGGCATCGACGGACCTGGCTCCAGCTATGATACGCAATACGAGATACTGTGTCAATCTAGCAGAGTCAGCGTCGGTGGAGGTGCCCGATGGAGTATGGCTGCGATGAAGAAGAGCGAAGAAAGAAGAAGTTGGGACGATTTGAAATGCGGCCATCAGCCCACTTCGCCGCACCTCCGGGCTCGCAGCGTGAAGTGGGACATGGTTTTGTCATATGCAACGCTTTTTTACTGCAACACCTCCAAACCGAAAATCTCCCATCGTGCCATTTGATCTGATAATCTGATCGTCACCGACTGCGACGCGTCCAGGTTGTTGCTCATGCGAGTCTGACGTTGCTTATCAACTCCATTGGCACCTTCGAGTCCTCCTTCCACCCCTCCTCTCCATCTCCTCCTCTTCTACAACACCACCACTCCCAGTCGCCAAAGTGTTCTCCTCCGCCTTTCGCCGCGCAGGCTCTCGCCCTCTCCGCTCTGCCATTAGCCTGCCCGTTGCTGCAGCAGGTGCTTTCTACAAGCCCTCACCCTCCGCTCCCACCTCTCCGATCCTCTCGCAAACCGCCTCCAGGATGACACACTCCAAAGTTGTCATTATCGGCTCCGGCCCAGCAGGCCACACTGCTGCCATTTATGCCGCCCGCGCCGACCTCCAGCCTGTCCTCTATGAAGGCTTTCTCGCTTTGGGAATCGCGGCTGGTGGCCAGCTCACGACAACGGATGAAGTCGAAAACTTCCCTGGCTTCAAAATGATCAAAGGAACCACACTCATGGACAACATGCGCGCTCAGAGCGAAGAATGCGGTACCACAATTGTCAGCCAAACTGTCGGAAAGGTCGACTTTAGCTCGCGTCCCTTCAAGTTCTGGCTACACCCAATGGGTGACGAAGAGACACTCGAGCCTGAGACGCACACTGCTGACACGATAATCATTGCCACCGGTGCTAAGGCCCGCCGTCTAGACCTTCCTGGTGAGGAGAAGTTCTGGGGCAATGGTGTCTCTGCCTGCGCAGTCTGCGACGGATCCCTCCCTATCTTCCGCGAGAAGCCTCTGGTTGTGATCGGAGGCGGTGACAGTGCTGTCGAGGAATCGCTCTACTTGACCAAGAAAGCGAGCAAAGTGACTGTGCTCGTCCGCAGGGACGAACTCCGTGCGAGCAAAGCCAACGCTCGCCGGCTGAAGGAGCACCCTAAAGTGGAGATCAAATGGAACACGCAGGGTGTAGAAATTAAAGGCGAAGAGGGGCCAAGAGGGTTGATGCAGAGCATGGTGATCAAGAACAATAAGACTGGTGAGCAGGAGGAAATCCCAGCCAATGGGCTGTTTTATGCCGTGGGTCACGATCCCGCAACGCATTTGTTCAAGGGACAATTGAAGATGGACGAGGATGGATATCTCATCACCACACCCGGAACAACAGAGACGAATGTTCCAGGTGTCTTTGCTGCCGGTGATGTGCAGGACAAGAAGTACCGGCAAGCTGTGACTTCGGCTGGTGAGTTCAGACCCCTTGTATTGAAATTGCATCAGTTTTTACTGACATTTGATGAATTTGTAGGCTCTGGATGCATGGCTGCTCTTGAAGCGGAGAAATTCCTCGCTGAGCACGATCTTGCTGAAGGTGGCCCAGAGGCCGATAATGGTGCCAAGGCTCCCGTGTCGAACGGCGAGGCACCAGAATATCGCCAAAATCCTTTGCTGTGAGCGAAATTCTGATCTTTCGATAAAGCCCTGGAGATAAGCGGCTGTTGCATAGGCTGCAAGGGCAGACACCAGTCTCTTGAAGATGATAGAACCATGACATTGTCACCATAGAAGATCGTTTATACCCGCCATGGCAATTGAGTTGAATTCTTCATCTGCAACCTGCCACTATTGTGAACAAAACAATCGCATCGTCATTTGACGGGTACAGACTGATGTGCATTTTTTGTTTTGCAACTACAACTACAGATGCCGTGCCGTTCTACTGCCACTCAAGATTTAACAGCTTTAGCCTTCGCCGCCGCTGCAACCCGGTCAGCTTCCTCCTTAATCTTCGCCACAGCCGGATCTTCTCTCTTCAACGGCGGCGGCTCTCTCCACAAAATATACACGCTCTCCTTCATCTTGATCCCCGGCCATTTTTGCCCCGGAACAAATTTCCTCAAAATATTCACAGCGTTGACGTAGTACTCTTGAACCGTATGTCCCCAATCTCCAAACACAGGCGTGAGAGGCAAAAGCTCCTCTTCGTCTGGATCAAACGTAATGCCCGCAAACTTCGAAACTGTAGCATAGCGTTGCCAGGGCCCGATGACGCGAGCAGGATTCTCAGCTAATGCGTATTCGAATTGGAGCCAGAACTCGGGTTCGAGGAGAGCAGTTTGGTTGTCTGATTTATCGTATTTCCATGTTCGACGAGTTTGTTGGAATTTTGTGATACCGGTCTGAGTTGCGAGGTTTCCGAGATGGATTTTGTAGGGGACGCGATATTCGGGTTCGAGGCGGTGGAGGAGCCAGAGGGCTTGGCCGCCGGGGTAGTTGAGAGTGCTGATGTAGAGGCTTCCGAGGCTAGTGAGGAAGGAGAGGAGTGTTGTTAAGAGTAGTAGGAGGGAGCCGAGGCTGTAGAGAGTGGATTTGGCGCGACGGGTCCAGATATGACTTGCGCTGCTGGAGGCGATTGCGGTAAGAGCCGGAATGGTGTAGATTATGAAGCGCCATTCTTTGTGTGGAAGAAGGCTGTAGAGGGCGATGAAGGCGGTTTGAGGGATGAAGACGTCTCTGCTGACAGGCGAGTTGGCAATCGAGAGCGGAATGAGGAGAAGGTAGGTAATTGGGTTCAGGAGCAATCGTGGCAGGGCGTTGAGGAAGTAGAAGTGTATCGGGCTTGTGCCCCATTCGGAGGATTTGCCCAGGATGGTGTTGTAATAGAAGCCCGCCCATTCAGGCCAGAGCGGCCATTGTTGCCAGAAGAAGGAATCGATCGTGACAGTCGTGAGGAGGCCCAAAGTCAGACCAGCTATGCCCGCAGGGACAATCTCCTTCTTCAAGGAGATCTTCTGTTGGTAGAGCAGATACATCGTCTCAGCAGCCAGCAAAATCGCAACTTCAGATCGAAAGAGCACTCCAGCAAGAGTAAGCAGGTACAATGCCAGTCGCCTCCTCTTCGAACTTCGTTCCGTCTTCCACGCCACGGCTTTGGCGAGAATCAAATTGCGCAACGCCAAATTCGTCAGGATGAATGCGAACATGTTGGGCAAGGTCCGAGAAGCGTAGAATATGACATGAAATTGGCTAGCTTGGAGGAGGATGTACCACCTCCCTGCAGTTTTGCCAAACGCGGTGTCGACAGCGCCTTTGACAAAATGCAGACCGGCAGCATTTCCGAGGCCAAGGATTGCTCGAACGAGTAATTGGAGAGATGTCTTGGAGGTGAAGAACCTCCTGAACGGGCCTGCGAGGCCTGCAAGGACCGCTGCTCCAACAAATGTTCGAGGCACGGAGCCTGGGAAGGCTACATGATCGTAGTTGGCAGCCAAGGAGGAAGTTGTGTTGCCGAATGGTATTCCATGAATGAGAATATCGTGGGCTGCTTGGATATTGAACGATTCTTCAACTTTGGTGTACGGAGCCAAGACCAAATGGAGGAGAATTAGTGAGGGAATGAGGAGATCTAGGATTGCGTCCCCTATAGGTGAAGAAGTGTTAGTGGCCGACATGCTGACAGCATAGGCTGCATCGTACTCACCTAGCATCTTGTACGAGCCCCTCTGGCCGGCGAGTCTATGTCTCCGATCCTGTTGATCAAAATAGCCGATTTGTAGAGCACGCCAGGAGTAGTGGTTCGAAAGTGACATTGATGTTTGGCATGCACCTTCAACAGTCGGGTGAAGGTCAGATGTCTTGGCGAACAAGCAGGGCTGAGAGCGACTTCCATTCGAGGGTCCATCGTTCGGGAATTGACGACACCTCTCTTCAACCACGCACAAACAGATACATTGCTTCACCACTGCAAACTTCTAGCTCGCCGACAGCACCTCTTCAAAGCACACCATGGCTACCCTCCTTTTCAGCTTTGGCGGCTTGTTCCAAGGTACGAAGATCTCCATCCCTCATCACTCCATTCCTAGCTAACACCTCCATTAGTCTCCGTCCTCCTCATCAACTCCCTCGCTGTCCTCTCCGAAGACCGCTTTCTTGCACGCAGTAAGCCAGCAATCGAACTCTCTTCCGCGTTCTAGCTGTAGTAGCATACTCACCTTCAACCAGTTGGCTGGGGCACATCCCAACAATCCGAGCCCTCCTTCGGCAGCGGCGGCATGCAAGATCCCACCTCCCTGAGCGCCAAATTCGCCAACTTGATCAACTCCGTTCGCACTCTCATGCGAATCCCATTGATCTTCCTCAACATAATGATCATCATCTGGGCCGTGGCCTTCGGTTGAGGAGGAACAACTCAAACCTCGAGAGCAGAGATATATAAAAGAAAACACAGCATCTGCAATATGAAGTCGTGGTTCTGAGGACAAATCCGATCAGATTTTTATGACATGATGCGGAATATCGGCGAAAGAGAGGCCGGTGAATTGCAGGGACAAGATGGGGAGCAGGACAGCAAGCACGGATGCATGGTACTCACCATGTGACAAGCCGGCAGGATAACCGAGCCTGCGAGTAAGGAACGCTTCAAGGTCACCATCCAGCAAGATATTGCGAGGCGTGTGCAGTCCACCGCACCAATTCGCCCATGACATGAACGCGGTGGACGAAAACAAGCCAGCGCGGCAAGGACGAGCAGGATGCGGAAACCGGCCTTCCCTCAGCAGACGAGGACAACCACAATGTGGGATCATGTGTCTGCAGCAACCAGCGATCAACAAACCATAGACATTAAAGGACATAGCCCAGGAAGAGAGCAGCAAAGCCCACAAATCAACATGAACGTCACAAAATCACGAACAGTGCAATGGTTTGAATATACCATTTCCAAATGTCATATCCTTCTCATTTTCATCATCATTCCCAAGGTCCTATCTTCTCTGAAAAGATATATACTATGCACAAGAAGAAACATCTCATGTACAAGAAGTGTTGTTCCTTCCTTTATTTCTTTCGTTCTGTTCCCAAGCTGTTTTGGTCCCCTGTCGTCGACCCTTCTTCAGTGAAGACCCAAACCAGAACAGGAAAACCAAGGCATCACAAGCCCCAAAATGCGTATTCCATCCATATCGCTATGCTCGCATTTCAAAATCATCATTTCCTCTCCACCCTGTCCAGTTCGTCGGCAAATTTCTCACCGATGCTGATTCCTCTCCTCCCCATGACTTATAGACTTTCGTCTAATGCAAAAGACTCGACTTCTTCCTCCCCAAACTGAACCGATTCTTCTTGTGCGTGTGCGTCCCATCTTTTCCTCTACTTTCCCCTCCCGTCATCGCCCTTGTCGGCATTGGAGGCACGGGAGGCGAGGTGACCTCATGCACATTCGGCGGCGAAGGATTCGAAGGACTGTAGACGTGGTGGTCGTTCCCGACCTCGTACTGCGTTCCCATGGGCGTCGTTTGCACAACATGATGTGTCTTGTAGTCCCCACCAGAATGACGTTGCTCATGTTCATGATGAGTGGTCGACCCGTTCGCGTTCTTGAAGAAGAAGCCCTTTTCTTTCTCTCCAGATTCCTCCCTCTCTTTCTGCTGCTGCTGTAGAGTATGAGAAGGTAAGGGCGGCATGCTCGGCGTTTTTTCGTGATGAGGGGACTGCGTCTTGTCCTTCTTTTCAAAGATGCTAGGTTTCTTCCGCAAGCTGATGCTCGTCCTGCTGAATCTCGAAAATCCGGATTTACGCTTCTCACTCTTCTCTTCTTCACCGTTCGCCGCAGTGGACGTGGATGCTGTGGTGTGTGATGTGCCATTCGCAGCATTGCTGCTACTATCGCCGTTCTCGCGGCCGCGCGACTCAGCTTCAGCTGCAGCGGTGGCCTTGGATTCTTCAAGAGCACGTTTGAGGTTTTCCTCGGTTTGCTTGTATGCCTCCATTCGCTTTCGCGACGCCTCGCGGTACTCGGCCTCTTTTTCCTTGAGAGCGGCTTTCTCTGCGGCCTTCCTTTCCTTTTGCTCCGCTTTCAACTCCTTTTGTTCTGCTTTGAGTTCCTTCTTGCTCTTGGTTGGCATGACAGGCGCAGGAGGATCGTTGAGCAAGGCGTGCTCGAAATTGGGTGTCGTACTCGCATGTCGAATCGGTTGCATCTCTGCATATGCAGGCTCTTCTTGGATCGGGCTCTGGACATTGGTATTGGCATGGAACAAGCCATTGCCGAATTGGGTCTTCAGAGGAGAGGTCAGACCCTCCTTTGAGTCTCCTTCAGATGTTCTTGCAGCCGCTGCTGCCGATGCGCGCTGTCCTTCCATTTCTTGTTCTTTGAGCATCTTCTCCATAGTAGTCTCCTGGTAGAAGAGCACATACGCACAAGCCAGTTGCTTCGCGTCTTGGACACCGGGAATAGGCTCGCCTCCGAAGAATTGCTGAACGTAATCCTTGCTGACTGGCTCAACCAGCTCATCGTCAAACAGCAGCCAGCCTCGATCCTCGGTCTTGACAATGCTGACATAATGGCCATGGTACGGTCCTCCACCAATGTGCACCACCACAGAATATAGCTCGTATAGTCGATCCGGATCCTCTGCTTCGTCCGTGGTATTGAAAAGCCGTAGATAGAAGGGATACACGACCCGGTGAAAGAGCTTCTGTAAGCGCTGCAAATCCTCCGTGTACTTGAATCGTTTGAGATGTAAAGCCAGGATTCGTGGTAGTCGCTTAATCTTCATCCTCTTCTCGGCTTCTTGCAATCCACCACAATTGTCGCAATGAAACTTGTTCCTTTCGCAAAGCATCTCCTCCTCCGAAAACTTCCGCAGACAAGAGGTGACGGAACTATGAGCATCCAGATCCACAGATAAGTCTAGGAAGGCCTCGTCTCTCTGTGAAGTATTTTCGCATGTCAAACATCTGGTTTCTGACGTGAGAACACCCTCGAAGAGATCGTGAACCCAGTGTGTGTCCAGGGGCCGGGCGGCCGCGGTTGCGCTTTGCGTTTTAGTCAGAGCGAGGTCCTTCGTTTCTGGCGCACTTCCGTTCGCGGAGGGTGGCGCAACAAGCTGAGGATGCTGCTTCGCGAACAGCTCCACATTGTCCACCACTTGGTTCAGTAACAGGTTCAGAAACTCATGCGCATCCTGGTGCATGGCCGATCTGAACATCTCATTGTCTCGTCGTAGAATCTCCAGAAAGCGGTGCGGACTGACCACTCCAATCCGTGACTGATTTTTGATGATGGCTTCGAAGATGTCTCTTAATGATGTAAACAACGACTCTTCCATGCCATAGTCGCTGGCCTTTTCCGCCTGCATATCCAGCACTGGACCATCTGTCAATGCCCTCTTCTTTCTGTTATCGGGTGAGTTCTTGTCCTCGTCTGGTTTGATCCCGCCCGGCCCAGGTGACCCAGGCACTGTCACTTTCCGTGCGGGTGATGTAGGGTTCGGGTAGGGTGTTGTTGATGTTCGCGGTGATAGCGGCGCACCATTCGATTGCTTCGAGCGTACTTGTTCGAGGAAATCAGGCGATGGGAAGTTGATGACATTTTCTCGAAAGGGTTTCGAGTAGTACAGACACTGCACTATCGAGTTGCAGTAACTGTGATTGATCCGTCAGTTGGGTCGCGAGGGGACAAGAGAAGTCGCAAGCTGCGCTCCGCTGTCAGAGCAAAGCATACCATGTGGAGCCATACTGTCACTTGTCAGCCCATGCGCTTCAACATCAAACGGTCTACTCACATTCTCGAAACCAAAGTACTTGTCACTGCCATCGGGGCGAATCGGCTGTCCCGCAACGTCGGCAAGGTGCTTCTCCAACGGCGTAGGCACTGGCGCATTTGGATCTTTCTTCGCACCATTCGTTGAACTCGTCGTCTTGTTGGCGTCGTTCTGCGCGCGCATGCATTTGTCAGTCTCACATCATGCTTCTCCCATACCAATCACAGTCCGTGAATCGCTGTCGACCACGGCTTCCTGCGGGCCAGCAGCAGCACATAAGCTGCCGGAGTTCTCAATGTCTGACATACCGTGCTGCTCGTCTTGAACTTGCCAAAGAACGACATGATCTATGCCCACCAGTGTGGCGCCGACCAGGCGGACCGAAGAAGAGTATGTTACAGATTACAATTATAGCAAACTCGGTCCTTCTTTAGGCGACACTGTGCGGTTTGCGCCGAGACGGTGGCAGCGATGGCGGTCTCAGGTCGCAGCAGCAGAAGCAGCAATCAGATCTGCTTTCCTCTATCTCTTCTCTTGCGATCGTCCTCTGTCGAACGAGGACTCTAAACTGTCCCGCTATTGCCTCTGCTGCTACGACTTCTCACTTTGCTGCAAGATCCTTCGCAGCTCACATCCACCAATCTCGTCCCACCACTCATCGGAGTGAGATGAGCCGGGGGGTGTGTATGCGAGGCACAGAAGGAAGGCCGGTGTGGAGGAGGATCCCTCAATGCCAGAAGTGACGTAGCTTGTGTTGCCTTCCCTGGGGGTTTCGGGCGACGGAGGAGGGCGGCGGCGTCGGCTGAGGCGGTCCCGAGTCCAGCGGCGGAGGCTCAGCGACAGCAGAAGGCAGCGCGGTGTTGTGAGATGTGCGGCGGACGCTGGAGCATGTCTGGCGGGTGGCAGTAGGAAGGAGGGTGCGCGAAATGCACGATTGTGGCGCGCAAATGGGAATTACGAAAGGCTCCGGGCTGGGAGTGGTCTGGCAGGTGGGCAAGGGCGAGACGGCGGCACCGAAGCGATGCCTTCGCGCAGCAGCACTAAACGCGCTTCTCCGAGAGCTGGTAGCGCTTAGCGAGCGGGCAGTCTGTCCTCGCGCCGGCGATGGTGGAGAGAGCCGGGGGGTGTACGTGTTGCGGTTGCGGTTGCATCAACGCCGTCAGTTTGCCCGCCAGAAATCCTTCGAGAATGGAGCGAGCCAAGCCGCGCGCGGGTGGTTGGAGCAGGAGTGATGATGAGATGGGAAGCTTCGCGTGGTGGAAGCCGCATTTACGGACGAATGATCTCGCTTCTTCTACTGCTCACTGTGCAACAGCATCGAACATGTCAACATGTCACCGTCGCTCAATTGTCCCAGCCGCCAGCCTTTGGGGTCTCCGCAGCACGTGGCATCTCGTGCACTTGACGCACTCACAGCTTGTCGTGTCGTCTAGCACCAAACTCAATCGAGAATCTGGACTGCAGCACGAAATTCTGCCGTCGGTTTGCTACACCCGCCCAGGAAATATTCCCATAGCCTTGCCTTGTCGTCTATGCATGCCTTATATAATACAGTGCAAACACTTCACTCGCATCACAACTCCTAAAGAGACGACTCCCTTATAGTTTACACAACTCCCTAACCCTCCCAACTATATCGCTGAATCGCAAGGTTCAACAATATAGCAAGCTTCTTCCATCGAGGGCACGCAGAGGTACAGCAACAATTGCACCTTGTATCTTCTCCACAATCCCCCGAGAAGTGCCGCCGACTCCCGTCCCGGCTATCCAAGCATAGCACAGCACAAAAATGTCTCTCGCTGATAAATACACAAATCTGAAGACGAATTAATTACTGATCCATCAACGAGTGAATTGCGGGAACGATGCAGCATCTCCTACAGTACCTCTCGTCTAATCTCCAACCGAAGCAAATCAGATTAGCCGCGAACGAAAAAGAGAAAGGACCAGAGCTCCGTCTCCGTGGAGGTAGTCTAGCAAATGCAGAAGTTCCATGCACGAACGGAGCGCGGAGCTTCTCCGCTCCCACTTGCTTCCTTAGGCCAAAGCAAAGTTGTACTTCCCAGTACAAAAGTACAGTACATTCGCTCGCCGGAAACAGCGTATCATCCCACGCGCGAGAGATCTGAGATCTGTGACTAGCCGTCGTGACCAACAAGATCCTGGAATTCTGGAGTCGATGCGCCAATGCAGCGTGTGTTGCGAAAAGCTTTCTCTTCCAAGTATGCATCTACAGTCGAATCTATAGAAGTCGTATGCTCTGTCTGTGTCTGCGCAAGTGTACATATGTATGCCGGTACAGCCGTTCCCGAAAAAGAGGGAGCTGCCAAACAAGAAGTGTCCCAGAAGACACCGCGCATGCATGTGCATGTCCACATCTCCATTGTCCTTCATCGAACGCTCTGAACGCTGACCAACCCAAATGCTCCCATCTGCCTTGAAGCAGTATATTCATCATCACTTCTACTGATGATCCAGCACCACGTTGTTGCTCGTGTTCGTCTTTCTCTTACTCACACCCACAATACTCTGCGAGTACCCAGACGGGGGTGGATGTTTCTCAGCGTACTCTTTGCGAATCCTCGCCGCATCCCGATCCCACTCCGCGGACTTCTCCTCATACTCGCGTCTGGCGGCATCAGCCGTTTCTTGTGCCGCCTGACTTTGAGCGACATAAGGTTGTTTCTCCTCTTCTGATGCTGTGCGCCAAAGCCGGCCGACTTCGTTGCGGATCATGTTCCTACCATCGATCCCAACTGTGGCCTTGGCCGTGTCCCACTTGTCTTTGGTGAAGAGGATGAAGGGGTTAACGCCGGGACGTGCAGGTTTCACAGGTCGCTCGCCCAGTTGTCCGAGGATGGTAGCCATGACGGCGGCTTCGTAGTCGAGGTCTGACCCATCGAAGCTGGGCGAGACCCAAAACGAAGCATCTCCTGCGCAGACGCTTCTTGCCGGAGGACCAGATGGCTTCCTCTGAAGCGTAGGAACAACGTTGGTCTCGAGGGCGCCCTCCTCTTGCTTGATGAATGGCTGTGAGTGTGGCATTGCTTCTACCGACGCAATGCTGTATCGCTGATGCATCTCTGGTCTGGGTGCGGGTGGTGGGACAGCGGGCGCCCAGCGAGAGCTGCTCTCCTCTTTCATAGGGGCGGGTCCAATTAGTGGATGAGGCACTGTGATTAGACCAGCCATGTCGTCAATCACCTCTGATGCAACGCGAAGTCCTGACAGGAAAGCGCCGTGCACGGTAGCAGGATGCGTACCACAAGTGGCCTCGCCTGCAAAGTGCAGGTTACCGACAGACCTTGACATCAGGTCGTAGTCGCCTGGTCGCGTTTCCGGAGCGACGTAGGAGTATGTCCCGCGCGTAAAGGGATCCCTCCTCCATCTGGTGACGATGACTTCAAGAGGTGCTGGGACTTTGACATGCGTGAAGACACCTTGCAATCTCTCCGTAACTTCGCTCATCAATGTACTTGTGGGTGTCCATTCCGCATCGTGCGCAGCATTTCCTGCCATCAAGGCGATGAGCATCGGTCGCCCGCTAGTCTTTGTAGCATTCCATATCAGATAGAAACGTCCTCTTCTACTCGCGTAATCGGAAGGATCGAGGCTCGCGGTGTGCTCGGCTTCGTTCAGCAGGCCGAACATATCACGGTCGCTGTCCCAGAACGGTTTGTCGTATAAGAGAATGACCTGAACGTGTAAGCAGATTATCATAGTGCCTGTAGAGAAAGACGTACCTTGTTCAGCAAGCCGAAGCCCATGCGATCGATGGCACCCTGCTTCCAGCCTGGCAGCGGAGGGTCAAAATCAATTGCATTGGACTTCAGCACGCCGAGCGGTGTCGTGACGATCACCTCATCAGCTTCGTATACCTCGCCGTTTGTGCAGACGACTTTGGTCGTCAGACTGTCTTCAGAGGCCCTCCCATCATCGTAATGGATGCTGTCCACGATTCGATCAAATCGTACGTCGAGCTTTGTTGGAAAATTCATCAAGCCGCGCGGCACTTGGGTGTATCCTCCAATGATCTCAGAATGCGCACCCTCGAATTCGTTCCCAGTGTCTTGATCGTGGCCACTCAGACTTAGTGAAGAGACCGGTGCTGCGTTCGCATATTCGAGGTTGGCGTGATGCCAGTTTAATAACCTCATATCTTGTGGTGTGATGTCGACAAGGCCTTGATATTGGTTGATCGCTTCGTCCATGACTGTCCCAAGCGTAGGATAGTCGCTTGCTTCGGCAATGCGATGAAGCGACACGCTCTGATTGCGAGCCACTCCCTCCTTCACTTCCCAGCCCATGGTCCTTGCTGCCCGAGATGCGCTGCTCCTGGCACTTCCAGCCTCTTCGATCACCTGACTACGCCCTGTGAGCTTCTCAGTGCCCGGAGGAGCATTGCGACGGCGGCCTCTACGGTTGGCGGGCTTGTGTGACTTGACGTGCGCCGCAGTCAGAGGCTCGAGCTCGAAGGCAGTAAAGCCATTGGCAGCGGGATCTCGATGCCTATTGATCAGATCTTCGTCGCCCCTCAATGTGTCCTGCTTTTGCGGCTGAACGCGAAATTCGCCCGCCCTATCCGAGATATCAGTGTAGAGCTCTGTGTTCAATATATCCCTCCGCTCATCGACTGGCTTGCCATCGGTATCGTAAATCGTCAATGCGTCTCTCATCAAGTGGTATCGAATGCCCAGCTGGCCGCGTATGATGATGTCCAATGGGTTGCCATGCTCGAACCCAGTAACGATCATGGCGCCCATTTCCGCCGTATTTCGCAAGCCGTCTGGCAAGCTTCCTCTGACCTGACTCCTCAGTGGTTTCGAGTATACACGCCCGCCAATTCGTTTCCGACCTTCGAGAATGATCACACGCGGAGGTCGCTCACCCATGGCGATCCACTTGGCAGCTTCCTGGGCGAACAGACTCTCGAGTTGACGAGCTGTCGTCAGCCCAGATACTCCTGCGCCAATGACCACTACTGTCCTCTGTCTGGTTTCTCGTGGATACCGCTTTGGGAGCGATTTGTCCTTTGGTACTTCCACACATCCGAAGTTGATGTAACCATTTCTCGACAACCACTTGTGAGCGACTTCAGCCAGTCCAAAAAACCGGCTCTCTTTTGCACAGCCAGCCGCTTCCTCGCGTGAGACAGGGCACAATGGGTTCTGCTGCCATAGTCTGAGGATTGCGTTTCGAATGTTGAGGTAAATGGTCACTTCTTTCGACATTAGAAGGTCCATCAGAAGTCGATTCTCACCAGGATCGAGAGCATAGGGATCTAATCTCGACTCGTATGCCGCTTCGATGCATTGACTAGCGAACACATCTGCAGAAACTCGTGATGGTATTGACGATCGAGGGCGGAACTCGACGGCAGGTCGTACGTACTTGGGCATTTTGGGTGCTTTGGCAGATGCGACTATCCCTGATGGAGTTGTCACATCTGCATCCATTTCCAAAGGCCTGACTTTCTTGGGTCGCCCTCGCTTTTTCTTTGGCGGTAGCCCGGGATGGGTCTTGTCGGACAGCCCATTGTCAAGCCCGATTGAGGCAGAAGGCGAGTGAATCGAGTGAGCTTCGGGTAGAGAATTCTTAAAACTCCTGTCAGCTGATCGCTTCCTGGAGATCGATGTTGGTGCTGCATTTTCGATGGTAGGGTCTTCAGCGCCGACGGACGAGCACATGGACGATATGCCGGTGCTTGTCGCAGACTCCGAGGAGCCATATCGCTGCCATTTGCCATTGGCATCAAGTTGCCACCGCTCCTTTTGCACCGATCCAGAGGCATCTCGATCGAATACCTCTGTGCCGGTCGAGGATAAACTTGAGTCGTCCTCCTCCACGACCGAAACTTGAGGCATTTTGATATCTGCGCCTAGTGCCCCAGTCACAGACTCGGCTACGGGAGCCATGTGGCCATCGTGTTGAACGACACCCGTCATCTGACACGGTATGCCGTTCAAACAAGCAGGATGTTGGTATGTGTGTTATCCCTCGTTGCCACCATGACAGCTGTGTCGGTTCCCAGATGTCGGCTTCGGGAGGCTGAAGGGTTTCTGCCGAGGACTGATAGAATCGCTTGGACCAGCTCGATTTTGCAGGAAATAGCGAGAGTCGGAGGGTTGTGTCAGAAAAATGACGGCGTAGTCCGTATGCACAAATGAGCAGGGGCGTGTGTAGCTGCTCGATTTCAGTTGTGAATATCAGATGAGGGAGGCGTCGCTCCTGCTGTTCGAAGTGCGAGAGCGGGGATGGCTTGAGCGTTTTTCGCGCCAATCCCCAACTTCAACTTCGACTTCACCTCTCCTCTCCACGGCTGTCAGCGTGATATCCACGCCCTTTTGGCCATACAGCGCAATCAGTCTTACGCTCTGGCTGTCATTCGCAACCCTCTGGCATCATCCCTCGCGTTACGCCATCTCCAGCATGCATAGCTTACCTCTCGTCGATACCGCCTCCCGAAATTCTCAACACCACATCTGCACAAACATCAGCGCCAGCGCCACGCAACCACAGAACTCATAAAAACATGTTCAATAGCATCGTAATGGCCGCGCGAAACCATTTTGAATATAATTGAGAGGCAACGGGCCACGATGATTGCGCGCTGTCGCATATCACTTTTCGCCTAGCGCCATGGGAGAAAAAGCAAATTCACTGGCACTGGCAATTCCTGCTCGCAATTATCGCCAGGCGGGTAGGATACTGACAAAAGAGTCATTCTCAAATTTATCTCTCTTCGCTCCCGAATTTCACTGCTGTCGTTGACCTTTCCCAGCCTGCACACGTTTGCGACGAGCTTACCAAGTTTTAGAGTAATGCGCACAAAGGAATGAATCGTGGGATTCAGCATCGAGAACGGGCAGCATCATGCTGAAGGGCAGAGGTCATTGTGTCATATCTCCAAGGATGAATCTGCCGCGCACCAGATAACGGATCGGCGCTCGAAAAGAAAAAGACGTAACATGGCGAACCAGAACAAACTTATCTGCAAAGAAGTGCAAGTCGGGCAAGAGAAGTCGGCCGACAGACTCACACAGATATTCATGTCTCGCCATGTGCGCAATTGGCAGAGTGCTTGTAAGAGCTGAAAATGGGTTCAGAGATTCATGTGTGACTTCAAAAATACGCGAGCATGGCTAAGCATAAATCACTCCTGCGAGTATGTCAGAATTCATGGCGCGGGCACAGAAATTGCAACCCAGGAGGTTGTTGGCAGAGTCTCGCAGATAACTCAGAGACGAGTGACAAGACCAGGTGGGCAAATGACGATTGTGGTGGCATTTGGCTGGCAGGCAGGCAACAAGTGGCAGCATTTGGCAAGAATTTGGCAGGCAGCTTGTGGATAAATTCGGCACGATCTGTCTGTGACTTCCGTAGAGTGCAACTACTGTATACCGGCGATCGTGTCAGTGACTGGTCCTCTCAATTTCGATCTCCACTTTTCAAGAGTCGTTATCTTTCGCAGCTTGGAACCCCAGACCAAACCCTGCAAGGTCCGATCGCCCCGTGCCAAATCCCAAGCCGCCAAAGGCTGGACGCTCGTCTCCTTCGTCTTCGTCATCCTCATCGTCTCCTGGCTCTGCCATATCAACATCTTGTGCTGACGGCTCAGCGACGTCTGTGCTACCACCATTGGTCGTCGCGACAGGAGGCGCCTCGATAGCCGGCAGACCGCTCTGGCCCGATCCCTCAACGCCCTTCTCCTTGCGCAAGGCCTCGAACTTCTCCGCCGTCTCCTTCAGCGAACGCTGGATTCGCACTTCCTGTTCCGCGAGGTTGATCTTCTCGCGCTGGAGAGCCTCCATCTCCTGTAGATTTCGCATGCGCGAGGTTTGCATTTCGGATAGCTGAGCCCGTAGTCTTTCAATCATACTGTCGAGTGATGGGAGTGGCGTGACAATCGGTGGCGTCTTCGGTCTGGGGCTCGTGGCATCGTCGTCGGTCGCATTTTGCGCATAGGTGCCATGCCGCGTCTGGTTCGCCACGAATGCATCGGTTCGTGCGCGTTCGCTGTCGTCCGAATCATTATCGGAGGCGCCTTCGGCTTCAGCGATTTGCGCTGCCATGTCTTCCTTGCGTTTTCGCGCCGCTTCGGCTTCTGCTCTCCGCCCTAATGATATCTTGCCATCTTCTGTGAATTCGTCGAAATTCTCCATAATATCCTCATCTTCGTGCACAAGCCTGCTTTCAGACAGTCCATATTTGTCTTTCGGTTTCAGAACAAGCCTGCCTCTGTCGTCCCGCATCACATTCTCGTCCAGATCTTCATCGTCCAAGTTCGGATCATCTGGATCTAATGAGATGTACTCTGCAGCTTCTTCCTTGGCAAGGCGAGCTCGTCGTGCTTTCTTCTCTGCGATTTCGGCTGCAGATGGTATCGCCGAAGCTCCGGTGGATGACTGGTCATGCCGGGCAAGAGAATCGCCAAATTTGGAGGAAAGATCAAGTGCTTGCGTCCCAGTCGCGAGACCCTCGACAGTACTGAGCTGCTTGGGCGTGGACGGCGTGCTATCCTTCAGCTCGCGTAGCGCGTCAGCACTGTAACTCGGCCGGTCATCGTCTGGCTCAGGCGACCTTCGGGGCAGCTGCGAGGCTAGAAGTGAAGATCTCTTTGACGCATTTCGCTGAATAGCTACGCGCGACAAGCCGCTTCGTTTTGGCGTGACGACAGTTCCGTCGTCGGCGTCGTCCTCTTCCACAGAAGTCGGACCCAGGGATTTGCGCAAGGCGGAGGATTTTCGAGGCTTGAATACTGGTCGCTTGACCTCTAGGCGCCACTCAGTCAGCCTTGTCCGCGAACTGGCAGGTCGTGTCAGAGCTGAACTAGCATTTATGTGGAGAAGTGGCATACCTGGTGTTTGCTCGGACGTGACAGAAATGTCTTCATCTTCGTCGTCTGCTCCGATCTTGCGCGGCACGCGACGCGCTGTTGTTGACTTCTTCATTGTGATTGTGATACTGGTAGTTCACGAAAGTTCGCGACTGCCAAAAAGTCCGTCATTCGAAGCCGACGCGGAATCAGCTCCGTGCCAAGAGATCCTCACGACTTCCCTACCAAAATGTACTTTGTATGTCGTGCACTCCACACGAGTACGGTCATTTGGATGTGCATTGGCACGATCTCATGATCAGCGCAAAAAACACAGCTCCTATCGCACTCAAGCCGATGTGACAATTTGCCTCCGGCGATGACCGCCCGCCACTTTTTGCTTGAAAAGAACACGAGGCAAGCAGGTGTCTCCTCACAGCTCAGGCCCTCAGACTGAGGCGCTATCAAGACGTAACGACATTGACTTTCGACTCTACGTCTTCAGCACACGACTTCGCGGTCCGAGAAGACTCCCGAAAACGTGCAATACTTCCTTCCAGCCGGAAGAGTGACCGAGAGTCCAAATAGGGCCGCGGCGGCTTATAGACAACAGCATGGAGCACTATACGGCAAGAAGGCTATTGAAGGACTGATCTGACCAATCGAATAGCCCACATGCTGCCAGGATCAATCTGATGTGGTTGCTAAATGCTCATGGCATTCATTCAAGCAAAGTTCGGCGAATTGCTTCTCGGAGCTTCGAAGCCCCAACCGCTCACAGTTGTTGAACCATGCTTGACACCTACAGTAAGCGACGTGCGACCAGTTCAATGCCCCAAACGAGGACCGGCGTCAATCACTATAGGCATTCTACTCCGAAGCCTGTAACGTAGTCCTTCCGACCCGCGTATCGTGCACCATTTGCTCATACCCTTGTGTCAGTCTTTGACAACTTCCTTGCTCGGCGTGAACCAGTCAAGAGACTCTTGATCGAGAGCGTGTCTTGTGGCTCGTGAGCTCGTGCGGGCACACGGCCAGTGAGATACAGAGCACTTGCACGTGCAAAGCATGCGCAGCGCCTCTTGTTGTTCATCTAGTGCGAGAACACTGCCGTTCCTAGACACTGTCTGACTGATTTTGCACGATGGTGCATCGAGCTCACTGATCAAAGCGCCTTTCCTACCCGATCTCGAAAGCCGATAGAACTATAGCATACATATAAGACGCAAGGCAATTACTCGAAAGAAGTAAATCAGCAACAGAGATCGACAGCGAGCAGGCCTCAAGCAAACAGTGCTTCATCATCTACCAGTCCATTCTCCCACGAGGAAGCCGGCCTTCTCCAATCAACAAGCCAACATGCAATTCTTCACCACAGCCTTTGCAGCTCTCGTTGCATCCTCCGCCCTCGCGGCGCCTTTACAGCTCAAGACTGAGAACGACATCTCGAATGATATCAACAAACGCATCGCGCCCGTTGCAGCAGGTATCTTTGGCGCTGCAGCCGGTAGCGCTACTGCAGCAGTCCTTACTGGCGCCACCAAAGGAACCGTTTCTGGAACTGTCAAGACGTTTGCCAACAAGCTCTTCGGGAACAACGAAAAGCGCGACGGTGGTGTCGACATCGATGGATTGTATCTCGTTCAACGCGATGCACAGGATGCAGAGGATGGAGAGGATGAAGCGACGTTGTATAATCTGCAGCAGTAGAGTGCTCGCTCGATGGATGACACAGCAACGGAGTGATGAAAGGAGGAACGAAGTGATATATTATTTCACGAGACGACGACTCAAAATGTTCAATTGATCGCTACTGTCATTACTTCTCTACTCCACTGTCCACTCGTGGGGAATCTTGCTGGTGTTGTGTCCTGTCACTCCGTTGACTGATACAATCTCTTCTTCTGTTCGTGATATCATTCCATCTGTCGTCCCTTCGGATGTCAATGCCACGTAGTGTGAAGTAGGGCGGTGGTGCATGTGAGGCTGAAGGCTAAAAGTCGTCAGTATGGTTTCAAGGCCGATCACATGTAAGATGAGCTCGTACCTTGTGTTCTGAACGATGTCTCTACAAAGCAGCAAGCATGGCCATGACACCGGCGGCGAGCACTGGAGCAGCGGTCTGGTAAGCACCGGCCTCGCTAGACTCGGAGCCTGATGCGGTTCCAGTGGCTTCTTCAGCGAGGCTCTCGGTGGCGCTTGCGACCTCTGATTGAATGCTTTCGATCTCAGACGAGGCGCTGGACTGGATGGACTCGATAGAGCTCTGGATTGCCTCTGAAGATGCGCTTGCCGATGCGCTTGAGCTGGCGTCGGAGGTGATAGATTCGGAGACCGAAGACGCCACGCTGGAAGCAGAACCAGCGATGTCGCTGATAACAGATGTTGCTGCGTCGATTGGGCCGGTGGTTGTCTCTTCTTGGGCGAGGACGAGGGCTGGGAGGACAGCGAGGAAGTACTTGAACTGCATCTTGATGGTGTCGGTGGGTTGTGTTTGGGTGACTGTGGTGTGGAGGTGGAGGTGGAGGCTGGTGTGAGTTGTGATTGTTTGTTTTGCGTTGTGGTGGGAGAGGAAGAGGACGGACAGGAGAGTGGAAAGAAATACTTGTCGTTCGCATCAAGGGCCAAGCGCCAGAACCAAACAGTATGATGCAAGAACAGCTCGCAGGAGTCCTTGCGTCGGGTGACCGCCAAGGGTGGTTGTCGTAACTGCCATGCCTCTGTCCGAAACTGCCATGTCTCTATGCGCACGCGACTCTAGACGAGCCGCCATTGCACGATGATGGGGATGATGATGCCGCCGCATCGCTTACCACCGCTTGCGACAATACTCATTTCGCGACATGAATTGCACGCATTGACGCTTCCCATGGGAACTGGGAAGCAGCACGACTCGTGTACTGTTGCCCGGCCATGTTCTGGCAGTGACGACTCGTACCTGGATCGCCACATGCACGCCATCGTGAGAGAGTCTGGAGAAAACTGGGTCCGGACAAGGGATGCGCCTCCGTTTCCAAGTTCACTGTTTGTTGTTGTGGATGCTGCGCTCCGCCAATGCGGAACCATTTGGTCATCGTCCTGGGCGTTTGTCTTGTTTGTGTAACGAGCTCATCTCGGCCGTGCAGCCGCCCTTTCCTCTTCTGCGGCGTGACGCTGTGGTCAGGAGCGAAGTGCGCGGTGGCATGAAACGTGCACTGAGCAGGCGTCCGAAAGGCAGTTGCCATATGGCTGGTGACGTCGGAGGACAGAATGCACACGTTCAATGTTTGGGAAGTCGTGAAACTTGGCACGGCTCGGATTTCGGCCCGAGCCAAGACCAGGCTCTCTCCCTTCTGCAGAGTACCTCTTGCTCGTACACGACATCGAAAGCCACTTCGATCGATCGGAGGCAGAACTGGCCGAACTGCAGTCAGCGAGGCTAGTGGAGCTGAAGTGGTCAGCTCTCGGCACGACTTCACTGCTGTTACACGGACGCCTGCTTCGGATATTCGGATGGAAATCTACAAGACACGGCTCACGGAGCAGGATTTTGATGTCAGATGGTATTGGAATATCCGCTGACCAATAAGTCACGGCACTGCTGCAGCCAGTCTTCCCTTTCCAGCACAATTTTATCCCCGGTAATTTGCGTTACCTCACTCCCACGGCTGCAGGAACATGCGCCCCGTGGAATCCAAATCCGACGGGACGTCCAACTTCAGCTCTACCCACCTCCTCCATTGTCTGCGCATCGAGGCAAAGCAAGTAACTTGCACCAGAGTCCCCATCAAAACCCACACTCAATACACATCCCTCATCTTCAGCCAAAGCACGAGGCGCTGGAATGAAAATCGGCTCGCCTGGAGTATGCCTCGGTTTCTCCCATATGAGCGCCGTCTTGGTCTCAACATCGGTCTTGCATAACCCATCCAAGAAGGACGATTTTCCACGATCCAGTACAGACCACACGTATCGATGAGGTTTCATCCGGTACTCTGGGTTGCACTGTTGCAGATCGCCGGCGCTCGAGGAAGGCACTGTCAGAATGCGGACAGCAGAATCCACTTGGTGCTTTGCAGCAGCCTTTCCGTTCAGTGGAATATCCGCAAGCTCATATCTCGCAAGCTGCGACTTGATTTGTTCTCTGGAATCATTGAAAAGTTCAGTGCTCTTCTCATTGGACACGAGATTCTGGTAATAGAATTTGTCCAGGATATCCTTGTTCTCGAACTCAAACAGCTCGCAGGTGATATCGACACTTTCGGAATTGCCAGCACGACGCTCCTCCCACGCGTTGGTGGTGTGAAAGGCAAAGAAGGCCGGACTGGTGAACTTTTTCACAACCCCTCGTCCATGGTGTCTATCGATGACGAGCCATGCCGCAGATTGCGAATTCGCATCGAAATTGTCCAAAGTATCAAGAACATTCCGAGTCCAGAGCATGTTCAGTCCATATGGCTGCTTGAAATGCGCACTCCACACGCACAGGATGACGAAATTCGGCGTGCAGAACATGGAATGGATGTAGGCAGGCTTTGCCTCGGTATGAGGAATCTTTGCCAGGATTCTCACTTCGCCCGTCTGAGGATTTGCGCCGAACACTCTGTAAGTCGTCTTGGGTCCAAATTCCAAATTGTAGTTGAAGACTTCACCGGTCTGTGGATCGCGAGCGGCATGTGCTGCTGAGAGTTGACCTTTGAGCTCGGGATGAAGAACGGTCTGCCTCGTCACTCCCAGCGGCTCCAAAGTCTCTGCATCGAAGGTCTTGGCTGCACTTGTGTCCGTTGTCAAGCACAGTACGGAAGGAGGTGCGGGGTCTCCGAGCTGCTGGTCCCCAAGCGGACTATCAGCTCTTTTCGGACCCTGTCTGTTCTCCGGCATCTCGCACGGTAGCGCTGCGCGAACAACCACACCAATGTTCGCCGAATGCGGAGTCTTGGTCGCCTGGGGCTCGAATACAGCTTTGAATTTCTTGTACAGTCCATCGCAAGGATCCCGTTTTTGTCCGAAGGAGATCTGATCAAGTTTGCCTGTCTTGCGGACATGTTCGATCTCTTCGTCAACTTGACAGTAACTGTTGTACCAAATCTCGGAACATTTCTTGTCCTCTAGGGTGCTGCGGACCATTTCGAACCGGTGGCTCGTGGTGAAGCCATCGAACCAGTGCTGCACAGCGAAATCGCCATCTTTGGGGTCATCTCGAGGCACCTTGTAACCTCCAGGGCCTGTGCGGTACAGTGCACCTGCTGCATAAGTTGGAAAGTGGCCTTGGATCTCGAGCTTGATTTTTGATCTGGTGTCGCCGAGGGCATTGAACTGTTGTGGTCAGCGTGCATACACTCAACAAAGCAACAGTTGTACACACAGCACCAGCATTTGGCCACTCTCTGTAGTGAGCGCTATTTGGCTGTGTGGCCGCGGTCATGTTTGCAGGCTTGTCTCTGTAGGTATGCGCTGGGATTATTGTGGCTCGCTCCCCTCTTTGTGACCTGGGGATGGGCTTGTGATATACGAGGTGTCTCGCACGTAACTTTGCTTCTGCTAGGCAACATCTATCCGCTGTGTAGCATTCTACGTGCGATAGCTCATGACAACCTGCTCTCTTTTTGTGGCTGTTCGCAATAGCCGCCGAAAGCGGTAAAGCTCATGCAAGCTATTTGATCCTTCGTCACTCTATTGTACAAGAAGGATTTCGAAGTTGCAAAGCTTAGTTACTTCTAGCCTAAGATTGGCTGCGACGCAATAGCGGGCGGAGTGCACGTTCGCCCGAGTACTGTGGTCATCTTGTGATCGTTGGACAAGTATCGCATTCAAGTGAATCTCGAAACATAGCGTGAACGAACCGATCGACAATTCCAACGATCCAACAGCCAACCATCACTTTCATTCATCCATGTTAAAATATCACCTCACACCCTTTCCCGCGAACCGTATGCCTCTCCAACTTCTTTCCCAAGCCCTTCCTACTCAAAGTCCGACTGCTGAAACAGCTTCCCATCCAACAGCTCGCCCATGTGCGTCTTTGCAATCGATTGGCCGTTCTTCCTAATCTTCGACATCAGAATTTTCATGAAGTTTACCGGGCTCTTCTTCAGCCCAGACTCGCCTCCAAGACGTCCCTGGTCGTCTCGAAGGATAAAGCCTGTTGCATCCTGCTGCCAGCCAAGCATGTCTTCCGTTACAGCCCGAGTAGAAAGTCCGAGGAACTTGCAAATCTCTAGGTAGTCCTCGTATGAGCTAATGTACAGCTGACCAGCGAACAAATTGAGCTGAATCGCGAGCGAGCGTGGTATACGTAGCTGACTGAGGATAGGCACCGTGTGGAAATCGAGGCGGTCTAGTGGTTCGTAGCCAGAATTCCCGCGGGACTTGTAGAGATGCAGGGTAGCCTTCGACTGTGCCATGCTCGGATACAGTTGGTTAGCTTCGTATGGCGAGATGATCAAGATTCTCTCGATGTCATTGCCCTCCGGAGTCTTTGTCGAAAGGAGCCAGTTGACCGAGCGCTGGAAAGAGTCTGATTTGTAGGACCTGATCCCAGAACGTTGGACTGTCTCTACAAAGTCGAGCGAGACGTGAAGCTTAGGATCCTTCTTCAGCTGAGCTAGGTCGAAGGCTTTGACAGCGCTCGTGTGACGAAAAGCCTGGAATGCGGGCATATAAGCCCGCGAATTGCTGCTGTACGTTCCCTGCTTCGCGAATGCAATAACGTCATTATGAAGGGTATGCTTTGCAGGCTCGGCCGCATGGGGTCGCTGGACTTGTCTCTCCTGCTCGATCTCTGGAGATAGCTCCCGCTCCTGTTCCTCCTGTAGCGTACTCGCATTGAGGTTCAGATCATCGTGTTCCTCGCAGCGTTGCGCGATGAGTCGAAGTCTGCCATCGGAACAGTCACGCAGATGCGTGGTCAGCGGTTGCTGTTGACGAGGGCGGTATCGCTGTTCGATTGATTGGGCATCATCCTCCTGGAACCGCTCAGCGAGGTCCTTGGACATGACCTTGCTCTGCTCGTATTCGGCCCACAACATCTCCTGGCGGCAGAATCGCTCGCCTTGCGCTTTCCAGAGCGGAATGCACCGCCGGATCTCCTTGTGAGTCTCAGAAATGGTCCAGAGTAGAACGTCTGAAGTGCTGATGCTCCCAGGGTCACTCTTCGACGTCAACTCGCAGATCTTTGACTGAATCTCTTGCGGAATGCAGAAGACGATCATCTGGCCTTGGCCTAGGCGACGAATTCTCATTGCGGCTTGCGTGGTCCGGTCCTTGGTCAGGCCAGCTCCGAGAGTGAGCAGTGCTCTGTATGTTGCAGGTAGCTTCAAGTCAATGCCTCTCGTGTGTGCTTCGTCCAGAAAGACGAGACAAGAACCGAGTCTAGTAGCATATGACGACGTTCTCAGCAGCTCGACACGTCCCTCGCGATCCACTACGCATAATTCATCATCATCATTGACAAAAATCGCCGCTTCTTTCTCGGTATCATGCATCTCGAGCCATGTCTTGGCAACCTGCAGGTTATCCATCTCGAGAATCTGTGCGCCCACATCCAGGATGACCTGGACTGGTGGATCGAGAGCCATGGCCAGTGTCAGTAGTCGCTCGGCGTCGGAAAGCGCCATGTCCATCGCTGGTTGCATCAAGACGACCCCGTTACCGGGTTGGAGGATGTGCTCGAGCACAAGCGCATTGGTATGCTTTTGTTCCTGCAGGTCTAAATGGGCCACATCCGTAGGAAGCAAATCCTTTGAATCGTTGGTCCCAGAAAAAGCCACAGAAAAACCACCCGAATCCTTCTTCGATCTGCCCATGTTCCAGCCTGAGTGTGAAATTGATTCTGGGAACTGTTTGGCCTCTTTGGTGAAAATGACGTTTGACAAGAAGTAGTCGACCACATTCTTGGCAAATCGGAGGCTTGGGAAGACCTCGTTAATGCATTGTGATCGGTCCTTGAGGTTGATGCCTTGCAGCTGCCTGAAAGCGATAGACAAAGTAGGCGCATCCTTCACCCAGGCCATGTATTCAATGTCGGCTTGGTCTGAATCAAGAACATGGCTCAAAGCTGTGAAGAGGTCCTCATCGCCAAGGCCTCCATAGTAGTACGATAGCGAAGTAAGGAACAAGACGACATCAGGGTGGCTGAATTCTGATCTTGGGGATGGCATGTCTTTGGCGCGATAGGGTACGGCAAGTTTCGTCGGTGGCACACGAGGCGCCGTCGTCAGACCATAGTTCACTCTCCAGCGCTTGTGGCCGAAGACGAAAGCAAGCACGCCGCCAGCTATGAACCCTCGAAGGAGGAGCAGAGGCGAGCTATTGGCATCTGTCCAGAAGACAGATTCCTCTACGGCCTTGACGTCTTCGGCGCTGAGCTCCAGTTTCGTGATGTACTGGCGAATCGCCTTTCTGATTGTCTCTGGCTGTCGCGAGATTTGCAGTCCACGTAGTCCGTGGGCGCAGACGTGATCTGCCAAGCTGTCGAGCAGCAGGTTTCCGCCTTCTTCGCGCAGAATACGAATGCGAGGGAAGCTGCCTGCGAAAGCACCCGGAAGGTATTCGACAGCATCGGGCGCTGCCTTTGAGATCCGTGGTCCTAGTAATTTCACCACCCCTAGTATCTGCTGCACAAGGATCCAGCGATCTGGCGAGGCCTCGATCGCAGATTGCAAACCCATGGTGTAGATGAGTTCGAAGTTCACGCTGAAGTTCTCGTCTGCTTCGTCGATGATATCTCGTGCCGAGCTCAACATAGATCGAATATCGGCTGCCAGCAACTGACGTCCTACATCTTGCTTGCCGGCGATGAAGCATTCCAGTGCCATGAGCTGGAAGGACAGAATGTGTTCGGGCTGTACAAGAAGAATGCCGCCGTTGAGCATACATTCTCGCAACAGGTCGCAAATAGTTGCTGCGCTAGCCGCATCGAGTTTGAGCGATCTTGAGAATGGCATGTAGTAAAGTCGCCGATCGACCAGGCCACCAAGCTTAGAGATCAGCATCTGTGCCATCTGCTTAGATTGTGGTTTGGCGACCAGAACACGGCAAAGCCTGTCGCCAGTACCTGCTAGAAACGCAGACACGATTGGCACTATCACACTCGATTTGCCTTGGCCCATGAGCAGTTGCATGACTGCATTTTCGCCCCCGGGCGGATCGCGCATGTAGCCTGCAATCTGTTTCTGTACTTCGCGGATCATGATGCCGCTCTCGACCTCGATAAGCAGAGACTCTGGGTATTGCATAGGATCCCAATTCGTGTGGCCAATGTTGCGGAGCTCAGCAACGAGATCGTCCATCCGGGAAGGATTTGACAACTTGAGAAGTCGCACTGCCCGCTGAAGTGCAGTCAGGGCCAGGCCGTACTCCACAATAGATGCCTGCCATCCTGGAGTCAGACGGCTCCATCGCGACCGAGCTAATTGTTGCAGAAATCCCAATGGGGAGATTCTAGGCGTGTGCATCTTGGGCAGTGAGCGCATTGCGGCTTGCACAGCAGCTTCCAGACGATGGTAGATGTGCCCGGCATGAGCGGCACATAGTGTCAAGTTGGTAACGAGCTGAGCTTCGGGCATTTCGATGGACGTTCTTGCACCATCGCTACTCTGCAGTGCATCCAAGCTCTCGTCGAGCTCCTCGGCATACTTCTTTGCAAAGCGCGATTGCGAATGGCACTCCTTCAATGTCTTCAGCAGTGAAGCTAAGCGCGATTCGCCTCTCCGTGATGAAACGTCTTGTCGTGCTGCGGGGACATCTAAGCGAAGATAGTTCTGTGGAAGGTCTGGAGGGACCACGGAGAACAGTTCCTGCTCAGAGACGAAACCGGAGCGGACGTCAACATCGGGGGCACTGTGTACATTGCGGGCAGTGACCAAAGAAGGCAGCTCCTGATAGCCAAAGCTACCCATAGTCAATTCGAGTTGAGCAAAATAATCACGGAGGCGCTTGTTGTCGTGCCAAGATTTGAACTGCTCCTTGATAGCTCTCATGGCATCTCCGACGTTGATATATGCGGCTTGAAGGCTGACGGCTGGAGTCGTTGGCACTTCGCATGGCCATTGCCCTGTAAGTGCGCTCGCGAAGGCACGAATTACATTTTCGCTCTTCTGCTGCCAGGTATTGCTTCTTCTGCTGTTGTAAGCATTCAATTTTTCATTATCCTTTCGAGCCAAGTGGTTCTCTGGACACGACCCCAGCGGCTTGCGGAACGAGAAAACGATTTGACGCAAAGTGGAGAAGTCGGAAGTCACACCACGCCCGGGAGAGAACGCAGCCAGATCTGGATTTCCCATCTGTGCGAGCGAAGGTGACTTGAACGTCATTGCGAGAAGCTGTAGAATACTCGCGTCCAGCTTTGATTGCGAGGCAATTGTTGACAGCCACATCAAGATCGAGAACTTGTGTGCTCGAGAGCCTGCGCTACTTGCCCAACGATGCAAGACAGGGAAGTACTTGATGACTTGCTCGTGTCCATCCAAAAGTAGTCCCGGGGAGAATGTGGTCAGCTCGTGGGGCTGCGTGAGAGAGCCCGGGCCCTCGATTTGTGAGGCTGACAATGAGACTTGCCAAAGCTGACCCGCGGAGACTGCAGGCAGCGATCTGTCATTTCCGTGCCGGGACATGAAGCTCGCCATATTTGCGGCGTCCATCGCACGCTGTGACTGAACATCTCGGTCCCGGGCCTGGTACTCGACATCACACGTAGCTGTATGATCTTCTGCACCAAAGGTAGAAACCCGAAACGTAGCAGAACGTATGTTATCTCTCTCTGGCAGATGCTGATCTGGTAGACGCAACGTGACCTCTTGAAGTTCTGCCTGTGCTTTTGGGAAGAATACTGCAGCTCTACAGGCGCGCTGAAGAAGATCTTGTGCATGTTGGACAAAGTGCCCATGCTGGGAAAGAAAACTCAGGTTGTGGTCCCAATATACAACCTGCATCGATTGCAAGTGCTTTGGATAGAAGCTACGCCCAGGGCTGAGTTTCGCCAGGAGCTGTAGCGCTTGAATATCTCCTTGGGATAGTCGATCAAGCGAGTGTACCGCAGCGCTCCTCATGAGATTCAGTGCCTGTTCAGTGCCAGATTTCTTGGTAAGGGGATCGATGAGACAGAACGAGGTCAGCGCGTGGAGATACGCCAAGTACAGGCCGTTATCGGCATTGTGGATGAGACGACCCAATTCTGCGTCGATGGATACAGCATGCACTTTGGAAATCAGACGCTTGACGACGGCCACGCTGACATGTCCGCCCTCTCGATTGTAGAGAATGGAGCCTGATTCAGGAAGAAGGGCCATACGCGATCCAGGATGATGGTCGTCAGCTTCTTGTGGTTTGAGAACGATCTTGCTTTTCAAGCCCACCAATGTCCCCATAGATTGATCGCTGTCGATGATCATAGACCGATATTCTCTCGACTCTAGATCCGAGCTCCGAGGAGATAAGAGGAACCCCGTTCGTAAGGTGGGTATGTCTACGTGTAGTCGCTGCTCGCCGCCAGACACATGCAGGATATTGTGTATGTATGCAGATTCCGCCAATGGTTCCAGAATGTTCGCCACATGTTGCGATGTCTGCGAGCTGAGACCAGCGACACAGGATCCGGCTCTCTGGAGCTGCCATCTCGTCTGTCCAGGAAGTGCAAAAAGCGTCCACATGGCGCTTGAAGAGGTACTCCAAGGATCATTCTTTGGCCGAAATTGGATGACGTTCTTTGTGGTGTCGAACCAGTGTACATAGTCGTGTTGGAAGTGCATTGGAAACCCGCTGATCACCCGAGCTGGGATTGCTTCAAAAGTTGCATTGCCCTTTTGAGCCTTGACCAACAGGTCACCAGCATTGAGACCGAGCTGCACCGCATAGCCATTGCCAAAGCTGCGCTTGGTCGAAAAGTCGAACCCGGGAGCTACACAAGGCATGACTTCCACTGCAGCATTGCGAAAGAGCGTCGAGTACAATTGGCACTCGCGGTAGCTTCGAGGTGGGCTATTCAAGGGCAACCCGTTTACAAGTAGGGTACCGCTAAGCAGATCAAAATGCACGCTCATGCTTGGGGCGAGCGGTGTCGTCGCAGTCTCTGTTTCCAGCCAATGATCCACGGTGGTTGACACGGGATGCCAGCCATGGTTGCCTGGTCTGTAGCCCGACCACATCTTGTCAACGGCGTGATCAAGCTGGTTGTGCAAATGCTGCTGAGCCAGCGTCTTGTAGAGTCGGTGGAGGAGTCGCTTGTAACGTACGTCAAGCAGAGAGACATGATCTCTACCGTCACTCGTTCGACTGTGCTCCCCTTCTTGGATCACGATAGAACATTGCAGCAGAATGGATCCATCATGCTGAAGTATGTCATCGATGTATTCATCTTCCACATCAAAAGCTGATGCACAGATCAATGCCATCTCGACAGCTTTTGAGACGAAAATCGTCCTATCCGCTTCGGCCTGGGCTACATAAGCCTTCTCACGCAGAACGCCAACCCACTTGACAGCGATTTCACGCGCGCTTCGCAAAACTTCGAGACAATTGTCGCGAGAAGACACGGAAGAGCTGAGCGAGAGCAACCGAGCGGCGATGGAGATGAATGTGCGAAGGGCTTGCGCAGATTCCCAATTCTCTTTTACTCTCTGTAGAGCAACGATGAGGTTGGCCGCGAGGGCATCAGCATTTGCACTGATGCTCGGGAAGACATGAGACTCACGCGCGAACGCGATTCCTCTAGGCGGCCCTGCCTGATTGATGCATTGGAGCAAGCAGAGTGTTGTGTCGGTCTTTTTGAAGTCGATGCCCGGCATGGCGAGCTGCAACATGATGTTCGCCCACTGAATGTGGCGGCCTAGGGCAATGGTCGTGAGCTCTTTGTACTCGTCAAGGGGCATGTCTTGTGGGCATGTGTCTTGCCCGGCGATGACGGCGTTTGGAGCTACACCATCTGGCGCGGCGGTCGGGCGAAAGATGAAACGCTGCAGACTATCGCGTGACAGTTCGTAAGTGCAAGCGCGAGCAATGGCATCGTCGAATGTGAACGGGTGCGTGATCTCGCTGTTGACGGAATCGTGATATTCGTATTGGAGTCCATTGGGCTGGCACACCTCGGCCTCTCTCAAGGTTGCGATAGCCTTGCTACTCCAGCGTGTGTTCACGCAAGGTTTTGTCTGTGACAGAAGGGTGATGCGATGAGTTGACGGTCCCTGTAAGTGAGTAAGATGAGGGTCGTTCGATGACAGCATGTAGGACGTATGTGGCCACAGCTGAGGTCGCCTCCCCTTCAGTACGTTCCGCAGAAAGTGTGTGCGTGCGTCGCGCCAATGTCCCAACCAAACAGGTACACGAAGCTCGAACACGACGGCGCGGGCGCGAGATGGATCATCCGGCAGTGGCCACTCGTGCACCTCAATAGATAAGGCGTCGCGCTGCCTCGCTAGTGAACACTTGTTGCAGTCCGGTTTATGATAACGCTCTGTCTCTGGTGGAACACACCAAGCATCAATGACTCTGGTTGCATGTTCACATTGAGCTTGATGGTGTAGGGAGTCCAGGTGGTGGTATTCAGCTTTGACCGTCCTGTACTGCTGTATCTTACGCTCTCGCGCCTCCTTTGCATCTTTCTGGATTTCCGCCAGCAGATCTTGATGCGCATCCGACTGGTCGAAATATCGATTGGCAAAGCCTTGTGACCCCATGCTGAAGAGTTGGTCGGCGTTTCTGACAGCATTACGCTTTCGTGACTGCAAGTACTGCTCCACTTTGACCAGGCGCTCCATCTGGGAACGAGATGGTAGCAGTAGGGTCTCCAGCACGGCAATCGGTATTTCGGGATCGTACTCGGCCAGGAGGGAACACGAATTGACGGCTATCTGGTCACAGGCAACCCAAATATCGTAGATCGTAAGGACCATCACCGATTGCATTTCGGGATTCCCCGAGTAGTGGCTGTCAGCCAAGCTGTGATACGCTTCCATCGACCTGTGGAGTTTGCCGCATGCATCATCGCCAGCATACTCAGTAAGCCATCGGCCTAAGTGCTGCGAAACCCATTGCTCGAATTGATGTAGATTGGCTGTGGCATAATACAGATTCCCGGAATTCTGCGAGGGCAGGAGAGGCAAGGCATCGGGGGTGTGATGTAACAGCTCGGATGAAGGTGCAAAGCATGAGGAGGCTGTATTTCGTTGACGAGCGTGTAAAGCTGCGAGATATTGGTCGAGCTCCGGTAGTGCCACTTGAGTGTCGGCCTCAAAATTCAGGCTGACCAATGCTGGCAGCTGCAGGTTACGCTGATCTCGCTTCTGTATAGTGTCCCAACGCGCAGAGAGCTTGTCGGATGTCTCACGAAGGACACGGTCAATGTCGGCTCTCACTGAGCCAGGCAGCGTGAGTGAGGTCCCGTAGAGCTTATGGAGTCGCCGTGAAATCTTTGCGCTCATGGCGAACAATAACTCGCTTGGTGGATCCCGTGAGGTCTGCAAAGTGAAACTCATTATGTATACCATTACTTCTTTGTAGAAGTCACGAGATCCTCCAGGAGAGCGAGATATCACAAGCTGTAGAGCCACTCGAATGAGCAGCCACATTGAAGCCCGCCGCCATGGTCCTTTCGCTTGGTTCCAGAGAACTTCGTCGCGGGTGTTCTTTGTGATCTGGGACACAGTGATGGCGCTTGTCGATTCGAGTCCCTTCACGAAGCCAAAGAATAGCTCAGTAACAGCAGCTGGAGATGCGGTATCGCGTCCTTCTTCATGCGAAAAGCCGGCCTTCCATGAGACGGGCTGCATACCGGGAACCGATTGATGGCACATTCGCGAGAGCGTGGCCGCGATTGTGGCGGCACAGTCGTCTTGTGCAAGGGTTTCAGCGCTCAAAGAGACCGCAACCCCGGGAAAAGTTCGAGTCAGCCTGCCCTTGGTGCCCATGACTGCCGCATTGGCTGCAGAGAGCTCGAAGGCCTCGAAGACAAGTGCCTTTGCCTGACGACTGATCATGACACCAGTATTCTGAGCGCTAACTTTGAACGCAAGCGTCTGTCCAGCCGGCAAAGAAAGAAGACTACGAAGAGCTGATTCATTGGTCTTGCCGAGCTCCAAGCTGTTTATCTTCTTGAGGCGGTCCATCAGCGCGATCGCGTTCGTGAGCGCCGGTGGTACTGCATTGGGAAGGATGAGGTGTTGGAGAGAAGCGAGAGCCTTCCGCGTGATGGAGATGAGAGCGATGTCGCTGCCCTCGTCCTCGCTGTGAGGTAGTTTCGGCGGCAAGAAAATGTGCTCGATCAGGCGCTGCATCTCAGCTTCGAGTGAGGTTGCCGCCATAGTGGCGGCGAGAATGGCGCGTGATCAATGTGCTGCCTGCGAATGTTTGACGTAGTGAGGTCTGAAAGATGCAGCAGATGCGGTGCGAAGAGGAAGGACGGAAGCCAAGACAGATGTAAGTGTTTGCGCAGTCGGGGTTGGTGGAGCTGGGAGTTGCGTGGAAAGTGGCAGAAAGCTCAGCTCGAAATTGCGTGCGAAATCTCGCCCTGGTCCAAAAGTCCAGATTGACCGGAACAAGCGAAGTGAAGCTTGGGGTGCAACGTTTGGAAGTATGACCTGCGTCCATAGCGCGCTCACTTGCAGATGAACTCCATTACTGGCCAGTGATGAGGTCTGGGCTGAGTTTGTTGTCTCTTGCTATGACGCTCGCTCCTGAGACATGGTGCGATCAGTCTGCAACGTTGGGCTCATTGACGCGACTCCGGGACTGCAGCGGAGCGTCTTCGACCATCGTGGACAGCACGCGCCTGTGGCGATCAGATTGCCTGCATTTTCGTCAGCTTACTTTTGGCTATATCGTTCCGTCTGCAGGCCAATCTTGTCCATAGTGTTCCGCTGTCTCGCATATTACATTCCATACTAGCTGCGCAAGTGTTTGAGTCTGCAGCATGGCTCCTGGAGGTTCTATGACTATGTGCGCAGTTCCGAGACACACATATGCGGCCGTTCACGCTCAAACTACGCTTGACAACAAAGATCGTTACTGTCCAAATATGATGAGCTCGTACACTCCAAGTCGAGGTCTGCACTTTCTGTGCCTCTTTTCGGCACCCAAAGATGAATAGTGAACGATTAACCTGTCTTGCAGGGCTTTCGCGCTCGTGCCCGATTGGAGCAGTGCGCTGAGAATAGAGCAGACAATCCTCGCGGCGATACTGGTGTTGCATAGATCCGCGGCTCTCGAAGAGGAGTGGAAGCGTGTGGGCGTGAAAGGAAGGGGAAAGTTACACCTGTGAAGCTTGACGTGAAGTCGGCTCATCGACTCCACCTGGCGTGCGATTTCTTGGCGCGTCTCAGCTTCGAGGACGCGTCTAACATCCAGCATCTACGGGCTGTGGCTAACACAACTCGCAGACGGTGGCCTACGATAATGCTGCTTCGGATGACTTTTGAAAGAAAGACTGTTGTGGTAAAAGTTTTGTGAACATGCGGAACGCAGCTTTTCACACGCCTTCTCGGTCGTAGGCCAGAACGGCTTGTACTGCTACACAATAGATCTCGCTGTGTATATGCTCCTCTCCTTGTATACGCTCTCGTTGTGATCACAAGAACAGAGTCGAGCGATCGCGTTTGAAGCAGTGATCTTCCCACGCATGCAAATGCCCCTCCCAAACGCCTCGCTAAAGCATACACAAAGCTCATCAGAATCGTTTCCCTTTTCCACCACGGACCCGAGCTGCTTGTTCCGCCTCTAGTACCTCTTACTCCTGTACCCCCTCCCTCCTCTCCCCCTACCACGTCCACCCCTTTGCCATCCACCGCTTCCACCATCCTTCTCGAACTTCTCTCGCCTCCTCTCTTCCTCTTGATAGTATTCATTCTCCCTCTCCTCCTGTTCCATCCTCAAAGTCTCCTCATCCTTGACCTTTCTCACCAGAGGTTTCTTCGGATTCATATCCTCATCCTTGATCCACTTCGCGTGCGCGCCAAACTCGCACGACACCACTTTGTCCGTATCTGGAGGATGCGCCCTCCCATTTGGACAGAATCCTGCCAAGTAATACGGACATAGCCGCTTGTGCTTCACATGTCTTCTCTCACAGTACGGGCCAAGCGGACAGAACCCTCGAGCATAATGCGCGCAGGCTGCGCGCCGGATCTCTGCTGTGGGAGGGATGTGGAGGGACGTACACTCGTCTCCCTGTGGGCATATTCCATACCGACTGAACTCTTTGCACTCTTTTTCATCTCGGAGGTTGAACGTGTGGGCGAATTCGCAGGCTTCACCTTTCTTGCACAGACCGCGTTGGTAATGCTTGCAGATGAGATGACCGATACCACTACGTTCAGAGGGAGGCACGTAGTGGCGATCTGGGCAGGTAGGACCGCGAGGGCATTGTGTGCCGTTAGAGGATCGGTAGTCGGGACAGATTGGGCGCGCGACCTTGGATGGACGGCCTAGGGTCGGTAGTGCGCGAGAGAGGTAGTTGTCGAAGGTGAAGGCCGGCGGAGGAAGAGATGTTGGGTTGAGTATCTGATCCGGTAGCGAGAATTGTGTTGCCGTTGCCATTGTGCGCAGGAGGTGGTGATGAACGCGAGGTGTATGTTGTGTTATAGCTGCAAGCTCTGGTGCAAGTAGGCTAGTTAGTTTGACTTTAGCTGGGTGGAGACGCGATTGATCAGCGACCAGGATGCGCTGTCCTCATTCCTGGTCGCAACTTGTCGCCGCCGCCCTCGACGACGATACACGACAACAACACCTCTGTGATCGCCACCGACGCTCACTGGCAGCATTCACCTCCGGACGAAACAGAAGCAAAGTGAAGTGGTTGGGCGATCGACATATCACTGCCAAGCTTTCCTCCAGGGCGGGGAGGCGTCGATGGTCCAGACGTGACGGCAACAGCTCCCCGAGCCTACTTGCTCACCTCCGCATCGACGACTACGACCACCGCTGCCCATCGCTTCGAATTGACTGAACTCTCACCCCAGCGCACATCCGACACACACTCGCTCGAGTCCCATCTGCTATCACCAACCACCCTACAACGGCGCGCTTNGCGACTTCAGCCTCACCTCCGTTATACTGCGCCCCTATGATCGCCAGTCAAGATGGTGTCGGAACGCATATACGACCTGTGCAGGCCGGTCCTGGACGATGACGACCTTGGTGAGGAGGAAAAGGTCGAGAAGTTGGAAGAGCTGTTGAGCGGTGCCCCCGCCTCGCTCAAGGGGAAAGCGTTGGAAGACGCTGTGCTGGGAACGCTCTGGCAGTGGAAAAGCAATACCGAGACTAGCACCTCGCCACCTGTTGTGCGAACGACAAATGTAGTCCGCTCTAAATCTCCGGCACCGTGGATACAGCGAGCTGCTACTCCAGCCTCTGGCAAGAGCTCTCCTCGACCATCCACAGCAACACCTTCAGTACCGCCCGGATTTGCGCCGCCAGCACTCGCAAGAACCAAATCGCAGACGGTCGGATCGCCATTCTCATCGCCCAAACCATCTCCAAGGTTACCTTTAGCGACTCCAGTCATCCCTCACAGTCCACGATTGAGCGCATACCAGTTCAGCGACAACTCCTCGCCAAACACCGAGAACTATGGCGATTATGGAAGCGACAACGTCGACTGGCTCGTCAATGATGACGCGAGTAGTCAGACGAGCTTCGGCGACGCAGGCTTCGCAAACTCATCCGAATTCATGTCCTCTTACGATACTCAAATGAGCCCTTACGACATGTTGCGATCGATCCTACAGGATAACAAAACTGACGAAGAGCTGGAGCAAATTCTCGTCGCAAATGGATACGACTTGAGTGAGACCATCAACTCACTCATGGAGGCCCAAGGCATGGGAACAAGTGCGATGGCTACGGCAGTGCAGGAACAGCAGAACCGAACATACCTCGTAGGAAAAGACATGTCACTCAGCTCGCGGCCTGTGACTCCACCGGGGCAGCAAAAGTCTTCCACAGTCTGCAGGTACTGGCTGGCAAGTGGTAATTGCGCTCGCGCAGATTGTCGCTTTGCACATGAGGTACAGAATCATCTATGCAAGTACTGGCTGGCCGGAAACTGCATCGCAGGGCAGTCTTGCCTCTTCTCTCACGACCCATCCCTGCTCATGCAGCAGATGAGCCTAATATCCGGCGCGAGCACGCCTCAACAATTTGCGCCCAACTTCCAGCTCCAGGACTTCGACAGTTTCCCTGCGTTGCAGCCCACGACTAGTAATCCTTACGAAGACAATCAGAGTGTAGACCCGAACACTTTGAACGCAGCCCTGCTCCAGCAACAGCAGACTCTTGCACAACAGGCGCCTGGCCTGTTTCCCAATTTCGTCCCAACGGGTCCACGACAGAGCCGCCCCGGCTCACGTCACAGCCAGCGCAGTCATAGCAATCGTACTGGAACTCCGGGCGCGCAGCCAAACTTTCAAGATGATGAAGCTTTCCCCACACTCGGCTCTGCCGCTAGCAAGCCGGTCGGGAAGCGGCATCACGGAAAACGTGGCGGACATGGACATCACAATCACGGACAGCCTGTCCAGCAGCCAGGTAGTCTTGCAGATGTGGTTCGAATGTCTCCTTCACCGAGCCCTCTCAACGCTCGTGACGCGATGCGCCGCGGATTGAAGAATAATCGATCGTTCACCGCGACCCGAGAGAACTCGGCTGCGGCCATGGCAATTCCGGCGCCGAAAGAAATTCCTTGGCTTGAGACTGGTGATAAGATCAATCAGGCATACATGAAAGCTCGACAGGAAGCCTTCAAGCACGGCGGGTTAAGAAATAAATTCTTACAATCTGCCGCGCAAGCATGGAATAGGAACGATGCTCGTGGCGCCAAGGCACTCTCACTCCGAGGGCAGAACGAGAATCAGCTCATGAGGGAGAAACACCGAGAGGCTGCAAAGGCGCTGTACGAGGAGCGAAACAAAGGCTTAGCAGCTGGGAAAGAGCTGTATGTTGATCTTCACGGGCTGCATCCAGAAGAAGCTGTGCAGTACTTGAGCGATTGTCTCAAGGAACAAGGAAAGAGCACACGACCCGTATACGCGATCTGCGGAACTGGACACCACAGCAAAAACGGTAAAGATAAAGTTGGCAAAGCCATCAGAGCTTTCCTGAACGAATGGCGGTATGCTTTCCGCGAGTTCAGTGTGCCTGGCGATCGAAACAATGTTGGCGGCATTCTAGGTATTGATCCTACAAGCTTTGACAAAGAGGCCCCGAAAAGGAGTCCGCTGAGCTTGGCGGGTGATGGAGACAGTGGGGTCGGGTTGGATGAGGCTAAGAGGGAGAGCACGAAAGTGCAGATAGTCACGGAGGACCCGAGAAAGGTTTCTGCTGCGACGAGTGCACTGAGGAAAGTTGAAACTAGCGATGAAGATGGTAGCTAGAGATAGTACGCTCCTGAGATATGGAGATGCTGATAGTGAAGAAGAAACTACCTTCAAAGATTACCCAGCCACCGGAGCATGCCGTGTCAGCCGATCGTTACGTGCTACGGAGTTTGGTTGCCTTGTCCGCACGCACGGCTGCTTTGCGCATGACGATCCACTCGGCGTGTAGATTAGCACGAAATCCATATGCTGCGTTCGAAGCGCGATCTATACTGTCTTCGCTAGAAGTTCGAGGCTGCTCGCACGCCGTTCGCCTCACTGGAAGATCTCGAGATTGGGCTACCGATGGAGAGCAAAATGGAAACTAGGACGGATACTGCATGTCATCTGTTCTTTCGATCTTGGTATCTCTGCCTCGTGCAGCGAAGCTATCGCGCTTCACGTTGAGAACCTTGGCAGGCGCAGAATCAAAGCCCCGACGAGAGACCAAGCAGCGTGCGTGTCTCTGAGTTTTCGTTTTGCGATCCTCAGCTTTACCTGGAACGACCGACGGCTTGGAGATGGAGAAGTGTCATCAGAGAAATTTCAGGCACAAGCAGGGACGTGTTAGTGCAGCGGAGGAAGAGGAGATGAAAGGTATCGACAACGAAAGTAGTCATTGGCAGCCTCCCGTGCAAGCGAACCGCCTGGGCTCGATTGCATATCTGATTGTGTTCTGTTCTATGCAAATGTCTGTACGAAAATACTGGTCGGCACTTCCAGCGCTGTGTAGCCTGTGGCTCTTTCTCATCAACATAATAATAATGGGCCATAAGAGTCTTCCATCTGTTCAAAACACCCAAACGCCTAGGAGATATCTCATTACATGCAACATGGTCCCCGCCGGAACGCCTCTTGGTATCATCGCTTTTCGCTATGTCGCTCAGTAGGAAGGTGCCGTTAAGTCAATTGCCGTGATTTTTGCTGTTCGCTGGAAGTGTAGTGTGAGTTCTGGTATCATTGTCCATATGTGCTGGAGGAACCTGGCGTGGAAGCAGGCTCCGAAGACGAGAAGGGCGTAGATGGGCCGGCCTCTTCGGCAATCGTGTCGAAGGTCTCTGCTCCTTTGGCATAGGCATGGACTTTCTGACAATGTTCTTGCATCTTGTCCTTTCGTCGGGTCCGGTATAAGCATCGGTGAATGACACATGAGTAATGTTGGCTACTCTGCCCATGGACGTTGCGAACATGCCGATCAAGGTCGGATGCCCGTGTGAAGGTCTTTTGGCATCCAGTGATACTGCATGGTATCGCGGGACGCGACGCTCGCTTCTTCGGCTGTGTGCGCGGGATTGAACGCGCATGCTTCGCCTTTTTGTTAGACGTTGGGCTGTCTGAGGCAGATGATGAAGGCGGCGTGAGGGTAATAGAAGGTGCGAGAAGTACTGCAGCCTGCTCAGCAGCACGCGAGGCGCTCTGAGCTGGGAACTGTGGCAGTGCATCTAGATTGCCATACAGCGTGAAGTCTTGATTGAACCAAGCTGCATCCGGTTCGACTATTACGAGGTGTGTCAGTCGCATGGCCATTGAATATTTATGTGCTTCACGGCGAGTCCAAAGACCATGCTACTCAAGACGTGGACGCTACACCGTAATATAAACATGCGTGACAGCACCAGGATAGACTCACATTGGTCGCGACAAGAAGCCGTTGTCCCGCCTGTCCACGCCCCAATGTTTTCGACAACCTCCGTGCCTAGTCCTCGCAGTCCATGGGTATTGTTCACTGGTATGTGTGGCTGAGTCATGCCCATGGTGTCGTCGCCCAAGTAAGTTACGTCGGACTGGAACGAGGACAATGCTAATTGTTCCCAGGTCGACATGTCGTCGAAGCTGTCGAGGCCAGCCTCGCTTCATCTTGTTACTCTAACACGCAACGACGAAGATCATGGCCACTTACGTCTCGGAGATGTGCATCCTGTTCGACGACATGCTGTCTTCAGACCAGGCGCCTTGGTGAAGTCTAGTGGGCGGAGTGTAATTGAGGCAGAGTTGTCACAAAAGCAAACGATATGTCGCCAATGGGGGTTGGCAGTGGCCAAAGACAAGGTGAGTGCAGTGAGAGGAAGAAACTCACGGTTTTGTGGCGAAGCGCCGCCCTCTCCAGGGCTGTCACTTCACGTGACAACATAACATAGCTTCACTTCTGCCCAGCTGGCTGGAGGGACCTTCAGACACACACTTGCACAGAGGACTGCTCAGGCTCGCATGCATGGTCAAGACGCGTCCAGCCAGTCAGAGCAGACAGCATCTCAGTGGACGGCGAGGGGCAATCAATTGCAAAAGAGGTCGCCATGGGCAAGGTATACCGGTGAGAGAGCACGTGCTGCGGCGGTGCAGCTTCGCCTCAGGACGCCAACTGCGAGCTGCCGGCTTTCGCTTCTGTCACGTGCCCAGATGGGCCAAGTGCAGTTTGCGCAAGAGCTTGGGCGAAGGATCTGGTCATGGTGTAGCATTTTTTAACTTGGATGCCCGTCGTCGGTAGTGCCGGATCGATACTGTATGAGTTCCTTCAAAATTCGTTGGATCTTGAGCACCAGTATGAGCCGCTGCTTGCTTGTTGAGATCTTTTGCCAGATTGTGTAGGCGGCTGTCGATTTCGAGAAGACGTGAGTTGCCCAGTGCTTGAAGCAGATGCTAACATTCAGGGAAAGGATTGTTGTGCCTGTGTCGTTTGCTCAGTGAAAGTCGACAAAAATCGAAAAAACTGCCATCTGTTCCTGAGCAAGTGAAATAGCAAAGCTGGGACACAAGTTGTCCTTCGGCGACGCCGATGATGAGGTCCATATATGTCGAGCCATGGGTCCTTGAGGCAGCCCTACACATATGATCGAGGCAGTAGTCGCAGGCAGTGCCATGTCGATGGCGGCCTCCATATACCAATGGTATTTGGTTTCGCTCACCGGTTGCGGACGCACAAGGAGTGGAAGGATTCTTACCCTAGTCTGTGCCGCAGCTTTCCTGTACGCATACGCGCTAAAACCTGCAAGCCAGTCGAGCTTCTCGCATGCACAAGGGCGTCGAATCAAACCGAAGGAAGGACGCACTTGCTCCCGTGATGCGTGGATTGCACGAATCTGATTGATCGCCCTCATCACTGCGCACCACGCTTCATGCTTCGCGTGCTGTACGAGGATCTCGCCCGGAAGATGCTGTGGTTGGCAAATGGTCTCACCTGATGGCAGTCTCAGTGTGGGCCTTCCCGATCGGTACCATGCAAGATGTTGCGAGTTTGTGCCATACTGCGATTCTCTTGAATCTCAGCCGTCGCCCTGGACGTGGCGGCAGAACTCAAACTCAGGCGTGTGCTCTGCGCGTCACACAGGCTCAGCCCCACCACTGTACAGCCTGCGGCTAGATATTTCGGTAACGCTCGTGGCTGTGGTTTGTGAGAGCCAGTATGGTTCGTCTGACCTCTCTGATGCAGTGGTGATGTTTGTGAAGCTGGTGACAGGCTGGAAGAGGGGACGAGCGGAGCGACCCGTGCCCGTGCCGTGGTACGCCAGCAGGACATGGGACGCGCTCGATATAGAACTGCAGGAGTCGGAAGCTAATAGTCCACCGGTCATTCTGTGAGGAAGCCTTCGTTGAGCAGCGTAGGCAATCGGAGACACTGGTGGCGACCGGGGTCGTCACTCTTTGTCTGTTGGTTGAATCGAGGGGAGAAGGAAGGAGAAAACGAAAGACTTGGCAGGCTACGGAACTTTGTTGCTCCATGTTCCGGCTGACTGCACCTGCCAGCAGGCCCAAACATTTGCCAACGACATGATGCATCGCTCTCATCAATGCATCCAGATATGTACTCCACGATCATCCACAGGCTAACACGCGCTACATACAGACTTTCAAATGCTATGGGTCAAGAACCAACGCCATTGCGGATTCTCCTCCAAAGCTCCATCGTAGGGTTCGCACCCATACTGCTCATCTCCACGAGTCTGATCATGCATTCTCTGACAACGTTCCTTCATCTTGTCCTTTCGTAGGCAGTAATAATTGCACGTCCTCGAAGAGCATAGATATCGAATCGAGCTTTGCCCATGCACAGCATGCTGGTGACGAATCAGGTCAGATGGTCTAGAGAAGGATTTCCGGAGCCTTTGGCACGAATCTATGTCACAGTAGTGGCGCGGGCGATGGCGGCTCGGGAGTGCTGGGCCCACTGGGATCTCTATCTTAACAGATTGGCTCGATCCTTGGGACGCCGCAGTCGAAATCAAGGCGAACTGAAGATTGGCAGTGATCTGATTCCCGTACACGCCGGGTGTCATCAAGCTATCGTAGGAGTCTTGGACCTGGAAAGAATCGGAGCTTCCCGCGAGATATTCTCTCTGGATGGGAGTGGAGGCTGCACCCATCCCAGGAGCTACGGGCGGGGTTTGTCAGTTCTTGAGTGTCGGATACAATCCGGGCTTGCCTACATTGGGCACGCTGCCACGCATCGCGCGCTGCGGTGGTGTGGTCATGTGGCGTCAAACCAAGGAAAGGGTTGCTCTGTGTGAGCCCATGAGCGCGAGCCAGCCAGTTGTGCTGTCCGTTGGGTGCAATCATCGCGCTTGGGCGGGATGCTTGATAAGAAGTGAAAGCACGCTGCGCAAACCTGCGCCTTGTCAGTCAAAACTACAGCAAAAGATTGGTTTGTCCTCACCTGTTCTCGTCTGACTCGTCATCATCAAGCTCTGAGAACTGGCTACCCACAAAGTCTGCTGAGAAGTATTCCGATAGGTGAAACTCTGGATCCATATTGTGCACTACATGCGAATTGCTCGAGCTATAGCGAAACCACCAGGAAATCGCAATGGTGACATCTCGATCTGTAGGCCAGGTTCCGTTGCTTTTAAAGGGCATACCAGCTCATTGACGTCTGACCGCAGTTCTATCGCCCTTCCAATCCACCAGATATCGCCCTTTCAGCCTTATGTGCTTCGCAAGTGGATCCACGATGAAGCAAGAAGGACTTTTCACGAATCATTGCTCGAGAATATGGTTCGCAAAACCTGGCTGCGGCATCTGAACTGTTCCAGGCTGTGACAAGCCGCGAGACTGTACATGAGCTAGATCTGACAAGGTCAAGCTCGATCATGTGATCGCGGTGGCGTCGAAAGGGCACCCACAGTTGATCGAAAGACACAATGGGGCCGCCAGGCCAGCCACGTCAGCATGCGTATGGCGCATGAGCTTCCCCGCACGCCAAGGTATCTGTATCGCAGTATCTTGGGTATGCTTCCGCGAGGGTTGCGGAACAAGTGTGGAAGGGCGTGATGTTTGTTGCAAGCGCTGGAGCTTGTATGACAAATTCGGGTTGCGCCACGACCTTTTGTACGATGTCGAAGTCCAAGTGAGCAGGGAATAGTCTTACAGTATGGCACCAGACCCTCAGAAGGCCGTGTGAATTTGTCGTTGAAAGTCGTCTTCAATGTGGTATACTTGCAGTAGATCTCATGGTAGATGTCATGCTACCGAGAAGGAAGACGGCTTGGAGCGGTCCTGTTGAAGGTGTTTTGATCTTCATTTCGAGATGGGCTTCGGCCTTGGATTGCGGCTGTGGGCCACCCTCATGTGCTGATGTTCTTGTCAATGTCGATGCCGCAAAGATACCCACTGCCTTCAGTCTTGGAGACCGTATTGCTTCATGATATAATAATTCTGTTCATAGTCAGTAAACCTCATACTCGAGGAAAGCCGTGCAGAATATTCCTAGAGTAAGTCGGGTGGCAATTCCAATTGGAGGCGCACTGGAGCAGAGACCGAGCTGCAAAACGCAACGCGGTGCCTTGCTCTTTATAGTTGCGAAATTACGGAGCCGAAAAGAGGGCAGCTGCTCACCAAGTACGTGTCCCGCTTCCTTAGCGCCACGCAAGGTTCTGATTTGACGCCCTTTGAGCCTTGCGTACGATGCCGGTGCACGCACGACAATGTAACCAATAGAGACTGCCAACAACCCACTATGCACATAGACGAGAAGTCGCATCATCTTGAACCTTTAATCCTTCAAGCCCGCCTACTGGCCTGGCCTTCCAGCCTTGCTGTGACGCGCCGCAAACTCTGAGCCCACTTCAAGTGGGAAGGAGGAAAGCAATCAGCGCCAAACTTGAGAAACTGGCACAGCCACTGCTTACGGGGCCGAAAAAGGGCGCAGGTCGAAACGGATTTCACGTGCGGCCAAGGCAACGCCAGGGCAATGTGTCCATGAGTTCGCTAGTCAGGTAGAAGTTGAACGCGTGAGTTTTTGGTCATCTTAAGGCTGAGGTCGGAGGTCACCATAGCAGGCATGGGAAGTATAGAGATGTTTCGACTGCTCACACTGGAGAGCGAAAACGGCAACAGCCGTGCGCAGCAAATAGATCCTCAGGCTCAGGCTTGAGGAAGAATTGCAATCACGTGCACCAATTCCAGTCTCGAGCGATGACATATGGTCTGCGTCTTCCCACGACGTAGAGGAGAGAAATTGACACGCTGAACGTGGACACTAGCTTTGGAAGTTGTATAGCTATGTAGTATATATATCGGGGATATCACAAGTCGGCCGTTTCATGTCGCTAATCCACAGAAAATCAAGACAATAACTCGCTGGAAGCTCATGCTTTCTGCCCATCGCTGGTCAGACAGACAGGCCGCTGCTGCTCGATCAAGGCCACCAGCCCATGGTCTTGTAGCTCTCAATCACAGCTTCCACTTCCTCTTTTGTGATTCGTTCATGCTGTGGTCTGTCGAGCAAAGCATGCGGTCAGCGGCGCAGCTGAGAAGAGTGAATGGGGGATTAGTACTCACCTGAAGCCAACAACCGTCTCAAACCTCGACCCGTCAATACTCAAATCGGCATCTCTCAAAATCTCCTTCTCCATGAAGGGACTCAACGGTCCGCCTTTGTCGGTGATCCCCGCCGCCTCTTGCAGATCTGCCCAGTCATCCAGTGTATCGTCATTCACATCGTCTACCACATGTTCCAGATTTAATCTCGCAAAAGTGTTGACCAAGGCATTCTGGAAGCCAGTTTCGATGCCAAATATGTCCTTGATGATTGCAGCCATGGTCGCTTGTTTCGTCTGTCCCTGATCGACGACGTTGAAAACGAGCGCGCCGCGGGAGTCGCCCGCAGTGCCTGGTATTGAATCGTTCTTCGAACGCCATTCGGCCGCGACCCAGCATGCACGGGCGGCATCTTCAACGTGAAGCGTGTTTGTTCGGAGGTCGCCATTCCATAGCCACTTCATCGTCTCTTTTTCTCGACTCTGGTATACCCGTGCCAGAGCTAGTTGTGTTCCCAACCAGCCTCGTCCTCCGTATGGCCCATACACGTTTGGGAATCTTAATATGACCAGTTTCAGCCCGTCGATCTTCGCTAGCTCTTCCTCCGCTTGCAGTTTCCACTTGGCCTGTTTCGTGTGCGGTTTCGTCGTCTTGTCCGTCTCTTTCACTGGGGTTTTGTTCGGGTTGTACACAGTTCCAGTGCTACATTCCACAAACGCCTTGACACCTCTTTTTGCGGCCTCTTTGCCCACTGTGAGACTGAGCTGGTAGCTTCTCAGCTTGTACACTTCATCCTCTTGCGAGAATCGCGTTTCTCCTCCGCAGTTGAAGACATAATCGAATGCTCGCTTTGCGCCATCGGGTCCAGGAGGGAGGTCGAATATACGATCCTGCGATTGTTCTCGTGATGCATCTGCTTGGAGAAAGTTGGCATCGGAGCATGCGTCCTGGTGCTCTGGTGCGAGGGCTGCTAACTGAGGGAGCTGCTTGTCGACCAGCCGTAGTGTCGAAGCAAGCTTGTTCGTGTGGATATAATGTGCCAGATATCGCCCGATATAGCCTAAGCACACACTGGATCAGTATACTGGCATCGACCATCACCGCTCAGCACATCACATACCCAAGCCCCCGATGATAAGCACCGCCGGCCGCGAGTCGGGCTCTATTGATGCTGCAGCGGGTGTTTCCGATGCTGTTTGGTCTGCCATGCCATTTTCCGTGGGCGGCGCAACATCTGCAGGTTGGCTCTCTGCAGGTTGCGACTCTTGTTGCACGGCATTTCCATCGCCGTTGGTTAGCGATTCCTCCCCCTTGCTCGTATCGCCGTTGGCGGTCGCAGCAGCAGCATCGGCGGGAGTGATTCCGGCGGGGTCCAACTCTCCATTTGCAGCGGCGGCAGGCGCGCCGTTGACGTCCGCCATGAGCACACACGTTTAGCCTTCTCGCTGCTCGGCGGATGCCCGTTTGCTTTTGGCCGGGAGTCGGATTCGGTGTGAAGCTGGAATTGCCAAAAGGAAAAACGTTATTTCCAGTGAATGACTTCTTAGCTTGGGCCGTTGATGCGCTGGTGTCGATGAAACAGAGGACCAGGGAGTGCAGGAGCTCGACGACCAGGTTCCACCACGGTAAGGACCGACTAGTTCGAACAAGTGCAACAATGGCCTGTCTGGCGTGCGCGCGTGCGTGGGCGCGAGGGCGCTTCGCTTGCCAGGCACGCAGTCAGAAGGGCGTCAGTGTTAGACGCGACTCAGAGCACCGCACCACGCAGGATCGCCGGGCGGAGCGGACGAAGGGAGAACTCGGGATCGATGGACTGCACACCGACAGGCTGTCAATGTACGGGTTCAAATGCAATGCAATCGTGAAGAATGCAAGAAGACAAGTCAGCCCGAGCACGAGGGCAAGAGGAAAAGGCAAGCAAGCCACCAAGGGACCCGAAAAATCCTCACAACCACGCAGCAAGGCCGCTGCGGTACCTGCATAGGCTACATGTACGATGATCAGCTCCAGCAGTGCATGGAAAAGGGTTGCGCATGAATCGCTGCAGCAACACATCTCCAAGCCCAACCCACTAGCTCCAGCCCTCTCCAATGGCCGCTGAGTCCATCGAACTCGTGCATGTATAGCTCCATGCAGGCTCCAGGGAAGCCGAGACACTTGTCCACGCTTTGTTGAAATGGTTTCTGCGTCCACCATCATAGCCTGTTACTGTTACAAACGCGGCCGTCCGACGTCAATGGCGGCACATGACCGTTTCTTCGTCGCGACATCAAACCCAACGTAGAACACTCGCAAAGGGAGATTGACAAGCAATAGTCCGCACGCAGGTCTTGTCCAAATGGGAAGGTAGTGGACATGACCATTATCGTTCGACCCAAACTTTGGCAACTTTGGCAACTCTCCAAGGCTTTGCAAAATTCCCGGCAGAAATTAAACAAACTATTTGCGTTGCAATATATCAAAGTATTGCGCCATGTGGTCCCAAAGGAGCAAGAGCCACGACGACACGACTCATGGGCGCTGTATTGATTTTCCAACAACCACATCGACATCATCGTCGTCATGCATCTGCCGTGCCGCACACACACCCATACCCATACAAACGATCTCCTGCATTTCTGCACAGGCACACAATTCATCAAGAAAATCCCACGTCCCCGCACAAAAGCACAAGCCCACATGCATATTCTTCTAATTCTCTTTCCCCTACCACATGCATGAAATATGCCGGTGCCCTGCATGAAAAAGCGCTCGAGCACATGTACATCCGCTTCACAGGTATCTGCATTCCCTTGGAGAACCTCAGCAAACCACGTGTGTTGTAGCAACAAGAAGTGGTGAACTACCAACGAACCCCGAAAATCTCCCTTGACGTTATTTTAGCCGCCGTGGACGCCCGCGGCTAGTGAAACCAGTTCATGAGAACCAAACGGATTGAGGGTTGGCGTGGTTGGTGGTTGGTTGTCAAGTTTTCGCACCTTCTACATGCAGTGCAGAGAGCGCGAGAAGCGCCTTGCGTTGCGAGAGACTTGCAGGCAAGCAGAAGGTGACGCGTGCAGATGTGTCTTGCCGGCTGTTAGTTTTCGCGGTCTCATGCAGATTGCAACATGAGGACAATGTCTCGGATCTTGCGCGTATGGTAGTCGCCAGCGATGTGGAGGAAGAGGACACTTGTCCTGGTACTCGCTGATAAGACTAGTAATTACATACGTACACATGGTATCGTGAAGCGTCGTCACTGCCGTGCGACGCGTCCACCTATCGAACATGCTTCAACATTAACGATGCTGGTGAATTGGTATCGTCCGGTGACATCGCTTCTGGCTTTCTGAGCGCCGAACTAGACTTTCCCGCCGCGTCGTGCCGTCTTGCTGGCCGTACCTTGTTAACGATAGTCTCTAACACTGGCGGCTGTTGTAAACAGGCCGCTTCCTTGCTCTTTCGGGTGTCTGGCCAGCAATCGACTTCGACGACTCCGACCTCACGTCTCGCAGAGTCGAGAAGGCATTGCGTGATAAGCAGCCATTTCACAACAACGGCCACTAAAAATCTCCGTCCTCAAGCGCCAATCTCCTAGAATGCAAGTGCCAAATGGGTTTTCACGCCTTCCAAATCGTGCATGCCGCTCTACCAAGACCAAGAAGAGGCGCAGGCTCTTGCACTCGCACTTCCAATGCCAAGTTCGCGCATGCGCAGTAAGTGAGGAGCCGAACTCTACTCGCGTATGCAAAGCGCACAATAATCTCTCCTGCAGTAGTGTTGTGGATCCAGATCCACGCGCTGATAGTGACGAACGGGACAAGACGAATCTCGTCCTCTTTCAGGTATCATCTTCGATCGGCTCATGGCATAGCAGGCAGTAAAGGTCTTGCGCATACGCTTCGCCGCCTTTCGGGGTGACCACAATTTCGGACTTCGTTGCTGGAATGTCGTTGGCACCATGCGGCTCGCCCTTGAGGTACACCTCCGACGCGACAGTCTTCTTCTTGTTCTCCGCATATGCTGTCGGTGTTGCGCGCGCCTCCTCGTTGGCTTCATTTTTGGGCGGGGTTGTGAGTTCTCGTTTCGTCTTCTTCGCGCCTGCGACGGCGTCAGTGAGTGTCGAAGATTGCTGTCCTTGAGGCTCACCATTCTCATGTTCCCGGAGAGCATCCTCTGCAAGGCACTTCACGTGCAGCCATTGGCGACATGATTCACGCGAGCATTGGATTATTATCTGATCCGGGTTCGCTGGGACCTTATCCCGGCAGATCTTGCGCAGCTCCTATAAACTGTTAGTTTGGCCTACCACCCCTTCGACGCAACTGAACTGACCGAGTATTTCCTGGTGACCAGATCATACGTCTGTCGCCAAAAGTATTGATCCTCGATTTCGGCACTATCGTCATCTTTGTCATCCAGGGCTACCACATCCAGAGTGCCATTGACCGACATGGCATCGATAATATCCATTTGATTGGACACAATCAGCTCATGTTTTCCGTGATACGATTTGCGACCCGACTCCAAGTCTTCTGGGCGATTGAGCCATGCGACTCGTATGTAAACATGTTCACTGTCCAGAGCTCTGACTTCGAGCACTTGCGCTTTCCATTGCGCCTCGCTCTCCATTCTCATGTCCTCGGTAGCCTCGTCGTGCTTCACCAGGATGCATTGGCCCGTCGCAATGCTTTCTGAGCCCACTACGCAAAATTGTTTAGCAAGCTGAGCATTGGTGCATATATGGGAGCCATTTCTCACCTGTGAACTTCTTGTACCTTCTCAGGCTCTCCCATTTGTCGCGCGGCTTTACTTCATAGAGCACTTGCAAGTCCTTAACAAGCAAGCCCTCCTCCAGATGCATATCCTCATCCCGCTTACGCTTACGCGTGGCGGAACTGATTGTGACATTGAAAGGGTTGTTCGTCCTGTCCAGCCATTCCTTTAGGCGCTCCCTGTCCTGCTCATCCAAATCGGTAGGTTGTGCTGCCGACGTTTTTGTATGCTTCCCGTTCGTTTCGCCTTTCGTCACGCCGTTCGTTTTGGACTTCGTCGGCGCCATGTCATTCGGTCGCAGGTGGTACGCGCCGGTTTGTCGTCGGGCAGGCGTCAGAGGGGTGTCGCGACACGGGTAACACCAGCGTGAGAGCAATTCTCGAGCGTGAGCAATACGGGAGCTTCGTTCAAGAGTGAGGTCAATTGAGCGCAAAGGCGGAACGCGTCAAGTAGAGAGGTATGGAGAACGTGTGCGACGTGTCTCACGCGTAGGCCGCCAGCCGATGCAGCTTGCTTGCTGCGTGAGCTCGGCTCGGCTCGGCTCGGCTCGGCTCGGTTTCAGGCAGCATTAAGGCATCAATTATCTTGTGCAGACGGCTTCTCGTTGCATCCAGACCCGACGACGGCCTCGACAGCGTTGCTTGCTACCGTCTTGAGCTTGCCGTCGAAATCTGCAGCGTCGGTAGCAGCTACCAGCGATGCGGCGGAGCTTTCTCGCCGTATGTTGCCCGCAGACAGAGCAGCCGGGTCGAGGTAGAGAGAGCGAGCCATTGCCCGCGGCGAAAGGAAGGCTATTGCTTTCTGTGGCGTTCACTAGCCGCAGCAAGTGGCAGGTTTTTGGTTGACGCCATGCCTTCACTTTTCGATCAGAACGACGGCTGGTTCTCAACGGTTGTACATATGCTCGTCAAAGGCTGATCATGATGGGCATCCACCGGATCGCCGTCGTCCCGATGGATCGAGTGTGCAGTGAGAGGGTGTGTGCGAGACAGGAGAGACAACGTGCCATGAAATGAATACGCTCCTTTTCCCGCATCGTGCTCTGCGTACTCGAATACGAAACGCGAGCGACTAGCTGGGCGGACAGCGGCGAGACATGGCTGTGATGGGGGGCGCCTTGCAGCCGTGCATGCAGAAGACACTCAATGACATGCCCATTTCGGCCATTTGACCATGCCAAGCAGCGTATGGGCCGTGGCGATTCGTTTGAGCCTCGTAAGCTCCGGATCGGACGGTCGCGGACATGGAATAGAGCACAGTAGCAGGTGGAGGATTATGGGGAAGAGAGACGTGTTGCAAGGTGCACGAGTACTTCTTGCCAGTGCCCGTCTGAGAGCTGCCTTCTCCCACTTCCATTGCCTTCACCACCACCGCGCCGTCGTCAACTACCACCACGCCGTACGACGCAGCCCGCGGAGGTCCTCCGGGAGTGCCGGCAGAGCAGAGGTGTATGAGGCTCTTTGCGCAACCAAACAGACCAGACTTTCCTAAACGACTGGGCCTTCTAGGTTAAGGCTCGTGCAGCGCCCGCGCCATCGAGCGTCATCAGCAGCATCATCATTATTATCGGCGCACTGCTTGTGTGCTTGCCGGGCCCGTGTGTCCGCGAGAGGCGGTGGTCGTATAGGAAATAATATCTCCTGCACGCCGCTGCTGCTGCTGCCGCCGCTGCACTGCACCGCGCCCGCCCACGACATTGCCCGCCAACGGCAACCCGGCTCCGGCCAGCTTTCACCACATGAGCGTCAGCCGCGAACACTTTTGATTCTCCGGTCTGCCCAGCAGTTGCTGAGCTCGACCCCAGGGAAAATTACGCGTCGACGCAGTGATAGCAGCAGTGATCGCCGAGCGTGACGAAAGACCCAGCGCATCCCCCATTCACGACGGCCTCGCCCTCTATAAACTGCCGCTGTCCCACTGCGGCTGCCGATTGCGCGGCTTTGTGTGCACAAAGACCCGGCGTGCAGGTTGAGAGCGTGGTACAACATGCCTCGCAACAGAGGTACGTCTATCCCGAACCACTCCTGCGGCTTCACGCTGCGTCATGTAGCAAGTGGCTGACGAGCGTTGCGTGCAGTTTTGTCCTTCATGTCCCAGTGGGGCGGAGGACCGCGATCGCCAACGACCGAGGACGTCAAAGAGGCGCCGCCCAGACAAAAGTCAACGCCTCCGCCGCGCGATCCTTCACAGAGCGAGAAGCTGCGCAAGCTGAACACCGACATTGACACCCCACAATCCATCCGCGGCTACAGGGCAGATGCTCTGGGCCAGGCGTCACCACACTCGCCGAGCACGCAGTCACGAGCAAGAGCAGAGTCCAGGGCGAACACGCGTCCGAACAGCATGATCCAGACATACAATCCGCCGCAGATGGAGCTGGCGACCGACACGCCGCCCGAGCTGGCGCCCATCTTCAGCTATCTGAACAGCCACAGCAATAAGTCGTACCAGGAGGGCTATTTCTTGAAGCTGCACGATCTGGACTCCAGCGGCCGGCCGAGTCGCGACCGTACGTGGACCGAGTGCTTTGCGCAATTAGTGGGCACGGTCCTGTCTCTCTGGGACGCGGCTGCCCTGGACGCAGCCGGCGAGGACGGCGAGGTTGTGCCGACTTTCATCAACTTGAGCGATGCGTCAATCAAAATGGTGAGCAGGACAAGCAATGAGGGGGTCGGAACAGAGCTGACTGTGGCAGATTGAGTCCCTTCCTATGAATGGTGCCGCCGGAGGCAGCCTGCAGAACGTCCTCTCGGTATCGACTGCGGCCAATAATCGCTACCTACTGCATTTCAACTCCCTGAATTCTCTCACACAATGGACTGCGGGCATTCGTCTGGCCATGTTCGAGCATTCCACGCTCCAGGAAGCTTACACGGGATCTTTGATCGCCGGAAAAGGTAGATATCTGAATGGCATCAAGCAGATAATGGAACGCACTAGGTTTGCCTACGACGACTGGGCGCGTGTTCGCTTTGGAGCTGGCACCCCCTGGCGACGATGCTGGTGCGTCATTTCCCCGCCAGACGAGAAGGAATGGCAGAAGTCGCAAAAGTCGTTGAAGAAAGGCAGTGCATACACTCGACCCCAGCTACCGAAAGGCGACATTAAATTCTACGACACGAGAAAGGTGACAAAGAAGACGAAACCAATCGCCACCATCAGCGATGCGTACGCTGCATATGCCATTTATCCACAATCGAAACCACTGGTCGAGCAGTCAACACTTGTGAAGCTGGAAGGCCTCGTTACAATTCATGGCGGACAAGAGACTACGACCGAAGGCTTCGTGTTCGTGATGCCAGAAGTTCACGCCGCCGTTAGCGGCTTCGAAATGATGCTCAGGTGGTTATTCCCGGTCTACGATACGTTTGGCCTCTACGGCAGACCTACCCGACTCATCGCAGACACACTTGATGCCAGAGGCTTGATGTTCGCTATGCCCAAAGACCGCAGATACGGCTATCTGGACATTCTAGATGTCTCTGGGCTCATACACGAGAAAGGAAGCCAGAACTGGAGTGAACGACAGTGGCGCAAAGAGTTGAGGAAGCTCACCTCCGTTCGGATGACCACAGCGTTGGAGAATGGCGATCGTGGTGTAGGCTCAAGGCGCAACACAATGAGCCGGAACTCGCTTCCTCCATCCAAGAATGGCGTTCAGCTCCAACACGCAGCGATACACTCCACGCCAGGGTCGCGTTCAGCTTCTCCACACAAAGTGGCTCCTGGAAACGTGCGGCCCCCAAGTCGCACGGATTCTGCCCCTCCTACAGCTTTCAGCAACAGTCCGCACAAACGATCAGTGTCTGACGCGCCTGGCTACCGCAGACATATGGCCGAGACTCCATCACGACTCTCGTACGAACAGAATATGCGAGACGATGATCAGCCGCCAGCTCCGCCCCGACACGGAGGTGTACTCGGCTCGAATGGCACGCAATCACCAAGCCCGATTGAGCGTGTGCATTCCGATGATAGATTGTCCACGAACTCGCCGTATGAGGAAGTGGCAGCAGCAGCATCTCCATATCTACCGCCACCGGAGCCCGTTGTGTCACCTCCCGAAATGCAACACAACCCTCACAGTCGTCCAGCAGCTCAGCCGCATGTGACACCAGAGCTCCGCCGTGCTCACTCCAACGTGGACGAAGACACTCTTCAGCAGATGCAAGACGCCGTGCGCAATGTGCAGCAAGAGGGTTATGCAATGCCTCAGAGCAATGAGCAGACACTTGCTTATCGTGAGCAGCAGTACTTGCCTGTCGAAAGATTACACGGATATTCTGGCCATGGTGCATATCGAGGTGAAGAGACTCGTTTGGAGTCCATACCAGGCTCACCTTACCACGCCGTCAGTGGCGAATACTTTGACGCCAACGAAAGACCCAACATCGATGAGCTGGCTGCTAGATCGGAGCAGCGGCCAGAGCTGGCGCACAATCGCTCTTCCCAAAGCATCTCCCGCAAGCCGCTGCCGAACAGGCAGCTGCCACAAGTTCCGCAAGACGGACAATCCTCTGCTCGCAGTGGACAACAGGTGCGTGATGATGTGGAGACTCCCGCTTCTCCCCCGAGCCCTGCGGGGAGTTTCATTGTCGACCCGACTTTTGTTGACGAGGATCTGATAGCACGCGTATTAAATGACGACAGTGAGCGAACTAACACGATCGCCTCAACGGAAACGCCAGACTACGCAAGTTCTGGTCGCTCTTCTCTCGAAGAGCAGAAGAGGAAAGAGCAGCAAGAGAAGAAGGCATTTGAACGACGAGGCAAGCTGAAGACAGTTGGCGATCCCACTATGAGCTCCGTACCCGAACGAGCGTATGGATCTGGCAAGTTGGATACTTGGGACAAGGACAAAGAAGAGCAGAGCTCCGAGATACCCACGATCGAATTCGGACCCACTTATACATATAAAGTGCATAGCAGACCAAGCACAAGCGGGACCATGACACCAGGCGAGATGGGCAAACACCAGCGTTCGAAGTCTCGTGATCGTCTGCGCGAGAGCTCTGGCTCGCGAATGAGCAGCTACTTTGACGCTCCCGAAGGAAGTCCTGCTGAAAAAAGACGTTCATCCTACTTTGCAGGTGCAAGGACTCCAACACCTACCGGTATTGAAGCTCAGGAGACTGTAGAACCTTCCAACAAGCGATCAAGCATGGCATGGGCACCGGGTGTTGCATCGGCAGGCAGTCCGTCATCGGGATTGACGCCAGAACAATTTGTCCAGCTCAAATTTGAACAATCTCAGCGCCCTCAGTACGCGCCGCAACCTCAATACGCTCAACGCACCAAGTCGCTCGTCCCTCCAATCGCCCACAGCCGTAATTTCTCTACAAACGATCTGCCTCAGATGCGAAGGTCGATGGCTAAGACCCCACCACCATTCCAGCGCTCGATTTCTGGCGACTGGACAATGCAAAGGGCAGAGTCGCCGCAAACTCCACCCAGTCGGCCACACTCGCGAAACCTCTTGAGACGCTCAAGTGGTGCTACCCTACTCAACAGCACGCAAGCCGTCACTTTGAGCGCCAAAGAACGAACCCAGGTTTCTCGCATGACTGGGGCGCCACTCGTCAGCATGGCAGCCAACGAGGACAAGAGAAAGAAATTCGACATGCCCAACGCTGGCCTCATCGGTGCTCTGGCAGACCGCGAAAGAGATCGAGCGAATGTCGATAGATACAGGAGCGGTGCCGTTCAAGGCGCGGTCGCGATGACGATTCAGCAGCAAGCGGAAGCCCAACAAGCAGCATTGCTTGCACAACAAGAGAGACAACATGCAGCCCAGATGGCTGCTCAGAAGGCAGCACAGACCGCACAGTTCAATCAGATGGCTCACGAACGCGCACAGAGGATGTTGGCGCCACAACAAAGGTCATCAATGTATCTGCCGCAACAGACTGGTCAAGTGCAGCAAATGGCACCTCAGATGCAGCACAGACAGTCTTGGGCACCGGATATGTTGCAGCAGCAACTCCTACAGCAGCAAATGCAGATCCAGCAGATGCAGCAAATGCAGCAGCAGCAAGGTTATGGCATGGGCCAGCAATCCCAGGCCAGCGTGTACGGAGGCCAGTATGTACAGCAGCCGAGTTTTGGGCAGCAACAGCCGATGTACGGACAGCAGCAGCAGCAGCAGCAGCAGCAGCAGCAGTACTACCAGCCGAGGAGGTGATCCATCAACTGGGTATTGATGATTCGGATTTGGTGACGAGAAGCACAGATCGCGGCCATGGTTGCAGCATTTATAAACGACATATGACCGCTCTTCATACAGATATCACAGTGCGTTCCGTATAACGGATGTTCTCTTATAGCATTAAAGCGGCCAATGCGGGTGCATAGGAAACCAGAATGCAATGAAGTCAGTGAAACAATCTGGCAGATAGATGAATATGAATAGAAACGATTCGGAACATTGGAATTACGCCTCTGTCGTGAGGGAGAATGAGCAAGTTGGCGCCTGTGAGTGGTCCACATGTCCATGCCCGGCCATCGGTGAGTGGGCGCCCTGGCACAGTGATTTTGGTCTTCATGTTGGTCAAACGATGAATCTGCATGACCATGACCGTGTCGACCGGTCAGTCCGCTGCCTATCGCACGTTGGCGCTTTTCTGATCACACGAGTAAGGAGATGCCTCGGTGTGTAACTTTCGTTTTGTTGATGAGGTGATGTTGGAGCAGGCTTTGCTTGGCGGAAGGTGGGATTGCGGAGGGCCAAACCAAAGGCCAGCAGCAACGAACAACATCCACATTTTGCTTCCACTTTCATCACAACTATTGAGATGTCCAATGCGCCTGCTCGCCCTTCGCTCTCGCCAGCTTCTCTCTACTGCATCGCGCCGAAAGCAGATGACCGGAACAATGCAAGCCCGCCACGTCACACAGAGAGAACCACGGCAATTTGTCGCCCTGGGTTAGGCGCCGCACGAAATTTGTGGCATTATGCACGTCGTTCTATGCCCGTCCAATTCACTTGCAAGCTCTATTTTTATGCTCGTCGAACCGGTGAACAGTTGAGCAATCGATGACCCGGAAAGATATGCCCTCACTCGGCGTTCCTGCGGCCATGGTCATGGTCATGATTATACACGGGAGCAGGAAGAGCCTCACGGGTCGCCCTTGCTTCTTTGCTGCCAGCTCGCGTTGGACGCCTTCGGAACTGACGTCGCACTATGGGCCAGCAGCCGTATTGTCGGCATGCTGATGACCCTTTGTGTAAGGCGTGCATCTGGCATGGGCTGAGGAGCGCCTCTACATAAGGTATCTGGAGTTCCTCGCTCAGAAATCCCTCCAGTTGACATGCTGCTCTATAGTAGTCCCTCTCGCCACTCTTGAAATTCTCACAATTCCTCTTCTCCCCATGAGACACACAACCAGCTTGCAGAGCGAAGACTCGCATTTTGGTCGAAATCAAGTGCGTCCGTAGGTCTGCTGCTACTGTTGGCCAAGCTCTCGAAACTCTGCCGAGATGCTTCATCGGACTGCAAGACCTAGAACATGGCACCACGCATACTCAGCATGAGGTCTATACAATCAGGAGATTGAGGTCTAGCCAGGAGCAATGTACTTCGAAGTACATTTGCCAAATGTTGCACAAGGCTGAGGCTCCAAGGCTCCAAGGCACCGCTGCATGTTGGAGGATTCCGCTCGGGTACTACACTCACACCTCCGTGCTGGCTTCGGACGACGAGCACAACTCACCCCGGCGTACGTCGGCGCTCCATCAGTGCTCAGGACATGCACAATCAAGGCAGAGCTCATGCTCCCACCTCACCGGTCGTCTGAGTTCATGGTGTACCATTCTCGGATGCCTTCGCGTCTGATTGGACCCCCTCGCACGGGAAATTGGCCCGATTGGAGCGCCCCAGTGCAGTGCAGATGTGAATATACTTCATGTTGAGAGTGAGGTCTGCGATGCAAAACGATTGGAGGTACGAGCGACGAGACCTAGGATACACCATGTGCGGTGATGCGGTGGGCGAAGCGAGGCCGCCTCCGCCCGGAGGGCGTAGGAGCATATGCTCTGGCGTCCTCAAGGTCGATTCCACACCTCTCCTCTCAGCCCTCTGAACAGATCGCTCGCCACAAAACGCTTTTCTTGCTACTTTGAGAAGACGATTCGCAGAAAGATGGCTGGTGAATTTCTTTGGATGCGAGAGACCCCTGAATTAGACTCCGCAACCACTGAAAGCAGCGGGGAACGTATTGAGGAATTGCAAACTCCCTCGACACCCGAGACACAAGTGTGAGTGGATTGTTATGATCTCCTATAGGGCACATACTCATCAAAGGATAGTGCCGGGCTTGCTTCGTTCACAGACAACCGTGTAGAGTTCTTCCTTGGCGAGCAGTACCCTGGGTATGAGCCAGGAGCGGGCAAAGGAATCTTCCAGAGCGATCTCGACAAACAAGCACTATGTGCGCTCCATGCCCCGATTGGCTTCGAAAGCCAACGAGCCGCCAACGAAACACTCTGTCAGCAGCATTCCGCTCAAAGGCTGGAACCCGGAGAGGTTCAAGCGACGGGAGCCACAGCCGAGGGTACGTTCGTTCTTGTCATTCCAATTATACTTGCAGGTGTAATACAAGATTGGCCTGCGCCTATCTACAATTCGAGATCGTTGGGAAAATCAGAGTCGCGAGAAGAGCAAATAGCTGACGTGCCCAGGATATACCGTGCAGCTAGAAAATCATCAATACGTCCACTCCGTCGAATCTGTCCCGGTCAACGAGCGCTTGGCGAACCCAGACTACATTCCGACCTGCTTCACCGACATCCACGCGGATCTCGTATGCTTTCATTGCGGCCACGACCCTACACAAATCGACATTGACCTCGACATGCCGCTCTCATCTGCACCAACAACTCCACCACAACACTTATGCAGCCCATCACCCTCACAACAGCGATCTCCTCCGTCGTTACCAACAGCAAGACCCAAGGTGCGCATACCACCTGCGCCCGCATCGACACCTAGACAAATCTCTCGTGCTGCAACATGCGAATGGTGCAATAAGACCTTTTCCCGGCCTGGAGGCTTACCAAGACACCAATCTGCATCGTGTCCAAATCGGCCAATCGGTGTGAGGCGAAGTCTGTTCGTCTGTCTTGTGTGTCAGGAGACGAAGCCGAGGAAAGATAAAATCCAATTGCATTGCCAAAAGAAACACGGGCAGCTAATTGGGAAGGAGACGTTCGTGGAGAAAATTTGAGGGCTTGAAAGGGTCTTTTGTATATTGTGTGGTTGGTGGATGTCGATACCCCTGTTGTATAGCTTTGCCTGAAATATCTGAAGAAGAATTTGATCACCTCGTAATTGAGCTGCGTTTCAATCCGAATCACTTTCTCCGACAGCTATATTTGCTGAGAAACGATATGATTGCGTGCTCCAGTGGCGTGGCAAGTGCGACATCGAGTGAGAGTGGCAGCATGTGCATGGTCCTCTCCAAGTTGAGCCACACATGAGACTTTAGACTTTGGAGCACAGCCACGCATGCTCGATCGCTCAGTCCTCGTCTTCCTTCTTGATTTTGACTTCAGTCAAGTGCTTGTCTTCTTCTTCCACAGTCCTTCTGGGGTGTTCCCTCATCACAGTGACTCCAATCCAGTGCTTGTCTTCTTCTTTCACCGTGCCTCCTGTGTCATGAATGTCTTCTTGCTTAATTGTGACACAGTCACAGCCCTTATTTTCTTCCTCCAGAGTCTCTGCAGTCAAGTACTTGTCGTCCTGTTGCAGAGTGGTCCTGCGGGCGAATTTGTTCCGGTAGCAGTTCTCGCTTCCTGGCATGTGCTCATGGTACTTGCACTTCGCAGCGGCCAACGAAGCTGAGTCGGGGTCTTTCTCTTTCAGTTTCTTTTCGAAGTCTGCCAGGAAAGCGGGATGATCGTGCTTGTTGACAGCTCTAGTTGCTTTATGAGTTGTCATTCTGTGTACGAGAAGCGCGCGTGCCTTAGATCCAGGTGAAGTGAGGTTGTAGAGTATTTTTCGGAATCGCTGGTGGGGTAGCCAGTATCGGTCCTCCTCCGCATCGTAGCTGCTCCAATGAGTGATCATGGCATCTGTGATCGCGTCGTGGAAGTCGATGTCCAAGATTTTGGTTGCGAGGCGATAGGCCAGAATCAGTCTTGCGGTGACACCATTCTTCGCGGGAGTTTCGTTGTCTTTGAGTCCGGCGTAGATTTTCCTGTCACGCAACCAATTTACGTAGAGGTTAAAGGTGGTGGCGCTGATGTCTGGAAGTTCTATAGGAACAGCGATCTCTGTCTTCGGGTTGGCAAAAATGGCTCTGAAATGTTCCGATGCTTGGCACAGTGTTTTCTTGTGGACAGAGAAAGAAGCACCACTTTGTCCGACTTTGACTTTGATGGGAGGTGCAGTGAGGCTAAGTATGTTAGCGGACATGTAGATTCTCGAGTGTCTCTCCAATTTGCTTACTCAGTAGCTTGAGAGGCAGACTGGAGAACTCCTCCAAACATGTTCGGGTCGTAGTGCATGTGATATGTCATGGTTAGTGGAGCGTGGTAGTCATCAAGTTTGTGAATGTAGGTTAGAAATATGGCGCAGGTTTTGCTGCGTTGACGAAGCTCTGTGAGCTGTGAGACAAGTTCAGTTGCGTTTGGTTTCATCTTCAGTTCACTTGGTGCAGTGCTGACTCAAACACTGCTACCGTATAGTGTACTCACATTCCGCCACAGCTGTGACAAATTGGTGTCATACGCAGTTTTGTGTGAACTGTCCTCGATATATGCTGTCTTCCCCATAGCCACGTTCATTCATCATGCTTTGTTCATTCTTTGTCTCTTGCACTTATGCGTTGAACCCCAGCTTGCTCTTGAGCTCCTCCACAAACTCGACGTATTTCTTCTGCGCCTCCTCTGGCTGCGTTCCAGCTTCCACTTCCGCCTTCCAGGCGTTGTACTTGGCCTTGCCCTGAACGAGAGAAGACATGTTAGCATATTCGTTCGGTATGTAAGGCGGGATCCATGCGTACAGTCATGTCGAACATGCCAGGTGCAGTGGCTTTGGAGAAGTCTTCACCAGTACCAATCTTGTAGAGCGAGTATAGCTGCGCCGCCTGTCAGCTCAACGGTCGAAAATATGGTCTGCAAGATGTGTATTTTGTTACCTTCAGCAACTGGTCGTTGGTTGGCTTGCTCTTGAGCTTCTTGCTCTCCTCGGCAGCCTTCTTGAATTCAGCGGATTGAGCGACCATGTTGGCGGTGGTATGAGAAGTCGGGATGATGTTCTGGGATGTCCTCGTCGTCGTTGGGAAGATGTAGAAAGTAGTGAGTAAAGCTCCGGAACTTTGCTTGCTGCATCGTGTCCCGCCAAACAACCCGCGACTTCCCAGCTCGGTACCCCGCTGAGGTCATGTGCCACGTGCACGAGGGAGCCTTGGCATAGACTACTCTCTTCTTGCTAATCCATCATTTCTCCATCATCGTGTAACATCCAAGACGAATCACTTTCCACATCTGGCCATCGTAGCACAAGATCACCTGAACCGATATCACCCGGGACCGGCCTTAGAACTGGTGTTTCTTCACGCGTGAAGCATGCCAACGCATAGCACATTAGGCCGCAGAGGCGAACATGCGGCTAGCTTTCCATTCGCAAAAGTACAATGTCATCGATATCGACCAGATTTTACCTGAGGTGGAAAGGCCCCAGAAACCATGCTCCTTTGGATGCCTCCAGGATCAGAATCCTGCGAAAAATAGCTTTTCATGCAATGCCATTGGAAGCGATTTCATGCACTGACAGCAGTAACTGGGATATGAATCTTGCATATGAAATACGCTCCGCCTCCGAGATCGACAGCTCGCTTCGACAGTTCTGCCAGGCGAGTTCTCTAGCCGAGGCGAGAGAGAGGGTCGTTGCAAACCAGGATGGCATCGAGCGTAGGTACAGAACTACATGATCATGTCTCAGGGCATTATGACCTTGAAACGTCTGGACAAAGCGCGTGAATCCCCATCGAGCATCGCCGCTAAACTTCGTGAGAGGCTACTGACAACTGCTGCTCGAGATGGGCGCTTTGAATATCAAAGACCAGAACACCATCTTGTTAGCAAGCGAAGGGTACATTCAATCACCGACCGTTATGATATAACGCTGAGAAGTGAAAAGGCGGGCAAAACATCACATGCAGTATCGTACTCCAGACTCCCTACACATGAACAACAGCTGTTCCCCAAGATTTTTGCCTTTGATCCTCACGAGGAAACCGACATTGCGATATCACCCGCAGCGGAGTTCAACCTACGATGCGTGCTCCATCGGTCCAGGCCTCAGCACGCTAGTGGAAAAGCAGATCTGCTTCCGTTCGAGAATGCCAGTACAATGACTGCGCTCTGGGACGGGCTCGCTTTGCCGTCATCATATCTGCATTTGGCTAATGGCTATCTATCCACAGCACAGTCGCACGAAATCCAAGACGGCGATGAAGGTGCCACGGGGTTCGCACTCACAGTCTACTCCCTCAGTAAGCAAGGAGATTGGTCGATGGCGCTGTCCCACAACTCCCATACCAGGAGTACCTCGGTATTCTGGAGCCTGCAAGATGGAGTGGATGCTGACACATTAGTCAATGACCTTTGTGACTTCCAGGACTATGGCTGGCATCCAATGCTTTTACCCTGCATCATGTTCGCGAGTGTGTTGCGTATGGCCACTGAACGACGGCAGTCTATCAAAGCGCGTTTGCAAACTTTGGAAAAGACTATGGCACGAATCAATACCTATTCAGCGGACTCCAACATCGCTGAAGTTTTTGAGCAACGTCATTTCTCGCAGGAACTCAAACAGCTGTTCGAGCTCCTTCAAAGCTGTCGACATGATCAGGGGAGTCGCGAAGGACGGTATGACTTCTGGCGAAGTTTTCATACAGTGATCAAGAATGGATTCGAATATGCGAAGCACTTCATGCAGGCACAAAGGGCACATGCTGCACGAGCACAGGATTACGAGTCTGCATTCGCGCAACACGAAGACCTCCAGGAGTGGTTCACACTTACGTGGATCCAGTTGGAAAGCATCATGGCTCGCGACCAGGACCATAATACTCGAGTGGACAATGTTTCTGACATGGTTGGTCTCAATCTCTGGACAATCTGCCGCGTTCTGATCCATGAACCTTCGAAATATGCTGAATGCATTAGTTGACAGAAAGTGTAGCTATACAATTTGGTCCAACAACGCGACATTCGCCTGCAATCGCGCATCGCACGAGCTTCGCAACGCGATAGTCAAGATATGAAGTTCATTGCTCTATTGGGCTCTGTGTTTCTGCCTGCGAGCTTGATTGCTGTGAGTGGACCTCATACGCGAAGCGGGAAGGCCTATGATGGCGATGCGGCCTACCTTTACACATGTGCTAATTCTCGAGCACAGACCATATTCAATGTCGCGGAATTCGTCTTTATCGAAGGCGCTGCGCTGTTCGGAGTCTATATAGGGATCACGATCCCTTTTGTTGCCGTCATGTTGATCTTGTGCACGACAAGAGAGGAACTGGGAAGCTGGTTTGGCAAAAGGATTCATCGGCGAGCGGGTGGGGCAAGCAATGAGAACGGAGAGAAAGGACACAGCTAAGTTTCCCACACGTTCACAGTCTGACACAAAACAAGGCAGGCTTTCTCACTATGGGCGTAATCCTTTCGAATAGATCGCTTTTGATAGGATAGGGCCAGCAACGAACATCTTGACAGCTCTTTTCACGATCTCTGGCTGCGCAAATGGACTGATTTCAGTGGCATCACGTGCAGAAAGATCTAGTCACATCTGGAGACACCATGACGACGGAGATCCACCGGCGAACACGCTGTCCAAGTGCTAACAACAGAGGAAGGGGGAAAGATCTGAAGTCGCCTCTCAGTTACGATTCACAGTACTCAATGCAGTACTTCCCTCAGTCGAGTCATGGTACCCCGTAGACCACTACTTCTAATTCGCATCGGGGGATTGACGAATGTCTCGACAGCTTCTGCCAAGAGCTCATCCATTGTCTCTGGCTTAGCCACTGGACGAATCTCGATATCGATAAAATGGAACTTCTGGCCATTATGTACACGTTCTTCGGATCGGACATGCACGGAATGGAACTTGAGCTCTGCATGACTGCCCATGCGCCTCGGTGCAAACTTGGATTGCAATGTTTCCAGAGACTCGAGGGCGTCCCCTTCAAGCACGTCGAACGCGATTTCGACCTCGGATATCGAGCCTAATATAAGTATGAAGGACTCGTAGTCGTATTGACGCTGGAACAGAATCGCTGTCGTTATGGCGCCTGCCGATTTGTCAACCTTGTAAGCCAAAGGCACATCACTCCAAGGCTGGCGCGCCACTCGCGGGAAGTTCTTGGAGCGAGTGGCCTCTGGCAAGTGTGAACTCGCCACCATCCGGTAATCTGCGAGCTCAGATTTGTCGGTGTCGCAACAAGATAATTTGCGGACCTGAAAGAAATGGTATGGGAAGATTCTTTGTGTGGTGGGATCGTGATGCTGGCGCACGTAGATGCTTTCAGGTTTTCCTAGTTCCGAGCAGGACGCCAGGATTCCGCTTTTGACTCTGGCGAAGAGATTGGAGCCGCCAGAAAGGCGTTTGAGGTACACGGCGAGCCAGTCATTGTAGCCTCTTCCTGGCACTGGGCATTGCAATGCGGCGAAATACATCCCGTCCTCCTTCTGCGTCAACGGGAGAGTCGCACGAAGGCCCCTTGCGGTCATTGCAAAGGGAATGTATTCTCCGAGTTGGCTATAAGGTATTGTTGAGCCGGTGTGTTTGAAGTCTCGGGGACTATTTGCTAACAGGCCGCAGCAGGTGTCTTCGGCGTTGTCGGGCTGAATCCATGCGAAGATGGACTGATCCTCGCTGATCTTCATGATCTCCTCTTGAAGTCTGAGGAACGATGTTCTTTCGCCTTCGCCGTACAGCATCGGCATGTTAACGCCAAACAGACCCATCAGACAGTAAGCGATATCCTCTTCTCGAGTTGTCTGTCGGAGGGAGGCCCAGAACATTCGCGATGCGATGCTTGCATGATGGATAGGCCGAGCTCCTGCCAGATACTCAACGTCGATTCCGGAGATCTGAGAGACACGCGATCGGAGCTGCATTTTATTGCCCAGGAACTCCCAGTCGGCTGAGAAGAACTGAACATCATTCGGAGCGAGAAGTTCTTGGAGTGTCCAGCCGCGCCGCCACCATCTTGAGGCTTCGAAATCTTCGTCTAAGCTCGATACGTCGGCAAGGAAAGCGTAGCATATTTCTGCGTCTTGATAATATTTGTACATGGAATTGATGGCTTCGCTCAGCTCTACAGAGCTGGTCTTGTCAATACAACAGGTATCGATCCAAAGAAAGCCGTACCCATCGAGCACGGCGCGTTCCATAGCCGAGAGCACTTTTGGAAGAGCTTTTTTGTGTTCGTAAGTACCGCTCCGTACGTCGCAGAACAGTACTTCATCGTCCGCATCGCTGAACCATGTGTGGGAAAGGATCGCATAGGGCGGAATGTCTTGGCCCCATTTCTCGATCAGCTCGAGTTTCGCCTGACCTGGTCGATACGGCCCGGTTCTGAGCAGACGCATTACTACGGCGAGGAGACGGCTTTGACATTTGCGAGCTGTCCAGGAGTGTCGATGGCTTAATGCCAAACAGCAGCGTGCTGCGCATTCGAGCATACCTCCAAGCGAGTGGGTCAAAATAGCTCTCAGACATTTGGAACCGAGTTGCGGCTGAGCCAACCGGTGAATGTCAACTGTTACACAAATGACCTCAGCCTCAATACTGGTCAATATGTTGTCGAGCCCCGCGACTTTGTCTGAGATGCTGGACTCGCTTTCAAACGCTTTGTGGCCATTTCGCACCAAGTTGGACTTTGTGGTGGGAGTCAAAACCACTCGTATTTCGAGCTGATGGACGAGGTTCACGCCGCCTCCGATCTCGATGCACAACGAAGAAGCCCGAAGTTGCCCACATAGCATCCGAGGACCATGATTTCATACAGCGTGAGCCTCCGTACGTACTGCTGTTGACCACTTTGCCATGTTCGATAAACTAATGCTGTTAGTCTAGAATGCGATACCAGCCACTACAAGAACCGGTGCACGAGGCACCACCACTCTTTGTTACGCCCTTAAGCAAATTAGGAGACAAGCCAGCTCAAGTCGATTGTCCATACTGCGAGAAAGTCGTGCAAACCGAAATTCACAGGTCTGCTTCAAGCGATACTGGGTAAATATCCTGTCTTGCAAAGATATTCAGCAGCTGATGGAATCCAACAGTATGACCGAATGTCTTATCTGCCTTGTTTGCTGTCCGCTGTTGCTCTGCTATAGACCGGACGAAGACACCTCTCACCACTGTTCGGTTTGCAAGACGCGTTTGACGCACAGACCACATGGGGGCACTGTTGTAGTCGTTGCTGCAACGAAAGCTGAGCCCAATCAAGTCGCATCCAAGTACCAACAGAAAGCCTGACGCGGTGCTGGAAGAAATTGAATCATGTTGTGACCATATATCGAAGCTTGCACGTTCGCCTTGGATGCCTAAAGCATTACCGATCAGGTTGCAGCCTGTTCAGACGGATCAGTGCCTCGAGCTTGTAGAAAGCATCACGCAGTATCGTTACTACTATGGCTACGGCAAATAACTACGAGTCGCCTGGCAGGATCGACCCACTCGCTCCAACAAATCCCGAAGCTGCGCATCTCTCCTATGAGGAACATCACTTCTTTCAACATGGACCTCCGTACGTGTCTTGATCAGCCTAGACATGGTAACTCGACAAAGTAAACTGATGCATTAGCCTCAGAATGTAATACCTGCCCCCTCAATACCCAGGAACCGAGATCTCACCAGTCCTCGTCACACCCCTAAGCAAACTACACGAACAACCGACCCAAGTCGATTGCCCGTACTGCAAGAAAAGTGTAATGACTGAAACTCGCAAAACTGCATCGAACACTTCCGAGTATGTTCCTCTCCCACTCTCCTTTCAAGCGTGAACAACAGATCCGGCGACTGAATAATGCCTTCACAGATTCGCACAGTTCCTTCTATGTATAGTCTTTTGCCCTTTGGTGTTTTGCTACGAAGTTGATGATAGAATTGACCATCATTGCTCTGTTTGTAAGAAGAGATTGGCGTACAAACCGCGCGAGGGATCTACCGTGGTTGTTGCTCAGCCGAATGTTGAGGATAAGGTTCCGTCGAAGTATCAGCCTGCGGTGTGATTTTGCTCTTGCTACGATATAGTAACGATCAATGAAACTAATGATAAAACACACAAGTACATATGGCTACATTAATGCTCAGGTTTTATGCTAGGGATAAACCGATACCTTCTCGATCTACACAACAAACAATCTTCGACAATTCGATGCTTAATGGCCAGTGTTTGGATATGTATCCCGAATTACATAGCTCCGATTTCTGGTTCCAAGATGCAGCCAAGACGATCGGTGAAGTTCCAGTGTTCCACAGGTGAGCTCAGCCTCTAGCTTTTATCACTGCAGCTCCCTGTCAAAATACATGTAAGTCTGACGTGAAGAAGCAGACATCTGGACATTAGCCACCAGCGAACTTCAACTGACGCACATATCGAGGGCTAAAAACGTACCGCAAGATACAAGAGCTAGCATGGACACTGCAGAGATAGAGGAGGACAACACGAAAGACCCAGCACTCCAGCCTAGCACCAGGAGGAATTCTGAAGCTGGGCATCGCGTGTCGAACGAACACACCGATCCCATCCAGCGTGAACCTTCGTATGTATTACGTCCTCTCAAAGCGCCCTCCTCAATCGAGAAATTAATATGTTAACCCAGAATGAAATACGAGGCATCACACGAAGAACCAGACAAACCACACGACAAATCAAACCCAGCCTACTGTCCGCGCTGCAAAGAAATGGTGGCAACAGAACACAGCTGGGAAACCACACTCTTAGACCGGTAAGTCATCTGTCATTAATCCAGCAACGAAAAATTGCCTTGACGAGGTACTAACGATTCTAGAATAGCTGTGCAAGGTGTTACCTGTGCCTTGTCTGCCCAGCCATACTTATCTATTGGAAACCCCGCAGTGCTAGGGACCGCTGTGTGAATTGTAATAAATGGTTGAGACCCAGTGGAGAGAACGATGGAGCTGGAGTCGAGACTTCGACGGAAGCTAAGCCCCATGAAAATGTATCTCAGAATCAGCAGAAGACTTGATCGTGTTAGAAGAGGACTTATTTTGAGGGTGTCGGCTCAGGACGCGCAGGGCCAGATAATTGCAGCGGAAGTCCTGGCTCTCTACTATTCGCATCCGGCAATCTCTGGTGACGAAAGTGATGATCATAGAGGCAAGACACATTCGTAGTGAAATTCATCCTCTGTGCTTGAGAACAAACAGTTGTGCTTTTCCTCCCAATTCGCGAGCAGCGACTTTCGCATTGCAATTTTGCGTCCGTCATTCATTCATTATGTACATTATTACACATTAGATTCATCTTCGTGGAACGACCTGTTCTGTTCTCAAATCCCTGAATCAGTCTGCAAGTACTCCGCTTGCTCCGGATAGTAGTCTCTCCAAGTATTACATTGTTGGTTGAAATCTGGCGTGATGGGGTCGATATCCAACATTGTTTGCTGGCTTTCGATGAACTGAACTGCGAAACCATCGTCTGCGTGCCATGCCTATGGAACACTTTTGTCAGTATTTGTGTTATCAATGATGTAGAGCATAAGAGCGCGACTTACGATATGACAATGCAGCAACCACGCTCCAGGGTTGTTCGTCTCAAATGCAATCGCCAGCCAGCCATTTGTGGGCAGCATGGCAACATCTCTCCTCATGGGGTTCTCATAGTTCAGGTTCTGTCTGTCGGCATCTGTCCAAGCACTTTCTCCAGCTCCCAAGACGTAGAAGTCATGGCCGTGAAGATGAATTGGATGCGGGATGTTGACTGTGAATGGCGAGCCAGGTGCTTCGGTGATAACCCAGTATGTCCAGCGATTGGCATTTGGCAGGGAGATTGCATTCGCGCGATCGGGCCAGTTGGAGAAAGAGCGATCGTTTTGGATCTCACCAAGAGTAGGTTGCGACCAGTCGACGCGGAGAGGTGTGCCATTGACTTGCCAGAAGATGGTCAAAAGGCCGTTGGCATCGGTGGACTGGTTGATTGCTGTGGCGAGTGTCTCAAACGTGGGGATATTGTTCGCAGGAACGTAAGAGTTCCAGTAGGGAACAAGTCCGCGTTCATCTGTACAGCGCTGAGCGTAGTTATGCGCTGTGCTAATTGGGGTCTCGTTCTCGTGGCCTTCATATGAGAAGATGGAGCGAATGTTGCCGTTGTTGAAGTTGGAGCCGCAGCCGGCGGTGTCTTGAGAGTCAGCGCGGAACCAGTAGCTTCCCGGGCTTTGGTCGGCGGTGATGATCACATCGTATCGTTGCCCGATCCCAAGGAAGACGCTCGTGGCGTTGTAAGGCACCAGAGGAACGAAGTCAGCAGCGATTACAGTCATGGTGTGGCCGTCCAGAGAGAACGTGAAGTGATTGTCGACGCCAGTGTTGATGAGACGAAGACGGTGGCGTCTGCCAGCTTTGAGAATCGTGCGCGCGTATGATCCTCCCGAGTTGGATGTCATTGTGCCATTTATGAGACCATTGTCTGCAGTGGGTGCCAGGGAGTTTCGATGTCTGGCGAGAAAGGACGTTGTGCCGACGGTAGGATAGTACCAATCAGTAATGGGAAGGGGTCCAAGATCCTCGTCGTAGTCTGCCGTTGCGGGTCCGTACACGACGATAGGTCCAATGATACCATCACCATACTGGTTGCTGAAATGAGAATGGTACCAGCTCGTTCCGTATTGAGTCGCAATGAACGTGTAAGTCTTGCTGCCTCCAGGAACTATGGGACACTCGGTGACACCTGGAACGCCGTCCTGGCCATTGTTGTGCCACATGCGCAATCCGTGCCAGTGAATCGAAGTTCCGTTGTTCGGGAGCTCATTGTGAACAGTGACTTGAATGGTGTCACCCCAGTTTGCATAGATGGTAGGTCCTGGATATTGTCCGTTGATGGCATACACCAAACGCTCGAAGCCGTCAGGAGACATGGTAGTGTTGGTGATGGTGAAGTCGTAGGACACAGTTCGACCGGTCTCTGGCCAATCCTGGTCAAAATCGGTATCAATATCGAAGCCACCACTCCAGCAGCCTCTCGAGTTGGGACCATTCGTGCATGTTGCTGTCGGCGCGCTACTGGTGGTCGCCGCAGTGCTCGTGGGGGCTCGAATTACAGTAGTCACTGACGGCAGAGTGTTTGACTGCCATGTGTCGGACACGCTTGCGCTGCCGCCATTGGTGGGTACAGTGAAAGAATGATCTGGATCCGCTTCCCAAGTGACGGTGCCATCGGTGCCAATTTTGATATACTTGTAGCTGAAACTTGTGCCTGCTGGAATGCTGATGGTACCTGACCACAGAGGCCTATCGTTTGTGTACTGCGAAGCACTAAGTGCCACGCCGTTGCTCGTGTCCCAGTTGCCAAGTTGAGCGATTGACCCAACGACTTGTACTGACTCGCCCCAGGCAGTTTGAGCAAGCTGGTTGAAAGTGACCTGAACACTTGCCGTTTGTCGTCGTCTGATGTCTCTGCTCTGGCGAGAGACAAGTCTCTCAGATGTGAATGGCGTCGCGTGCTGTGTGGTCCCGGGTTCGTGTAACCGCTCGACTGGAATGACCGAGGCAGTGGCCAGAGCCAGAAAATTAAGGATAGCGTAGTGTAACCTCATGGTGGCTGCAGTGGTTGCAAAACGAAGTCAGAGCTTCAACGAGAGTATTAGTACTGCGCACTTGGGAGCGCGTGAATGGCGATTGTGCTGTCGCCTGTGTCTAGTGAATGTATAAAAAATTTATTAACGAAAGGGATCACGCATAGGTGAAGGTGCGTGGACAAGCAGTGTTTGCCATGTCATGCCAGGAGGCGGACTATGTATTCAATCAATCTTTTTGAGCTGTGGAGACTGTGGTCGAGCACGCACGTATCAGGAAAATCCGTGGTGGCGATAACCCACTATGGCTCCTTGGCCATTGCTCCACTCGGTTCTTCTGCCATGGAAATGTGACACGGATGTGCGCGAGGAGGGGCGCTCAAGATAGAAGTGCTGTGTGACGGGTAGTTGCCATTGTCGGACCAAGAAATCTCGCTTCTCGCGCTGTGCCGTGCTGCGTGCAGTCATTTTTGAGGTCTTGCGCATGTCGTTGCCGGGATTGAGAGTAAGGAGAGGTGTAGGATAGAGTGCTACACGAGCGCTTGTCGGGCCGGATGTGGCTGTATGATGCCTGTCGCCGAGCCAGGATGGCAAGCCAAAGTCGACGTATCCGCGAGACCACTACCAGTTGTAATCGGTTCACCACTTGCGATCCGGTGCTGCGATACTGTCAATCGGTTTCAAGCCTTCTGTTTGTTCACCTCGGCGAATCCTATATCGTGTGGGAATGCCGGACAGTGGATTTTGCAGCTTCATCGAAGAGATCTACGGCGCGTCCACGGCGAGGTCCACACCCCTGTCCAACCCACAATGTCATCGGACCTTGACTCCGATTCGATGTGGCTGGTTCTACAAGGTGCGTCAGCGATATGCATATCCGCAGGGGTCGCCGAACGAGCACAAAATCGATGGTCAATTCCTCACCGACAAACATTCACCTCCTCGTGCTGGCACACCATGTTGCGCACCAGCTCGCACGAGACGACCACGCGATGTCACCATCTGAATGCAGCTGTGCGATGATTGTACGCGTATCTCGCGACTGGTGGACTGCATCCTTCCAATAGCGGAAGCATCAAGGTGGGTGGGACTCGACGACTAGATTGATCCCGTTACATGCCGCGCGAGCGAATCGCCTACAGCAATGCTCTCCGAGTCTCGGACACTACGATGTCGGCACGTGGTCGGGTGTAGAGCGAAACACGTCGTGCTCTCGGTCCATGGGTCGTCGCGTGGGAGGCTTGATGGTCATGGCAGTGGCGGGAAAGGAAGCAGATATATTGACCAAGCAAGCGTGCCCGCCATCATTGCCAGGGGCCAAGCTGTGGAATGTTCGCAGTGGACGGCATATGAATTGTCTGGAGATGGTGATATAAGATGGTGGCTGCGCTCGCCTAGGCGTCCATTGTGCTTCGCTTGCGCTTTCTGCAGCGCTGCGCGTGACCGCATGACATCTGCTGCCACGTGCAGGAATATCGTGCACCGGTGCCAGATCCGTGGACCAGGGGTGGATGTTGATGAGACTTGACGAGTGTCTCACTTCCAAACTGATACAAAACAGATCTCAGATCGAGGCCAAAATTAGCTCTGAGCGATGAACAACAACCAAATGGGGGACAGAGCACCTTCCTCTTCCAGGCACACGCACTTACTCCTGCCTGCCCTTCCGATCACCTTGCGATGTGACTTCCTCTGCAGGCCGAACATTGTTTCCAGTGATTCCCTTTGGCTGGCCGCACTATCGCAGGAACGACAAGAAGAGGATGAATCAACTTACAACCCATCAGATACCATAATGAAGCGAAGTCTAGTAGGGAAGAAGATACCGCGAGACCTCAATACCCATCCTGACGTCTCCTTCGATAGGTCCAACACTCGTGGGTCTCTCGATGTAGGACACGCCTGCCGTGTAAGCGGAACATCCCGACTTCACCTCTCCAGCTCTAAAGCTTCTCTGTGCCAGAAGTCCTCTGCACTCCAGATCACAAATCGTGAGGTCCAGCTTGTGTAATCGAACACGATAATCCTCTTGCAGTACTGTACCAAGGTGCATTCACGAATCTGCACACATCGAAAAGGTTGATAGAACTGCTCCGGGAACCTTCACCCATTCAAGCGCAGTCATTTTCGCAGAGCAAACCGTGGATTCGGGACTTCAGACAGGACTGACTAGTTTATCACATGCTGATGTCTGAATGCTTTCCACCACATTCACCAATGCACAATGCAATCAGCACGTGCAGCATGGTCGGAAAAATTGTTTGCCTGGCTGCCCACAGAGCACATGCACCAGCATTTAACAACTTCTGTCCGCCGCATCTTCGATCCCTCTCGAACCCATAACATCTTGAGAAGCTCCGAACGCCAAATCTCACAGAAATCCAACTCATCTCAAAGGCCAATCGACTCACAACCACAATGTGCAAAGTCCGTCCTCCAATCCCCCTCCCCTCTCATCCCCTCCCCACCACTAACTAACACTCTTCACCAGCTCTTCTGCGCAATCGGCCACGACGGCCCCTACAAAGAATGCACCACGACGCTCCTCTCCTGCGTCGTCTACTGCGAACCCAAAAAAGGCAAAGCTCCTCTCCGCTACCACCATACCACTTGCTTCCCAAAAGAAATGACTGTCGTCTGGGGACTACCACCAAAGGGCAAGGAATTCTATTGCAAAGTCTGCGAAAGGATCTTGAATATCACGGAGGAGTCCGGACCGGAGGCGGAGATGGGGAAGGGGTATGTTTTGGAGAAGGGGAGGGGAAGGGGAGAGTGGAAGGTTAAGAAGGTTTGAGGGGGCAGATCAAGGGGTGTCACTCAGGCGTGGGGTTCGAGGTTGGATGAGTCGTGGACGAGGTTGAGAGGGGGGAGACGTGAGCGCATGCGGTGGTAGAGCACATCAAGTCGCGAAGATTGAGATTCCTGTTTCGAGGATGCGGAGGAGTGGTGGACCTCAGATATCCTGGATAAATCCAGGTCGATTGTTTGTCAACATGTAAGCATGATAAATGAAATGATATTGCGTTGGATAACATTCCGTCGCCCTTCATACTCCGTGAAGCTTACTGCTTGTTTTCAAAACCACCCCTTGCATGTCAAATGTACGCCAGCTCCCTTACGATTTCGGCAAGACCCAAGTCACCACGCTCTGAGCTGGCACCGTCCCACTCCAAACCTGCCCACTGGACATCGTCAACCGCAAAAACACCGCATTTGTAACCGTACTCAAAATTACCACTGTCCTTGTCCCATCGGGATTGACAGTGCCGACAGCCTGCACCATCTGTCCGGTGGAACTCGACCCTCCGCCACTGACCAGTACCACTCGTGCTCCCTTGGGAATATATCGACTAAACTGCGCCATCATATAGTACGCAGTGTTGAGTGTATAGGTCCCATCATTGTTCACAGTAACGAGGCCTTGGCATTGATCGCAGCCTCCTTGGATATACGGACCATTGTTCACGTCTGTGGCAAGGCCCCACGCAATAGAACCAGATCCCCAATTTTGCAAAGGGCCCAGTGTGAACGCGGCTGCATTCCACCATGGTTGTGAGGCAGGCGTCCAGCATTCGGTCATGTATTGCGTTACGTTTGGATTGGAAGTGCGGAAGTCGGACATTGTGCTCCATGGGGCAGTAGAGTAGCAGTGCCAAGCGACTGTGCTGGTATATGCGCCGGCATTGTCGAGGATTGTTTGTGGGTATGACGGTTGGTCCACTGGAATTTGGGCGACGTGGTTAGTGGATGCCGTCTGCGTTGCGCTGTCGCCGTGCATACTTACGATTATGATCATATGCCCAGATCTGAGTAGATAAACCTGCTTGCGCGAAAGCAGGTCCGAGACGATTCTTGACCAGTAAGGCGTTCTCGTAGTCATAGACATACATGGTTGGGAACTCGGCAACAGAGTTCAGTGGCTCGTTCTGGAGAGTGATGGCGTTCACAGGAGCACCGGCTCTTGCATATGCTTGGACGTACTTGACCAAGTACTGTGCAAAGGCGTATGAGTAATCGGTCTCAGTCGAGTTGAGATAAGTGTCTTGCAGATTGTTGTTGGTTGCGTTACCGGTGAGAACTCCATTTCTTTTCATCCACCCTGGAGCGGACCATGATGACCCAAGAAGTGTCATACGAGGTGCAGCAGTTCTCATTCTCGCCAATAGAGACGCCATTGCGGTACCATTAGGACCAAGAGCAAAATTCGTCAACTGCGGATCCGGGTTGCCATTGTTGTCATCGTATGTATAAGCCGTTGCGGAAAGATCAGAGGACCCTATGGTATGACGCATCAAGCTAAAATTCGCCGAGTTCGAAGGGCTCGAGGTCATCAATACGTTCATAAGAGATGTCTGCTGACTGCTTGATAGCCTGTTCCAGTTGACGACTGTGGCATCCGTTATGGCAGCTCCGAAACCAGTAACGCTTTGTCTGTAGGCGGCTGTTGTATCGTTCAAGGACAGATTCCATAGAGTAGACCCAGATGGCTGAGTCCCCGAACCTTTAGCTGGAGCAGTCAAGCGTGTGAGTTTGTAGGTGCCATTGTAATTGGAGCATATTGCAGATGCGGTCGATTGTCGAATTTCGAGCGGTGAGGCCAGTGCTGAGCCACTGAATGCAACGATGAAGGCAAAATTGAGGGCCAACATGCTTTCTGTAGTTGACCAGCTGCCACCAGTCTTGTTGAGCTTGTTGATAAAGAATATCGTGTGGAAGATCCAGCCGTCTATTTGTATCGTGTGTGCTTTTCAAACACCACACGTGCCGGCCAGCACTGATAACATAGAGTACGCGAGGGCCTCGATCGCTTTCGTTGCCGCTGGGATCATGGGTGGCCTAGAACAAGCCTCCAAAATCGAGCAGGTAGTGAAGCAGAACCAATGGAGAGCCAGTTTTAACAGTGCGTGATCGGGCGGAGAAAAGCTCGTGAGCAAGACCACAGCGAGAGCGATAAACCACGAGCTTCTGCCAATGTCACAACTTTGCTGGCAGCCAGGCTGGCCTGGCAGATACAGTACTCATGATGCTGGCGTGATTGGCAGGCTGTCTGCAGGAGGCTGTAAGGTGTCTGGCCTATTGCGTCAAAGAGGCCGATTGAGCCGGAACGATTTCTTTTGATAGTGTGAGTGGGTTGGTGTAGTGATGTGGCAGCACGTGTCGTCGTCGGAGGATTTCTCCATGTCTCGGTCGCGCCGACTCTGGCGGGGAACTGAAAACGGTTCCGCATCATCACCCCACGACATGTCGATACGGGAATATGACTGGCTGGGTTGTGTAGCCCTAGAGCCAGTTAGTCCCAAACAGTGCTTGTCTCTAGCTTTTTTCCAGAGCAGGTCGAACGAGCAATCAAGGCCACGAGGTCGGCGTAGAGCGGCTCGGCGGCGCGATCTCGCCTCTTTCGTCCTGGACTGTTGATAGCGGCATGCCACCTTGCCAAGGTCACCAACCACGAATGGATCTAAGAAGGCAATTTGCACGCGCAAACTGCCTGCGGGGTGGAGACCTGCGCTGGCATTCCCAGCGTGAGGCTGTTTTGGGAGGCTGACCTCTGTGCAAGTTGTGTGAAATCGGCGTAGTCTTGCACAGGAACGGGATGTATCTCTGTTCCTTCTTGGAGGCCATGACAATGAATTGTGATGTTCGGGGCAGACGCAGACGGCTGCCTTCATGTATCCAGGCGACGATAGTTCTTGCCGAACTGCTTATCGTGGACTGCTGGTGGAGGCGCGGCCATATGCTGGTAGCGAAGGCTGTGGTTAGTTGTCGCCGGACTGCTCAATGCTATTGAACGATCGTGATTCATGGAGCGAGGCGCGCTCACTGACGCGGGATGAAGCGAGGAGAGGTTCATGAGCAGGTTTGATGAGCGGTTCGTGGCTGCTGTGGTGAGGGAAGACTTGGCGCGCCCAGCACACTTCATCTCCAATGTCTCACCTGTAGACTAGTTCTACCAAGCTCAGCTCCACACTTCATCTCCATCTCCATCTCGCCCATCGCATCGAGTGATGGCTGCAGACATGTCGGTCGAAGAACACATCACAGCCTCAGCGCGAAACTGGCCAACCACCGCAGCCAGCACAATGCACGTCTTTGTCGATCGCCAGTCCACGCCCGCTCGGCGCGCGTCATTTCTTGTGGCTGCTGGGCAGAGCGGTCGCGTCCTCTCCAGGAGCACCCTGTTCTCGCTAACATGGCACATCCCAGTCCAGTCGGGAGTTTGAATGGACGACATGGCAGCTCCTAACCTGACCACTTCTGGACCTTCTCCCGGCTACGTACCCAAGAAGTTGATCGTAGCATGCGACGGGAGCTGGAAGAATTCCGATTCAGGCATTCTAGGAGGGACGGGGCTCTCGTGGATCTGGAGAGGTGAAGAACAAGTCTTGACAAATGTGACAAGGATTGCCCGAGCGATCGAAAGTGTAAACCAGAAGGGACAGCAACAGATCTGCTATTACCAGCCGGGTGTTGGATCAGAAGGGAACCTATTCGGACGTGTCGTTGGTGGTGCGCTGGGCCTGGGGTTGGCAGCGAACATCCGAGAAGCGTACTCCTTCATAGCAAACAATTATTTGCATGGAGACGAAATCATCCTGATCGGATTTTCTCGAGGCGCATTCACCGCACGCTCGGTCGGAGGCCTCATCTGTGACCTCGGAATCCTGAATACAGATGGCCTCGATCACCTGGTCGACGTGTTCGAAGACTGGGAAAATTGCGGAGCGGAAGGTTATACGACCCTTCTTGGAAAAGATGAGCCCACGTTCGAGATGAAAACTGGCCTTGAGGATACGAAAGCATACATCAAGAAGTATCGCGAGGCTCTGGTCAAGATCGCCTACATCAGCCCCCAGGAAGTGCCTATCAAAGCCATCGGTGTCTTCGACACAGTCGGGTCGCTTGGCATTCCGGTCAATCCTCTCCTCCAACGTCTCGGCCTCCCTCATGTGCTGCGAGAATACCGCTTCTACAACACAGATCTCGATCCAAACATAGAGAATGCTTTTCAAGTTCTTGCCCTGGATGAAACTCGCAGCGCGTACCGTCCCGCACTCTGGCAAAAAGTTCCAGGTGTTAACTCAACGCTGAAACAGCTATGGACATGTGGTGGGCATACGAACGCGGGCGGTGGATATGCAGACAGCAATCTTTCGGACATTTCACTGGCTTGGATGATGTCAAATCTCGCGCCGTTCATCCAATTCACTCCAGGATACGTGCGAAAGCAACACGAGAAAAACCAGCAGCGCCTCCAGCAAGCCAACGTCCCAGCCAAGGGCCTTCTGTGGGCCGCAGGGCAACTGAGAAATAAAGGAAAAGGAATTCAAGCCCTATTGGGCTTGGTGTCGCGGAACCCAGGCAGATACCACGTGCTGGACAAAAAGACATTGAAGGAGAGACAGGAAGAGCCACTACAGAATACGAATGAGCGCATCCATGTTGCCGTGCGCTCGAGAAAGAAGACCGGCGGGTTGAATGAGAAGAATGAGATCGTCAAGTATGAGCCTAATGGCCTCGCCGAGGAGGACTATGAGCTTGTCGATGAGAACGCGGAGCCGGGAAAGGCGATGTGGAGGTACATTGGGAAGGATCCTCAATTCGCCGGGTTGATCCTGCTAGAGGATGAGTTGGGAATATTTGAGAGGGAAATTTTCGAGGATTGCGTTTCCAAAACTGCTGTGGAAGTGGGAAAATGAGAAACGCTGTCCGAGCGGTAATGTCGTGGACGTAGAAATCTCACCAATGTAATGCTGCTGTGTACCTCCTCGCCACCTCTGCACTCTCATCAACTTCTCGAAATTTCTCGATCCCACTGCTTGCGCCTTGCTCATCTACTGCCCAGTGTCCTTCCTCGATCATCCGCCTCCAGCTATTGAGTATCAAATGCAGCTGCGTTCGATGTCTGGGAATGAATGCATTGATCTTCGTCTGGTAAAGATCTGTTCTCGGAAGGCGTTCGACTTTCAGGTGGTCATTGTACATTGCGTGACTATCCTGACCGCCGACATCGAATGGCAGAATCAGCAGACTGACGTCTTCGTGTGCGGTTGCGCACCAAGGGCGAGATTTGTCGAGGTAGAGACCTGCGGGGAGCTCATGAAGAGAATCAAAAGGACGCTCGATCGTGTGCTCCGCGGTAAGGCGTCTTCCGTAGCTCGCATGCATGCTTAGTGACCAGACAGGGAGGTGCTATGCGATGTGTCTGGTCGCCACACGGAGGGTGTGGCACAGCTGTCGTACTGCGCATGATTTCGTGCACTGCGTCACAAAATCATCGGCCGTTCATCCTTCTCGCAGTCTCCTTGTGTCGAACACATTGGCTGCACCAGCTGACGCCGTGATGCGAGCGGCCGACACAGATCCCATACAGCTGCGATGATGTACATGATTAACATCAACGGCAGGTAAACAACCAAAAACGCCAGAATGATGTTCTGCACTCCGCCGTCCTGAACAAACCTGTCGTAGCGAAGCGCTCCTGAACGCCACAGATCGATCAATTCATCTTTCGCACATGGCCACGAAGTAGTCATGTCGAAAGGATGAAATTGTTGCGCTTGTTCGCAGGTACTGGGCAGGATTTGCGGTACCAGCGTTAGGCCGGCAACATGGACTCCGTTGTGTATGATGTGCGCCATGAGGATCGGCGAAAGCATACCAAGGATGATGATAGGCCAGAACCAGAGCAGCACTAACTCCTTGATCGAGCCTACGCCATGGCCTGGGAGACTCAAGAATGCAGGTGCTCGTTCTAGTATGTGCGTGGCTATGAAGATGGCCGCCATGATGTATCCCATAGTACCGAAGAAGAAAGTCCATTCGGCTATGGTGGTTGCTAAGGTTATCTCGGCTTCCGTCAAGGTAGAGTTCGTGTTGTCCATCTCGAGCAGAATGACGATTTGTAACTTCTGATCGCCACTGTGTGTTGGCGTGGCCAGTGGAGAGAATAGTCTGAGGTGCAGAAGGACGGGAGCCGGAGAGCGAGGGCAAGATGGACAGCAGCCAAGCGGGCCAACCGGAACCACTCTGTTGCTTTGGTAGCAGGTAGCACAATTTTGTCCGCGATCGACCTCACGAGCTTGCAAGCTTCCATCTCTGCAAACAAATGTTTTGTATGCACTCTGCGATCCGACCACCGGCTACCTTAGTCAATCGCAGTCGGCGGAGAAAAAGTATTGTGTCGAAATGGTCATGCGTGATACACCTGCACACAGCCGTCGGAGACTACTACACTGAACTCCTGCTCAGACAAGTCCTAACAGCGCATTTTGGGCCGCAGTCAACCTCGCAAGCTAGGAGGTCACTATACTCTCAGAGACAAAAGTGGTTTGCATGGCGATCGGTGTTCTGAGTGAACGCACCTGGTCAGGATCTCACCCTCACCTCCTTCGCGACAGCATGGCATAGTTCCACTCTCACGCCGGCGCTCGACAACACATCAATCCACATTCTCTGCGTATCACTCAACCGATCGTTCTCACTCTTGACTTCCGAGAACATGACCTCACCCTTGCCCTCATTGCCATCCTCCCTCTCCAGCCTCCACAAGAACAAGTCCGGTACACCACCCCCTCTTTGCCCATACTCTTGCACCATGACCTTCATCACCGTGCTCAGCGCAGCGGGCGGGAAGCAAGACGCGATCTCCAATAGGTCCGATAACTCGAATGTCCAATCGAGGCCCACCACACACGTCTGCCTCTCGTAATGAGCGTCCCATACACCTTGGATCAACTTCGTGGCATCGCCATTGCTGATCTCGTTCAAACGTGTGTTGACTTCGCTGATCCGACTCGGATAGAATGCGTCCGTATGTAAATCCAAGGGACAGGTCTGGTAGGCTGTTTGAAAGACGTTGGGAATGTAGAGGAATAGAATGTCGAAGAAGAGATAGGCGAAGAAAGTCCGGAGAATGCGACCCTCTGAGTGATATCCTTTCCAGCCGAGAGCGCGGTAGGAGGAGAGACACATTTCCTCGACAGAGCATTCGCCCTCCAATTCGGGCGTCGCTTGTCCGCTGTCGGCTTCTGCTGTGGGCGAATCCTCGTCTTTCAACGGGACTTCGACTTTGCTTCTGCTCAAGGCAGGATCGAGCCAAATTGTCTTTGCTCCACGAAAGCCAGTCGGTTTATTCTGTTCGCTATTGCGACGACTTCCATTCGATGCGCTGCGTTCAATACGGATACCCTCGAATGTGCGCTCCTGCGCTTTAGCAAGGCGCACATGCTCAAAATCATGCTGCTGACGTTTTGGAATTTTCAAGCTCTTCTCTAGCTTTGTGATGCGCTTCTGAAGGTCTCTGTGGAAGATGAGATGCGTCAACTGGTCTTGCAATCCCTCTTCGCAGGTAGCCAACGCTACTCTTTTGAAATGCTTCTTCTTTGATTCAATGTCCTTACATTCAGGAGGACATGGCAGATGGAGATGCATGTAATGTTCCTCGAGGAGGGCTTTTCTTTGGTACCAGTCGCCGCGCCGAGAGGTGTGGAAAAGCTTCTGTCCAAGCAGCTCGCACAACACTTCATGCTCTCGCTTGTGGTCTTTGAACTTGCCCAGAACATATGCTCCTTTGTGCACGATCCTTGTATAGACCCAGGCGGGCGAAAGCCGACGTAGATACGCTCCCTCCCCAGTACTGTAGATGCTGTCTTCTTTCCGTTGTTCTTCAGCTAGCAGGACACGCCAGCGTGGCAAGACCTCTTCGCAGATGCCAAGGACATCTTGTAGAGTCTCCTTCGTGGGTGTTCCATTGAACTCCAGCACATTGTCCACTCTGAATTGCGTACGCACCGAAGCCTCGAATTCCAACAGCAAAGCACGAGAAGGGAAAATGCTCGCAGAACGCGATACGATGTATTCTGGGAAATTTCGGCGCGCGATACGAGCGAGGATGATGGTCGTCAAAGACTTCTCAGTCCACTCTGTCGATCGATAAAAAACCAAGTGAACACGCTCAAACAGCTTGAGCGTCGCCAAAGAAAGTCGTATACATGGTCCTGTTTCCGCCATGATTTTGTCAAGGAAATGATTATCGCGATTCTCCAGCTTACCGGGAGTGGCCTCGCGGCTGTCGTCTTCTCCATGCTCAGAACCGCGCGATGCTGTTGTCTCGTCGGTGTCAGATCGTCGTAAGCTGCCAAAACGTGATAGCGCGGTCTGGGATCCGCTCGTGCTGCGCAAATTCTTCAACAATTCCTTCTTGTTTTTGCCTTGTACTTTCACTTCCTTCGCAATAGCCTTGAGCTCGTCTAGTAAAAGCAAGGACGAAGCCTCTTCGAGCGTTGTGATACAGTCCTGGGACCGATCCGCAAACGTGAAGCTCTCACCAAGGGTCGTGCCTTCGGGAGGTGCCAGCTCGCCAGGATGCTCTTGATCCTGCGAAGAAGCTATAGGTAGGTCGCGGACCACTTGCAGCTCTTCAATAGCCTTAGGTAAATCTGCGATATCGCTGTGGTATCCAAGACGAGTGATTCGATGCCAACTCGATGTCTTTCGCAAGAACAGACGCACATACAAGTATTGTGCTTCGTATGTCAAATCCCGCCACTGCTTGAACACAGCATGTTCCGCCTCGTCGAAGAGATGGCTCTCTTCCTCCAAGACTGTCTCGAGCGCAAGGTTGAAAGCGTCGACATAAATGGATGTCTTCCCTCTTGTCCATTTCCGCCCATCCAGCCGCTCCTGCAGGCCCAGTTCTGCCTGCTCGGCTGCTTTGGACGCTTCGTACGCTTCGATGGCCTCTTTGTCTGTCTCGATTTGAGGAAGAGCAGTTTCCAGGTCTGTCCGCCTTGCATCTTTAGGTTCTGCCGATAGCTCTATATCGCTGCCGTCCTCCGAGTCTGGAATCTCATCTCTGGCGATACGCGACGCGCCTGTCTTGACGCGCTTCGGCGGAGGGGTGGGAAAGTGGTCATCGTCGTCGTAGTTGGTGGATTTTGGATGCGCGATCTTTTTTCCTAACATGGCATTATGTTTGGATGTATTGCTGTCCTGCAGCATCGCTGTATCATTACATTAACTCGTGCAAGTTGGCAGTTCAAGTGGACGGCGAGTTGTCGAGGTCAAAGTGGAGACGACGCGGGTGAAGCGCGTCAGCACGAGATTTCGTCATTCACTTTATCGGCGTCAAGACGAGCATCGACCACAGTCATGGGCTCTACTCCCGGTCGCTGACTTCACCTCGTCCTTTGTCACCGCCGTAACGACACCTGATATGCTCATACAGCGCTTAATCGACCCGCGAGAGACGTATATTGATAGAAGTTCGCTGGCCCCGTGATCCCGCAAGCGAGTGACGTATCCGACCTTTCCACCTCGAAACCAGCTCCTCTGTTTCTAGCACTACATATATCTTTATCGCTACCGAATATGCGGACCTATCCCCTGCCGCTCACCATTCTAGCCCTCTCTTCCGTCTCTCACTCACAGCTTGTTCCGTTCTCCTCTCTTTGGTCACGAAAACCCGCAAACGAGCTTCAGCAGGCACCCATTATGGCAGACACGAACGGCCCTGGAATTCAGCTGCCTCCCTCGTCCGACGGCAATCCTCCACCTCCACCTCCCAAAGGCGATGTCATAATATCTGACGTGATCGGAAACACACGGCAGATCAACATCTTCGCCGGCTTCACGCGAGACATCGACACAATCTCATCCCGCTTAGACGATTCGTCTCAGAATAGCACCATTCTTGCGCCCCTGAACTCTGCGATTTCCGCACTGCCACGAAAACCCTGGGAAGATCCCCGAGAGTATGCTGCGCTAGGTGCGAACGCGTACGAGGGCAAAGATGGAGAGGACCGGGCTCACCGAAATTTGAGGAGATTCACGGAGGCTCATGTCGTACCCGAAAGCCCATGGAAGAAGGGGGAAAAGGTGAAGAGTTTAGGTGGAAACGTACTGTGGTGGGACGTCAAGGACGACGAGAAAGCGTATGTGCAGCCGGGAGATGTGGAGGTGGAAAGAGTCGCGTCCATGGTGGGCAACGGAGAAGTGTGGGTGCTGAAGGGAGTCTTGAACTATGCCAGCTGAGGAGGAGAGTGTTGATGAGGCTTTACGAATGATGAACACAATGACATTACGGCGGTAGCGCTTTCTATGCTTCGAGGTAGGCCAGACCCAAAGTCGTAAAGGCACAATAAACGATGGTTGTTCATGCGCAGAAGAACAAAAGGCGTATCATCTGATTGAACAACAGGCCCGCCTCCCAAGCACGAACCTCCCGACACCCGAGGACAACAGTCTGATTTCCCACAGTTTTGTGCTGCAGATCTAGCACTCATTAACAGCTGTACCAGGACCTCTTGTTCAGCGCCTTGAGAATCTTCGCTGCTTCGTTATTGCTCGCCTCTCCAGCCAGCGCCCTGAATCTTGGTCGCTGCTTGCCTCCTCCATTTCTGTAGGTCCCAAAGTCGACCACATACTCGAAATCGAGTTCCTTTCCTCTCCGATCCGGGTCATCAAATCTATCAAGCCAGCGGTTCAACTGCGCTCTAGTACTCTGCTTGGTAGCAGAATACACCAGCGTGATGCGAATTTTGCGTGGAGTTCCGGCTGGTGTGTCCATTTCATCCTCCGATGTGCCATCACTCCCGGGGTTCGACGAGATACGTCGGAACTGTGCTTCGGACAGTGGATTCAGAAACGTAACGACGTGGGCAAAATTGTGGTTCTTGACTGTCGTCTCGATCACTGGCGCATGGAACAAAAGCGCGTCGAGAAATTCTTGACAGATTTGGTCGTTAACTCCTACTAGCCCGGTCTTGGTTACAAGATTTTGCTTTTGCAGACTCGTGGCTGCTCCATCGGAGATAATGATGTGCCTGTAGATCTCATCGCGGAGCTCGAGTGGCAATGAGAGGAAGGGAAAGTGCGAGCCGGTATCTCCTGAACTGTTGCGTTGTTTTTTGGGTTCGCGTTGTTGAGTTGGGCCCTCGGATTGGCATTTGCGTTTTCGAGCGATTGTAAGAGCCATGATGAGAAGCTGCACAGGTTCAGCTGCATTTATCATCGCCATGTATGCTTTCAGATTGATATGCTCTTACCAAAGTGCGCTAGCGCCAGGCTACACCAGGCAGCAGTAAGTGCCAAGACATGAATCCTTCGATTCCAAGCACACTCTTCCCTTTATGCTCGTTGCCAATTGAACGATAGCAACTCATTGATATTACATATTCGTCGAGCAACAAGCCTCAACTGAGAACCTGTGATCCCACAGCACGAACAAGAACAGGTTTGAACGAACATGGGCTGCAGAAGCTTTTCCAGCGACAAAGAATTACCGTGCATGGTGTCTATGCAATCTGGGAAATGGTCACGTTGTCGTCTCTGGTCATTGGTGCTGCAACATGCAGTCCGAGTAGCTCGTGCTTGATGATGTATTGGTTGCATATTTCGTGAACCAGTCGGCATGTCCATTCATCGTCGCCGGCTTATCTAGCATGTCGCTGACCCTTCGGGCTAGCCCTTTCACTCTCCTTCTGGTCCTCTCGTCAATGCCGACCACCGTCCCGCTCATAGTGCCTGGAAAAATGTACCTGCTGTCATATCTTGCACTTCTTCTTCCAATCGAGAATGGTCGATCGCATTGGCTACACATCCCGTGCTCCATGGTCATGATTTCTATCATCAGTGCATGAATCTCTACATAATGCCTAACTCACCAAAGGCCTTCACAACCTCTTTGTCAACGTTCACCAACCACAATTCTTGGAACTGTGCATGTCCTCCACATGCCTCAATCGCTTTTTGCAAGTAATGCCGGATGAATTGCGGCAAATTGACTGTATGCACCTCATCTCCCGTCGTCAAGACCCTTCTTCTCGCATCTTCTGGCGTTTCGGGGCCGTACTCTTCATTTGCGGCATTGTCTTTCCAAACGAGAGTATCACTGCCAATATCTGCTTCGTCTTCTCTCAATTCAAGAAGCATACTCGTCCAAATTGTCATGAGCGATTGTAAGTTCTCGAGCACGACGGGCAGATTTGTTTCGAGCAGTTTGGTGAGTGCCAAACACATCAGCTTCTTTCGTGATGGGTCACCGATGTTTTCGAAATGTGAGGTCCATTCTTCGAGAAGCCATTTAAGTGTTGCGGACAGGTCAGGTTGATTAAGTGTGCCTGATGCGACGGCTTGGAGGGTCGGTACGAAGCCTTCGAGAGAGCCGAGAATGGCTCGGGCGAAGATGGCGAAGTAGTCGGTTTCGACGATCCCGTCTACGGGAGCCTCTTGAGCATTGGGTCCGGTGCTACAGTGCGCGGTCCAGCTTCCATGAAGGCCTTGAAGAAGTTTGGAGAAGAAGCCGAAGTTGCCGTTCTCGGGATCGGTGGCGGATGCCAATGTATAGGTGACAAGGTACGAAGCGTTGGTGAACTGGCCAAGAGGTAGTGATGATGCTACATCCTGTCTTTGGACGAGCCGTAGGCTGGTCTCGATCACATTGCACACTCTCCCGTTTGCGTCAGCTTTGAGACCACCAAGTAGGGCCGCAAGCGCACGGAACATATCTGAGCGGACAGGATCTGAAAGCATGTGCTGTGGTGCTGCAAGCACGTAGGATTCGGCGATCTCCAATGCCTTCCGGAGATTCTCGGACCCAAGCTCGAAGATCTGGTAGAGGTACTGTACGAGATCGAGCAACTCGGGAGAAGCAGATCCGTCGGGTGTTTGGGTTAGGACGGCGTGCCACAGCTCGAGGGCATCTTCAAGAAGATAGACTTGCGTCTCCGATCCAGGTTCTACTGCACCTCTGATGATTGGAACGACCATTGCGTGCAGAGGCAGTGATTCTGCTCTCATTGCGTTGACTAGACGGGCCAAGATCGTCAGAATGGATTGTTTCATCAGGTGCTCCTCTCCAGATTGATCCCATAGTGGCGGCAACAAGGTCACGATGCGATCGGCGTATGGAACGACGTGGATGTCCAATCTTTCAACAACGACACTAATCGTATTGAGGAGTGCCATCTTGGTCTCTGTCAGCTCCACTTCTCCGATGAGAGTCATGAGCTGTGTCAATATTGTTTGAGCGTATGGCAAGAATGCCTCTGCTTTGAACTCCCAGTCATTGGCAATGTTGGCGAATTGTCTGCCAGCAGTCACTCGCACGACTTCGTCATTTAGTTCGTCTCCGTGATTCAGTAGATGTTGGAAAATCTGATACACGAGCGGTCGGCTCGCATCGGACACCTTGACTGAGATCCATTGTCCAAGCAGGATGGCTGCTCTTCGTCGGAGTATGTTGTAGCCAGGAGCTTGCTTCTGCACTTCCTGAACAAGCACGTCTCTGATAAAAGCATCAAAGTCCAGCTCCTGGTGCACGACGGATGCTGCCAACCCGATTGCGGTGTACACGGAGTCCTTGAACAAGACGTTATCGTTCTCAGGATTGGCCACTGAGTAGAACACATTTAGGAGAGGTGCGACGATTATTTCCTTGTAGTTGATGGCGAGATCCAGGAACAGCTTTTCAGAGCAAGATCGTACTGAAAACTCCCAGTCTTCGCCATCCCCTTCTTCACGCTTCTCCCACTCCTCGGGCTCTTCCAGCCATTCGCGAAGGTCACTCTCTCTGAAGACGAAGAATTTGGTGACCATAATTTCCATTGCCTCTCGCACAAAGTCCTGTGTGAGAAGCGTCTCCTTGATGACATCGGTCGCCCTATTCTTCTCCTCTTTGTCCTCTGGTGTGCGATACTTGAACGTCAACGCGGGGCTGTGCACCATTTTGGCACATGCGCGGATGATGAGCAGACCTTTCAGGGCAATCTTCTCCATGAACGGCTTGTCATCCGCGGCGTCGCCGTCGGAGCCGATCTTAGAAGACAGAGCAGAAGCAACGGCCTCCTTAGAGCCGAAGACGTTGCCGAGTTCTTTGATCAAGCCCCAGTAGTGCTGTGTCAGCTGCAACGAGTTGGGTAACAAGATGAAAGCCGCTGGTTGACTCTTGGCCATCTCATGATGCAATTTAGCAAGCTGAACAGCGTGACGACCTACCAAGCGCAGAGCGTCTCCTGAAATCTGAGGATTGGCTGCAGTAATGATGGGCAGGAAAGTGCCAAGCTGTTCAAGCGACAAGTTCCAGAACGCGACAACATCCGAGTCTCGATTTGGATGCTCATATCCTGACACAAGCAGTCGGCGCAACAGTTTGATGGCGAGCAGACTTTGCTGCATCTCGTCTAGGTTCATCGCGCTCTGCCATGACTGCACCAAGCGAGCGTAGACATTACCCACAACTGACACAATCTCTGGCGTAGCTGCTTGCAGATACTGTCTGGTGCGCTGCAACCTTCCAGTGGACAACTCCTTGACAATGTGAAGCAGTGTGAGCAGTGATCGTGCGAGTTGTATCGGAGATGCATCTGCTTGGCGGATCGCCGAGACGAAGATGGATACTGCGTCTGGCCAGTCCGCGGGATACTCATACCTGGCGATCTTGGCCACCACTAACGCAGCTTGCAGTGCGAGGCGATTATCTTGCTGCGTGAGAACGGACTCGGGCAGTCTGGAGCGGATGGCTTCTTTGTCCTCTTTAGAAACTGCGTTCGTGGCTGTTCTTCGCCAGTACTTGTCGATTCCATTTTTGAGTTGAATTATGGCCAAGTATCGGACCTCGACTGGTAGTTGCGGAGTCAGATACGCGCTTTGGAGATGCCTGTAGAAACCCGCCTCCTTCTCCCATCGCGCGAGCTGTTTTGTTCCAGTCTGAATTTGGGTGGGATCTGATGACGCGGCTGATCGCAATGTGTTGAAGAGAACGCCTTCGAACAGCGGTGCCGCCTCGCCAGGCACTTCAATGGCGAAAGACGGCATTCCAGGCGAGGATGAGTGGGTGCATGTGTCAGGTTCTCATCGTGGGTGCTCTTCACGATGATACGTTGGTTCGCCGGCCCGGACCATTCCGCCGCTAGTTCATCAGTCAAAATCACAAACGCTAATGCAATTCCTTTCTCTTCGTTACATTACACACCCATGGCAGAAATTGGCACTTCATGTACACTCCTCCTCGATGGATGAACTGCTGAAAGAATTGGGCAGAACGACATGCCTGTTTAAGAAGTGATGCGATCGCACAGCACTCTCATCACTCCCGTTGAATGCAGATATCTCTAAGACCTTCGCCGGCGAGCATGACGGCGTGGTACTATGCTGCTGGTGTAATGCCTGGCCAGCAGATCGAATACGTGACACTGGTATAGATGCTTGAGGATCCTACGATGCGGACGGTCGTGTGTTGACGAGTGACCGCGCATTACCTCTTCTGCGTGTAAAGGCTACGTACGCATGCAGGATCTGATCGTGGTGAGAGATTGAGCAATCTCGAGACACCTTGGCCTTGCAAATCCACATACTAGCCATGCAACACGAAAGGGCGTCCAGACACAGATGGTCTGTGAAGCTCAGCCGTGTCAAGAGGACACAGCGTGGCTGCTCTTCATCTTTGTTTCTCCTGGTGTGACGCTTGGCCGCTCTTGGTTTTTTGATTAAGCTCTTGATTTTTATCGATTCTGTTCGATGTGTTATTTTCAATCATTATCCATGTTTATCTTCCCTGATTCAAGCTCTTAATTTGCCCTGTCGTCGCCTGTGAGACCTATTACATTTCTTCTGATGATGACACGACTCAAGACTGAGGTAGTTCGGAAGGTACTAAAGCAAATCTGAATTGCGATTACCTCGTTAGTATCATAAGAATCCGGGGAACGATATCGATGCATGTTCGTAGCACGACTCCATTGCGCGCCACTACTTGATCAGTCTACCAGAATAGCCCAGCAACCCAGCAACTGGGGGCTTCTACACATCTGGTAGAATTCGCAGTTACCTCATTGTCATGACAATGTGATCGAGATTGAGATCACCTCCCAGGCAACGAGTCCGGTGCATCATGCGAAGTCGCCCAAACACATAGGACATCACTCATTCTTCAGCGCTAGCGTCATCCTGCCATTCTGCAGCGTTGCTCTCATCACTTTCCTTTGTTCTCGACTTTCCTCCAGGTTGACTCTTCCTCGGTTGAGTCGTCTCTTCTCACGAGTCGTATTCTCGTGTTCATCGATGCGATTGTCGGCCTTCTGGAATGATTTTGCAAGATGATCTTGACCCTCAGCCTTCATTTGGTCTCGGATGAAGGCAATGCCGATCGATCACTACCTGGCGCGTTGTTGGTTTACGGTTCCCGTGGAATTGTAACCTTAGACTGTCAATCATGCTGTCGTAGGAGTCGCCCGTAGATGCAGGCTCTGATACGCCTTACATTGTGACATCGCCGGCCGGCTTTCTGGGATGCCTTCTCTTCGCACGTGGCTTCGCAGGTGCGTCTGCTGTCGAGTCGAATGCTGAGGCTGAGAGATCTCTGCCACGTTTGTTTGCAGTGGTGCCAACGGTCCTGGGATCATCGGCCGCAGCGTGGTACTCAGCAGGAGTGGTGGCCTTTCTGGCCCTCGATTTGTCACGGGCGCTGGTCCTCGGAGTGGCAGTGAGTTCCGCAATGCCAGCCTCATCATCGTTCGGCCCACTCCCGTCGCTGTTGCTGTCTTCCTGGCTCTTATCCTCACTAGTGTCAACGCTCTCGATTTGCCTGAGGCACTTTGTCGCTTGGACGATATAGGCAGTTCTCACAGCTCATTTGCTCGCCCAGCAGATGGCAAACTTCCTCCGAGGTGCGTTTGGTTCCTTCCTGGTTGTAGCAAAAGTCGATGAGAGACTTACGATGGCCCTCACACAGCTGTCGACAGGTGTGCCCTGGCGATTGACTGCACCTTTGACAACAAGACATGCCATCATCGTTGAAGATAAGTGAGCAAGGGATGTCATGCGATTTAAGGATCTTGCTGGAGGGTGGATGACTTGGTTCGGATGTTGTCGTCGTTGGATCATGTTCAGCAATGTCGACATCTGGGCTGCCCTCATGCTGCGAGGTCGAGCCGCATGTAATGCCGGGGAGCTCGGAGATGAAGTCTGGAGCATAGCAAATGATGCACGGGGTATATCGGAGTAAGGTTTCGATGTGATTAGCGAGCTGCCTGTACTCGCCTACGTCCAGTGCTCTTATAGCGTTCTTCAGCAAGGCCATTCTCGATACGACGTCCTAGTACTTATGGTATGTCAGGATAGCCGGGTCGGCTTGTATACAGGCGCATATCGTCGAGCTAATGTCGAATTGAGCAATGGACACCTTGTGCGTAATGCGCAACAAGTGCGTGTGATTGTCTCGCTGCTTAACGATTTGCTGCGCGACTTTTCTAGGCATCCCTGCAGGGTCTTAACGTAGATATTGTTTGCATGGAAATTTTTCTTGTCGGCACCTAGACTGCGCCTGCGGCTGTTAGCAAACATTCAACTCGCCCTGCAAGGGTACTTACGAGATTTCCTTGCGAAGTGTTTGAGCACATTGCGCTCCTTGGAGGGGTATGCGTCTCAATCGGGCATCCACATAGTGTGGGTCGGATTTGAAGAGCACAGCAGCCGTCCTTAGTTGTAAAACGGCCGCGGTCGCCGGATCAGTGATTTGCGGTGGCCTAAACGGCGCATTGGTGGTTGAGCTCTGGCGGAGGCCGATCCTTTCGGCATCGCGTCTCGAGTCTCTGTCAAACTTCTGCTTCCGAAGAATTGTAACACGATATTTGAAGTATTCAGCCTGCAGGCCAAGTGAAACCTGTTGGACTTGGACGGCACGACCCTCTCGAGCCCATTGCTTGATTTCGATCAATGTGGGTTGAAGTTCACACTACCGCCTCGCACCCCGTTCGCGCGTGATAGGCAGCATGGTAAAGAACTGCTCATGCAGAACAAGAGCTTGATGCGAGAACACGAGGATCGCGCCCTCATCGCGGCCAAGAAAACTCATTTTCCCCAGGAGGGTCGACGGTTCGACATCGTTCATTTGGACAAAGTCCGCACAGCAGGCGTCAGTTCTTCATGTTCTTGGAAGGAAGACTATCATTTGAGCACAATCAGCACACTGGTCGAGCCCTTCCTGAATGGATCAAATTCCCAGGGTCTCCAGACGGAGGAAATGCGTCAGGCGACCGAGATCCAGCGTGCTACGTGTGACTACCTGTACGTGGTAATGTTCAGGTTGTATTATCTCGAGGGCAAGGACGTCTGGTGCGTTGGCCTGTACGGCTTGTATCAACGGTATACGGCGAGCTTCCGCCATCAAGCAGCGGCGCGTTTGGTATTGACAGATCCGCGACCAGATGCCCCTCGTGGTAGCTCGTCTAATGTATTCAACCAAGAGCAAGGCAGGGGACCTCTGCGGCGACCATGCGAAACTAAAGTCGCCGCTGGCAAAGAAACATCGCCAGCTCTGCGAGCACAAGTTCTTGCGCCTGTGTGGAGCCACGATGTACTATCGTGTGTGGAAGTTTGAGAACTGGAAGTGAGTGGCTGCATGTTGAGCCTCATGGATAGTTCAGGCTAACATTCGTAACCGCAGGGAACCAGTCTACGATCTGTTCAGGACTGTGCCAATGGACGCTGAGACCATGGACGCTGAGACCAAGGACGAGATTGGGCTGTCTCTGATTTCATGGACACACCCGAAAATCATTCGAGGCTGCGAGGGATGAACCATAGAAAGAGTGTGTTCCCACAGGAAGACGGGTCGTTCACCCTGAACAATAAGGGGAAGGCATAGGTCAGCTGTCTGGAGCGTAGATGAGTTCCAATGGACGTTTGGAGAGCCAGGGTTACATTAGAAATCCTGAGCGTGAGGCCAGATAAGTTGCATCATGATGTGAGATATGAGTTTGGAAGTCTTTGAGGTACACTCGACGTGATGCTCTGGGATGTTGTCGCAGTGCTTGTTGATGACAATGCATCAGTATGGCGGCAAAGGGATGGCGGATGGTGAAGGAAGGAAGAAAGATCTGCCGATGATCAGCTGATTCGACATCAGCGCCACCTCGTCTCGTGATGCCATGCGTTATGCTCTTGTCTCGTCTCCGCACATCTCACTCGCGCTCTCCTCCATTCCCTCCGTCACACGCTTCCATGTCCCTCGCCGCTACCCTATCTCTTCACTTCCCCTCGAGCAATCACCACTCATTCCTCGATCTTGCAGTCGGCGCGAAAATGGCTGCTTGAAAGATAGGTCACGCGACGATGGCGGGGCCTTGCAGACTGCGGCATTGCGTCTACAACCAGATTCATTGAGCCACGAGAAAGAGCGTGCGAGTGCGAAAGTGTCGATATCAGCTCATTCACTTCGACGTGGACGCGACAAGCGTCCCAGGGATCACACCGGAAAGAGCCCTTCCAGCTGATTCGGATCTCACACGAGGAGGCCGAAGCTGCTTACTATGGGCAAGCATCGGAAAGCGGTGCCCTCTGTGGCATCCAGCGCCATATCATCCGCCATCTCTTCGCGTATGACATCCGCAGCTCCATCCCGAGCTTCTTCGCCACGCCCGGCGATCAAGCCGTTCCGCTTCTTCGATCTGCCAGCCGAGCTGCGGATCCGAGTCTATGAGCAGTTGCTGTGCACCAGAAAGCCATTGGATCTTGGTAAGCCATGAGAGTGGCCTCCGCTGCTGGAGCGGCACTGACTGGTAGCATTGCAGACCCTAGCAATTACCGTCTCGTCCACCCACGACTCTCGATCTTCCTCGTCTCACGCCGCATGTACGAAGAAGCTTACCAGATCTTCTACGGCCAGACGATCCGCCTCTTCCCACATCCATACCACGGCAAGTTCTTCAACACGAAGAAGCCGCTACTTCAGCGATTGCCAGTGAAGTACCGGGAGGTCATCACGAGCATCGAGCTCCTGTTAGGACCTGGCTGGCACAAGCCGCCGCGCTGCCATAATGTGCTCCCGGCACTTGGATTACGCGATTGCATCAGCCTACGAACCTTGAAGATCTGGGTGGATTGCGACCCTACTGATAGCATTTTCAATGGCTTCCGCGGCCCGAACGCGACCGAGGATACATATGTCTGGTTCTGCGTGGACATGCTACACGGCATTCTCGAGCAGGTCCCTAGTATGGAGACTGTTCAGATTGATCACGATGAGCGAGTCAAGAAGCAGTCGCCATTGACGGCAGCTCTAAAGAGAAAGGTGGAAGAGTTTCACAAGAGATTCGGTTGGGGACCTTGCAGAAATGCGATCAAGGACAAAGATGTGGTTGATATACCAGGGCTGGAGAAGGCTATGGCGAGTATGGGCATCTCCAATGTCAACGAACCACCAAGAGTTGTTGAGATCCTGGCATAGGATGGCGAGTACATGGCGTACGGCGTCAAATATTGAGGACTTCGGGTCTGACTTGTGATGGGCATGGTTCGTGGTTGTGCACGTGAAGCTAGGATACACACTTTCACTGCAGCCACACTCTTCCGGCTGCATTATGGGAACTGTGCGATCGTCGCACACCACTATTGAGCTGTTTCTGCTTGCAAAAGTCGCTGACACGATCGCCCATTGACCACACAACATCATGTCCGTCTCCTGGGGAACATTTGTCTGCCGTTCCACGTTGTATCTCTTCAGGTCGGCTTTCTTACAATCAGTGAACATTGATTAGCCGAGGCATTCCAAGCCGGCGATAGGCGGCGATTAGCCTGGCATTAGCCACACGTCTTACGAAAGTGGGCTGTCGCTGTTTTACTTCCGAGCAGACAGATAGGAATCGTCGGTGGGGCATCATCGATTCTCATCAAATCTCCGTGGAATACAAAAGCTGCCTGACACTCGAAAGTTGTTCGACAAAAGAAGACATTAGCCCACTCCTTCACCTTGCTCTTTCCACACTTTTCTGAGCCAGCAGACGAACACACCCGACCACAAGGACAAAACAAAAGACAAGTCATCCATTCGACAATCATGGCCGGCTCCACGGATTACAGCTTCGAAGGTTGGATGGGCCTTGACAAGTCCTCTGCTGAGGGCAACATGGTCTGGCAAAAGTTCCCGAACCCCAAGACCTGGGAGGAAACGGATGTTGATATCGAGATCTCGCATTGTGGAATTTGTGGAAGTGATATCCACACACTGCGGTCCGGCTGGGGTCCAACTCTCTATCCGTATGTACCTCAATGGCTACCACTCCTGCCTCGACAACAGTATGCCATCGAAGGCATGAAGCATAGATGCTAACACGAAGCACACAGAGTCTGCGTCGGCCATGAAATCGTCGGCAAAGCCGTCCGTGTTGGATCGAAAGTCCCAGCGAGCAGAAACATCAAAGTTGGTGATCGCGTGGGTGTAGGAGCTCAAGCTCTTTCGTGCCTGAAGCCCGATTGCGAAGAGTGCGAGGCTGGTCTTGAGCCTTACTGTCGGCACAATATTGGTACTTTTGGCTCCAAGTATCCTGACGGCTCAATCAGCTATGGTGGCTACGCGGACTACAACCGGACGGACTCTCGCTTCGTCTTTCGCATCCCAGATGGAATAGAATCGGCGGACGCCGCTCCCATGCTGTGCGGAGGTATTACGGTGTACAGTCCATTGAAGCAGAATGGTTGTGGACCCGGGAAGAGGGTGAGCATTCAAGTTCACCTCAAAATCTGCTGATGTACTTTTTGCTAATTTCCTTAGGTCGGCATTATCGGTGTCGGAGGTCTAGGACACTTTGGTGTCCTGTTCGCAAAAGCCATGGGCGCCTCGAAGGTCGTCGGGATCTCTCGAAGAGCCGATAAGAGGGACGATGTGCTAAAAATGGGAGCTGACGAGTACATCGCCACCGAAGAGGATAAAGACTGGAACAAGAAGCATGCTCGATCGCTGGATCTGATCGTCTGCACTGTTTCTTCTCCGTCGATGCCGTTGTCGAAGTACTTGCAGCTTCTCCGCACCAAGGGCGAGTTCATCCAGGTCGGGGCGCCGGAGGACAAGTTGCCTGATATGAAGTATGTTTGAACCCAGCAACTCCTCAGCATTTGGAAGATTCTAATACTGACAAACTCTGTTACAGTGCTTTTGCTTTCATCGGCAAGGGTGTCAAGCTGGGTGGCAGCATGATCGGTTCTCCGGCAGAAATTGAAGAAATGCTTCAACTTGCCGCGGACAAGAACATTAAGCCTTGGATCAACAAGGTGCCCATGAAGGATGCCAACAAGGCAATTGTCGATATGGAGGCTGGAAAGGCGAGGTACAGAATTACCTTGGTCAACGAAAAGCATGCTTCCTAAGGTTGGACTTGAGCTGCAGTTGCGGGGAAATTCTCAGGCAAATAACAAAATCATCTTGACGATAGACTGGGAATAATTCGAGCTTCGTGGCCAATAGTTACTCTTGTTATGGCCATCAAGGTTGTCCATCAACATCTCAGAACCAATCAGGGATGTCGATGGAGCACCGCATTCGAGGCTACGACCAATGCCTCACCCAAGTAACTACAGAGAGACCACGTGTGCTTTCCCGCTACGTGTGACCCGTCAGCCAAGGATGCTGAAGAAGTTCACGAGCAGTCTTCCGATCTCGCGGTTGCCATTTGAGCATAGCGCGTAAGAAGGATAAGAATTCCGCTTTGCTTTGGCCACTGAGACATGTCAAGCGGTCTTCGAAGGTATCTGGAGAGAGCGGTGGGTCATTCTTCCATTTGCCTGTTGCCACCCCGTTAGTTCTGAAACTCATCGAGAGCAAGGCGAAGGCAAGCAACTTGACCTGACCTTGTTCGTCAAGGACCTTCGATGAATGGACACTTTGACGTTGCATTTCCATGGGCGGATGGCCTAGCAGGCCAACCATCTCTCCGATGTCTACTCGATTATTGTGATAGCCTTCTTCATCGTGGCCGTCGAAGAGATGCGAAACTTGTAGCATATCCCACGCCTACAAATGTCAGCTAGGCTGCGGAGGCAGAGAGGCATGGAGTCTTACCACACACGCCGTATTCCAGATGTCTACTTTATGATCCCAAGGTAACTGAAGCAGTATTTCTGGAGCTTTGTACACCTCCGGTTGGAGTTCTGTGTAGGGGAACGTCGATCCGATTCGAGCTTCTCCGAAGTCACAAAGTATTGGCCTTCCGAAAGCGTGCCCTTGTGGATGTGGCAGTTTGCGGGAACCATAGATGGTTCTCCTCTCATCGATCACTTTGCGTGGCACAGGATCAGTTCGTTCATTCTCGGCGAAGGTGGAATGCACGCTGGTGTCTTCGATTTCCAACATGATATTTGACAGCTTGATGTCTGGTCACTGTTGTTAGACGTGAGAGCATGAGTCTTGTAGACAGCAGGGGACATACCACAATGCGTCAGACTGGCCTCGGTATGAAGAAAGTCCAGAGTCTCCAGCAAAGAGGAGATTGCGCCCTTGACAAGGTCTTCAGGGAATGGCCGTGGCGATCCTCCGAATCTCTGGAGGTTGAACAGGGTCGTGTGTAAAGGCTCGTGGACGAGACAGTAATGCCTGGAGCCATCTGTAGCAGGTAGATAAAACCAGTCCAGCAGATCTCGAATGCCGAGTCGGCCAGGGTGGGAAGATCGTATTGAACTCAAGTGGTCGTACGCCAGCTGCTCGAGATGGACATATTGTTGTGAAGTCTTGACGTAAACTTTGATTGCGACAAACTCGTCGTTGCTACAAGTTATATAGTCAGCGACACGAATTCGTTTGTGAGCGATACAGATGTACGTCTTATCTCGACAGAGCCAGACAGTAGAATTAGCTCCGTATCCCAGCTTGCCCACCACAACATATCGTGACTTTAGAGTATCCCCGATGTGTATGGGGTAGAACTGTTCGTGGCTGTACCCAGGCAGCCTCTCCTCCTCAAAAGGCTGTTCCGTCAGCTTGGTTTTGGTCGTAGCAGTTCTTCGTATGCTCGTTCCACAAGTGACAGGAGAGAGAATCCGGCGAGTGCTCCGCACAATACTGTGGTAGACCGGCCGGGGCAAGCGTTTGGCGACTTGCGAAGAGTGTGAAGCGACAAATATACGCGGACACGTTCTCTGTAAAGTCGGGTTCATCGTCACGGGCGGCGCTATGACATTCATTCACTTCCTTCGGGGTCATGGCTGGATATTCCGGACATGCTCAAGCGGGTGGCACAGCAGCGAACTTGCGCGGCTGGACCCGCATTGTGAAGGAGACGCGAGTCTTACAGTATCGAGACGACTCACGCATATCCGCAATATGATGGTGGTGGAGAGAGAAAATCGGGTTCTTGCGCGAGTGTTTTTCCCGGAGAGCCCATGTAATGTGGCAGTCTTGTGGGCTCTTGTTGTTTTGCCGTTGACAGATAGCCTATTGTGTCGTTTGCCGTGGTTGTTGATGAGGAAGGTTCAATAATTGATTGGAAGTTTCCCGCGGCAGAGCTGTGCTCGCTCGCTGACCCACTTTCTCATTTGACAGCCAATGAACATCCTTCGATTAGTCTTTTGAGCCTGCGTGCTGACCCTCGCGTTCTACCTCGGCCGATGGAGGGACATTCGTCTGGAGGTAGAGATGTTCGCGAAGATGTTGGTGTTGTATAGACCCTTTCCGTTTGAATCAACTTCTCTTTGTGGCCAAAAGTCGCAATTCCAGCACCACAGATTCCAGCCATAGCACACATTCATTCACAATGGGAGGAGGTCCAGCATTGACGCGACAGGAAGTCGCCAAAGTAATGCTACACACGCCTGTTTGCCACTCTTGCCACTGCTAATAGCTTGCCACAGCACACTTCCGAAGAAGATACTTGGCTCATCATCGACCACAAGGTCTACGACGTCTCCGATTTCCTCGAAGCCCACCCCGGAGGCGAAGTCGTCCTTCGTCAAGTCGCCGGTCAGGATGCCACCGAAGCCTTCTACAACCTTCATCGCCAGGAGGTTCTCACACAGTATAAATCGCTATGCTTGGGAACATTAGATGGCGAGAAGGAGGAGGTTATCACACCTCAGCCAGGCGACCTGAGCAAGGTCCCTTACGCCGAGCCATTGTGGTTGAACCCAGTTTTCAAGAGCCCTTACTACAACGAGAGCCACAGGAAATTGCAGAAGGAAGTGAGGAAATTCACCGAGCAACACATCAAGCCCGAGGCCAGAGAAAAGGAGGAAGATGGAACCACGATATCGCAAGAGCTGATCGACAAGATGGCTGCAAACAACCTTCTGGCGTGTCGACTGGGGCCTGGTAAACATTTGGTCGGCAGAGAGTTGTTCGGTGGTGCAGTCAAGGGAGAAGATTTCGATTACTTCCACGACTTGATCGTCACCCAGGAAATCGTGAGGACGAACATGCGAGGCTTCCAGGATGGAAACATGGCCGGTATGACCATCTCTTTGACTGCTGTACATCAGTGGTGTAAGGATGATGAACTCAGGGAGAGAGTTTCGAAGGAGGTGCTTTCAGGAAAGAAGAAGATCTGTCTTGCTGTCACTGAGGCATTCGCCGGAAGTGACGTGGCAGGTTTGAGGACGACATGTGAGTTGAGCGAGGATGGACAGCACTACATCGTCAATGGCACGAAGAAGGTGAGTACAGCGGCGCGATTTGTGGCGGAATGTTGCCAATACTGATTGTCCTGACAGTGGATCACCAACGGCGTTTTCTGCGACTACTTTGTCACTGCTTGCAAGTCGGACAAGGGCTACACTGTGCTGCTCGTCGAGCGAGACGACAATGTCGACACCAAGCTGATCAAGACTTCGTACTCGACTGCTGCCGGAACGACTTACATCGAATTCAACAACGTGAAGGTACCAAAGAGGAACATCCTCGGACCTGAGCACGCCGGATTCCAAGTCATCATGGCCAACTTGTGAGTTAAAGTCCTCCTGCTTCAAAATTTATATCAATACTGACACGAACACAGCAACCACGAGCGCTTCATGATGTGCGCCATGGTCTCCCGCTGGTCTCGCACCGTTCTCGAAGAGTGCCTCAAATGGGGACACCAGCGTATCGTCTTTGGCAAGCCTCTCATCCAGCAGCCAGTCATCAGAGGCAAAATTGCAGCCATGATCGCCAAAGTCGAAGCCTGCCAATCCTGGATCGAGTCTATCACATATCAAATGACCAAGATGTCTTATGCGGAGCAGTCCAAGCAGCTCAGCGGCCCTATCGCACTCTGCAAGTTCTACTGCACGCGGTGCGCTCACGAGATCGCGGACGATGCCACGAATATTTTCGGTGGAAGAGGTATCACCAGGGGCGGAATGGGAAGCGTAGTTGAGATGTTCAACCGAACGAATAAGTTTGATGCCATTTTGGGTGGTGCTGAGGAGGTTCTGGCTGATCTGGGTGTGAGGCAGGCAATGAAGTTTATGCCAAAGGGAGCGAAATTGTAAACTCGAATGTTTTGTCTAACTCTACTTGCAGCATCACTTGCATGTATATACTTCTGATCTGTTCTTGCACGACCCTCCTGATTATGCTGGAAGACCTCCTTGGTAGCATTGGCTGGTGAGTGGCGCTTGCGCGTAAGTGTCATCAGCGCTAGACGAATGTCAGATATTGAACTCATTTTAGATGCAGACGAAACAACTACTTACCATCTCGGCACAAGCATAAGCTCAGCACATCCTTTTGGAGTCGTTCCCGCAGCATTGCGATAGAAGAGTCTGGGGCCATACAGCTCACCATCCGTCCAGCAAGTGAAGAACGTTCCAAATTCGTCGTTCTGGTCCGCTGGATTGTCGTAACGCACATGGAAGATGCCCTTCTCTCCACCGTTGTCGATGCTGAATCCAGGTGTTCCGATCTCAGGTCCACAATCCCTGTTACTCCAACCCACGTTCCTCCTGCCGAGCTCGTCTACCTCATTAGGGCCAGAAATGAGCATGCTTGCGAGATAAGCGTTGAGAGTGACGAGAGTGTTGCAGTCTGGGTCAGGGTTGGTGGCATTCACACTCCATCTTCGATAGCCGCACTGGTCTGAGCCATAACAGTGAGTTCCAACATAGCTCGTGAAGACGTAGCGGTTGAAACAATCAGTAGTGTATCCTCCGGTCTGGGAACCACTTGCTGTTGCCAGTGGCTGTCGTCTGTCAATGTCCCAGTTTGTTACACGACCCTCGAGTTCGCCGGCAGTGATTATTGGCCAGAGCACGAAGCTCGTTGATGAGGAGAGAGCTTGTGCTGTGACTGAGCTGGTCGTTGCCAGGATGGCCAAGATGTTGCGGAAAATGATTGAGGACAACATGATGGGCGATTTGCTGTATCTGGTGGAGCTTGCAAGACTCTCAGCAGTGGAAGAAATCAATACTACTTATATTTGTGTCTCCTGCCCTTCCAGACGAGAACCAACGCCTATCGCCGCGAGAGAAGTCGTCTGGTCGTACAAGGAATGTTAGAAGGATTCGCACTTCTGCGAGAATGGCCATATCAAGGATCTTGGTGGGTCTTGCCTCGCTCGAAATAGCAATTTCGATATAGCTTAGCGCAATCGAATTCTCTTCGCTTGCAGAGCGTGGGATCTGGCCTTTCACAATTCGCAGGCAGAAGCAGAACGGCACGGAATAATGGCCGGTTGTCATACCCAGATACTTTCACTACTGCAACCTGTGGCTGGGAACACAAAGCGAAGGATTGTTTTGTGGTTACAGTGGATAGGAAACGGCATGTTCGGAGGCTTGATGCCTTGGCAGACTTTGACAAGCCAGGTCTGCTCCATTCTTATCATCCATATTGTGAGCAGAAGGACGCGGAAAAGAAGAATAAGTATCGTCGCGATCAATTACGATGAGAGATGGGTCGAAGATGCACAGAGCGACCAGCATTCAGATCGAACAAGCATCAGAGCATTGAGGAGGCAAGATGCTTGAGGCACGCTAGTGAATATAAGGATGCACTAGGAAGCATTTACGACAGTGGAGAAGAAATACATGGACGCCAGGAATAGACTGAATTGAGAATTCTAACTGTTGACGATTCTATACGCTCGTTCCAAAGTCAGCACTGAACGACGGAGATACGTCAATCGCTCTTGCGGAGAGACGTGAGCCTTCTTGTCAATGGAGAACTCCACTTTATCCCTTGAAAGCCCAAGTTCTGCCATACTTTGAACCATCATTGCCAACTCGAGATGCTGAGGTCCACGGGACGGTGGGTGCGTGTTGAAATAATCTTCGACGGGGCTCTGAGAGTATTGCAACTTGAACAATCTGAAGCTTTTCCTTGCGCCAGGAGTGTACTTCACAGTCCCGAGCCACCTATGCAGATGGTAGAGCCTGACCTCGTCTCTCATGTTGACAATGATTGTTTTATTCTCGAAGTAGAGGCTGAGATACTCGTGTCGAATTTGTCGGCAGGTATGTGCGATGCTCGGCGCGATGGGCTCGAACCAGTCCAGCTTGATGTTACTGGGCATTCCGGCGATGGATGTGGTGTATATTTGATTTCGAATTTCGGCTGGTAAGTCCAGGAATCCAATAGCACTGCTTGCATGTTAGACACCTCGAAGAATTCGAAGATTGTATGTTCAGGACTTACCGCTTCGGGGCTGAGTGAAGAACTGCATTGAAAAGGGCTGGATGTATACCGCCGGCCGTGCTCGGATGAACTCGCGGGTGTTTCAGTCGAGCAGCATCGTCTCGCCGGAGCACCGTCTTCGAAGACGATGTGGCTCGAGGGAACCTATCGTTGGAAGCCTTGTGACCCATGAGCAGCGTGAGAGCCGCGCAGGCGAAAGCGTAGAAGGCAGTCATGATTGTTTTCCAAAGACCCTGGTCATCAAATGCTTCCATCGATGCTGCTGGACGAGTTTCATCGTCAAGCAAGGTCGTAGCTACTGCAGCCTTTGGCGATGCTTGAAGGTACGAAAGACCTTTTGCTCGCAGCATCTTCGAGCGTCTGTCTGCAAGCCTAGCAGCCTCACGGGCACGCCACCCAGCCTCTACATCCTCCCAGGCCTGCTGCTGAGCGATATTGATCTGGCGTTCTTCCAGGAGAAGAGGGATTTGACTCGACGGGAAGAGAGAAGCCATGTTCGACTGATCGGTATAGGAAGGCGAGATCTTGAGCTGTATAGAGCGCTGTATGTGTCTCGATGCTGGATCGCCGATTTGTGGCGAAGGGAATATGAGGCTTCCGGTACAAGTTGTTGTACTGATGAAGAGGAAACGACGTTGATTAAGTACTCGAAACGCGGGCTGCGGAGTGAACAAGTGCAGGTGGCGTTCACCAATCGAGGCCCGGGCCATCATCTAATACATTCACCCTTCCGCGAGTATAGCGATAAGCATTGGCTGATTAGTGGGTATAGAGAAGGGACATCGACGGATAATCAATGCTCCAAGTTCCATGATCTCATACCAAAAGAAAATTGGCATGTGGGCCTCGTAGAAACAAGATGGCACGTTGAACGTGAGAGGGAGGAAAGACCACCCATCAGCCAAGTAGTTGTGACTTTTATCGGAGCTTTTGGTTGCTGTTGCATTTCGCATGACAAACATCCTCGCCCATCATTGAAAGCCATACAAGCTTGCAGCAATCGACTGAAGTGTTTGGCATAACTGCGTGAGTAATTTAAAACTTCGGGAACTTTCCAGGCATTGCAACTGCAGCTCGTTGAATTGCGGCCGCGAACAGAACTCGAACGCTCAGTAGATCAATCCGATCTAGCCCTGCGACAGGTATCGACAACTCCCTGCAATAGCTGCAACCAAGCAGCATTCACGCCCCAACACCTGAGAGAAGCCAGCAGTTTACATGCTTGCGCCAGAACTCGCTCGGGTCCGCGGGCAGCGTAGAGGTCTCCGACGCCGGTAAGATGTGCTTGCATATTGTGTCCGTTGCGGATGAAAGTCTGGACGAGTTCGTCATCGGTGGGACGATCAATGAGTATGATCTCGCATGTAGCGTCGTCACTGCTGCTATGCTCTGCTTCATTCTCGCCAGGAAGTTGGTGCTCCGATTGTTGTGGTTGATGATGGCGTTTTGCGGTTGTCTGTTGTGTTCCCGAGCCGCTCGCCAAACTCTTGCTCCGGCTGGAAAATGTGCCAAAAGCCCAGAGAACCAGAGCAGCCAGACCAACGGCCGGAGCTTCGTGAAAGGCATCGATAGTGTATCTGCGGACGTGCCAAAAGACCACACCTGCATGTATGGCGGCCAGTCTTGCTTTAAACTGATGCTGAGAAGCCCACCGGGTGATAATCTGCTGATCTGTCCTCGCAGTATCGAGGTGCGCCGTTCCATTCGCCACGTGCTGAGCCAGGCTTACAATGTTTTCGTATGGAGTCAGTAATACCGTTCTTGCAAGGTGTAAATGCAATACAGTAGGGTGCTCAAGGCCACTAGCTTGTCCAATGGTAGCGTTCGCTTGCCAGTGCAAGATGTCAAGAGCATCGCAGGTCACATTCTGCCATTTGACGAAGGCCGGTACACCAGGAAGCCACACTGGGGTCGATGGCAGCACGTCTCCACTCAACTGGCGGCTTGCCGTAGGTGTCCATTGGCTGAGAGGGTTGCTGAAGTAGCGTGCACACTCCCAAATTCGGTGATAGAGACCGTGTATCGTGATGATTCGTGCAAACTCGCCTCGTTCGTGTGGTAGTTTCTTGTCCACGTATAACTCCTGCAAAGCAGTGCAGAGGTCAGGCTGTCGTGTGTCAAACGAGCGGTGCGACTGCCATTCCTGCTCCGTCTCTGCCTGCCACAGCTTCTCGTGGCATGGTAGAGGCAAAGTACTGTCTCGTAAAGAAAAGAGAGGGCTCTGCTGGAACTCATACGCGAGTTTCGCGTCCAGTAACCAAGCAGCATGAGCCAGTCTCAACTTGCTCTCTCGCCGTACCCAACTTGACCATGAAATGTTGCTCGTTGGACCACCAGTCGCTGGAGCAACATCGGCGCCGGCTTGACGTACACAGTCGGTCACGACCTCACCTAGTCTTGACCGCATCTCCATAGCAGATTTGATCAGTCTTTTATCGCTCCCATGTGCCGCACCTACGATGTGCAAAACTTCAACGCCACTGCCGACCAAGTCTCTGGCCAAGGTCGTCGAGGCATCTTCCCTGGCGTAGAGTATGCAGCGACGTGTCATCTCGTGGAATGAATCCGCCAGTGATGCTGATACTGCGCCTTCAGGCAGATACTGGCATCCGAGACTCGCCATAGCCAGCACGAGTATACTGTTCTGAGGACCAGTGTTGAGCGTGCTTTGATGCAAAAAAGGCAGAATCTGATCGAAATGCTTGAAGTAGAGCCCCAGAAAATGTTCGAAGACTTCCTGCGCGGGTAAAGCAATCGGTTCATAGGACGGCCATGGCTGGGGACATTCGATACAATGCTGCCGGTAGAGGTTTTGGAGGTCGTTGTAGGTTGCCGAATTGATCTTGAAAAAGTCTTCCGCACCAGCAAGCAGGCCATCGGGTATCCGTAAGGACAAGCAGTGTGGACTCGTCAGGTCAGTAGAGCGTCTGGTAGTAGAAGTTTTGCGTCGTTTCACTCTAGGGTGCCTCGCGGGTTCACCATCCACGTAATAAGCTCCAGGCTTCGGCAATGGTTCGTTCTGGCTTCCATGACTCGTGATGCTGTCCGCAACAGCATTCGAAGATGTCGAGAATATACTCTCCGGAGAGTTGCTATGTGCCTGAGATTGATTCGCAACATGTGTGTGGGGATTTTGCAGAGCTTGCGGATGGGGCGTCGCTTCGACAAAGCCCTGTTGATTGGCAATGGGATTTCCGAAACCAGGGAACGGGCTATAGTTGCAGTGAGCAAGATCGCCATGCTCCAGAACTTCGAGCCAGTTTGTGCTGGAGACGACGTTCTCATGCCAGAAATCGAATCCGCCCATTAGACTGGCGTCTGCCATGTTTGCGGCGCTGTGGAAGGAGCCCTGCGGAGGCAGTGGTTGATTACCGTGGGTCTGTGGCGGATATTGAAACTGATGCGCGGCCGGGCTCGGAGACGGGGCAACGGTCTGGCCAGTATTCGATGGAGTTGCCTCTGCTCCAGCTGGGTAGACACATTCAGTCGCACGCTCCTGGCAACGAGTGCATTGGACATCACCAGAGCACCGAGCCTTCGCAGCGGCACATAATGTACACGCCCTGCCGCCCCGGTGCAGCAGAGAGGGTGTAGCATTGGTGTGTGTGCTCTCGTGGCGGTTCAGCGCGTCTCTGCGAGGATCGTCAATGAGCCTGTAGTCAATATGAGAGTCAGTGGACGCGTTCGCCTACCGCCTGACAAAGTCCTTGGAGCAATACTGGCACTTGAAGGGCTTCTCTCCTGGCACATGGATCAGTTTGTGCCGGCGAAGATGCTCAGCACGGCCGAAAGCTTTCGAACAGAAGTCGCATCGGTAGTCCTTCGGGTCCGGGACAACCATCGCTACTGCATTCCGTGCATCGTGAGATTGCTAGAGACGTGTGGGTGGACACGAGGATGAGGGTGCCAACACCCCCAGCCCCTCCGGAGGGTGGCGAGTTTTGACTTCGCATTGGTTCACATCCGGAACCAAAGTCTTCCACCACTTAGTTCTATCACGTCCGCAGCTCGGGCCTTCCCGGATGGCTAGACAGACGCATTTGGTGCATGCTAGTCGCGTGGCGGATATTTTGGAGCATGTGAATGTAGCTGTTATGGAAGCAGATTCAGTCAAAGTAGAAGAAAGGGAGAGAGAGAGCGGCAAGCATGTAAAAAGCCATCACACCGAGAAGCCTGAACACGTGACGTTCTCTTGGCATCTACCGTCCTCTTCCTCTTCGTTTTCTCTTTCTCCAGCTTCCAATGTCTTCTACAAACACCTTCAGACCGCGCTGTGTGCAGCACCAGCTGTCATGGCCGCTTCAAAACTTCCAAGAATATCGCCGGCCTGCCGAAAACACGTAGAAGCACGTGTCTGCCGGCATCGCTCGTCCTCTGGACCTCCGGAGGAGAGGCGCTAATTGGAGCCATCGCTTCGCCGCACCGTCACCGCCGGCCATGGCAAGTGCTGTCGACGGCATCATGAACAGAGTACACGTGGAATGGTTCAATGTAGCGGTCTTCACCTCATTCTGTGCTAAATTTCACTCACCCTGCATTTCTCTCGCACCGCATCACATTCCCTCACCACTACATAGACTATGGCGTACCCGCAGACGACTTTTGCGCATACTACAATCGACGAAGATTGTCTGATAGGCCGAAGGCAGAAGGCAGTATGCGCAAATACTCTAACATATCAGTTGCAGGTGCTCAAGCAGACGGGTCGTTATGACGGCTTCAAGCTCAAATGGCACCCGGTCTACGACGAGCCGCCACTGGTAAAGCAATGCACGTTTGTGAATGTTTCCTGGAGGCTGACCACTATCCCAGGTCTGGCCTATACCAAATCACCTTTTCTGGGACTCTGATGTGGCCAAATGGATTGAGGGAGCTTGCTATTTTCTGAAGCAGCACAGTCTCCCAGAAGTTGAGCAGGCAATCACAGAACTCGTGGAGATGATCATTGGAGCACAGCAGGAGGATGGTTATCTCAACATTCACTACACTGTCGTTCAGCCCGGCAAACGCTTCACTAACCTGCGAGACATGCACGAGCTCTACAATTGTGGCCACCTGATCGAAGCCGCGTTAGCTCACCATGATCTATACCACAACGACCAGCTGATGCGGCCAATTTTGAAATACGTGGACCTTCTCTGTCAGACGTTCGGGCCTGGCCTTGAGCAGCTCCACGGATACCCGGGCCACCCTGAGATCGAGCTTGCCCTACTTCGTCTGTACGAGCGCACTGGCGACAAGAAGCATCTGACTTTGGCTCGTTTTTTCATCACCGAGCGAGGCACCAAGAGTCAAGAAGGTCTGAACTATTTCGACTGGGAATCACTCAAACGTGGCGATGATCCCGCGAAACGACCTGCTTTCTACCCAGAGCCTCGCTGCTTGTGGTATCACCAGGCTCATGCACCAATTGCAGAGCAAGAGACCATCGAAGGTCATTCAGTCCGCGCAATGTACCTTCTTATCGGTGCCGCCGACCTGGTACGCTTAGACCCTCAGTTCTCAGGCACAAAACTGGAGCAAGCAATCTACCGACTTTGGCATAACATGATACAGCGAAAGATGTATGTCACTGGCGGTGTAGGATCCATCAAGCAATGGGAAGGATTCGGACAGGACTATTTCCTGCCCCAGGGCTCGGAAGAAGGCGGTTGCTATGCTGAAACATGTGCATCTATCGGTGTCATGATGTTAGCACAACGTCTATTACAGAACAAGCTCGATGGCAGCTTTGCAGACGTGATGGAGTTATGCCTGTTCAACACCGTCCTCACCTCAATGTCCTTTGACGGCAAAGCGTTCACCTACGACAACCAGCTGGCATCCTGCGATGCAGATCTGTCTAAGCGCTGCGATTGGTTCACGGTCTCCTGTTGTCCGCCCAATGTGTCGAGACTGCTTGGGCAGATCGGTGGGTACGCCTGGTTATACAACATCGATGGCGCAAAGTCATCGGCTTCGGTGGTGGCTCATTTGTACGTGGCAAGTACGTTGCAGTTCTCGGTGACTGACAAAGACGTACGAATAACGCAAAAGACACAATACCCCTGGGTCGGCGACATAGATTTTGCACTCAGCAACACTGGAGTTGAAGTTGAACTGAAGCTGCGCATTCCTGGTTGGGCATCATCTTACAATCTTGAACCACCTTGCAACGAAGCGACACTGTCCGATGGGTATCTCACTCTACCTGCGAAGTGGCTGGCAAATCATCAGTCTTTTCGCCTATCGATCCCGCTTAAGTCAAGATGGATCGCTCAGCATCCCTTCGCCAATCAGCACACCCTCTCTCGAGCGCGAGGTCCTGTCATATATTGCGTAGAGGACTTCGACAATCCTTGGGTCAATGATCACTTCAAGAGCGTCCATCTCGACCATGAAGGCACCTGGGACGAAATAGAAACAACAGACGACGCCACTGGAGATAAATATGTTGCATTGACGTTGCACAATGGCGCAAGGAGACTTGACCCAAAAGTTGTCGCGGGCAGCCCTGTCATTGATGCGAAGGAGCTGCAAGCCCATTTGGAAGCATCGGAGAGGATAGAAACGCTCAAGTTCGTGCCATACTATTTCCGAGCAAACAGAGGCGGCAAGGGGCACATGCGAGTTGGTTTGAAGCGATAGATTCACGCAGGAATAATCAAGACAGTATACGAGCCTTTGCGCAAACTTCATCAACATCTTCCGATACCATCGCGTTGCCGCAGAACATACAGTCCAAGACTTTCAACAGCTGCCGTTACGTGTTCCGCGGTAGCTCCATGCACTGGCGTGCACAAGCACATCCGGATATTGCAAGCCACATGGCATAGATAAAGTTGAAAGATACAGTCTGCCATTGGCTGAGGTTCTTGGCTTTCACCCACCGGCCCCACAGCAGCGACGCCATGCACCCACTACAGTCTCCTCCAGGCCCTTCTCCGCATTTGACTATGCATCTCGAGCTTCTATACAGCTTCTATATGAAGACTTATATCAACATGTCGCCGCTCGCAGGAACTTGATCAGCATAGCATCATCTGGCAGTGGCCGACTTTACTACAATACTGCGCAACAAGACTAGGCACAAGTCCATTGGCCGCCATCATGGGTCTTCTGGAGAAGTTCCTCCCCAAGGAGGACCGCTTTGCGGCTCTTCTGCTTTATGGCATGATCTTTAGTACCTGCTTCAATGGTGCGTGTACTTCGATGCTGTATGTTCTCTGCTCAGACATCTGCTGACACCGACTAGGCTACGACGCGGGTATCATGACTGTGATCCTCGCGGACGAGCAATTTACAGACTACTACAGCATCGATGCCGACAAGCAAGGTCTAGTTGCTACCATACCATGGGCCACGACCGGACTCGCACAGCTTTTCGTCGGTGGCATGTTAGCGAGCTGGCTTGGGAGAATCTGGGCATTGAGGATCTCGATCCTGTTTATGTGCTTGGGCGTGTGAGTTGACTTGCATCTTTCCAAGCGTACAATCAATATGAGTACGGAGAAGCTGACATGCTCCACAGTGTTGTCCAGGCCGTTCCGAACACCTACACCGTGCTCATCGTTGGCCGACTCATGAACGGTCTGGGCTTCGGATGCGTATACATCGCCTCAAATCTCTACGTCGCCGAATGCTCCCCTCGCAAACTTCGAGGAAGTTTTGTCGGCACTGTATCGCAATTTGGATATCAGCTTGGCACTCTCATAGCTTTCTGGGCTGGATATGGAATGTCTTTCCACAAGTCGCCATACAACATCGCTTGGAGAGTATCGAATCTCATCCAGATCCCGATCGGATTGATGTTTGTCGTTTTGACATACTGGTATCCTGAGGTAAGTTCAATGCTTAAGCGAACGGATATCGTGGAGCTAGATGCTAATGTTCTGGCTTTCTCCAGAGTCCACGCTGGGTGCTCTCGAAGCATCCTGATGACCCCTCGCGAGCGTTGAACATTCTCGCCAGATTGCGGTCGGGCTCGCCTTCTGAGCCTCGCATCCAAGCCGAGTTTCACGAAATGGTCGCTTCGCATTCCTATCTCGTCAGCAAAGGCTCTGAGACAGGCTATACTGCTCTGCTTCGCAACCCTGCTATGCGCAAACGCTTGGCTTATGGATTCTACGCCATGGCCTTGCAGCAATTTGGCGGCATTGCGGCCTTGACAATGTTAGTACCTCCTTTCTTTCTTGCCATCGAGTACCGTCATAGTCGTCTTCGCACCCTGGCCCAATATGTTTAGACTTCTGCTAACATGTCGAAACGAACAGGTACGCCACCTTGATCTACAAATCACTCGGCTGGGACGATGGCTCCCAAGCCTTGGCAATCAACGGCATCCAAGCAGTCCTTCAACTCTTTATCGTCCTGGTGAACACTATCACTGTCGACAAATTCGGACGAAGACAACTTCTCATTGCCGGCTTTACCATTCAATCTATCGCCCTACTCATCCTCTCCTCATTGACTACAAGCTTTCCCACGAACGAGAACAAAGCCGCCGCCGTGGTCGAAATCGCAATGTTCTTTATCGTGGGGCTTACGTACTGCTGGAGCAATGGACCTATTCCACCTGCGATCGCGAGCGAGATCTTCCCGCAACATGTTCGCGATAAGGGATTTGGACTCTCGTTGTTAGGGCAGACAATTTGTCTGATCGCTCTGACACAGCCATGGCCGAGGTTCAACGACGAAGTTGGACAAAAGAGTTATTGGTTGTTGTTTGCGTTGAATGTCGTGGCACTGTTATCAGTGATTACAATCTTGCCAGAGACGAAAGGAATCAGTCTGGAGAGAATGGACAAGATATTTGGTCAAGTTGATGCAGTTGAAGGCGGAGAGCAGGAAGATGGTAAAGAGGTAAAAGAGATGGAAGTGAAAGGGTTCGAGCAAGCGGACGTCTCTGGTGATATCGAGAAAACGAGGGCCGTGGACCATGTCGAGATTGATACGAAGGCATCATAGTCGGCTGTTACACGACTACGCTCTGCGGAGCAAACAGCAGAGATGAACATGCGGCCAGAATCAAACACATTCATACATCACAAGTTTTCTCCACGCAGTCAAACCCACGAAGACCGCTCTCGATGCTCCTTGCAGATGTTTTATCGAATGTGGCTTGCACAGACTTCATGGCTTATGCAGACCCCGCCCAGCTGAGGCTCTTCGAAGCGTAGCTGTCAGAGCCTTGGAAAATGCTTAGAGGGCTCGTCTGCCCTCGCCAAAACAACACTTCTTCTTCCAACTCAGCTAAAGTTCTCGATAACAGGCTATCATTATTCGATTGTTACAATCTTCTAGGCTTCCAACTTGGCCGACAGAGGCAATCTCGTCAAAGATGGGCTTCGGGCGACGACTGCTCGATAAAACGATAAAGGCATACACAAACGCGCCAGAAGATGTCTGGTTCTCTCGCGACATCAACAATCAACAACTCCAACACTGGATGATCATCGTCAAGTATCATAAGCTTGAGCTCGTGCGCGAGGCAGAAAACAGCTTCCGCCTCCGACACGAGTACGAGCGTGGATGGACTCCTCAAATCGAAAAGGACAAGCCGATCACGAAAACTCGAGGCCATCGAGGGAATGGCCTGGACTGCTGGGTGTTGTGTGGAATAGGCTGGTGTCACTCTACTGACCTGGTCGTCGACAAATACATTTCTGCGAAATGCGCCGAGCACCCACCAACGAAACGATTTACCTGGACAGAATGTCAACAATTCTTGCGCGAGATCGAGGATATGGTTATCCACAAACGCGATGATCAAAATTGGAACTTCTTCTGGAACAACACAGATGTGAGAAGGCAGACTGTTGACCAGCTTCCTGCGCCCGATGTCTTTCGCCAGCCGCAGACAATGGCTCAGGCATCGGGTAATTCTGGACCAGATATCAACATGTTCAATAAGTATCAGAGCAGTTACTTTGCAGCACAACAGCAGAATATGGCCATGAACGACCAGCTCATGCAGAACCAGCAGGGACCTGGTTATTAATATGGTAGTTGATACCAAGCACTGCCAAGGATGAGCCGTCTCGCCCGTATTCCTCAGCTCGAGCTGTCAACGTGACGTCCAAGACTTCTTCGGACCTGGATCTCCTCTGTCGCACTGTACCGAATGCTTGCCACTTCCTTTAGGTCGCCTCTGGCTATTACATCAATACATTGGCTTCATGTGGAATCGCTTTTCTGATTGGTGGAACAGGCGGGTTTCATACAGACATCCCGGGCATCGATGTACCGAAGTGCAGCTGCATGGCCCAGATGGTCGTTTGGGGGACTGACGGCAGTACGGATGTCTACTGCCAAGGTAGACGGTATATTACTTGGCCCGGGTGTCGCAAAAGTAGAGCGAAAATTGATCCTTCCAGCAATCGCCAGACAACACCATGAAGCTCCTTACTCTCACGCATGTTTCTGCTTTCTCACTCTCTCTGACAGCGGCAAACCCTACCTCACAGTCAACACGAGCTGAAAAGCCACCTTTCTTTCTCCTTGCTGGCGATAGTACTACGGCAAAGCAGTCCACGGGCGGTGGAGGCTGGGGTGCAGGTTTCCTCAACAAGACGCTCAAGTCTCCAGCAAGTGGCTTGAATTACGGACACAATGGTGCAACCACTGTCTCTTTTCGCGATGGCGGTGATTGGGACACAGTTCTGAGCCAAGCATCCTCACATATCGACGACTACAAAGTCTTTGTGACTATTCAATTCGGCCACAACGACCAGAAAGCGGACAAGGGCATCAGCATCGATGATTACAAGACCAATCTGGGTGTGTTCATCGACGAAGTCCGCGAAGTCGGCGCAGAACCAATTCTCGTAACGCCATTGACTCGACGCGGCTTCAGTGGCACTCCGCCCAGGATCGTGGAGAATCTGGCTGCGGAACGAAATGCAACGATCAATGTTGCGAAGACAAAGTCGAGCAAGTATATTGATCTCAATCTGGCGAGTACGACGTATTGTAATGCCATTGGGCCGGAAGCTTCATGGCAGTATAATTTGATCAATGCGACTATCGATGGCGATAGGACACATCTTAACGATTATGGTTCTGTCGTTTTTGGAAGATTGGTTAGTGACTTGCTGGTGGACAAGTATGGCAAGCAATTCAAAGAATGGACTGTGAAGAATAAGACGCTGAGTGCGCTATTGGCGAAGGGGATTGCTGCTTGAGCGAAGGAGGGCTGTCCAGTTATTGTATTTTGCTGTTCAAGACTGCAGATGACTCAGTTCTGCTACCTCAAGCATTGAATAGCACTCAATAACAGAACCGAGATGAGATGATATACGAGAGAGAGCAGCTAAAGGATCTGAAAGTTATTTGAGCTTCTTCATACGCGTGTGGTGAAAGTCTTTGGTCGGACGTTGGAACACATTTTGGTACAACGGCTTCTCATCTCGCTTCCTCTTGAGCAAGACATCTATTCCAAATGCACCTCGTAGGGCATTCCACTATTCTCTAAGTGTTTGACGTACTATTAGAGCAAAGGAGATCTCGCCGAGTCACGTTTTGGCAGCACATGAGCATCCATTGGTCGCCAATCGCTACCCAATTTTTGTTTACTGATGAAGGCTTTTATTTCCTTCCCTCATGAACATTCACCACCATCTCCACATTCGCCGGCGGATGACTCAACGCCCACCTGATTCCATCATGCATCACCTTATCCCAATCCGCACTCAATGAAAGTTTTTCTCCAAACCTTCGGAAGCCATGCGGCACACCTTTGAATAAGTGTACATCCGTTGCCACGCCATTCTCTGCCAAGAACTTCGCATACAACAACGCTTCGTCACGCAGAGGATCTAATCCTGCGATACCAAACGTGGTAGGAGGAAGACCTTCAACTTCTTCGGGTGAAGCTGCGCCAACATTGACTCTTCGATCCTCGATACTGGGCTTCTCAGAGAATAAGAGGCCGTTCATGAGATTAATTCGGCTGAGAGGCAGAATGGGGGCGAATTCATTCTCTTTGTAGGATGAGACGCTGGGGTCTTGTAGTTGTTTAAGTTGATGGTCGTAGGAGTCAATGTTTGCGAGTGCTGGGATCATTAAGACTTGGCCTTTGATGCTGTCGTAAGATGGAGCCTTCTCTCGCTTCTTGGTCAAAGTGAGAGCGGCGGCGAGTTGTCCTCCCGCTGATATGCCTCCGACGACAATACTCCTGGGATCCCCGGAGAAGCTGTTTGCATTTGCAATGACCCACTCGAAGGCATCTTCGGTATCATGCCATGCAGTAGGATATCGCCATTCGGGAGTGTGCCGATAGTTGATATTGAAGACGACCACATCTGAGGCGAGTGCTATGCGAGAGCATGTCGCGTCTTCTGAGTCCAGTGTACCGAATATAAACCCGCCGCCGTGAAAGTGAATGTAAATCGGCAATGTGACGTCTAGTGGGATGCTCTTGGGTCGATAGCTGCGAGCTGCAAGAGCCTGCCCGTCTCGTGCAGGCACGACGTGATCCTGAAGCACGACTTTCTTCCCTAGAGTAGCCATTTCCTTCTCTGACGTGTCTTCTCGGCCTTGGTTCGTAGCTCTCTTGAGCTCTTCGATTCCGGTGTCAGCTGCGGGTGCCGGTAGCGTTCCCAGAAGATCCAGGAGCTCCTGGCTTGCACCACCATACTGAGAGAAGTCACACATGTTGCTGTTGTCTCAATTGTGAAACAATTCTCTGCGCGTCAATATTGACCGGGGCATTCGTGAGAATTGTGATACAGTGTAGCTTTGAGCTGCCCCGCAATTCAGGCACTAGACCGGCTAGCTGACTATTTGTTGCTCTGGTAAGAATTTCAGTCGCACGAAACAAAAGAAAATGAATACAAGCAAGTCTCTCTATTACGCCACGCAGAGAACAATAATCTAGCAATATGTACACAGATACTGTTCATCAAGCTCATCATCTTTGGCGCCCCAGCCATACTGCCGAATGGCTCATAGATCAGTGATCGTAGAGAGTAGTTGTCGTGGTGATACAGTAGGCCGTAAATTGTCTTTGTCGCCAGTTCAAGCTTAGATGTTGATCGGGATGCAAGGAAGACCAACGTTGATGTCACCCTATTGGAATAGGTCAGCTTGAGTTTGCAGCAGTTAGAGGGAGCTGATCTTACGTTTTGGGTGGTAGGGCAGCAGAAGCTGTTTCCAGCGTTGCAGCCGTTTCCGAGAGCAGCGGCGAGGACTGGGATCTGGAGAGAGCAAGAGCCACCAAGGACAAGGCTGAGAGCTGAACCTTCGCTGGCAGTGTTGCAGCAAGAGACGGCGTTGCCGACACCGCACTGGCTGGCAATGGCAGTTCCGTTGTTGGCAGGCTCGTCGACAATCACCTCGTCGTCGTCAGTTGGGTCGACAACATCTGGAACCTCGTCGGCCTCATCGTCGACCGGTGGCTCCACCTCGTCTGGGAGTGGGACCTCTGGAAGATCCTCCTCTGGGTAGAGAGGCTCAGCACGGCCCTTGGGGTAGGCAGCCGCGGCATCGTAGGTTGGCTTGGCTGGGTCGTAGTACTATCAGGATTGTTAGCAAACGCTGAAGCTGAGAATAAATCGAAAAGCTTACGTGGGTCAGAGTTGGGTAGGCTGGCTTGTCCTGCACTGGGTATGGCTTGTCTTCTGGCTTGTACACAGGGTAGGCCTCCTTGGCTGGGTAGGTCTCCCTACAGGCCACTGCATTAGCATGTTTACTGGAGATCACTGCGCGATAGACTTACTTTGGCTCGTAGACTGGCTTGGACTCATAGACCGGGGTTGGCTTATAGACAGGCTTGTCCTCGTGGTAGACCGGCTTGTCCTCGTGGTAGACCGGCTTGTCCTCGTGGTAGACTGGCTTTGCCTCGCCGTAGGTGGCCGGCTTCTTGTCGTTGCCGTATCCGTATTGACGCCTGGCGACACCGCCGAGGCCTCCGAGGGCACCGAGAGGGCCACCCTTTCCGCTGGCAGCGCCAGTGGCAGTCTTGAGGAGACCGCCGGCAACGTTGCCCTGAGGAGCGGGAGCAGCAAGGGCGCCAGATGCCAGAGCGGCGATGAGAGCAGCGCTGAAATGCATTTTGATTGTGTTTTGCGTGTTGGAACGAGTGTGTGGTAAATGAGTGTGAGATGCGCAAAATTCAGAAGACTGCTGTAAGGACGCTGGGATTGATGCTGATGCTGATGAGGAAAAGGAAACCAGAGTGCAGCACCTACCTCTTGATATAGCTTGGGACTCAGGAGCCGTGATGGCCCAGCATGAAGAGATGCATGGTCGGCGCCGTTCCCATCATCGAGCGTCTCATCTACCCCAGCGCGGTCGACGCGTTCCGCATCGAATGGTAGACGTCGAACAGGTCCATTTGTGGGAGCAGCTGCAATTCCGGACGCAACGGCTCCTGCAGTATGCGGCAATCCAGCGCGGCGATCGGGAGCAGTTCTTGGTACGACGTGCTTTCCAGCGGCCTCGACATTTCCACTCTTCGCTGCAGCTGTTTCGCATGGCAGAGCGATCGTCGGCAGCAGACGCGGGAGCGTGGTGATGAGAACGTATGTTGCTAACTTAGACATGAATAGCAATCGTCCAGTCTTGGCGCGTCCCGTCCCACCGCTTCTCCCAGCGCCGCTCGGCTCTCTTCCACCGCCCGCAAACCTTCCCCTTCGCGCGGAGACTGGAACGCTCCAGATGGAGTTAGCCAGCGCCACGCACCACCCTTCTGGCAATGTAAGCGACACTGGCGCCATCATGCGCCTCTGGGCTCCTGAGACAAATGTTGCCCATTCGACCTCTTCTTCGAGGCGTTGGGCACACCTCATCTCGATGAAGGTAGGTCACCACCGATATTACAACGCACGCCCGAGGCATCATTAAGAGACGGGAGAGGATGGCGATGAAGGAAGCGAGTCTGCAGAAGGCGCCGCTGCTGGTGGAAGAGGAGAGCGAAGGGGAGAAAGAGAAGTCATGGCAGGTCTTACTGAGAAGTCCTAGGACAGACCGGCAGCGTGCTGTGCGACTGTACTGCCTGCTCGGTCTCAATGTAATCCTGTTCCTGTCCTCCCTGGCGCTCTACATCAGAACGGTTTCGTTGCAGGGCAAGGAGACTGCCACTCTGCCACCATGTGTCCACCGGACGGACATGGAGGATGCTCGCTCGGCGATCGAATACGAGGAACAGGAGTACACTGGGGCGCTGGTCTACGATCCGGAAACGCATACGGCTGGCCGCAGACACGATGCTGATGTAGAGTACTTTGGCCCGCCGACACCACTCCTCGACGAGAACTGGCACCAATTGCTGCATGGTAGGTCTGCCGATGTAGTGAGCTTCTGCACGACTAACCCGTCTTTTCTTCAGGCGAGATACCGACCATGACAGATGAGGAGGCTGAGCCCTACTTGCCTGAGCTGCTGCGCATCCCAAAGACGAAGTCTTACCACTTTGAGTACGATGCTCCCAAGCTTGGTGGAGTGAGCGATGCTGACTTTGAGAACAGGCCCGATATGTTCCACACCCTGCACTGCCTGAACGCTGTACGCCTGGAAGTATCGAAATCGCTTTACAACACGACCTACGTCTCACAACATCACTCCACTCACGGCAACTTCCCCGAAGGATGGGATGCAACGCATCTCGAACACTGCCTCGATCGACTGCGCCAGAGTGTTATGTGCCATGGAGACTTGACGCCCTCACCGCTTTATTATTGGAAAGGATTCAATCTTGCATTGGGCAGAACTGGGAAGAGAACGTGCCGGAAGTGGGAGCCGATCAGAAAATGGATGGATGAACGTGGTAAGAGAGGGAATGTATTGGAGTCATTCTAGATGCTAGGTATAACCACAATGCAACAATGTTTGCACCGGTGGCCGCTGCAATGCGAGCATATCCCAGCATAAGCTATACGCGCCAAGCCATTGACGCTGCTACCCAAGACGCATCGAGACTGATCGCTCTTGCACACCAGCGATGATGCCAGCCCAGGATCAAACGCCACCACAGGACCAAGGAATGGATCGGATACCACAATACGAGTGACTGCCTTTGATGATGCAGCCGCGACCCGACAGCCTGCGCGCATAGAGCATTGTCAACCCCAGAGCTTCTCAGCTATTAGCGCAGCCAGCTTCACCTTGGACTGCTCCAATACGGACTGATGTGTGGTCACGCTCATCTTCAATGTCGAATACGAATCTTGGCTACTTAGCTTTCAAATGTACCTTGGCATTGCAGCACGCCATCTCCCGTCTGCATATGTATAGCTGCCGTCAAGCTCAGCTTGCGGCTTCGCGGATTGCAAGGATCCCGTGCAAGCGACCACATTAGAGGACAGCACAGCGCAGCGCAGCACAACACAACACCGCCCCATTAGCATGCGAGAAGTGCGCCGAAAACAGCAGCTCTACCAAACCGCGGGGCAAAACAAAGCGTCTCTCGAAAATCAGGCCTCGGCGATCTGACACGTGAAGGCTAGATTTGTGGGTAGCAACAAGGATATCATATCGGAGGCGCGGCAGAATACGAAAAAGCGACCTCCATCACGTCAGCGCTTGCTACACTCTCACAATCGTCGAGCTGAAGGTTGAGCTGAGAGGATGTCTTGGACCGCAGCGAGATCGAAACTTATTATTGGCTACGCTAGAACGCTGCACAGTCTATAGACACGACGGAAGCGTCTTCATGGAACATGGTCCAGGATCTTGTCTCCTGGCCTTGGGCTTTGGAGAAAATCATCTGGAACCTCCATTGGGAGCTGCCGCTCCTCCGCCCATTGCCGTATGGCATCGAAGTTCTTGCAGACATGTTTTGTGTTGAAGTCCACAAATGCCTCGGGCTCCTCCTGGTCTTTTGGCTGCCACCAGACCTGTCCGAGCACTCCGATATCAATCTGGCACATCAGCTGCTGGCGAATGATATCGAGACAGTGTGCTGCAACGACAATTAGCTCGAATTAAGCTGTGAAAAGTGACAGCAACACTCACAGACGTGCAGTTGCACTATAGGCTCACTGTTGACGAATGCGCCCTCTCCTTTCGCTCGATAATAGTCGATGTTGTAATACAACGACTTGCGGACCAGGTTCAGACAATGGAGCTGATGCAAGCCTTCGACATTTGCAGGATAGCCGCCACCGTACTTTTCTTTGATTTGGACTTGTTCTGGTCTCAGCCCAACGGAAGAAGCGATATCTGCCGGAACACGAATTCCTCGGTCTACGGGCACTGGTCAGAGGATGTGGCGAATCTCTGAAAAAGCTCACTTACAATCAATGCCCAGCGCAGCCCAGGCTGCGTCAGTCTCGTTGTTGCCCTTTTTGCGATAGATGTTCTCCTCCATGAAATTTCCATCGAACCGAGTTTCGTGAAATGTGATATCCACATCTCTGGTAATCGGCGAAGGTGCGAAACTTTGGGAGAATGCAGGCCCTCTATTTTGCCAGCTCAGAACAACCACCACTGCGACTCCCGCTGACAGACCGATTGTCACTGCCAGAAGAACTGCGAAAAGACAAGCCCATCCGATGTTCTCTTTTCGCAGTAATTGTTTTCTTCGATGATTTAGCGGAATCTGGCCAGAGTCGCTGTAATCATCGTCTGAAGGCCGTCCCTCGCTTTTCATCAGAGGTGTTGATGACATTGTCTTTGCAAGAATTTATGTCGTGGGAACGAAAGACGACAAACATGGGCACGGGACAAGTTTGACAGCTCTCGGCTGAGCTCCAATATTTGGATCTTGCATGACGCTTCCTTCTGGACTTTTGGCTCTTGGAACACGAGCTCCATTTTTGGATGTAAGATCTAGCTCCTGCAAGCTTCTCACACACTCCCAGGTAGCATCGGCTGAGCTGTACACGGCGGAGGAGGCGTTAGCTAGACCTGCAGGACCGTGCGTCGCTAGCGCGGATCCTTAGCGTCTTTGGTTCCGGAGTGCCGTGCTCTACGGCTTGGACGAAGCCACGACCACGACCAAGCGATAAACTTAGTATCGATGTACCTCAATACAGCAACGATACTGGCGAGTCGTTGTCATCATGCTGCATCCTGTCGTATAGGATTGCCCCGCGCCAACGCGGCGGCTTGGAGGCACGCAGCGGCGGAGGCGAGGGTGCGTCCACAAGGTTTCGATAGTCATTGAGGTGGTCACGAAGGGCGAGACGGGCATGACGTGCTGAGAGACCGACCTGAGGATGAGCTGGACGCCCGCGGCGAGGTAGGCGAGGTACGTGGGCTGACTGGCGGTTCATAAAAGAGGTGACCGCTCCCACGCTGAAATGAGAAGTACCATCGAACAAACCAGTCTCTCAGCATCAGAACAAGATTCTCGATATTCCAATCGTTCTTCCCCTGCTCAAGACTCAGCCATCACTCCTACTTCGTTCAAGATGAAGGCCACCATCCTCGCCCTTTTCCTCTCCGCCACCGGTGCCCTCGCCGCTCCAGTCGCTGAGCCAGAAGCTGAAGCCGCTGGTGCCCAGACCTACGAACACTATGGCAAAGTGAGCAGCTATGATTTCAGCAGAAAGGTCCTTGAATAAGTGCAGTACTGACAAAAGTGGAACAATAGTACGGGTTCGTGGACCAGACACTGAAATTTAGTCTTCTAATTTGATGCTGACAATTAATCGCAACGATTAGCAAATACGGGCACGTTGAGCCACTGGGAATTCTCCTTGTTGATGCTGATGCTGACTGTTCCTTCTAGCAACTACGGGTAGATCAAGCCCAGTCCTCCGACGAATATCCAGACTGATCTTGACCTCCCAGCAAATACCCAAAATTAGAACATTACGGCAGTGAGACACTACTACGAAGCTTGGTCGTTGATGGAAGCGCTCTAACAGTCCGCTAGCCTACGAACACTACAAACGCGAACCAGAAGCAGAGGCCGAGCCCGAAGCCGCAGGTGCACAGAAATATGAGCGCAAGTCAAAATCCCCACACGATTTGATGCAATCCCTTTGCTGATTCGAGAACACAGACTACGGAAAGGTGAGCACGACACTCAGCTTCTGAGCTACGATCCTCCAGGACTCCAACGAGTGTGATGCTAAATGATGCTTGTTGAATCAGTACGGTTCCTACGGGTGAGTTGCACATCCTTTGATTATTCACAAAGAGTGCTGCTGATGCTAATTGTGTACGAAAAGTAAATATCCTCACCTGGAACATTACGCTTGTGAGTTTTTCGAGGCTTTGTGGCATGGTGTTTCGATTTGCCTCTAACCAACATTCAGCCTATGGCCATTACAAGCGAGAACTCGACGAGATCGATGCCGTCCTTGATGCTGTCTATGCTCTCAAGGAGAAGCGAGAGGCAACAAAGTACGAGCGTGAGTAAAACTCTGGTATTCCAGTGGAAGAACTTGGCTAATAGCTCTGCACAGACTACGGCAAGGTAGGCCAACCTGAACTCGTGATAACCTGACAATTTTGATACTAAACAACCTTAAAAACAGTACGGCAAGTACGGAAACTACGGTAGTATGTCGATTGCCTTCCACCGAGCTTGATGATGAATCTGTCACTAACACTGCTCCAGAATATCCTGAGCTGGAACACTACGCTTGTAAGCTGGAACGAAAGTGCTTTGAGGAAACGTTCCCTAATAACGCCGCAGCGTACGGCCATTATGCTCGAGAAGCAAACGCAGCCCCAGAGGCCGCTCCTGAGCCAGAGGCAGAGTCTTAGACGATCGAGTCGATGGGTGCGATGCATGAGAGACACGGTTGGAAACTTGGCATTTGAACATGACATGATTAGCAGATCACGATCCTTACGAGCTTGACGACATAGAGAGCAATGACCTTCATTAATTACCATTCGAAATTGTGCCCCTCTGATCAGCATTTGTTGCGGTCAAATGAATATCCTGGGCACTCTGACCAACATCCGCTGCATCGATATTGGTCAAAGGAGCATGTTGGCCAAGTCCTTGGCCATCTCCAGTATGTATGCAGCTATCGGAGCTTTATCGAACCAGTGCCGCGCTTCTAGGCTGCCATAGATCCATGGTGGCGTGGGTGGCAGTCTGCATCTATGTATAGCTAAGCAGGTGAAGTCGCATCCTGCAGAAAAGCGGAGAAATGTCTTGGCATGACAGCTCATTGGCGTGCCTTATGTTGCTTTTACACCACCTTCTATGCGCCTTTTATTGAACTTTAACAACTTTCTTTCCGCCCGACTAAAGCGGGAGATCATCACTAAACAGCAAATGCACCAGATCAGCTGCCTCATGAGTGATGACAGCTACATTCCCGAGCCCAAGACGCTTGGTGGCTGGCTGCGCTCACCGGAAGATGAGCTGGACGGCGAAGCCACGGGAACTGTACAAGCATGACCGCGAAAGCGAAAGCCAAAATACGACAACGGCAGCGGATGACCTTTCTACAGCATGTCTTCTGCTTGCTTTTCATATTGGAAAAGATTTCGACTTCATCATATCGCATTAGGCCGCTTTTCTCCGGATTGCATCAGTTCCTGCATTCGACACTTGCTACACCGCAGCAGCACAGAGGGATGCTGACGACCTGAACCAAGCCCACCGGTGCACAGAGGTGGATAATGATAACCCGCATTGATCCCTGCCTCGTGGTGGCGCAGACTTGGCTGGCTGAGTACGCTGCTTGATGCGAGCGAGGCGGAAGTATCTCGCTGCCGCCGATCCGATCCCACGTGTGATGTGGCAGCAGCTGCCAGGTGTGGAATAGCGTCTGCAGCTGACTGCAGCTTGCCAGCACTGCTTCTTCATGCAGATAATCCAAGACTCTGGACAGCGAGGAGTGGAAAGCGCCCTTCTTCCAGGCGCGTTCGTGGCACAGTGCCTCCACGGGCGGAAACGACGTGTGATTATCAAACAATGCTCCACGGAAGCAGTCTCATTGGCTAGCTGACAGGGTACCCATATCTGTGCGAACAGTATTGACTCCAACAGTCTGTCTCGTTGGATGCCCCTTGGCATGCAGATTGTCGCGGTACCGAACTGAAACTTCGCGGAGCAAAGGATGCGAATCTGACATTTCTCTCTGGTCTTGGCCGTAGTGGCATACCGTTGGGTGTTGGAAACCAAGCGGCGGGTTGCCTCAGCGTCAGTCTTGAGACATCCTACGCTGCTTTGTTGTTGCTCGTCAAAGCCAGAGGTCCCTCGAACATTGCATTGATATCCGCACGGCCTGGGCTTCATCCACCTCAAGCTGCTCCATGGAACCAATCAGCCTGCATGCTCGCTTACTTGTTCCGCTGCATTGGCGGGAAGTGCAGATCTTCCTGGATGAATAGGGCGAGTCAAAGCACCATGCGCATGCGAATGCGAATCCGTAATGCCTTGAGCATCCCGCTTGCATCGAGACGCTCTCAATGGCCTTGAGTTGACCCTGCCATGGTAGCTCCGCTGGGGATGTGGCCAGAAGAGGGATATCCTCCAACGAGAATTTTCACCCAGCCCACGTTGCTGTGTAAAGCACTTGTTCCAGATTCTCCAAGATTTGGCAAGGACTTAAACATACGGTTCGCCATGAATCGCCCAGTTCACAGGCATGGCAGCACCTTGCAATGCTGCATTGGGGGCGGATTATACTCTTGGCTGATGGGATGCTATGCGACAGGGCATGCACGAGGTCCTTCTGAACGCTGAGGGCTCGCAGGATATAATTGCTCCACGACTCGCTCACGATCCTGGAGCCTGGAAAACAAGCAAGATTCCCCGACCACCAGGCACGCACCACCGCGCGCCGTTCAGAGCAATGGGTGTTACCTGAGCTGCATGATCCGAGTGGGGAAACAGCCCTGCTTGAAGTGACTGCAGCCACACACATTCATGCATTCTACAATGAGACACAGATTATCACCGGTCTTGTCTCGAGTATGGACTGACCGTCTCCCATCGGCTTCGATTTCTATCCTCTTCGCGAACACTGTCCAGCCGTCATTAGCCGACAGTCTCGATCACGAAGGCCTTAGCTGAGCGACTATCACACGCACGGATGCTAATGAGGTCAAAGCTGCTGCAAGATTTGAGGCGGTACATCGATCGCGAGACTCTTTGCAACTCAGGAGGATATCTCGCTTCTGAAAAGCACGCGTTCGTGCTCACCGCTTTTCCAGCTGTTGCAGCGTGGTCGCAGGTACTTGCCGAGAAGGAAGAGCATCACATGATGCTGGGTTGGTCTGGCTCTATTTGCCGTTCCGTGCTCACAAGTCTTTACACAGCGAGTCATAGACTCGCTACGAAGGCAAGACTCGAATTTTGGTTAGTGTCATCTAACCTTGTGGTCTGCTTGTCTGCGGGAAATAGCTCACAGCGATTGTGAGCATCCCAACTGCAGCTTGTCTGCTATCTCGTACGTCGAGAACCACAAGTGCGTAACGCTTTCGTAACTTCGCACGTTCCTCGCTGTACATTCAGGCTTGACTTTTGATGCGAAGCACATCGCTGCCTGTGAGCAGAGCTGGCGCAAGCGATCAGCCTGCAGCAGCCGCTGACATTCAGCAGACATGAACTCCTAGATGACAGACGAAGTGAAGCAAGTCAATCGGTTTCCAAAAGGATTCGAGAAAGTACCTGTGAACAGTCCGGACGAGAAGCAAGAGCATTCCTCCACCCGTGCTATCAAAATCATTACCAGACTGGAAGACCTCGTGCACAAAGGCTGCCCAGCAGTAGCCTGGGCAGTAGAGCTCGCGCTCGCAGCCGCTCTCGCTGGATTTGGCTCAGTGCAGATTGTATAGCCTTCGCTGGACTACACACAGGCTATGTTAATATCCCACAGACGTACGGAGGACTTTGTTACGGCCTAGAGATTCTAGAGCTCGCCTGGTAATACGCTATGCACGGAGTCTGGTGCCGTAGACTAAGCAGAGCTATAGTCAACATGCCAGGTTTTCTCTAGAAAAGTTTCGAACGTGACACGACACCAAGATTTCAGAGCCGCTATCGATCGGACAAAGAAGGGCTACAACAGCAAGCAGTGGGCGATCGAGACTGCACCAGAGGGAGACTTTCTATACTAGGGAAATTACGAGTATACAAAGAACTTAGCGCGCTTGAAAGCACAGTCCAAGGTGCGTAGAGATGTGATCAAAGAGGCAACGATGCAGCCGCAGTGGCCCTTTGGAGCAGATGGAACAATCATTTCTGGGCAAGCAATATGTCTCGGGAAATATCTTTGCGAATCTATCGGCCCTGTATTCCCTTCGAGAGGCAGAGATCTCTACCTTTCACTGAGAATGTCTTCTGACGAGCGAATGGGTCACTTTAAGTGACGAATGCACGGAATGGAAACCGCGCCTGATGTCTCTCCTGTGCATCGATTGCTTGCTCTGCTTGCATTGGGTCCAGCTGTTGTCATTGATGTACGGCGTGTAAACCGAGAGGTGCGTCGATTCGAAAGCTGGCTATACCATCGACTATACTACGAATCACGCCCAGGCCGCGTTGTCTCCATCATGGTGAGCGGCACCTGAAGTGCACAGGACCTGACCAAACTCATACACACAGCGACCACGAGCGGCAAAGTGCATCGCGTGGAGATTATTGGTGGACATTTCGTTACCCCAGTATTGGTCCAGCGCTTGTCAGAGCTCTTCCCGGCGCTCAAGGCGCTGACACTGATCGACTGCACGTATTACAACCTCATCTGGGCTCACCAGACGCGTATTGACGCTTTCGCCGACCTCCCATTCGAAATCGCAGTCGACTTTTCACAGCCGTCTCCGCCAAATCAGAGCCAGTAGATCATCAGCAGCGAGGGCTACGAGCAATGGAACAAGGCAAAGCCCACAATGGCCATCGCGCAACGGGCCAGTACCGCGAAGTCGGAAAACAACATCTTATGCCATCCCAACATGGTGTAGATGCGTACCAACGTGCTGCATCACCTGAACAAAGCCGTCAACGCGCTATACTCTCGCCAAGATGTTGAAAATATGGTCAACGACAGGAGCCGGAACCAGGCGACCATTAGTATGGCCACTTTCAATGGTGTCCTCGCTGGCGAAGAAGCGGCAATCGAGCCCTTCATCTTCGCCTGCTCCAATTTCAGGAAGGTCACGCTCGGTCCGCGATCTACGACAGATCATCAATTGTTTGAGTGTACAGGCTGTGGACCCGACTGGGCTGCTGTCGATGCAGAGGAAGGTGCGGAAGAAGCCGAAGAGGCCCCATTGCATACCCACATGGGCGTTTGGTTCGACGACACACAACGTCGGGCTATGAGAGCGGCCGAAGGAGGCTAGTGCGACTTGTCTCTCGCCGCTAGCGCAGCAGAGCTGCACTACGATGCCGTTGCCAACATTGCCGATGGTGCTGAGCTCAAAGCCGAGGACATCCGAAGTGTGGATGTGTCTTCGATGGTGACCCCGCCAGCCTCCAGACACGAGTTGACCAAATTCATGGCGGATCTGCCTCGCGACTTTTCTCTCGTCCATCAGCAGCACGACTGGAATATCCACCGACCGCGACAGCTCTTTCGTGTGCCTGGTCTGATCGAGCGAGAGACCAAGCGCAAGGTCGTCGAATATGAGGCCGCAAAAGCGGAGATGAAGGCCGCTGGGGCACGAGATGTCGAGGCTCATCTGCCTCTGATTCTCTCGTCTGAGGATGCTCAGCTGAAGCCTGCCGTCGCTCGTGCTCCCGCCCACAGAGTGGCTGTGCCGCTACTGCCATCACATGGGCGTGTCAAAGATGCCGAGAAATCTCCCGATGCAGACGCGCCACTACCATGCCAAAGTGCAAATGCAAAGACAATCCCGCCGCACGTGCGCCATGCTGAGCGGTCCATGGTCCCAGGCATCCAGCCGCCATCAGCAAAGCCGCTCTAAGCTGCAAGTACTGAGCCCAGTGGCAAAGCCCACACCTCTACGGTCCAATCTATACCACCAGCGCAGCCGGGGTCGTTTGCGAACATGACTCTTCAAGACAAAGTCCATCAACTCCCTCGACACTCATCGCCTTCGCAGCCCTCCAACGGTCGTGCTCCGGTCCTCACTGGCAAAGCCCCCTCTTTCACACCTCGACAAACGTTGCTTGTAGGTGCCGAACGCACATACACTCCGTCTGCCAACAGAGATGATGCCCCCACTTCTCTTCCTCAGCAGCCGCAGCCATCACCTTTATCGCACCAGTCAATTACCAAGATGATCCAAGGATGTGTTCGGCCTATCTTTCCAATGCGGACCGTGGGGCTACGACAAGACTAGCATCATCGTCATTCTCATCATTGTCGTTGAACTTGAGCACAGACTCCCGGGCGCAGACGCGTCGCGCAGTCGAGCATGGCGTTGTAATCTCCGGGCAAGTCGTCCAAGTGCATGCAGTACATGCTGTCGCTTGAAATTCTTCAGCGCCTTGCCTTCGACGACCTTGCCCGTTTTGTCTTTGGTGCCGCTTAGGGCTTCTCTCAGGTCGGATATTCTCAGAGCATGTTCCAGCACAAGTTTGGGGACATCACGACCGGTGCGCTTCTCTGACAGGTTAAACCACTGCATTATGCAGTGCTGGATGGTTGGTTGTCGTCTCAATATACCGCCCAACATCGCCACGTTGTGAACCCATTGGACCATGCCTATGAGCGGACGTGCTTCCAAACACCGGGTGTACAGATCTCTGCACTCGCTGTCGTCAACGAAAGTCCACGGAGGAGAGTGTTCGGGAAGCGAAAATTCAACATCGACGGTGAATGGAAGATCGTCAGGAGCGTCTTCCTTGGCATTTATTGCCCATTCCAAGTCGAAGTTGGCACAGTCGTGGACTGTAACGGTCTGCAGCCCAGGTAAAAGCTGGGGAAGAGCTTTCAGAAGATCCAGATTGATCGATGGGCAGCCAATGAACTCGATTGCATGGAGACCAGAAGATGCATAGCGCATAGCAATGGCAAGAGCTTTGCTGAGATCCAGCTCTCGCTGGAAGCCATACCCGTTGATCTGGATAATCGGTTGCTGCACATCCGACACGAAATCGCGGATGTAGACTTTCAATCTGCGGCAGTCGTTAACTTTTTCCAGCACAAGTATCTCACGAGCTGCACCGTACACATTGTCGTGTGTGCGAACGATGCATGTGACGTACGAGCCCACTACCTCAGCCATGGCAGCACTGCGGTATCGCAGTCCTCGCAGTACCTTGAACATCTCTGGCGACGCCAACATGAGACAACGCGGAATGTGCAAAGCATTTTAGTGACGTGTTGTTGCGAAAGTGAGAGCTGAAGGGAAGCAACAAGAGGACAAGTGAAGGAGAAGTGAACGTGGCTGCCGAAGCACCATCAATCAAATGAACGCGTGCCCGACTCGTTTCTACGAAGCAAACGGCTTTTCAAACGACTACGCTCTCGGCTTCGCGCAAGTGAGGGCTCCAATCCTTCTGCCACAGCTCCTTCGAAAATAGCGCCAGCCCACGTTCGCGCGCTCCTGCAGCTTTCGCTTCGCCAACCTCACCAGACCTGGTAGCATCAGATCTTACGTCGTTGCAGAGCCTGCTCCACCTCGCCTCTACCAAGCCCTCGGCACGCCTCTTCCATTATTGGTCATATTGTGCTGAGACAGGACTTTGGACTCCGTCACCGACACCCAAATGTCAAAGATGGCCTCCGCAGGATTCGCAAACGCCAACAGGCGCCTGCATGAGCTCAGCGACCTACACAACAAGATCGTCGTCCCCTTGCGAAATTCCTGCTATCCATGGCTGGAAGTACGCACGCAGCCTACCTCTCGTTCATTCAAAAAGAAGCACGAAGCAGTAAGCAGTGCGCACGAGAAGCTTCTCAAGTCTTTCACGAAGACGACACTTCGCATCCCACTTGTCACCTCGTTCGCCACGGATTTGCACCAAGAGAAGGGCTAGAAAGCACGGGAAACCTAGCTGCTCAAACTACATAAGGATGTCGACATCCGAGTGGCTGGCGACACGGTAACTGGAACCCCCTCAATGAGAACGCCATTGCTCCCTACAAACGCTAATGACGTCCAAACCTACATTCAAGAATACGCCATGGGACACCTTGACAAGACTCGCCGCGCGGTCACCCATTGCTACACGTACCTCTTCGGATGGATCAACGCCCCTGAGATTGAGAAAATCATCAGAGCCTATTCGAAAGAATTGACCAGGCACGACCTGCAGACAGAAGTCATGAACGAGGCCACACCGGCACAGCGCGCAACGTGCGATGTGATGTTCATGGCAATGTATCGGCTATACTTTCTTCTTGGCCCCAAGGTGTGGTATGTGCTTGATCTGGGAAAAGCCCCGGTCCTTGCCATGAGAGAATGGATCTACTCCTATAGCAGCGAGACTGAAAGGCTGTCGCTTACTCCATCATAGGTAGACATATCAAGCGTGCATTCACAATGGTGAAACAGGAGTGCCTGGGGCTTGTATCTCTACTGAGCGTTTTGCTTCCTTCTCAGCTGCTGTAACAACGCCTTTGCGGCCATTTCTCAAGCTGCCAGTGACCAAGAACTGCGTATTCATCGAAGCACAGTCTATCACAGACAACCTGAGCTATCTTCAATAGCTATGTACACGTTGCGCGTCTTACACAGCGTTGTCAAATGGCCGAGCAATGTGTGTCCCCCTGCATGCGAGTCGTGCGAATTGGGAAATGGACTCAATATCCGCGAGCATACCGCCAGGAGAAGACAAATGGATTTGCGACATCGGGAGCAGCACAAAAGGCACTGGAACAGCGGAAAGGGCAACAAGTCGTGGTCTAGACGTGCGGAGTTTCAGGAGGTTTCACTTCGAGTGGCTGAGGACCGGACGATAGCACAAGTGCCGGAACTATCATCTCTCCTCGCTTGGCCGTTGTACCCATCATCGATTGTGAGTATGGTGTCGTTTTCCCGCTAAGCGTGTTCACCCGCGACCTCATGGCCCCTCCGACAAAGTCACGCGCAGTCAATTGCACTTCTGCTCTTTCCTGCAGTCGGAAAGCCTGTTGTAAGCATGACCGTTGCAGCTGCGATCTGAAGCTGGAGCAACTCCCGCAAGGCAGGCTTGGCAGGCGCGCGGCTTTCTGACTCTTCCTTCGTCGTTGATTCTTTGCACTTCAGCTTCACCAACAGTGGCCCGCCATTCCGCCTCGACCTCTCCATGGACAATGGCGCCGCGCTTGTCGACATGTTTACCCTTCTACACAACCGGACTAGCCCGGCTCCAGGCAACATTTCCGGCCAACGACTCCTCGACCTCGTCGTTGCCATTGATGGCTACGACGCAAAGGACGCCCTCGCCCATCTCCTGCAGACCATTGTGGCCAACGTCAACACAGATGAGACCTGTGGCTGTCACCGAGAGTTGGCAATCACAATCCTCGACGCCTTGACTGACTACGGTCTGTACACTCCTATGATCGCTTCGACTCACTGGCAGACCTCTGCCATGCGATCCGCACCTTTGCGTTGCCAGAATCAGTCGGATGCACCATCCTTGGGCCAATCTACGTGGAAGCGCGCCAGAGGTATGTTAGGCTCAGGGACGATACCTTGCGTTTCGAAAGCAATGCCGTGTGCCTTTTCCTGCATCAGACGGGGCTACAGTATCACCTGCTGTGGAGACTGCGCCTTGCTCGACGAGGAGATCGAGAACATGAGCAGACATACCGGTGAGGAGCTGTACTGAAGTTTGGTGAGGACAGCTTTGGGAACAGGAGATGTGGGATAAAGACAACACAGAAGACACCGAGACATAACGACATAGCAGCTTGCAAGCAAAAACACGATATGCTCTGCACACTTACGAGGCTTGAATGCCCAGTTTAAGGCCCGTGCAGACGAGCTGAAGGAGGAGAACGCTGCAGCCGCAACTCACCACAGGAGACCGCGCCGAGGACGAAGAGGTAGTTGGCCAAGTGTTAGGTCAACCAGCCACCCCACCACGTCGTCGCAGACGTCGTGACACGCAGCGGAGCCCAACAAATGGCGAGGAGTTGGCGTGAAGCATATGCTGTCACATGCGGCGAATGGTGGCGCAAAACGTGCATGAAACCACAAGATGCTTGGAGACCAAGCCAGAGCGCGCATGAAGCGGCATGTGGTGAGATGCATGTCTCACGTAGATTCGTAGCTCTGATATTCTCACTTCACATCACACTTCACTTCACTTGCATGCACGTTCGATTGTCAGGCTTGGCACAGCTGAGTTTTGCCCCACCCGCATGTCGCGCCTCATCATTGCTTTTCTTCAACTACCAACTCTTCATTTCCCTGACTCGGCCACGAGAGATCGATTGCCGGTAGAAAATGGCGCCTCCGACGGATATCAACACGAGCAAGACGATGGCATCCCGAACTTCCATAACTCCTTGCTGGCCGAAAACGCGAGTCTCGACGTCAATCCCCTCATCAATCGCATCACGACGCCATTTTCCATCGTCACGGACGCCAAATGCAGGCAAATGAAGCTGACCTCGTTTGAGGCACCAACTTCAGAGCAACCTTAGCACGTGAAGGAATACAATTCTGGGCCAACTACGCCAGAAACCATGAGGAGAAGGCTCGTAACATCGTCAGACCTTTCATTACCGCCCGTAGCTCCATCGACAATTGGCCAGATGATGAAGAGGATGCAATTCAAACGATCGCTGAGTGAACAGACAACGACATACGCAAGCTCAAGCGCAAGTACGCAGAAGAATCTCCGGCGCATGAGGATGGAGGCGCGAAGACCATAATCCTCGCAGGCGCTTTTCGGTCCCTAACCTTGTCGACGGCAAGTTGGCTACCAGCTACCGCAACCAGACAGTCTCCTGCCGCGCCTTCAGCAGGTCAGTGGCCAGCATGCCTGGCTATTTGTCAGACTCCTTCAAGGACCACGTGCGCTCGATCGCAGAAGAGCCGAGAAACTCTCTCGATGCTGCCACCGAAGCCCAGAAGAAGACGTGCAAGGACATGGAGGCCGCACAACTCGACAAGCTGCCGTGACAAGGACACGCGGACCTCGCCAAGGGCCTCACGCAGCTTAGAGCTGCGTTCGAACTGCGCACAAGTGAAATCAAGGAAGAAGTTGCGACGACCGAGCAGGCTGCCACATGTCTGAGCGACATCTCAGCTACGAGCTTCAAATTAAGACACGAGTAATACATAACGCTCACAATAGCATTCACCATCGCTCACTTCAGATCCACAATGGCCCCATTTATGCAGTAGTGTTTGCTCTAGTCTTGGCATGTGCAATTGTTGGCGCGATCTTGCACATCCAAGTTCTTTTCGCCTCCATCTTTCCACTTCTTCCTTCTTCCACCGAACCACCGTCATCCCCATCAACTCGAATATGGCTCCAGACCTACCTCCCAAGTCGTACCAACGTAGCTGCCGCGTTTTCATGGTTCAGAAGTGGAAGTGACTACTTTCCGCGGAGCGCGAGAGCAACCAAACCTGAGGCACCAAACCACTAGAGGCAAGAGGCAAGAGGCAAGAACACTCACAACCACTCAGAACGAGCGGAGGCACGCGCCTGACTTGGGAAATAGCTCCAGACGCGCAGACACGGAAGATTTACAGCTCTCAGGAGCATCATGCAGCGCTCCTGATCGAACAAGAAAACTTAGCGGCAACTCCTCTGCTGCGCCGCGTCATAACACCTTTTTTCATCGTCACTTCCACTGACTGCAATGGTAATGACGTGCGGAGTGTTGATGGGCAGCAGAGCTGACATTATCGCAGGCGCCAACGGGCAACACAGCTTGCCAAAGACAGAGCAACACTACTGGGTCAACCTCATCTACCAGTCGGAGAGCCTGTCCGACGCCGCACCGAAGCCCCTCTCGCGCCTCAGAGATGTCCTGCCGGAGTGGCCAGCCAACGAAACCGAAACATTGAGCGAGATCAGCGAAGCGCACGCACACGAATGGGATGTCTTAGACCCCAAAGACACCCTCAAGCGTAAGCGCCAAGAAGGTGTGCCAGCCCACGAGGATGGAGCAGCGAAAAGAATCATCACCGCTGCCGTCGTGCGATTCATCGATGTCTCTCGTGAACACGTCGACCTGGCCATCAAATTGACACACACTGCCGAACAAGTTCAAATCAGCAGAGACCCGCTTCGCAACTGTTAAGATGCACGAGAAGTCTCTCCCGTGTCGTTCGCTGATGACGAACAGATTCCTCAACTTTGCTGGCAACTTCGCCACACGCGCAATGGATGGAGTGGAGACTCGCATGTTGCATCATTCACCACACACAAGTCGAGCACAACAACACCGGCTAATATGGCCGCTCTGCAGCGCTTCAGCATCCACAACGGGAACAACGTGTACCCCGTGGACTTTATGCGCGTTGTCATGCAAGACCATGTCCGAGACAATGCTATTCAGGTCAATTTGAGTCAACACTTCGACTTGCACGCGGTTCTGGTAGCTCATCTTCCGCCTTTCGCCTACACCAGTACAGCATGCTACGTGGTTTGCCGCAAAGAGTTCATCAAGCACGCAATCTTCAAATCGACTCATCAACTCGCGCGTGCTCTCAATCCACCCATACCCGCCGGAACCCTCCCTACGACTGGCATCCGAATCGCCAACGAGCTTCGCACGATTTTTCACCAATTTGTGCACTACATACGATTTCTTGAGATGGAACGTGAGGACGCATGGGTAAGCGTCGAGAACGGTGGTGAGTCTGGCATAAGTGTCGTGCACTCTGCTTGTTCGAACTATTCCCACCCGCTCGCTCTGTGGGTGTCCCAGAGGAGTTCGAAATGCCACCGCTTGTTATGCCACACAAGTTCAACAGCCACAGCTCCACGAGGATTACATCATCATCGTCAAACGCCTCCTCAACGTCCGTTACCGCGAGGTTGTCCATGTCCAATCCGGCCAGGCTCTGCAAGTCACCACTGCTCCTTGCCAAACGCAATATGATGCCTTCAGGCAGATAGTATCGGAGGCCGGGGCGCGGTATGATTTGGAACAATAGCGAGAAGTACATTTCTGTGAATCGAAGAAAAGTTGCGAAGTGGTCAGGGTGGTATCGGCAAATGTAGCTGATAACCTCTCTGCGGACGCGAAGAGTAACAAATCCGAACTGTCGGCCCGGTTTGGTCGCTATCCAGTAGTGCAGTGACAACTCGTTTGAAGGTTGCACCAATTCTTTGATATGTGACCCGAAGCGGTACGTGTTCAAGCCTGTACTGCCAGCGTACGCCTTGATGTAGGATGCGGAATTTGTGTCCGTAATTGTATTAACGTACCAACCGGCATCTCCGCAAGTCAGATCGCCACCTATTGCATCGACGCTCTCGGCATCATGCCAGAGATCATTCTCAATGACGTTTCGCAGGGCTGTATTGAAGTTGAGCATTTGCTCGAACCAGCTCCAAAGTTTCAACACTCCTCCGAGCTCTTGAAACATATCCTTCGTTCTAGCGACAGTGGGGCTGCCCTTGACTGGAGTACTCCACGTACGCTGCACGAGACCTCGGAAGATGGGACATGTGATTGCAGAGAAATCGTCTGTCTGTACTGCCTCCACACCTGCCTGTTGTTTCTGATTGACTTGAGACTCTCGGTCATCTCTGGAGGCAGGGGTCGGATGGCGAGGCGACGCACGATAAGCAAGACTGGAAGATTCCGGGAGTGATGTCGGATCTGTTACTTCCAGGCCCGTATTCTCGTTAGACGAAATGAATACCACATCGTGGATGATATCGTGATCGCTTCTTGCGGCTGGTGGTCGTCGGAGAAGATTTCAATGGTGTAGCGAGCACGATCAGAGCCACAGCGTTTCCTCTTGGCCATGTTGAGATGCTCAGGCTGGACGAAGAGCGGTAGATGTAAGAGAGACAAGGGCAAACTTGCAGGCTCGCCAATATGTGGAAAGTGTGGGCATGGACCAGGTGCAGTCAAACACACGCAGGCAAGTGCAATTGCGCCAACAAGTGGCCACCCAGCACTCCATGAGGTGCAGGGACGAAGGGACGTGGGATCTGGCAAGAACAGATTTGAACATGTGAAACGTGCATTTGGTTCATTCGTTATGCTGCAGCTGTGTTCTTGGTTATGTGCGAGGCAGCATGAAAATGGGGCTTTCAGTCATTTCCCATTGCTTCCAGCCCAGATTTCGGCCGGCGACGTGGTCTAAGCCAAGTCTTCGAACTCCTCGGTCCACAGTGGCGCGGTCCGCACAGTCCTCGGTCTTATTGCCGCGTCTGATGCACGACAGGTGAATTCGGCCCTTCTTCAACTTCAGCACGTCGTTCGAAAGTGCCTCTGGTTTCTGCTCTGCGGCCACTGACACGGGATATGAAATGTGCTCGCCCTCGACTGACAGCGAATACGAGGAGATGGAGTTACACAACTCACGGGAGGTGAAGCGTGCGTTGACGTTGACTCGTTGGTCGGCAAGCTGGGTCAGGATGGTGACTGCTGTGTTGTGTAGGCAGTCGCAAGTGCGTCCATGTACGACGTGGTGCCCAGCGCGACCCAAACGTTCGAACAGGCTACTCTTCAGATCCTGGATGACGATAGCGAGGTGCACGTAGGCGTTATCAAGGTGTGGTGAATAATTCCTGTGCTTTGCTAGCTCAGCTCTCATGTCTGCAGACCTTCGTTTCCCCAGCACTTCTTCAGCCTCTTGGTCCATCTCTGATTATTGACCGACCTGGAGATTGACTGGTCTCCCAGAAAGCGCCTTCCGGTGCTCGCCATCAGAGTGCTTGAGAAGAGGTACGTGTCCCGGAAACAGCTTTGCGGCGTGATTAACCTCTTCTCTTATTTGGAGGGCAGAGAGCTTTTTTTGCCGCCTGAGATGCCTTCTCGCGAGACGTTGCAAGGTGGTGTTCGCCGTCCACTGTGCAAGTTTGTCTATCTGCGTGATGTCCAAAACGATGTGAATGTGTTGCAGCTGTGTTGATGCCTCAGGCCGCTATCTTCCCTCTTGCGAAAAAGGCAGCGACCAACGCGGCGACCACCACCAGCACCACCATCACCATCACCATCGACTGCCTCAGAATCACCATATACGCAGCAGATGCCACGGATCCGACCTGGAAAAAGGTCTCCTGATTCTTACCGCCTTTCTTCGGGGATCCGGAGCGAAGCGTGAGCGCGTGGAGCTCCTTGATCCGGAACTTTGAGACTGCATTTGGCCACTTCGATTCACTTCTGGAAGGGCATTCGACAACCCTTTGAATTTTGTTTTCTTGAAGAAGCTATCTTGGGACCGTATGCCGGTCCAGTCATCTTCTTACTTGCACGCCTTGAGCTACACTCGAACGCTCTGCGAACCTGGTCTGGACGTGAGACGACTGCATTATACTGCCAACACATTCTCCACGGCTGTAGTGCAACAAGACTCATGGGTCGCGTGGCTCCTCTCTGCGATCCAAGACTTGTGTTGCGCTATCGAGCGTACACATCTAGAATTTCATTGACCGCTTTCACTGCAAAGATTGTGCTCTTGTTCAGCGTCTTGTATGATGAAGTTCGGCTGGAATCTGGATGTGCGCAAGGACCGCGGATTCAGTCGAAAGCAGCAGGGATCTTGACTACGTTTGTGATGGCTCTCGTTCGTGTCGCACCGATTCGTGGAAATGCTTGGCAAGGACCGGCCTGCCGAAATCATACTTGCGGCGGATGAATTATGTCATGAGCACTTCTCTGCCGCCTGATCATTTTTTCAGCCAGCTCGAAAGGCAGACGTCGATAGGTGGCTGTTATGGGAAGCAAAGAATCCGCACTGACCCCACAATATCCGGGCTCGACAGGAGTCTGGGCCAAGCCTGACAGGGATTAGTTCCACAGTCTGGTTGTCGACCCCTGCATGGAGCTGAGCGTTGAATGGTGCCAAGGTATGCTCCATCTCGTACCGCACACCCTTCTGTGTGCCGTTCAGCCTGACAGCCAATCTCCGTGCCGAGCAGCTTTCGAGGCCGTCCATATGCAGGAACCTATAATGAGTCGCAGTTCTGTGGCGCATCCTGCATCCATTCTGGCAGGCGCGAAGCTACCGCACTCGTCGTGCAAAGCCTCTCCGCGTGCTGTAACACGAAGAAGATGCCCCTGTTACCTTTAGAATGCTCCGAGATTGCCAAGTATATATTGTGATTGGTGTGCTTTACTAGCTCTGCCAGCGGGACTTACGCTGCCTTTCCCGGCAGTCCTCACCAGAGCCTCAGAGAATATTCGCGCGAGGCTGTGTCGGAATCGCAAACCATGCGCTCGTATGCTGTGTAGAGTCCTGGTTTGCGAGACTCCAGATCAACTACTGCTCAGATGGTCAAAGCGGTCACCATGATCCGCCCGTCACGCCCATCACGGCCTGCCACGCTGATTGCTGCAACTCTTTTTGTGCTGCTCATTCTGTTCTCAGTTACATTTGTGAGTAGCCACATCCTACAAATATTGCAACGCGAGACTTATGCTATCATCAGCGTGAACCATTGAGAACAAGAGCGGGAGCATTTCTACCACGACCAAAAAACGATGGCACTCAAGTCACTCCTTACAGCAGCAGGCTTCATATCCTGCTGCCGGCTTCCAATCCCGCTGTCGATATGTGCAAGACCTTATTGACTGGCTCCATGCTTGGGTATCCCACGCCGACACTCATTGCCTGGAACGAGACATTCAACCGCGAAGGCCTTCTTGGTGGTGGCAGTCACGTTGCCAAGATCTCGCGAGTCTTGGAATGGCTCGACAACTTGCCGCCTGAGACGGACAACGATCTGATTTTCATGATGGACGCTTATGGTATGACGGTAGCAACTTTAGACTACTCAACGCACTGACCACGCGCCAGATATCTGGTTTCAACTCCCACCTGAAGTTCTAGTTGAGCGATACCACATGATCAATCGGAAAGCCAACAAGAGACTTCGAGACCGCTTGGGCAGTGCATATTACGCTGAGAACATTCGACAGACGATTGTTTTCGGTGCGGGAAAGCGATGTGCTCCAAATCAAATGCACACTGTCGCCTGTTACCCTATTCCGGACTCTCCTTTGCCAGAGGACGTCTATGGAGCGAATACGGACACCGTCATGGGCAAGAGTAAGCTCTCAAGCCACAGACAGAGATATCTCAACTCTGGGTAAGACTCAATCGCTTTGCACGATGCAGCTACGGGGTCTGACAGAATGCGCAGGTACATTATCGGACCGGCCAAGGACATGCGACTACTGTTCAGACGGGCTTGGGAGAAAGTCGAGGCCAATCAAGACCACGGCCCGTGGGATAATGGGAGCGGTGGTTCTGACTTCATGTATGTGTCCGACATCTTCAGCCAGAGTTGTGATCGTGCCATTTACTAACAGCGTAATATTCAGGTATCATGGATCTGATCAAGTATGTGCCTCTTTTGAACGAGCCCAAATCGACAGCACACTGACCTCTAGCAGTCCATATTCAATACCGTGTGGGGTGAACAAGAATTCCAGCGCGAAGTAATTCGACGCAGGCATCGTGGCTGGCTCGACCGCTTACTCGGCCGTAGCCAGACAATTCCCCATCATCTCGAAGGCACGCTCGTCCAGGATCCTCTCAATCCGCCTTTCACTCATGAACCCATGGAGCACAAAGCGGGAAAGCCGGACGAGTTCGGAATCGGGTTGGACTTTTTCAGTGATCTCGGACAACAGACGGTGAACACCGAAGACGATACGCAGTATCTGGTGCATGGCCATGATCTCATAGGACAAATAGAAGCACGCCAAAAACGACTTTTCAATTGCCCCTCTCGAGTGACTGGAGAACTACCTCAGGACGTGCTAAGGACATCACCTCCATCAACTGTGCAGAAACCTTGGAGTCAGCTACCACTATTCACGAACCATTGCCTCAATACGATACCAGTGATGATTCACCACAATGGAGATAAGGGCGCCCGATCGTGGCAGTGGCCCATGACCTGGATGCAGCCCCACGCCCGACGCCAATTCGAGTCTATACTGGGAGATGAGAGCAATGTGCTCGCTGCGGGCAGATCAACAGGCGGTGCAAATCTTCCGACAGGAGAGTCATTAAGCTTCCAGGACCTGTGCACACAGGACTTCGAGTACGAGCTTTTCAGAGACGTAGATCCTCCAGAAACCCCACCCAGAGGCTGGTAGGTTCTGAAATGGGTGCAATAGCGAGGCGTACAGGCAATCAATTGTAGAGGCAAGAAGATAGAATATTGCACAGGTGCAAAAATACAGTGAAAATATTGATTTACCCAAATGGCTGGAAGTATCTTGGTCTACTTGCTACACGGAGCATAAGTTAATGAACATCTGGTAAAATCCACTCACCCCTCCCATCCCTAAATATTTCCTCATGAAATGGTCTGCAGATCTCATCAAATTTGATCCATCTTGATTGGAAATCGTCTTCCTCCGGGTTCGCGGAAGGTACCCTTCCACCCCCTCTCCATCTCTCATCCGGCCAGTACTGCCTCATGCTATCTTCATCGTAACCTCCATACGCAATCGGCATGACGGGTTCCCAAATATGCGCATCGTACAGATATCTCGTGTAGCCCGCGTACCAAGTTTCATTCCACCACGTCTCTCGTAAAGCTTTGCGGCCGTCTCTGTGTGCATTGTGATGGATGACTGCGGGGACAATTCCTGTCCAGATGTTCGTGAACAATGGGACTTCGGTCCAGTTCATCCAGCGTGGGAATTTGGGATCGTGGTTGAAGGTCCAGAACGGGGGCTGTGTGTCTGTGATATCCTTTGCGAGAGTCTGATTTGTGACTCCGTAAGGATGCGTTGGAGGAATGTTTTCGCGTTGTTCGGCTAGTTCGAGCTCTGTTGTGTCGTTCCAGTGTAGCCAGGCTGTGTCATCTTCGGAGAAGACTGTGTTGAGTCCGATTTCCATTCTGTAGTCGAGACCGATGCCGAACTCGAAATTTTTGTCTGGGCGGAGAGCGGCTTTCTTTCGGACTTCTTCTACATGGGATGGGACGAAGGGGTGCAGAGGTTCGTATCCGCCTTCCAGTTTTTCTTTCATCTTTTGGAGGTTGTTGCGCGAGTCTTGACGTAAAGCTTCACGCCAGACTTCCTGGTCTCCGAGAATGTGGGAGAAGATGTACTGGTCTGAGCCCATGTTCGCCTCGAAGGGGTCATTTGTGAGAAGGTCGCGAGCCTGGTTGAACATTTTGCGCATCGCCTTGACAGTTCCCATTGCCACGCCCGAATTGATGAAGCGCGGGCGAATCTTGATGAAAGGGTTCGCCTGGTTTCCAATGTCTGTATCTGTTTCCGGGCCATAAACGTCTTCAGGAAGACTGGAGAACGGCACAGCATAGCAAGGCGGATCCTTCTCTGTCCATGGCCAGCAGCGCTTCTGGCACCCAAAGATGATCTCTTGATGAATATTGTGCTCCTTCGCAGCAGTTCCAAGTTCCTTGGCTATGCGTTCGTCTGCTCGCTTGTTGACAGCAAAGTAGCGATCTACCAGTGTCTGAGGCCGGAGCTGAAGCCAAATATCGTAGCCATCTATCATGAGTACCAGGTCATCATCCTTTGCCGGGTCAAGGTGGTTGAAATATTGTGCTATTCCAGTCACCTTGGCCAAGTGGGAACCACCTTCGACATACTTTGGATCGTCAAAGTCTTCTCCCCAATTCACGACAACAGGATCGGGATAGCCCAGAATTCCCGCGCTGACCATGACTTTGCAGAGGTTGACATCGGCCTTAGATGCTGGCACCACGAGGTGCAAATTTGCTGGAGGGTTTTTGCTGATTGTATGGTTCTGTTTTGACCCAGAGATATCTGTTACTTCTTTTACGGCTGTCGCAATTGATGTTAAACTCGGTGATGAAGGCTAGGCAGTATGAGTAATCGGTATCTCGGAGCTGTAGGATGTATACTAACATGAAGAATATACACAATGAATAAGATCCACGTGAAAACCAGGAAGAAAAATGGCTTGCCTTGCAGCATGACGATTGCTCTTATGCCAGTCCTCGAGCCTCCGTCTTCATTGGTACCAGGGTCAGACGTACGGCCTTCATGAGACGTCAGAAGAGAGGCAGCCTCTTCTGCCTTTTTGGCAGCAGCTTCTGAAGCGGCCGAAGACCACGACCGCTGCCGCATGGTCATATTGATCCCTGTCCCTTGTCTTCCGGGCTGTGCAGTATCGTGTCGCAAAGTTTATCCAGCCAAGGTTCCGGCACAGAAGGTATCGAATATCATATCCTGTAGGCCAACTACAGGTCGCACGACACATCTGGCGTAGATGAGCAGTGCTTAGGGTGGGAAAATTGGATTTTGGGTCCACGACTTCTCCTGTGCCACCCGGAAAGGGATTAGCGACGGGAGTCCTGCATGGCTTTCGCGGAAAGGATGCTGCAGCCACAGAAAAGTAGACTTCGAAAAGTCGGATAATCGCTGCTGGCCAAGACGTCGGTCGGTGTCAGGGTCGAGATTAGCAGCAGGCGCACCAAGACACGACGGATCACTCACCAATGAAGATCTGGGAGCCACATTCTGCAGTGGTGCCAAGACAACTCGGTACTGGCCTGCCGGGCTTGATTTGCGTACCGTGGCGCCGCCGAGGCTGATGAGGACACGGAACGGCTGAGACGGATGCGTCGCACAAGCTGACTGGATGTGTGGCACAAGGCCAGAAATGGCAGACGTGTGCTGGACGCTGAACGAAGATGGAGAAGCTGGGCAGAATTTGATCGACCTCGGCCGTATATCCCGCTATGAACGCTATCAAATGGAACACAAATGCTGAGACCAGAGAGTACCTCTGTCGCTGGACATTCTCGCAAATTATTGCTCGCCAGGCTGTGCAGCCTGCCGTTGCTGGAATTCTTGACCTGCCAACCCTTCTGCTGCTCCTGCCGGCGAGACACCTGCTGCTGCTTCTTGAGGCTGTCCTTCGAATGGAAACGCTCCTTCTTGAGGAACTTGTTCGGCGACAGGCTCGGATTCGGGGACCACTCCGTCTTGCGACGGAGGAGGGTCAGGCGGGCGTGGTTTCGGAATAAGCGGCTCGTGTTTCTGTATCTTTGTCGGATGATAAGCCTCATCGTCGCCTGGCTGAAACAGGACTTCTTCAGTAGCCTTGCAAAGCCGCCTCCAGCTTAGCCAGCCGCGTCGGTCAGTCCATGCACCTCCTTTGCCGCCGTCGACAATCTCCTCTGCGTCCTCCACAGGCTCAGCATTATACCAGAGCAGGTTCGCAATCGGCTCCTTCGAAATGAGCCTCTCATCAAGACTATGTGTCGCGACCCTCAGCTCAGCTGCTTTCTTTTGGAACCACATCCTGCGCCACCAATACTTGCGGAAGAACTTCTCTGCTGGGTTTCCAGTGACGTGCAGTAGTACAGGATGCTGGTGTGTCAAAACATTATAGCCAAGTTCGACGCTTTCCCAGCCGGCCGGTGTTGAATTTATGTTGTTCAAGCCAGCGTCCAGAGATTCAAATGGTGGTCGGGAAGCCAGAATATCCTCACTGATGTTGATGTCCCACGGGTTCACTGGGTCGTGATGTGCATCCGCTGGAGGAGACCAAGAATCTGTCTGTCGTGTCCACGCAAGCTGACCTTTCCAAAACGCCAGAGTCTGGAACATCGTGGAATCGTAGTCTATGCCGATATGGTATTCTGTCCGTCTACCGAAAGTTATGGGCTCTGTACGGATTAATGTGTTGTTGTTCGGGTCCTCATGATCGTAGTACACCCTATTCTTTGCCACTTCCAGTAAATCTGGCCTGTTAAGCAGACGTTGGTATTCCTGGTCTCCAAAGAGGTTGGCAAAGTAGAATTGATCAGAGTCTGTCACATGGTTGAAGTGGATTGCCTCCAGTGTGGCATTGAAAATGTTCACGAGGTCTTTGACAGTGCCCAAAATTGTACCGCTATTGAGCCATTTGGGAGGATTCTTGTCGCGGTTTTCCCGATCGTACACTGGGCCAAATGCTGAGTAGGACATTGTACTTTCTGGCACAGCCCAGCAGGCAGGACGGCTGAAGTCTACAGGCCAACACAGCTTGTCTGGCCCAAATACGACACTTTGGTACATCTCCTGCTCGACAAAGATTTGTTCTCCATAGCGCTCAATCGTTCTCGCATTTGCAGCTGCATTGATGGCGAAGAATCTCTTGAGAAGGACGTCTGGCCGTAGTTGAAACCAGATATCGTAGCCGTCTATGATCAGAACTAGATCCTCCTGGTACTCATCCGAGGCTTCGAGTTTCTCAAGATAGCGGAGGATGCCTTCCACTTTCGCGAGGTGCTGGACATATCCATCAGTAGCTTCGTGATCGCCATAGTTGATAAGCACCGGTGTTGGGTAGCCCAAGATCTGCGCCGAAAGCAGCAATTTGCATAGTTCTGAGTTGGTGCTGGTGGCCGGTATGAGGAGGTGCAGACGGCCTTTGCCGATCGGAAGCTGTTGATCGAGCTGGTAATTTGGTGCTGTCGTATCGTCAAGGGCAGCTAGAGGCGATGAGGAGCCTGAGAAGCCGTTGTGGTAGAAATAGCTCAGGCGGAAGCCTCGTATCCAGAGCCATGCGACCAAAAATGCAACGATCGTAGTGGCTACGACTTTCGCAACCTTTGATGAAAGTATCCGCCAAATTTGCTGGCGGTTTCCTGTGCTCCCGTATCCGGTAAAGCCACGTAACTTTGAAAAAATCATCAGCGCGACAGGTCGCCAGTCCGCTGTGTGAGGGAGTGTCGTGGAAGAAGTTGCATTTCCTGGAGTGACGCCGTGTCTGTGGTCCGCGGCGCGAAGTGCGTCCAAGCAAAAGACAGCCCGTCTTTCCAGCAAAACGGATCCGGCCAAGGAGACGGCAGCTAGCGAGTGCTGAGATGCCACAAGAAGTTCCTTGTCGTGTGTGGCGGCGCGAAGCTCTGCCCTACGAGTGCCCCCGACGCGCGGTCTGCCACAACCAGTGCCACCTTTGCATTCTCCTTGAGCCCCTTGCTGGTGCTTCTCTCCTCGCTTGCTTTTCTGCGTAGCCACAGCGGTGGATAGATGTGCTCGGCTGGAAGAGGCCGCGGAGCCCACAAGCTATGCAAATTTAGACATTGCACAATCTCGCAATGCGATTTGGCCTTAGCGCTCACCGGGCCGAAGCGGAGCAGAAGTCGTGGTCGGGCGGACCGGCTATCTGCTATCTGTCATCAGTCATCAGATCCTTCGCTTCCCTCTCCTGATTACTACTTCACAGTTACCCTCATCATCGCTTTGCTGGCAATACTCTCACCGCGAACACAGTTCTCCGGCTCAAGTCCTTGTCAATGCCTCGCTCCCGCTCGGTGCTGCTATTTCGTGACGATGAGAGCTTCGATAATTCAAGCACACCGAGCAAGATTGTCCTACGGCTCATCAGGAGGACAGCATGTGCTGTAGCTCTACGAAAGTAACACGCGTGCATGTTATGAGCTCTGTGCACGAGCTGATGACGCACTGGGCGCTGCTTTAGGCGTATGCCAGAACCGCAACAATAATGCGAAAATCTATTCACACCGCCGTTCAGACCAAACGTTATATAATCTCCAGCGCAGCAGATGCAGACTAAATGGGACAATGCAGCTCCCGAGTTCTCGCCAATGTGGTGCCCTGCTTCCGTGGAACTATTGTCTATGCTGCTAAGGTCATGTAGTTGGCCTCGTCACTTCAGTTGATGCCATGTTCATCAGAACGATTGCCGTTTCCATCACCAATAGATCAGCACAATCTGGCCACGCAAGAGCGCCATTCGGCAGACTCGGGGTCTGCCGCACGTGGCTATGACTGGAGAGAACGTGGCAAGTGGGAAGGTAGAGCATCATCAAGAGCTGTGAGAGCACAGCAGAGACTCCGCATGCAGCCCTCACCATAACCTCGGGCGATCATCACTCTTGGCCTTGGCATTAAGCCTCCTACTCATTTTTACCGGGCTCAGCCAACAACTAGCAGAGCCGCAGCGAGATGCTATTCGACAGCAACCTCGTGCTACCCGCGTTGGCAGTACGGAACAAGCAAGAGATGGACAAGATCATCCTCCGCATGGCAGCATGCAGCTGTGCTTCGCCTAAATCTCTCGGCCACGCTGACATGCCGCTCCCTCAATAGCCATCTAACGTCTCTCTTGTTTCCTGTTCCCCAATTTCCCATCCCTTCGCACTTTGTTCACGAAAAATGGACAAATCGAAGGAATTGTCAGATGGCTACCATGCCGAGATTCAGTCCGAGGATATTGTGGTTGCTCAGCAAGACGAAGGATGGGAAGACCCACGAGTGAAGAAAATCAAGCGGAAAGTGGACATCAGACTGTCCGCTATGCTGGCCTTGATGTATATCGTCAACCAGATTGATCGAAATAATCTGCCGAACGCGTGCGTAAACACTGTTCGGTTTGCAGCAAGACCTGCTAAAAAGTTTCCAGTGTCATTGCCGGAATGGACGACGATCTCAACCTCATTGGCAACCGGTATCAGGTCATAGTGTTGGTCTTCTTCCCTACCTATGTTCTCTTCAACTTCGTGGCTACAGTTTTAGCACGCAAGCTCGGTCCCCGGCCATTCCTCGCCGGTATCACGTTGGCCTTTGGTCTGGTTGTCGTTGGCTTTGGCCTGGTGGAAACCTGGACGCCTCTGATTGCCTTGCGTGTGCTCCTCGGAATGTTCGAGAGTTGCTTTTTCCCATCTGCCATATTTCTGGTAGCCATGTGGTATACTAGGAGAGAGGTTGCGAAGCGTAATGCATTCTTTTATCTGGTTGGCAACAGCGTCGGTGGTTTCGGCGGCGTGCTAGCCTATGGATTGCAACAAATGGTATGCGTTCGGCATCGCTTCCTCTTGCACAAAGCTGACTTCAGTCCAGGATGGAGTTGCAGGGCGTCCGGGCTGGCAGTGGATCTTCATATGGTCAGTCGATATCACCATTGCCCAAGGCTCACATTCTAATTCCAGACAGGGAAGGAATCGTGACGGTCATCATAGCCGGTCTCGGCTATCTGTTTCTGATCGACTTTCCTGAAGAAGCTTACAGAACGAAATGGTTCCTCAAGGAAGACGAAATCAAGATCATGATTGACAGGGTTGAGCGCGACAGAGCAGATGCCCACGTCACGCCTTTCAACCTCAAGCACTACCTCTCGCAAGCCAAAGACTGGAAAATCTGGTTGTTCGGGATCAATTTCGGGATGTCTGGTGCGGTGACTTATGCCGTCAGCTACTTTCTCCCGATCATCCTCAGAGATTCCTTGGGGTTCAGTGTCGTGCAGTCGCAATGCCTGACTGCTCCAGTATGACCCCCATGAAATGTTCGTCCGAATTCTGCTGACGTATTCCGCAGTGCTACGCCTTCTCATTTCTTCTTGGCTTCGCAACAAGCTGGGTTTCAGACAAGTACAACATCCGTGGCCACGTGCTCATCTTCAACGCTCTCCTCGAGATCATCGGCGTAGCAGTCCTCGGATATGCTGAGCAGCCATACGTCCGCTATTTTGGCGCGTTTCTGATCACTGCCGGCTGCAACTCCAACGTCCCAGCAAGTATGACATACCAGGCCAACAACGTGGTCGGCCAGTGGAAGAGAGCTTTCACCTCTGCGACGATCGTAGCCTGGGGCGGCATCGGTGGCGTGATAGGCACCGTGGCCTTTCGCTCACAAGACAGCCCAACTTACAGACCTGGCTTGTATACGTGCTTCACATGCGCGAGTGTGACGATTTTGAGCGTCGCTACTACGAGTGTATACATGTGGCACAAGAATCGACAGCAGGCGAAGGGCTTGATCATCATTGAAGGAGTACCGGGATTCAGGTATACTCTGTGAGCATAACATACAGTAAAAATAGACTCTATGGAGCTGTAGATCTGCGAACCTTATACGAATATTTGAAGCTTTACGATACCTTCAATGTTGAGCGCACATAGTGCTGACAAGAGCTAGCTCTCCAAAAGTCCGGATGCTCGGACAAGCTTCATGGAATATGCTTATGCGCTACTGCACTGCACCATCACCCATGAATCTACACTCCCTCCTTCCTACCCAAGCTGTCGTAACAAACTCTCATGCTCCTCATCATCTTCCCTGTTACCTTCTGAGCTTCCAACCTCGGACAACAGCTCGATTACTATTCACGTACGTGAATGCAGTATGTATTCGCAACCGTAGACGGCAGTTCCTGCCAACTTCTTTCTTGCGCAATTTTCCAAGACCTTATCAATCTGACGCTTTCTTCATCACAGAACGAGCAATCTCTCCACTACGGCTGAAGCGTGAATACAATTATCGATTCCGTTGATCTGCTAAACTCTAAACACATCTGCTCTTGCCATTGAAACCAGGAAAGGATGCCGTTCTACGAAGTCCGCCACGTCACTCCACTCTCTCAAGCCCAACAGGACTCACTGGCAGAGGCTCTGACTACGATTCACTCAACAAAATTCACCACGCCACGCCTGTTCGTGAATGTGGGATTTGTAGACCAGAGTAAGATCAATACATACGTAGCCGGAAAGCCAAGAAAGGGAAACTCCATCTCGGCAAACGTGCGTGTAGGACCAAGCAGGACTCAGAAAGACTGGGACCAACTATGTGAGGAGGTCGTGGCCGCTTGGGAGAAGATTGTACCAGAGGCAGAGTTGAGGTGAGTCGAGCCATTGTATTTCTAAGACTGGTGCAGTGGGTTTCATGCAAACGTTAGAACACGAATGCTGACCACTATCCTCCGATTCTGTAGAGGAGTCTTCATCCTTGGTTCATTGACTGCGGGCTGGGAAGCTGGCTTCACACTGCCACCTGCAGGACAAGATGTGCAGTGGTTGAAAGACAACTGGCAAGCATTCGAAGAGAAGGCAAAGGCAGGTGACGAGGATTTTGCCGATATGTTGGTCGAGATCAAGCAGAGAGGGGTGCTGGAGCAGACGAATGGTAAATGAGGTACGGATGTTCGGCGCGGGCTGAAGTCTCTGTGACCACAAGTTTGATCAATGATCTCCTCGCACTAGTTGCCATATTCTGCAAGAACTTGCGCGTTTTGATGCTTTCCTCTGCTCCGTCACGGTCCACCGTATTCGCCAATATCCAGTGACGACTGGGTCACCCTGCATGCGCGTTCTGACACGGACACATGTTGAACACGCCGGCTTCTCGTCCAAGCTCGGTCCGGTTTGGCTTCCACTCGAAACACGTGTCAAAAAGTATGCCTCTCCCACAACGAGAGGAGATCCTCCAGTTCTCAGCTTCAAGTCCGGATACTGCTTCGCCGCAAAGACCCGTTCGGGGTAATAGCTCCTGCTGATCGGGCACTGGAGCAGCTTCACAATGCGCACCTCAGTCATCCATCCACCTTGCGTTCGTAGTAGCAAGCACCACTCTCTGATCTTCCAATAGCTTCTTCACTTCTTCCCAGGGCCTATCCGCAAGACACCTTACCATATTGTTCATCGACGAAATCACAATTCGCACTGTGCTATGCCGGCCCGAAGCCCATCGCTCAGCAGGCGTGAGCTTCCTAGGAGGGACAAGTCCACTGTGCACGAACTTCATCCACTGCAGTAAGTTGGCCCAGTTCGGTTCGCGGTCACCATAACGTAGATAGCACTCGACGTATTCCTTCGCTGGCTTGGCGCTGTGGGTCTCCAGGCCCAGGTCTCGTAGTTTGCGCGTGAATCTTGCCAAGAGAGCGGAGTCGTAGGAGTTCATGTCGATGCGGAAGGAGTTTTCGTAGTAGTATATCTTGAGAGCTTCATTTCGGATCTTCTTACATCTGTCAAGTACCGGTTAATGTTGGGGAGCTTCCATGGACTCGCGCAGTGAAGATGGGACTTACGTCTGCAGCAGCGCCGGCCGCTCGTGGCCAAACTCTGTGACAATGATGCGATCTTCTTCTCCCGCTGTGTGCAACACGAGCCGATAGATGCGGTTTCTCAACTCTGCTGGAAGTTGCAAGAGGCGCGAGGGTGTCGGCAAGACATGTGCCGTTTGAGGCTTTGCGCCCAATTCCGTCTTGCTTGTCGGTGCTCGTGGCAGCTCCACTGACGCGCCATTACTGCTCGCGACCAGCATATTGTGTGTGATCGGCACTATTCGCGTCATGTCAGCCATGTTTCTGAGTGTCGTGTTTGCTATAGAAGCGTTCGTGGATGTGGATGTTGAGTCAAGCGCCAGCCGAGCTTCCAGCTCCGAGGTGGGCTGCAGCTCAGCTGATCTGGTTTCAGGCGACTGCCATTCACACTTCACTTTCGTGTGCACCATGCATAATACTTGTTTGCATATATGATCAACCATATTGCCAATCAGCACTTACAATGCTGTTTATCTTGTAATCTCTATAGGTAGTCTGTGGCTTTCGTCTTGCGTCTCTACACCTCCGACCTTGCGACCGCCCTCCTTCCTCTTGACTCGGCACCACAGTCCAACCTCCTTGTCCATAATGAACTGCCAAATCACCCCGGACCAACTGTAGTGGCAAGGCAGATCTGAGTAAAACTCATTTGCGATCCTGTTGAGCTTCCATAGTCTGGTCCACGGAATGGCAGGAAAGTCATGGTGCTCGTTGTGCAGACCGACATTGTAAGTCACCAGGTTCAGGATTCCGTAGTACGAATAGGTCTCTGCTGGTGGTGGCGCCAGTTTTGCGGCCTCTGAAGACTTTGCCTCTTGCGATCTCTGGTGTTGCGAGAAAACATAGTGCTCCGCAATGAAGTGTCCTGCGCATGGGTGCAGGGACCCTGCCAGGAAAGAGCTCATGATGAAGTATCCCAAGGCCTTCCCTCCAAAGTTCTGCACGATCAGATAGTCGAACAGCAACTGCGCTGCGATGTTCAGTGCATGTATCTTCGTCAGTGGTAGATTGTACACCATCATGGGTCGTAGGGCGTAGAAGAGGATCTGAAACGTCGCAAAGAATGCCTTGCCTGCAACAGAGTCCAGGAACCAGGCTTCCAGCGCAGTAGGCAGATCCGTATCCAGTCCGTCGACGCCGAGTGACTTGTGGTGAGTCAAGTGGTAAGGCCTAAAGGAGGCCGAGTATGGGATACCAATTGGCAGATTGGCAACAATTGCAAACAGCCTGTTGGCAAGCGGAGACTTGAAGGCCAGGTTATGGGAGATCTCGTGTATCGCTAGGAACAGATTCTGGTTGGCCGTAGCGCCAATCACGTATGCTGTAAGCAGAAACGGCCATGACAGCACTGGACTGTCTCTGAGCGCATATGCACAGGCGATTTGAAGACCAACCACTGCAAGGACAAGCGGAATGGTCAATGGCTCAGGTCCGCAGAGTTTCAGAACCTGTCCTTTGTCAGCGTATGAGCTGTCAACTGGATCGCGTCGTACGCACCTCCGGATGCGCCTTTATTATTGCCTGCCTCCTCGTTCTGTGCGGCTCTTCTGTGTATGTCCAAAAGAAGTCATCCTGGGCTTCTCCAATGCGTGAGACCGAGGCCTGCTCTTTCTCGGATTGGTGGCGTGTGCGGTGAGTCGACTGTGATTTCGAGCCGGTTGCGGTAGTGACTGAGGATGACATCTCGGCGGCGGATGATGTCTCGGTCGCAGGGAAATGGACGGTGAAGCACAGAGCGTGCGAAGCAATGCTCACCATCAAGCCCAATATTCCAGAAGGCGGTCCCTGGATTCATCGCCCCACTAGGGGTCGCGCCAAGACGCTAGCGCACGCGAGCTGCAGCCACTTCACGTCCCGTTTGCTGCCTTCACTTCAGATTCGTTCTCACCTCCACTTTCACCAAAGCTTCATATACCATTATGAAGAGCTCTTGTATTTCGAACTTCATGTCAGGCGTGTTCGTCGGACTCCCTCGCGCTGAGCATACAGCTCATGTTGGCATTTTGCCTGCATGCTGAAGAGCGCGAATTCAAACACTCAGTAGAGCTCTCATTGAGTACTACGATCATCGCAATCATGGGGCGGGAGTCCAGCCAGCCAGTGCAAAGGATCAGCGCTGATGACGTGCAATGTACTCAGCAGCATAGCGCTGTCTGAATGCCGATTCTCACGACCAAGGATGGCCGATGAAAAGGAGTGAAGACAACGCGAATACGGCACAAGCTCTCGACCAGATGGTGTGAAGCTCGGCGAGCATTCAAAAAACAACAAGCCTGCAAGGTATGACGAGTCACTCCAAGTCATGCCAATCTGCAGACCATCACTTGTGATTGCATTGCTGGCTTGTTGATTCGAGGTGTTTGCAAATCCCACGACCGCAACCTCTCTGCATAATATCCGCTGGTCTTGTGATGCATCAAATCTTCGGGCCAGCCCGGCTACGATCGAAAACCAACGAAGTCATTCGCCAGCACAGAGCCCCTTTTCCGACCATGTGGGCGCAGCATAGGAGATACAGCTGCGAATTCTCTTCTGGGTAGCCTTGTTGGGGGCCCAAGTCGGGCGGATCCTTGGACGATATGCATGATCAGGTTTCTCGAGCAAAAGAGTGATCTCGGCGAAAGTCACGTCGTCGCAAAGGATGCACCCCATCAATGGTCGGTAGTGCGAGCGGAAAAAAAAGCAATTCATGTTGTGCGCCAGGCTTGGACGCGCGATGTCGAAGTCGAGCAGGAAGATCTGCAAAAAGATTTGCGAAAAGATTGGAAGGATTGGCGATGCCCGCAGTCGAACTCGAACCCCAAACCTCAACGGCAAAACAAAACAATAGCACGCGCGACCCGCGCTTCGAGTATGCAGCCCTTTCGGACGCCTCGGAATAACAAGATGCAAGGATTTCATGGCGGTAGAACTTGCGTTCTAAGCAGTCGCTGTGCATTACTTGTTGTGGTTGTCGACTTCACGGAGCTCTGGCTATTGAGTGATAGTGCCGCCGAACTTTCTGTTTATAAACGTCACCCATTAAGCTTCCCGCAGCAACACCGATCCCGCCGAGCCTCCACCGCCTCAGGACTGTTCACTCCACCACCTCGCAGCTCTAGGTGTTCTGCAGCTGCGTCAGGCAATTCAGAGTGCAAGCGACGTCCAGGCAGTTGTAGGTCCAGAGCATTCAGGAGGTGCGATCAAATCCGCTTGCGCATGTTCCACACGCGTCTGGCCACCGAGGGCCGCTCGCGTTGTTCGCGGACTCGCGTGACCGTTTCGCATATTTCCATGGCAGTCACGGTCGCTTCGATCCTTCGTCGAATGCTCGAATCGCCGACTGCGATGTGGTCGAGAATGCATTGCTGGGTCTGTTCAGGATCCGCTGCGCTTTGGTCGGGCGTACGTGATTACCACAGTGTTGATGGAAGTAGATGAGGGCCGCGGTGATTCTAGATTGAGATCCATTCGCAATGCTTGGCCGGCTGCCGAACAATGGCATCAATGACCTCCTGTTTGCTGGTACGTGCACGCACGGACTTGATCACCTGCTCGAGAAAATTCCTTCCCTATGCAGCTGCAAGACTCTCATGATCGACGCCCCTGGAATACGACTCGCCGCGGACGCTATTCAACCCTATGCTTACAGTGACCACCGTCGCAAATCCAACTTCCTTCATGCCTAGCACCTCAGCCTGGCAGCCTACAATATCTCAGGTTTCGGGACCAAGAGAGACTCTCTGAGGGGATCTTGAGGGCACAACACAAAGCACAAAGCCAATTACGACAACGTTATCAATCAGCAAGACGAGTTGGCGGACAAAAGGTAATTAGCCGCACGCGCGCGACTGGTTGGCTTGAATCCGTTGTTCCAATATATCGTCCTGCTAGTCCCCTCCTAAGAGACGACGCCCCCGTCGCTAGTACCTTGTTTCCCAATTTCTTGCTATCTTGCTGTCTTGCGGTCTTGCTAGCTATAAGGTAGCCACCCTAGTACTCGAGGCCAGCTTCGAACACGGTACCTTAGGAGAGGACACGAATTAGGGTATCCGAGATTGTATGCAACCTCAAGGTCGCGAAAGGTAGTACAGAAACTACTAGACCGACCGCCCCACCTTCGGCTCCAGCAAGACGAGTTGGCGGACAAAAGGTGATTAGCCGCACGCGCGCGACTGGTTAGCTTGAATCCGTTGTTCCAATATATCGTCCTGCTCAATCACAGACGGGCGTCAACTGTCTGCGTTACTTCAGCTGCCACCGCATATGCCCTAAGCAAGTGAAGGTGGTTGTGCCTACGCCGTTTGTAGTCTTTGGCGGACTGAAAATGTTCGAGCCGGCGCCGACGGTACGGCTGGCCTGGTCTTGCAAGCCAACTTTGACGCTACAGATACACGTTCACTGCTTCAAGTCTGCAGTCGCACCCTTTCCCACCTCATAGATTCAAAGCTTGAGTCTCTAATCTACCTACTGCCATATTGGTGATTTTCGTCATAACGTAAAGTAGTGGGACGGGTCAAAATGCACCGAGATCGCGTCCTTGCATCCACCATGCCACATCGCGTCCGCGCTCATCTTGCAGAATGGACTTGAGGCATCTCCAACATCCAACAATGCCGCCAGCGCGTAGTCATGATCGACCACGGCAAGATCCTGTGTCCTGCCAGCTTTGTCGCAGTAAGAAGCTGAAGTAAATTGGAAGCTGCACGCCTGGCTGATTCATTGCTTTCTGATACAGCTCGATAGATGCGACAGGCAATCTCCGTGCTCGAACTGCAAGAGCCGCGTAAGTCAAAACTCGGGGCGGCACACAGTCCGACTTCCGCACCAACTCGTCACTTAGAGACCTGGATTTGTCGTTGTGATAGCTCGTCACAGCCATCTGACACACGCGTATGCTGATTTTCTATCGACTACTCACAGAAGGTTCATTGCGAGTACCGGGGCGAGAGACCGGCAAACTCCGCAGCGGCTTCCAACGAAGATGGCCTTCGAGCTGAAAATCAGGCTATCAGAGCTCGACTCGACCGTCTCGAGCAAGCGGTATTCCAAGCCCATCACTCCACAGCTGCGTCAGCTTCCGCGAGCTCCGTCCGGGGCTCCTCAAATGGCACGCCCAACATAGCAAGAACGGAGGCTGCTCAGGCAGACGAAGACTCCCACTGGCTCGAATCTGTGGGCGCGCCATCCGATACCATTTTGCCGCGCTTCGCCGACCGTGTTTCAATCCGACTCGAAACACTGGAACAATCTCTAGCATCTAGCCAACAGGCTCAGGTCTGCACTATAAGTATGCCTACCTATGATCTAGCAATGAGTTTCCTCGATGCATACGCAAAGGCGCTAGATGCTATGCAACACATTGTACACATTGACAGCACTCGTGATGCGGTCAATCGGGCTTACAGTGATCTGGAAGCCGGGCGTGAAGTTGATCCAGGAATACTCTGCCTTATTCTGGGGATTTGTGCTTGCCTGACATTCTACTGGTCTACCACGGGCCGATCTTGGGGCACTGAACTGTTCCACGAATTGGAGCCAGCTCACAAGGCGGCTGCTCACTGGGCAGAGCAAGGACTATATGCGATGCAGCAGATGCATCTCGCGACTGCCTCGTACACTATCGAAAGCGTCCAAGGCATGATCATGCTGACATTCCTCTTCTATCATATAGAGGGGTTCACAGCACGAGTTGGGCTAATGCACTCTTCTGCGATAACCATGGCTCGCTCTCTTGGCCTTCACAGGACTGACAGCCCTCAAGCAGCGACTGCGAATTTGAGTCAAGCAGAAACCATCACCAAAGAAGTGCAACGAAAGGTCTGGTGGCACTTGGCGTGCACAGACTGGCTTCTAGCATTCATGGGAGGCCCTCAAGAGGGCACATATACCATCCGCACCATGCATGTGAACCCCCTCGAAATCTCAACCCGGAAGATCTCAACACAAGAGGGTCAGAGTTCGCTCGACCTTTGACTGAGCCTACTGTGATGTCTTACTACCTCCAGAGGATTCGGCTTGCGACCACTTGCCGCGAAATTGCAGACGATCTATGGACCAAACTCCAGTTTACCGATCCCAGCGACATTGACCCTCAGACGATACTCGCTCTTGACCTGAAATTTGAATCTCAGACACGTGAACTTCCACATTTCATGCGTCTGGACACTTCATTAGCACAGCTGAAGGAATCATACGGAGAGCACGCGGCAACAGCAATGGACGCTCAGCGATTGCTGATACATTTGATGCTTAATACAAGACGCTGCAAGCTGCACATGCCTTTTCTTGTTAGAGTGAAAACGCATCCGTGTTTTGCAGCATCTCGTGCTGCCGGTTTGCAGGCTGCGCGTACCGTATTTGAGGCTCGTCGGCACGCCATACAGAACGACAAGTCACTGGTAGCACAGAAATTACGACTTGGTGGCCTACTACAGGTGTGTATAGTGTTTTGAGCTCAGCGCAAGCCCAGTGTCTGATCGTTCTCTAGCATCTCTTCCTTGCCACAATCGTGCTAGTGATGGACCTGTGCATCAACAGGGATGAGATCAATGGCGCAACACTCGTAGAGGTGCGCGAGAGTCTCCAGATAATGGACGACGCAAAAGAGTCCTCGCCCATAGGCCGACGCTTTCACGAATCTCTCCTAAACGTACTCCGGAAACACAATGTGGTCTTGCCCAACACAACTCAACAAGCCCACAGTCTCGGACCTACCGAGACAGCTGCCAACGGCTCCAACGGCATATCTGTTGACCTTCCCAACGGGTTCCCAGGTATGGAAGCCAATGATATCGATTTCGACAGCATGTGGCAAGACTTTATGAATGCTGGCCCGACGCTCGACGCTCAGACCTGGGATGCTATCCTATCCGACCTCGACATGCAGCCGATATGAATCATCGAACGCGTTTCTCGAGTCCACAACAAGACAATGCAGGCGAAGAGTGGCATGCGACCCTATTTAATGTGGGTCCGATCGGCATGCCTTTGGTCAAAACATAAATCCCTCTCGCCCACACAATGAATCCTTCCATGGACAGTCCGAAGCAATTGAAGAGTGCGAGCATTATTTATTCAATGCAGCAAGCAGTGCCTTGTTCAACAAACAATAGTCAGCGATTGCTCGCTTGTGCGCCACAACCTTCATTTGAACAGTCATGGACGCCGAACACAGCGACTCAACGACCAAGGACGTCAAAATGTCCGACAGTGTCGACACATCTCGGAACAACAGCGCAGTACACTCGGAGAGTCACAAGTCAGAAGTCAGGTGCGACTGATGCTTTCGAACAACATCTGTCAAAGCTAATGGAATTCGCAGTTGGCGCTCAGTGTCGGCATTGTGCGGCAGCGCATTGGCGTATTTCATCACTGTCGGCTTCATCAACGCATATGGCGTCTTCCAGCAGGTATGCTCTCCATCGCCGCCTGTCCATAAGTCACCAGAAGGATAGCTAACACGGAACAGTACTACACCGCCCACTATCTGCCAACATACAGCAACTTCCAGATCTCATGGATAGGTGCATTCGCCAACTTCATGGTCTTCGCATGCGCAGTTCCCGCAGGAATTCTCGCAGATCGATTCGGGCCGACGATTCCAATCCTCATCGGATGTATTCTCGAAGCCGTGGCCATCTTCATGATTTCGCTCTGTCGGGAGTACTACCAATTCTTCCTTGCACAAGCCGTCCTCCTCGGCGTTGGAATGTCATTCATTGCAATCCCAACATCAACGATCGTACCATTGTACTTCGAGCGCAACCGAGGTCTGGCACAAGGTCTCTCAATAGCCGGATCGAGTCTGGGTGGCATCGTTTGGCCTATCACCTTGGACCAGATGCTCAATAAAGATAACTTGTCCTTCGGCTGGACGATGCGAATTATCGGATTCGTTTTGCTTCCTTTGATGGCAATTGTCCTGCTCACTGTGCGCAAGCCGATTTCAACCAAGACCGAAACGGATCCTGTCGACGCCGCCGCCGAACAAGAGAAAGGAGAAGCCGATACGACCAAGAAAGCCAAGAAAGATCTCA